AATTGTCAAAAATATTACCTAGCGTGTACAGATCAGCGCTAGACAATGAAAGATGTTTAAGTAAACGGTCTAATGAGACCTCACCTCAGTTCACAATAGTGTAACTGAGGAGAGAGAAAAAACAGTCGCGACGAGTGGCTTTTAAGCCTACAATGCCGCCTATCAACAAGAAAGATGGATTGGGAATTATGGAAAATCTCCTGTGGCTGGTGAGTCCATGTGCCATAATAGTGGGACATCGACCTTGTCTCTAATAGCTGGAACGCCAAGGGAGAATCTGAGATACCTGCAGAAACGCGCAGTCTTGGAAAGAAAAGTGAAAATTGAGTCTAAATGCATGAAGAGCACAGTCTTGCGAAGGGGCGAAAGGACAACTCCAGGCCTGAACTATTTACTGTACCAAGGGCAGGTACTGGGAAGAACAGAAGTACTGGTGATGGTGGACACGACGTGGTCGTGGTCAATGGAGACCCACCTTCCAAGCGTCCAAGGGGTTTATGAGAACTTTTCTTCTCTTTGAAAGAAACGATCAAGAGACTTTATACTCTCTTCCAACTCCTGCACACATCCTTCCAAACGATCGGCAAGGCTTATCCTAGTGTTTCCTTCTTCATGCTAGACGCAGTTGCTGAGATCCCTGTGGCAACAAAGGTAGGCAGGTCGTGCCCCGTCACATTTCTGTTTATTCCAATGTAAGTCCGAGCGGAGGGTACTAGATACATGACTAACTTTCTTCCTTTGCCGACACTCTAAACATGATTGTCCATAGCCCGGAAAAGACACTGGGTTAGATGAGGAAGGCTGCTGTCCTGCATTATGCCAGAAAGGCCCCTATTCCTTCCGTAATGCCTGGTCCAGCAGACACTGCCTTGATAGAGTGAAATAACAATAAGGATGGCCGTCAGTGCACTTACACAGTCATTGGCTGGGATAGGACCGAACAAAATTCTAGGAGACTCCCGCGCCAATTCGCAGGTTAACAAGCTGTCCATCATGACTGAGTTTGTGCCCGTGCAACTCGAAACATCAAGCAAGTCATTTGAAAACTGACTTCCTGAAGGCCAACGATCACCCACAGGACGGATGAAATGAATCATCATCCACCTGTTGAATAATTTCAGGAATATAAGGTCATGATTGCTGAGCTAACTTTGTTCCGCACATAAATGATTCTAGCAGTATCAAGGTCGATCTCGTTGGACGAGCAACCAAGTCTCATTACAAGACCTTGTCAGAGACCAGATTCGAGACAAGGGAGAGTCTCCGTAGCGGAGGGCTTTGGCCTCAGTGACTTATGCCAAGAGCGCTGTGCCTAGTGACACGTCCGTGCCCTAACTTACTGACTGGCAATCAGAACCGAAGGGGGGTAACTCTAGTTGATTTTATTACTGGAGTGTAACCTATGTACAAGCGGGATATATATATGGTTACAGCGAAGACGGGTCCGCAATTGGCGGAGCCGAACGGAGCGGAGCTAACGGGGTTAAACATTAGCCGACTGAATATTACCGACGAGTCGGGTCGCGGGGTTAGCGGAAAGGCAGGCGATAACCCAGAAACGGAAAGGAGGGATAGGCCCGAAGGTGGGCTCTGCAGGGCAGGCGAGTGTATTGCCCAGCGGAGGCGGGAGTGTGCTAGCGGACATTGGAGCTGTCCGGAAGTCTTCGGGGCTCCGTACTTAGGGAGGCGTAGGTAATAAATTGAAATGAGGGGGTGGTGACCATCGAGAGGTACCGAGAGGATTGCGGAATACGGGAGCTCCGAGGTTAGTGAGGAAGGAGCGGGGGTAGACCGGAGGGATCGGAGGGACCGGAAGTCGATGGCCAGGGATGGATATGACAGACCTCATGTCTTCAAACGTAATATTGATTCAGCATGAGTCATCATCATGGTCCAAAAACAGTTTGGAGCTGAACATGAGATGTGAGACAAGGTGTCAGATGCCAAGGCTGGGGAAGGTCATCCCTGCCAGTGCAAGTGTCTCTTGAGAATCCCCTCGTTATTCGGCGAAGTCCGCATAATTTCGAGTAAGCGAGTAGCCTGTAGATGCGGAACACCAACTTTGTTTACATCGGTGGCGGTTATTCGTAGCGGTTATTCTGGGGCACTATGAGGCATTGGGGGAGTTTTGCCCTTTCTTATTCAACTTAAAACTCCCTTTGTACGACGACGTTGCCACTCAGGAATGTCGCATATATAAGGGATGAATTCTTAGACTTTTCTCCCTCAGATCTCTTATTTGAGTCTGAGGTGAGAACTATTTCTCAGTATTTTACTTTATAACTCATGTATAACTCTTGTCGCAGTCTAATGCGACATAGTCTTTATTCTAATAGCGGAACTACATCATTGTACTTAATATCATTGCATTGACAATCGGCAGGGTATGGCACATTGTCATGCAACACAGCAAAGCGAAATGAAACCCAAAGTGTATCGGGCAACCCACCCATTGCTTGTGCTCGGCAATGGATCGATAATCTCATCCGAATCGACAGCACCAATTCCAACTGAAGAAGTTCAACTACCGGCATTGCCATTAGGGAGTCCGGATCCTCCCTCCGTGGCTCCAGGCAAGATGAGTAGAGGTAACCATTCCCAAGAATACAACGACGACAATGAAACGATGAGAGTTGGAATGAGATTGTGTTGCAGTTGCAGCTGGTGGAACTGAGAAGCGCCTGGAGGGAGCAGAGAAGGAAGATTGAGAATCGGTTTGAGAGCCGGCATTATTGTTTCGCATGTCCGGGCAATTCAGTACATGATGGAATTCGCACAATCATAATTATATTGTGGGATCCAACACTGTCGCTATTTGCGCAACCAGGACAATTGAGTTTGACATGCTGCATCTTGTCACGGCCGTGCATTCCGGCCCGTTAGCCGCCCGTCCCGATGCCGCCCGAGCCCGTTCCCGCTATGCAAGCGTGAGCGCGAGCCCCAACCTCAGCCCTATCCTCCCTGAGGACTCCCTGCTCACTTCCCCGCTTGCCCCTAGGCTCCCCTACACTTGGCCGACTCCCCCGCTGCTGCACCAACCTCCCCACCCTGAGTCCGCCTCCGGCACCGTGCCCAGCGCGACTCCCCTACCCCGCCCACTTGGCCCCTACAGGGCCGCTATCATCCCCGCGCCCGACTCCGGCCCAACTCCGAGTCCAGCGCCGCTATGATACCATCGCCGCTATCGCGGCCCTACGCTCTTTCTTTATTTATCTATTATTGTTTGTTTTGACCCTCGGTCATTGCCGGCCGCTATGCGGCCAACCCCGCTCCTTCTTCTTGTTTGCTTCCGGACCCTTCGGCCTCCGGCCCGGGTCCGCTTCCATTCATTTCTTCTTCCTATATATATCCTGTATGATACTTTATTGTACCTTAGCTCTAATATCAACTTGACCACGACCCCAAGCCCTGACCCCAACAAGGCAGCCCCAGTAAGTTCGAAATGAGGGCCAAGAGACAACTAGGGGGCACAGCACTCCCTTTAGAGTTGCTGAGGCCAAATGCCCTACCCTCGGGCCTTGTCTGAGGCATCGCGGCCATCGCGGCCCTTAGCGGTCCGCATCGGCAACCTTCGGTGCCCGACCCCGGATCAGTATCTAACACATCTCCTCTTTATGGAATGAGCCACCGAAAAATAATATACTTGTCATGGGTTCATGAATTATATGTCTGACTTGTCTGACTTGATCGACATACTCGGGTCCGGATTCAAATTTTGTATTACAAATGTAGAAGTCACGCTCTGCTTTCAATACAAAAGATCACATGTTACACGGGGATAAACCCAAGTCCGATCATTTAGTCCATTCTGGGAGTGGCAACACGCTTAGGCATTTGCCGAAGTCTGGGAAAACAAGTCTGGGGCATGCGAGGTTCCCATGAAAAACACATGTAAACCACCCAGTTACTTTGCTATGAAGTCGACACCCAAGCCGGTGTTGGGTTACTGCTTATATATTACTTCGCATGCAATAAGGTGTTAGGTGTTGTGGCCCAGATGGCGGAGTGTTAGTTTGTGGCTTCCATTTTGAAGGCATAAGTTCGATTCCCACTGTGTACATATTTTTTTTGTATTCCTGTCAGGGCACACACCCTGACTAGCCCGGACCCGGACCCGCGTCCAGACCCGCTTCCACCCGCTGCACTTCCCGCATGCCTGCACGCTCCATGCGCCGCATGCTCCGGGCCCGGTTCCTACTCCTTCATGTGACTTCCGGGTATCCCCGGAAGTTTTCCTGATATGGTGGCCACTGTGGGAAGATGAGAAGTTAGCTTCCTTCTCATCTTCTTACCCACAGTAGGCAAGTGTACCTTACCTACTGTTTATCTATTCATCTTCTTACCCACAGTAGATTGTGCCCTGGATAGGGCTGGCCAGACCTGAGGCTGTGGGCCATAGGGGAGGGTCATGGGGACCCGGGAGTCGTCCCCTGACAATTCCATGCTTGGCCTGAATACTTATATGAAGGCATGGATTCGGTTCTATTTTTTTCCGGTGTTCCTAATTTACTGGCATTGTGCATAAAACATTCCCACTGCAACCAGATGAGAATGCAAAAACAAAAAAAAAAAAAACAAGATTTACCCCAAGTGGGAATTGAACCCATGGTTTCAAAATAAAAACCACAAGCTAACACTCCACCATCTAGGCCGCAACACCCAACACTTTTGAAGCGTGCGAAGTAATATATAAGTAGGAAACCCAACACAGGCTTGGGTGCCGACTTCATAGCAAAGTAACTGGGCATGTGTCTAGATTTTCCTTCTCTCTGCATGGGAACCTCCCATGCCCCAGACTTGTTTCCTCAGACTTCGGCAAATGCCTGAGCCCACTCCCAGAATGGAGTAAATGATCGGACTTGGGTTTATCTCCGTGTAACATGTGATCTTTTGTATTGAAAGCAGAGCGTGACTTCTACATTTGTAATATAAAATTTGAACCCGGACCTGAGCAGTCATATAATTCATGAACCCGTGACAAGTATATTATTTTTCGGTGGCTCATTCCATACCTCTTTCTTCCCAATGGCGGATCACAATATCTTGAGTATCCAAACTCCCCAACTGATAGACTCGCATTCACCTTCCATAAGTAACCCGATGAAAGGCGTGGTACCTCATGTCGACCATTATAGCTCTTGAGCGGTGCAGCACATATTTGCTTCACTCGTCAATGATGTCGCTCAAGCAGAAGGCCAACGCTCTCAGACGGGATGTTGATAGCTTTCTTGCAGCAGGAGGTGACATTGCCATCCCAATTCTCACAGCCATCAATGCTGCATCCGATGCATTCCCTCCCCTAAAAGGTCCCACTAGCGCCGCCCTCTTCATCTTCAGCGAGGTCCAAGTAAGTAATGGGTTAAGATGAGTCATGAACCAAGGCTCATCCTCTTAACACGCAGAAGTTTAAGGCGGATAGAAAAGAATGGAAGGGATTTGGGAAATATGTGGTTGATGTTGTAGCAAAAGTACTAGTGGCCATCGAGTCCTATGACACTTCAACGGAAGAGGCGAAACCTTGGCTAGAGGATGTCAATGAGCTGAACGAGTGCGTGCTATTGATTTTCGGTCAGTTGGCTATCCCATTTACGTACGACTTCACAGCGCACTAAAACAGATCGCCACTGAAATCGTACCAATCCTCGCAAAAATGGAGAAGCGGCATGCTGTTATCAACTACTTCTCACAGTTGAAGCATCCGGGAAGGATTGATGACTTCAAGAAAGTTCTTGACAAAGCGTTGACATCATTTCAGGTAACTCTTCCTTGCATTGCTATTTCTTTACTATCCTGACTGTTCAGCATCATGTAGCTGAGAACTAACCTGACGACTGGTGCCAAACTAACAGACATAGCAAATAAACAAAGCCGTTCAGAGAGCGCCTCAGTTTTGAGTGAACTGCGATATCCGACCATCGCCCATCATGACCCAGCTGAGGCGTGCATGGAGGGCACCCGAACACGTCTTATCGACCATATCATGAGCTGGTGTCGCAACATGGAGGACGGTGTGAAGCGGGTGATACTACTGACAGCCGTGGCTGGTGCTGGCAAGACATCCGTTGCCCATTCAATCGCAGCGAAGTGTGAGAGCGAAGGGTTACTGCTATTGAGCTTCTTCTTCAAAGCAGGCGAGCAGTCGCGGCCAGATCACCTATTCAGCGGCATGGCTCGATCTCTAGCAAAGCGCGATCCCTCATACTGTGCCAACATCATGTCCATTCTTAGGGATGATCCAACCCTCGCGACCGCATCTTTCCCAGTACAATTCGAGAAGCTTGTGGCTGGTCCTCTCCATTGGAGGGCTTTCAGTGATCCTGTGGTTGTAATCGTGGATGCTTTGGACGAGTGTGAGCCGCGAGACTTGGAACGCCTTGCCGATATACTTCGGAAAGAAGTGCCAGAATTACCATGCAACATCAAGTTCTTTGTTACGTCGAGACAAACTTACCTCGTGGATCGTCTTCTTTCACTCAATTTCCCCATTGACCGACTTGGCATAGATATCTTGGATCATGCCAATAAACAAGACTGTTCTGTCTACATCCGCACGCAGTTACACTGTCTGAAGGATGATCATTTGAGTCGGGGAGAGTAATTTGAGGAAGACTCATTGGTTCAAGACCTATCAGAAAAGGCCGGTGGCTTGTTCATCTGGATCAGCACTGTCTTCCGCTATGTGAGGCTAGCCAAGAACCCGAGGAAAACGCTGGATAGGCTGCTCAACACAGGTGCCTCTCGATCAATGGGTCCTCCTGAAGGAGTGATGGGTACACTGTATATGGCTATTCTGGACAAATGTGGCTGGGAAGATGAGGATTTCATGCATGACTACCCCATTGTTGTGGGGGCGATCTTGATCGCCAAACAACCGCTATCTATTGCGGCATGGGATGCAATTTTGTCACCCTTCTTAAACTCTCCCATCCATGAGACGTTGGTTGAACTTGCTCCCCTCTTGTTAGGAGTCTCCCATTCCAGCACACCAATCCGCATCATTCATCAGTCGTTCCGTGACTTTCTCATGGGTGAAATCGGTCCCGAACCAGATCGTTACGCGGTGGATACGATAGGGGCGAATGCCAAGATGGCCCTGCGCTGCACCGAGATCTTGAATAAGGACCTCTGCTGTGTGAATGGTTTGGGGCTGATTAAATGTTTGGGCCAAAAGGATGAACTGCCACGCATCCCTCAAGAGATTCTGTCGGAACAACTCCGTTACTCATGTCGGTATATCATGTATCACCTCAGGGAGGTTCAGGAACCACTTGAAGAGCTCATTGGACCGGTTCGCACCTTTCTGAATCAGCATATAACATGCTGGCTGGAGGTCTGTGTGAGAACGGCAGGGTACATCAGTGTATCATCATTTCTTGAGTGGGTTAAGGTATGAAACATCAGTAAGGCTTATAAGCGATCCTTATCCAGTCTTGTTCACAGTTGAATGTTAATCAGAGTCCAAAGAAAGACATTCACAAGTTGGTCCAATTACTTGGTAAGGTGGCATGGAATCTAGCATTCTTTTCAAGATTTCAGGAGGCATACGAGCTGGCAAAAGATTCCGTAACCCTCTGCCGTTATCTTGTGTTGGCGGATTCAGAGTCCTACACCCCATATTTGGCTCGATCGCTCCACAATCTTGATGGATCGCTCACTCACCTGGGACGTCATTCTGAGGCACTTGTGGTGAATGAAGAAAGTGTGATGCTCTGGCGTGAGCTCGTTGCTGTTCACCCGACATCATGCACCCCAGATTTGGCTCGGTCACTCCACAGTCTTTACATATCATTGGGAAATCTGGGACGTTATTCCGAGGCACTCCCAGTGATTGAAGAAAGTGTGAAGCTCTGGCGTGAGCTCGTTGCTGTTCATCTCACGTTATACATCCCAAATTTGGCTCGATCGCTCAACGGTCTTTATGCATCATTGGACAATATGGGACGTTATTCCGAGGCGCTCCCGGTGATCGAGGAAAGTGTGAAGTTGCAGCGCAAGCTTGTCGCTATTCATCCGACGTTATACACCCCAGATTTGGCTCAATCACTCCACAATCTTTATGTAGCATTGGAAAAACTGGGACGTCATTCGGAGGCGCTCCCAGTGATCAAAGAAAGTGTTAAGCTCTGGCGTGAGCTCATTGCTGTTCATCCCACGTCATACACCCCAAATATCGCTCAATCGCTCAACAGCCTCAAGATATCGTTGGACAATCTGGGACGTTATTCCGAGGCGCTCCCAGTGATCGAAGAAGCTGTGAAGCTCCAGCGTGAGCTTGCTGCTGTTCATCCCACATCATACAACTCATATTTGGCTGAATCACTCCACAATCTCGCACTCTCGTTTGATTACCTCGATTGCCCCACCGAAGCAGTGCCTTTCATCAAAGAATCCATTTTTATTTGGCGTTCACTACACATTACTCATCCGACCTCATGTGCTGCTGGTTTAGCCTGGGCATTGCGGGATCTATCCAGGATATTTTCACGCCTGGGGCGCTCTGCAGAAGCGTTTGATATGGGTGAAGAGGCAAGATTATACTCTCGTCAGCTTTGTTCTAAGTACCCTGACATCTATGCAAATTATCTTCGACGGTTATATGCCGGTATGGCTGTTCCGTTGGAACGTCTTGGGAGGGGTCATGAGTTAGCGGATATACGCACTCTCATGCAAAATTTATGACGAAGGGCAGAACATACCCTCTACGCGGTGAAGTCTAGCTGCACCACAGCTAACGCGACATATTCTTTCACTAGCCACATATTCAAGCACGAACCCGTGGTCACTCTCACTCTCCTCTTCGCGATGTTCTCTACCCACCAGAGGACTAGCGATTTACCTCCGTCCGATATATTAGCCAGGTGGGTGTGTTCCAACTCTATCGGGACGATGGACATGCAGGAAGAGTGGGCATGGACATGATGGCTCAGGTCGCTGAAACAGATTTGATGCATCGACCGTAATGGAGTATATATCTGGTGCAGTGATGCATACAAGTCTGCCTAACGATAATCCAAATTAATCACTTTCGAAAACTTTGCTAAGCTGTGGGTTCGTGAACTCTATGTTTGCAGTGTAACTAGTGGCTACGAGCGATTGTGAGCTCAAAAGCAACAGCACGGTTGATATCAATGAATGACCTGGTCGAAATGGTGTTGCAACGTGTCTCTCTTCCTCTCCCTGCATAGCACTCCCCAACCTAGTTCAGCCGCGACACCCATACGAACAACTCTACCAGTCCTGGGATCCTGAGAATCAGAAGCATCTGTGTTCAGGCTGTGTCCGGCCATCGCGCGGTGAATAGCAATGAATAGGTTGATAGGTATTCTTCATGCCCCTCGCGTCGCTCATTGAAACGACCCACTCAGGTGCAATTAAAGCTTCTGTTAGGGGCGCAAGGGGTTACCCTGACGCCGTGTTGTTATCCTGGTCCTTGAGAGAAAGAAAAACCCCGAGATTCATATGCGTACCGACCCGCCGACAGCACCATGCTACGGGCCTCGGGGAGCTGACAGGACCGCACGAAGTAGCTTGTAAATATTACGGAGGCCCACATAATTCCATTCGGTCTTCCACTGGGCAGCTGAGAAAAATTGAGGTGATTACGAAGTTCGGAGAGGAAGTATGGTTCCAGTGAAGAAAAAACCCCAATATAAAACGCTGCAAAATAAATGACGTGTGGTTCGTAGATGGTTGATGTCCGCAGAAAGACAGGAAAACGTGGAGTCTCAAAAAGAAAAGTGGAAAATAGATCTAAAAATGGTGTCGTATGAAACTACGTACAAGAGCTCAGCGAACATTGTGCCGATTGGCGAAGTATTATAAAGGCGCAAGGGGTAACAGACGCATAGCCAATCTCGCTTAGGCCGAAAGGACAACTCCGGTGTGGGCAATGCCTGAACTATCTTCTGTACCAAGGGTGGATACCGGGAGTACTGGTGATGGTGGACGCGACGCGGTCGCGGTCAATTGGAGACCCACCTTCCAAGCGTTCAAAGGGTTTATGAGAAGAGGCTTTCTCTTTGAAAGCAGCATCATGAGACTCTCCCAACTCCTGCACGCGTCCTTCCAACCGATCGGCAATGCTTGTTTCCTTCTTCATTGACGCAGGTGCTAAGACCCCTATGGCAACACAGGTAGGCGGGCCGTGTCCCGTCACATTTCTGTTCGTTCCCATGTATGTAAGCCGGAGCGGAGGAGGGTACTAGATACATGACCATCCATAGCCTGGCAAAGACACTGGGTTAGAAGGGCTGTCCTGCGTTATGCCAGAAAGGTCCCTGTGGTGCCTGCCAGTCCAGCAGACGCTGCCTCTATAGAATGGAATAACGGCAAGGATACGTGTCCGCGTACTTACACAGTCATCAGGTGGGATGACACCGAACAAAATTGTAGGAGGTCCCCGCGCCAATTCGTTAGTTTAACAAGCTGTCGATCATGACCGAGTTTGCACCTGCCCAACTCGGAACATCAAGCGAGTCATTGAAAACTGACTTTCTGAGGCTAACGATCCCCACTGGACGGACGAAATGAATGATCCACCCGTTGCATAATTCTGTTTCGGGGAGATGTGAAACAAGGTATCGGAAGCCAGGGTTGGGCAATGTAGTTTTAGGTGAGAAGAGCGGATGTAACTGTTCCCAAGATTAGACCCAGTGCAACGGCAAAGTATGTCCGAAGTAGACAGTAAAGTGGAACGAGGGCGAGGGATGTGAAAGATTGATCCGGAGCTGGCGGCGCGCGTCCGGCGACCGTGCATGATCAGTGATCAGTGGATGAGTTGGCGTCGAGGTGTAAACGATGCGGAGTTGGAAGTGAAGGGATCAAATGAGGGACGTTTGATAGAAAACAAAGAATTAGTGGGTCTTATACGTTATTTGTGCTCTCCGTCGGGTTGGAGCAACAAGGAAGCGAGAGAACACACGCAATTGAACAAAGGCATTTTGTGGTACGTTGAGCCCAGAATTAAAAAACAGACACGAGCAAAAAGCTCCCAAAGGAAGACGATATGAGAAACAATGACATTCTACTGTGGCTGGTGAACCAGAGAGCACTGGGAGAGCACCAGCGTCCCTTAGGAGATCGGAGAGTCGGGCACGATAAACGCGAGACCAGATAGATTTGATCGGAACGATTTCATAGCTGTTGTTGAAGGCCGGGTGTTGTGTTGGCGAATTGAGTCATTTAAACCTCGAGACTACCTGTTGAGGAAACACTTTTCGCTTCGGTTCCAAATTTGTTACTTGGAAGAACGCAGACAGGTAAATTTGTTTCCTGATCCCTGGGGGAAACATAGGTAGGATACGGCATGAAGTATGAAGCCATCAGGGTTGAGATGAGTGGGAGGTAAGTGGAAAGCGACGCGGCCGTGGGTGGAGTCAAGAAGATCAGGTTTGCTGCTCGGAGAAGCCCGAAGAAATGGGACTCTGATGCGATCGATCCAAAAGTCACAACGTCAGTGTATGTGTTGGTCGTCGGTGGGCGCCACCGGGACATCGGGCCCGGCCAAATGACATGTCTTGAGCAATTCATTGATGGGATTCACACGATCATGATTATGGGATCCAGAGCTGACAGTGCAGCCTTGCTTATCTCGCTTCAAGTTGTCCTCGTCCTATCGCTACACAACCGGGATGATCCAGTGCACACTTCGTTCCAATGGCGAATCGCAATATCAAAACCCCCAACCCAATGGAAGGCACGGTACCTCATGTCGACCATTACGGCTCTTGAGCAGTGCAGCATATATTTTATTCACTGCCACCGCGTTGCCGGTCTGCACTGGTCTGTCCCCCCATCAACGATGTCGCTCAAGGAGAAGGCCAACGCTCTCAGACGGGATGTTGATCGCCTTCTTGCAGCAGGAGGTGACATCGCCATCCCAATCCTCACAGCCATTAATGTCGCATCCGATGTATTTCTGCCCCTAAAAGGTCCCACTAGCGCCGCCCTCTTCATCTTCAGCGAGGTCCAAGTAAGTAATGATGAATCAGGAACCCGGGCTCATCACTCGTAAACGCAGAAATTCAGGTCAGATAAGGAAGAATGGAAGGAATTTGGGAAATATGTGGTTGATGTTGTAGCGGATGTGCTAGCGGCGATCGAGTCCTATGACACTTCAACGGAAGAGGCAAAACCTTGGCTAGAGAACATCAAGAGGCTCGACCAGTGCGTGCTATTGATTTTTGGTCGGTCGGCTATCCCATTTACGTGCTACTCCACAGCGCGCTAAAACAGATCGCTACCGAAATCGTACCAATCCTCAAAAAAATGAAGAAGCGTCATGCTGTTACCAACTACCTCTCATTGTTGAAAGATCCGGGAAGGATTGATGACTTCAAGAAAGTTTTGGACAAAGCGTTGGCATCATTTCAGGTAACTCTTCCTCGCATTGCTCTACCATCCTGACTGTTCCGCATCATGTAGCTGAGAACTAACCTGACGACTGGCGCCAAACTAACAAACATAGCAAATAACCAAAGCCGTTCAGAGAGTGACTCAATTTTGAGTGAACTGCGATATCCGACCATCGCCCATCATGACCCAGCTGAGGCATGCATGGAGGGCACCCGAACACGACTTATCAACCGTATCATGAGCCGGTGTCGCAACATGGAGGACGATGCGAAGCGGGTGATGCTACTGACAGCCGTAGCCGGTGCTGGCAAGACATCCGTTGCTCATTCAATCGCGGCGAAGTGCGAGAGCGAAGGGTCACTGTTGTTGACCTTTTTCTTCAAAGCAGGCGAGCAGTCGCGGCCAGATCACCTATTCAGCGGCATGGCTCGATCTCTAGCAAAGCGCGACCCCACATGCTGTGCCTCCATCATATCCACTCTAAGGAACGATCCAACCCTCGTAACTGCATCTTTCCCGGTACAATTCGAGAAGCTCGTGGCTGGACCTCTCCGTCGGAGGGCTTTCGGCGATCCTGTAGTGGTAATTATTGATGCTTTGGATGAGTGCGAGCCGGAGGCCTTGGAACGCCTTGCCGATATACTTCGGAACGAAGTGCCAAAATTACCATGCAACCTCAAATTCTTTGTCACGTCGAGACCAGCTTACCTCGTGAATCGTCTCCTCTCATCCAATTTTCCCATTGACCGGTTTGGCATAGATATCTTGGATAATCCCAATAAACAAGACTGCTCTGTTTACGTCCGCACGCAGCTGCGTCATCTGAAGGATGATCGTTCTGGTTGCGGAGACGAATTCGAGGAAGACGATTCATTGGCTCAAAACATATCGGAAAAAGCTGGTGGCTTGTTCATCTGGATTAGCACTGTCTTCCGTTATGTGAGGCTGGCCAAGAACAGGAGGAAAACGCTGGATAGGTTGCTCAACACCGGTACCTCTCGATCAACAGATCCTCCCGAAAGAGTGATGGACATGCTGTATAGGACCATTCTGGATAAATGTGGCTGGGCAGATCAGGATCTCGTGCATGACTACCCCATCGTTATGGGGGCGATTCTGATCGCCGAACAACCACTGTCTATTGCAGCGTGGGATGCAATTTTGTCACCGTTCTTAAACTCTTCCATTCGTGACACATTGGTTGAACTTGCTCCCCTCTTATTGGGGGTCCTCCATTCCGACACACCAATCCGTATCATTCATCAGTCGTTCCGTGAGTTTCTCACGGGCCAAATCGGTCCTGAATTACTTGATCATCGTTACCTGCTGGATATGACGAGGGCGAATGCCACGATGGCCCTGCGCTGTACCGAGATCTTAAATAAAGATCTTTGCTGCGTGGAGGGTTTGGGGCTGATCAAATATTTGCGCCAAAGGGACGACCTGCCACAGATCCCTTGTGAGGTGCTGTCGGAACAACTCCGTTACTCATGTCGGTATATTGTGTACCACCTCAACAAAGTTCAGGAACCACTAGAGGCGCTCAGCGGATTGGTTCACACATTTCTTAATCAGCATGTAACACGCTGGGCGGAGGTCTGTGTGAGAACCGACGGGTACATCAGTGTATCTTCGTTTCCTGAGTGGGCTAAGGTATGAAATATCAGTGAGGCTTATAGGGGATTCTTATTCAGTCCTGTTCACTTTCAGTTGAGCGTTGATCTGAATTCAAAGAAAGACATTCACAAGTTGATCCAAGTACTTGACGAAGTGAGACGGAATCTGGCATTCTTTTCAAGATTTCAGGAGGCACATGAGTTGGCAAAGGATTCCGTAACCCTCTGCCGTTGCCTCGTGTCAGCAGACTCAGAGTCCTACACCCCGGATTTGGCCCAATCGCTCAACGGTCTTTTCGTATCATTGGATGATCTGGGACATCATTCCGAGGCACTCCCAGTGATCGAAGAAAGTATGAAGCTGTGGCACGAGCTTGTTGCTGTTGATCCGACGTTGTACACCCCATATTTGGCTCAATCACTCCACAATCTTTACGTATCATTGGAAAATCTGGGACGTTACTCTGAGGCGCACCCGGTGATCGAAGAAAGTGTGAAGCTCCGGCGTGCGCTCGTTGCTGTTGATCGGACATCATACACCCCAAATTTGGCTCGATCGCTCCATAATTTAAGTATATCATTGCATCATCTGGGACGTCATTCCGAAGCGCTCCCAGTGACCGAAGAAAGTGTCAAGCTCTGGCGTGAGCTCGTCGCTGTTCATCCCACATCATACACCCCAGATTTGGCTCGATCGCTCCGCAATCTTCATGTATCATTTGGAAATTTGGGACGTTATTCCGATGCGCTCCCGGTGATTGAAGAAAGTGTCAAGCTCTGGTATGAACTCGTTGCTATTCATCCGACGTCATACACCCCAGATTTGGCTCGATCCCTCCACAGTCTTTCCGTATCATTGGAAAATCTGGGACACCATTCCAAGGCACTCCTAGTGATCGAGGAAAGTGTGAAGCTCTGGCATGAGCTCGTTACCATTCATCCCACATCATACACCCCAGATTTGGCTCGATCACTCACCAGTCTTAAGATATCATTGGACCATCTGGGACGTTATTCCGAGGCGCTCCCCGTGATCGAAGAAAGCGTGAAGCTCTGGCGCGAGCTCGTTGCTGTTCATCCGACATCATACACCCCAAATTTGGCTCAATCGCTCAACAGTCTTAAGATGGCATTGGACAATTTGGGACGTTATTCCGAAGCACTCCCGGTGATCAAAAGAAGTGTCAACCTCTGGCGCGAGCTCGTTGCTGCTCATCCCACATCATACAACTCCGATTTGGCTCGATCACTCCACAATCTCGCTCTCTCATTCGATTACCTCAATTGCCCCACCGAAGCAGTTCCTTTCATCAAAGAATCCATTTCTCTTTGGCGTCCTCTCCACATTACTCATCCGACCTCATATGCCGCTGATTTAGCCTGGGCATTGCGGGATCTATCCAGGATACTTTCACGCCTGGGGCACTATGCAGAAGCATTTGATATCGAGGAAGCGGCGAGATTATGCTCTCAACAGCTTCGTTCTGAATACCCTGACATCTATGCAAATTATCTTCGAGGGTTATATGCCTGTATGGCTGCTCCATTGGAAGGTCTTGGAAGGGGTCATGAGTTAGCAGACATACGCACTCTCATGCAAAATCTATGATGAAATATACCCTCCACCCAACGGCGTCCCTCACTCTTTTCGCGATTTCCTCTGACCCACCAGGGACCAGCGATTGTTTACCTCTGTCCGATTTATCAAAGCAGCCAGGTGGCTGTTCCAACTCTATCGAGACGACAGACAAGCAGGAAGAAGTGGGCATGAACATGATGGCTGTCACTGAGACAGATTTCAGATATGGGTCTTATTCCCGATTATGTTCCTGGTGCCGTCGATTGAGCGATTGTGATCGGACTTGGTTCTGTTTTGACGCATCGACTGTAAATGTGTAGTGATGCATACAAGACTGCCTAAAAATTTTGGGGACTTTGCTAGGCTGCGGGTTCCTGACAGTTGTAACTTGTGGCTACGAGCGATCGTGAGCTCAGAAGCGACACGATAATTCAACAGCGCGATCGATATTAATGAATAACCCGATCGAAATGTGTTATAACAACAGGAGCTAATGGAACGAGGCCGTTGTGTCTCTTTCCTCTTCCTGCATGACGCCCATACACCAATGAACTGATAAAAGGTGGTGTGGCGGATGATTATTGGTTCGAAGGCTTCCGTCCCTAGGACAATGGAGTCTGCCAGCGGAGTTATGACAGTCTCATTGTCATAAGAAATACGGGGCATGCGTCAGCGGAGTATGATAATCGACTCAGTTCGGTTGGATTTCCCCCGTGTATTTATATACTCTGATCGGCCTTGGCGCTCTCACGAACAGCCTGGAGTTTACACAACGTTCTCAGAGGAGTTCTGGACAGCAGAACACGTAAACAGCAGGAGTAACTCGAGTGCGAACCAATGAGAAGGCAACAAGTATTGGAATGTAGGGATTCCGAATCCGCTTGCTTCAGCGGTTATACTCGGGAGACCAGAGAGAATTTACTGACGATTTTGCTCAATGCACGTTCGTGCATATACACGAAATGTATTACAACGATGATATACGTAAAATAAACTACTGCGCAAGCGCGCGTACGCAAGCACAGACTAAACTGGAATTATCTAGCACAACAATCCAGAATGCCCCGGAAGGTTCCGGTGACTCGTGATTTCAACAACTAGAATAGAGCAAGAACCAAGAACCAGTGGGTGGAGCGAGAGGAGTGGCGAGAGGAATGATGAGAGGAGTGGGGTCACGTCCGAAGGTGGGTGTACAAGATAGATTTCTATCATGTGATATCCATTCATTCGGGAGCTTCGAGGTCTAGCTCTTCAGTTTCTCTGGCTTGGCGTTCAGGTGTTTCGCGACCCAGGCCTGAGGGGACGCCTCATCCAGGGTAACGTTCGGGCCATACTTGAACCAGGCCAAGACGACCCCGGAAGACGGGTCGGTGAAGGTGATTCCACACCTATTGTACCCAGCCTCCTTGCAAAACGCGACGATTTGCTCGGGAGGCGGTAAATTGGTGGGAATGACTTCGGAGAAATAGGTGAGGTTAGAGACTGCCGTGGCCACTAGAAAACGGTATAGATCATGATGCGATTCGCACGGATGGGCATAAGAAAAGCGACTTTTGACCAATCAGCAAAGGGTTGTTGTTGTTGTTATTTATTCTGGATATTTAACCCCTGCAGACTGTAGGCTGCTCGTGAGAGCGCCAGAGATAAATACACAAAAATAAGGTGAGAAAATAAAGAAATAAATCCGATTCGGGTGTCCTTAATCTCTCCGATAGGGCGTTGCCCGAATGCTGCTCCACTTTTGAGTTGGGTTGACCGTTTCTGGGTGTCGGTTTCAAAAATGGGATGGGTTCCGCCTTCCAGCGGTGTCATATCTCGGGGTGTCTATTCTGTCCTTCTCTCATTCTCGTATGCTCCACTCGCTGACAGAAATCCTGCGACCCTCTCTATTCCTTTCTCGTCCACCAGGAGGTCGGCAAGGATCAGTTTACCTTCATTGTCTGGGAGTAAGTTATTAGCAAAGGGTTGACTCTCGGTAACTGGTTGTGAGAGATCTTGAATCGGCAAAGGCGATAGACGAGCTTAGAGATCGTGAACTTAGCTCAAGAGATCACTGGACCCAAAAGACTCGATTTACACTAAAGAGAGAGGTGTAAATTACAAGATCGCTATCCTACTAGCTGGGTTTATATATCCGTGTTTTTGTTACATAAGTGGCCTCGCTTATACTAGTGTGCGCGCGTGACAGCATTTTCCAGAGTGCACGAACATTATATATTGCCAATGTGCTATTCTCTGGTGTCGTTTATAGGAGTCGTAAAACCGCTTCTCGATCGATGTGCCTCAACCTGAGTTCCAAATGCCCATCATTTGGTCCGCCATTGTCACTCATTCAGTTTTGGATGCACTGCTACAGATTCCAGTTCCGTCTAGTCTCATGTATTCCTTGCTGTTTCATTTCGGGACAAGTGACAACGCGTTGTACGTTGTGCGAATAGTGTGACACAGGTTTCACACTATGCTTTGCGTGGAATGAGTCTTAAACATCGCGCTATCTCTCAGCAACGCCTGTCTCAGTCATGCGGCCGCTAAAAGGAAGTGACCCCCTTCGTCGGACGGTTTTTCTGGCTTTCCCAGCTCACGGGTTTGCTATGCTCTTTTTGCGTTCTTGCCTGGTTTGCCAGCTGGCACTGGCTTACGTTCCTAGTCTCGCTCTTGCAGTCTTCGATAGCCAGTTTCAAGCTTCTTCACGTTCGGGTTCCTACCATGACAACAGTTCCCCTAGCACACGCTATCACAAGGCGTTCCTTCGTCGACACCTTCACAATGCCGCTGGCGGCGCAGGAGTCAATCATGGAAACAAGGTGCCCCTGAACCAAATTTTACCAAAGTATCGGCCACACGATCATTCCCATTTTCCACGAAAGAATAGAGCACATGAGGCAAACATTGATGATGCATCTGGCTCTGGTGCAGAGGTTTCGGATCAAGCTCCTTACCCGCCATCGGAGGCGATTCATCCAACTTCCAAGGTTTCTGCTGCAACCCTTCCCACCCCTACATCAATGCAAATGCATCTGCCTCAACACCCGCCTGTTCCAGCTTCCATGCCTGCTCTACCCAGCTTTGGTTCTGCTGTGCCCGACCCTCCAGTTCGTCCAAAGCCGGAATTACCTTCCCAGCTGTCAACCCCGGAAATGCGCAAACACACATGTTCGGTCCTTTCTAAAATCTACTTCGACATGAATGGCCCGAATTGGATTGTGAACTACGGATGGGCCACAGGTGCTTCATCTAGTTCTGTTCCCATCGCCGACACGTCTTCCCCGGTCCCTGGCATTGGTTCCAACGGCGCAGATGACTGCTGCGCTTGGTATGGAGTTACTTGTAAAGGGCCGGCGGTGGTATCGCTAGATCTTGGCAGGAACGGGCTCTCTGGACCACTCTCGTCGTCTGTGTTTTCCCTTGCTGAGCTCGAGCGATTGTGAGTATCGATCCTCTCTCGTTCGCCCCACCTTCTATGCTATCTCCGTCTCGCCTATCTCTCTGGGCTCTATCAGAGGACTCTAGGCATAGAGTCCTTATCCATAATCTGGTGCTAGTTGCATACTGACATATATTGTCTCATCGCTCACGTTGCAGAAATCTCTCTTCGAATGCACTTGGTGGCTCACTTCCGCCTACGTTCGATGCCCTCCGCTCGCTAAAAAACCTCGATCTTTCCAATACCTCCCTCACCGGTTCGATTCCTAGTTCGCTTTCCTCTCATTCCGTACTCAGCACACTCCACCTCTCAAATAATCAGCTCACTGGAACGGCCGATTTCTCTGCACCCAAACTCGTGAATCTATTGCTGGATAATAATCATTTTGACGGGTTGACCATCGAGAGCACTGCGTCACTGGTTAGATTGACGGCTAACGATAATCAAATGGTGGGATCTTTGCCAGATTTGAGCTCTGCAACGGGACTGCAGATCTTCAACGTCGCAGGGAATTACTTGTAAGTCAAAGATGTGGTACTCTGACATTGGTCTAGCTCATGTCGTCTTTTCGTAGCACCGGACCTCTGTTTGATCTTTCCCGATTGCAAGAACTCTATCGCCTTGATGTCCGTTATAATCAACTGACAGGCAAGTTTACTCTACTCTCGTCAGCCATTTTAGCCCTAAACAACCTATTTGGCAATTCGATGGCAATCACAAAACAAATTGAACGTTTTGACGCTCAAACCAGGCCCGTTCCCCAGCAACATCTCGGCTCTCTCACATCTGACAACCTTCATCATCTCCTCGAACCAGTTTTCAGGGCCTTTCCCTTCGACCCTCTCGCCTCCTTCGCTCAAGACATGCTCCGTGCTCCCTAACAATGTTCAGGTTGTCCCACCCGTTTCAGTCCTCGCCGACACAGATAGCTTGGCTAATCGATGCGGCGTCAAGGCGCCTGGCGGTGCTGATCCTCCAGCTGGGACTCCTGCATCAGTTAGGAGACGGGACACCCAAACGGATGGAACTGGAACGAATGTGCAAATAGAGGGACGGATGCTTGAATCGCTTGAACGTGAGGTGGCAACTTCACCTGGAAAGAGGCTTGGTGGATTGCAGAGACTAGGGCTCGGGAGGACGACGAGGCGAAGGCCAATAGCACAGTGAAATCAAAGGTCGAGAGCGACAGTTTAAATATAACTGACACATCTATTCGGTAAAGATATAATAGCTCGTGTGTTATGAATAGGCTCCTCTGATATTGTAATGTCGCTGTGTTACAGTCGTACATTTAACGGGGGCACTTGACGGAGTATAAAAATACAATGAATGCCAAGTGACTCAGGGGGATTCATGGAGTGAGGAATCTGGGAGACACAAAGTGATTATGGTTATATAAGTAATCCCCATAGTGAGGCTCGGCCCATAATGTATCCAAGGTGCAATGATAAAGGGAGGGAGGTTAAAACGATGAGGTGCTTGAGTCTCGAATGAGATGGAGTGGGGATCGTTTCACCCGCTTGCAGACTCGCAAATATGGAGATAACTCCATAGACCGTAGTCAGCTTCTGGTTCGCAATATGTAAGCACGTCAGGACAGCTCTACTAGTTACCGTATCACAATTGGGATTAGAACAGGTGTCCGGCACTTCGAAGCCAGCATGTCCATGATACTGCGCGATATCGGTTGGGAACCAATCGGGTCGCCAACAAAGGTGAGTGGTTCCTAAACTATTAAAGCTGCCATGAACGAAAAGCTGAGCCAAGATAGATACCTCACGAACAGAAAGAAGTTTCACAACAAAGCCCTCCCCGGATGGCTCGTCCTACACACATGGAGCGGCGATATTGAAAATGAAGCGTGCTTCCCCGAGAATTGGCTGAAATGCAACGGGGTTTTAGTGGGTATACCCGACCCTCCACGGTCGCGTGAGCCCCACACGGTGCGATAATGATTTCGCCAGTGCGATAACGCATTTTCCCCGCGGTGGCAATTCCCATCCTACAGGCACTGCACCGATAGGAAGGCCTCGTCCTTCCCCACAAACCTTCAGGCACTCATGCCCGCGAAAGCTACAGAAGGTTCCCCCAAAAAAAAAAACTCCAACTATCTTGGCTTAAGAAAACTGGCACTCGTGGTGGTGGGTAAACAGTGACATCAGATGAGATCCATGGCGGGGCCTCGAAATTCCTTTCTTGGAGTACGTCGCGTATTTCGACGTCTCCACTCGTATCTTCAATGCGGATAAACCTGCCGTCATTTAAGTCAACAGAGGGGGGACCCCCACGGATCGGCGTTGTAGATGCTCGTCCAGAGTGAGGCATCCCAAACATGGACATTAATTGTCAGGACAGACTGGAGCCAGCCGCTTCCATAAGGCAAGAATTTCACGCATGTAATGCTCTAGTGTACCCTTCCCAAATAACTGGATTGGCATTCTTGCTATATATGTCGGCGTGGACACGATGACTAGGTGACCGCCGCTGGGTGGTGGCAGTTTGACGACACGATGATATGGATCTTGAGTATTTCAGATGCGGATACAATTATTTGTGAAGCGAGACAATGGCCACCAGGTGAACAACGAATGTATGATGGTTCCGTGGAAACAGTGGGTATTGTCTGGATCACCATGTTTCCGATCCGAACAAATGAGTAACGGCTAGTAGGAGACGTTTTAAACCCAGACAGCCAAAACGTACAAGTCTGGCACCACGTTGAAACCGTTCCCACTGGATTGAACTTCCATCTTCTAGAACGAACTAGCCATCGGGCGAGCATCTGCAGGCCTGGATTATAAATCGGTGGAGGCTGTAGGCAAGCTTCATAAGCGAGCAGACCTCCCTATCTTGAGCGTTTGGGCGCAAAATTGAACTGTAGGGCATGGGACGTATGTACTGCCAGGCACAAATCATACAGTTCGTCAAGAGCGCGGTTGAGCTCTCCCTAGCTCTCCATGATCCCACGTGTGATCGCCAAAAACGTGACCTGTCAATCCTGTTCTGAAAATGACAATAATGTACTCTATCAGTAACACCGCTTACATCAAGCTCATACTGCACGCTGCGAAGTACCCGCACGCGACTGTGAACGGCGTCTTACTGGGATCAAAGTCAGGCAATGAAGTCTCCGTCATCGACACTATTCCATTGCTGCACCACTGGACAAGTTTGAGCCCTATGATGGAAATAGGTCTTGACCTTGTATGTGGCATGGATTTTGATTCTTCATCCTGTGTCAACTCAACACTAAGTGCTCAAAACACGACACGCATATCAGTAGGCTCGATCAAGCGCGGAGGAACGTCAGCTTCAGCTTGTAGGCTATTATCAAGCAACGAATCGACCGAACGATAAGGTCCTTGTGCCTGTTGGCGAAAAGGTCGCCTCCTCCATAAAGACAGCATTCCCCGACGCGTTTGCTCTCGTTGTATGTCTTGACTTGCTGGAACCACTGGAATCCTCATGCATTTGTATGTAGATCGATGGCACGTCGTTGGATGGGAGCAACCCAGCTCTGATTGTGTGTGTTATCATGATTCACTTGAAATGAGCCTTACACTTGCTCTGCAGCCGCACGTCTTCAATTCGTCAGCTTCGTCATGGAAACCTCAGTCACCGTTGACGAGCGCTTCTTCGCCTTTCAAGCTACGAAACACATCCTCGCCTTCCCTTGCTTTCAAGTACATCCACGAGGATGGAGTTCATCGACAATTTGGTGATTTCGATGATCATCTGGAGGACGTCACTATCGATTGGCTCAGAAACGCACCTGTTTCATATGTGATTGAAGCATAATTTATCAAGATAGTATGGCAGCTTTAAAACAGGACACAAATACATGAGAGTGTATGATAAATCGTGAGGCCAGAAATGCAGTTCTACAAATATCCCGGAATTCATCAAGTTCTGGCAACATTGTGGTAATGTGGCCCTGGATAATTATATGTCTTCAAGAACACCCTGTCATGTTGCGTTACAAGCCATCTGCCACGGCAAACTCGTCAGAATATTATTCTGTTGTCACCATGGAATTCACGTACTTCATGAAGTCGTTTACGAAATCTCGTAGGATATTGATAGATACTTCATCCATCGAGGTGTGTGCCACCATGTCAGGTAACTTGACTGCAGACAGATCAGCCGAACAAACCGCTTGTGGATACCGCAACTCACCAAAGAGCCGACACAGATGCTCCGCACCGTAGACTTGACTCATTTCTTTTTCTTCCCCTGGGTTGACATGCTGACCTGTTATGTACTGCTTACGCGTTTGTGCATACTGGGGTCGCTCGTAGCGATATAAGAGCATGCTCCCGAGGGATCGGTCGAAGTAAGTCTGGAGTCCTGCCAATAATGTTGGCAGAAGATCAATTTTGGTGCTGTAGACGAATGAGGCGCGAGAAACTGCCTTTAAGACGAATGGGAGCTTGCCTGGGATGCATCTGCGACGTAGCATACTGCTTGAACTCCTCCAGGAGATCCCGTACGCAAGGTTTTCGTGGCAGGGTAACGAGCTACGGATAAAGGTGTTCGTGTGGCGTTCCTTCACGTCAGGATGGGAAGATACCTGGTTATTCTTGGTCACAAACTCCCAATCATTCACCAATATCACTTTAATCGTTTCAGGTATCGTCAGCTTAAGTTCGTATTTCTGGGAACTGTCCTAGAGTTGTGGAGACGGAATGGGTCAATCGTTTCGTTCCCTTGGTAAACCAAACATCTCGCACAATCACCTCTTCTCTTTTTCGCTTCGACCTCGCTGTGTCCGCAACCGCTCGTGAGTCCCTCCTTCCACCACTTCCGGTCTTTGAAGAACCACCAGCGGCAGCGGATGTCCGAGTTTTCCCGTCATTTTTATTCAGCGCTTGTGAATTGATAGTCTTCTGCATTGCCAAACTCTCGTCGTTATATTTCAGCAGCCTGTCCTGGACAACCCACTCGTCCCATCTAATCCCAAAGCGTATGAACAACGGAATAAATCTAACCAAAATAAATACGCACGTTTGCTTCCACCCCTTATAGTGCACAAAATAGTGTGGGCCCGCAGTACCAGTTTTAATGTTAGCGGCATCCCAGATCTCCGCCTTCAGGACCTTGGCCTCGTATATCACAGGACCATGATAGCAGAGGACTTTCTCGCCAACTTGATAATTCAACGTTGAGCCCATTCAGATAGTCGGGCAGCGCCAGAGGGGAGCACGTGATTGCGTAAATCAACCGTTTTCCATCACCGAAGCGCCAAGCATGTCCTTGGACAACGAGCCTTTTTACCTAAGGTAAACCGTAGAGATATGGTGCGCATAGAGCGAGGCTAATCGTATTCCTATATGTATATGCGTAGATATTAGTCAGTGGTGACCTCCCAGCCTCTCCCGATGTTATATGGTCTGACTTACCCGATGTTAATGTCCATGCCGATAACACTCATCAATTTGACGATGGATTTGCATTATCGCCGTACTTGATTTATTTCGGGCATGTTCAGCACCGGGCATTCAGGCAAGCACGGACACGAGTTCCTCGAATTCGAGTATGACAATGGCCGATTACGATACGCCAACAACTCCAACTACCGTAACGACAGTCTTATCCGAAAAGAGAGTAAGCATGGTCCCCACTTGACGTTGATTTTCCTTTGCTTACGGTACTCCGATCGTCTGGATATATTCCATCGCACTCTTTTCTCCAGTGTACATTTCGCCGCTAGTGATAAAAGAGTTGAAGCGGATCGTAGACTCAAGCGAAATCACGAAGTACGTGTCCACCATTCTGCTCTGCCATATGATCCACCCACACCTGGCATGGTAACAGGGAAGATGACACAAATTGGCCCAAAAAGAACATTGTAGGGAAGCAAGAGATGGAAATAAGAATTGGGAATGACCACATTGCTTTTGAGGTACACGATTACTAACATATCCTAACATGCACCGATCTCAATATGGGATTCCATTACAGACCGCTAAAATTGGGTCACTTGTTGACGTACAGGACAGTGAAGACCCAGAAGGCCTTCGCGTCTTTTATTATCTAGTTCAAGACCTCAAGGTTAGCCCCGTCACTCTGTTATTAACTACTGGAATCCAAGAGGATATGCTCATTATCGCCCCCCTTCGCGCAGTGCCTCATTTTCTCCTTGATCACAATGCATTTCAAGATCAAGCCTATATAATGGCCTGATCGGCGTGTTAGCTCGTGGATGTAATCTTGTACTCACCGAATTAATGTGCTCCACCTCACGCACTACGGTAGCTATTGGCTCTGACGGGAGCTGCTGACCCTTCAGATGTGCACGCCTAATTTTTGCAACGACCGTTTCATATCTCCATGAATATGATTCATTGTCGGAGCACGCATTTGACTTGCCTGGTTTACTGGTCCTCGTTCCCTGAAATGTTTTTGCCACGATCCGCGATCTGTGCCCAAATCTCCTCTAGTTAGCCCTCGGTTACGGTTGAGAGTTGGTGTGATGCACTCCTGAGTTATATGTCAAGGACACTCGACTCTTGTGTTCGATGATCCGGCCTACTCTGCCCAGTCTGCAACTAGCTGCGACTCAAGTAGTTTGTGCTCAAGTCACAATGATGACCTGCTATCACGATCCACACAACTGGGCTCCTCAGGAATCTTCGAATTGGACGAGGCGTCTTCTGACTCCTCTGTATCACCCCTTACCAACTTCCCTCCATTGCAGACTTTGCTTCTTCAGAAAATTTCTCCAGGGCTTGCTAGCAACTTCATGCGGCCCGACCTCCAATGGAAGTTTGCCGTCTAGCCACGAGCTGGTGTAGACCCGGTATCAACCATCCAAAGACACTGTCGGGATGCTAGCTTTGTTTCGTGATTACTCAATCGGCACGAGTGAAAAACGGGAGGCTACCCGAAGAGAAAGAGAACAGCTTGAAGTCGAGGGGTTTGCTTCGAGTAGCTGGAGGGTAGGATGGCAGATCCAAGTTTCGCAGCTTCAGTTAATCCTACAGTGTCAGCATCTTCCCTTCCCGTCTCACGAAGTCTTCAGGGCGTCCCATTACATTCAGGCACGAAGATGACCCACATCCTCGCCAATGATAATATAGATCCTTTCTCGTCACTGTGGACAAACCATGATCATGCAGCTCCTACCCACCGCCATCTGATGGCCACGACGCAGACAGCTACCACGAATTGCTCACCATTGTCAATGGCCGATCGGAGCACTTGTTCCGCTATTTGGTCAATGCATGTGAACTTCTGCCCTAGCCACGGAGTAAACACTAAACATTTATGGGCCTTGAGTTGCCCACATCTGCCGGAATTAAACTGCAACTCGTTGTAGTTCTGGTCTTTAGCCTCTACCTGGCCTCAGGGACAAGGCGCCTGTCTTGGAAGTTTTCCACTTTGATCAGGGCCGATGAACTTGTATTGCATTCAGGACATCGTCTAGACAGGTTTAGATAATAAGTCGTGCACCACCACTGTCACGAGCAATGAAGAGTTGACGTAGCGCTTATGAGCTTGCAGATTCTTGCGATAATGATGATTCAGGGGTGGCGGTCGGTGAATCAGAATTAGAATGTATGTCTGGGGGCGAGGATTGTTGGGTTGATAGCGTGGCGGGTGACTCTACTTCTGAAGATGAAGGGTAGTTATCATTTGGCGGAAACTCCAGCCATGAAGCAGGTCCAGATTGAAATGATGCCGATTCGGCTTCAGCAGCGGCAGCGGAAGCCATTTCTGCCTTTATAATCTGGTCTGCGAGCGCTTTGACTCGACCCGAGCTTGTATCCAAATCAAACTTTTCCCGCGATTTAAATAATTCCGACTGCGCGTCCCGTATCCCCTGTAGCTTCTTGGCACCAAATCCAACTTCTGCACGCTCCCACCTAACAACCCTAATACCAATGCCTGGCATCATGTTAATTTCAAGATAACGGATCCACTTGGATAGTACGTCCGGATCCGTATCCCAGACTTTTATTGCTCGCTTGTGAACAACTCTTTCGAAGTTCTCTTGGGACTTCTTATGGACGAATGGCCCACGAAGAACAGTATAGAGGGACCGTTGAGTGGGTAGCGAGACGGCTCGTGAGACCGGCATCCCAAGAGCATAAGCCGCATGAAGTGAAAAGTGTATGAAGAGGGTAAGGAGTTCATGATGAAAGGCACGAATATGAAGAATAGCGACTGGGATTCCATGGATTCTAGGATGTTGCTGGGGAAGTGTAAGGGCTTGTGGTGGTACAGCAGGATCAAAAGCGCGCGGCTTTGGGCGACCTGTGGCTAGTCGATCGGTTGGAGCCCGTGAATCGAGAGCGTAAGGACTGCGAGATGAAGAAACGGTAGATGATGCGTATCTATTGAAATGAGTGAGATATGGGATCATAAATGAAGACAAAGGCCACACCGAACTGCCGCAGAGCAGAATGCCGGTACCTGTGTGGCGATAGGGCCAATTGCAGCCAGCAAAGCTCCTCGACTAAGCATCGTTCCAAGCTCCCAGACAAGCGCCGGGAAAAGTCACTCAATTGAGCCGGTGATCTCCGTCTTCCCAAAAGGGGCGCCGAGGGCTTCGTTGGTGAATAACAATGCCTCCGCCAAGACTCAAAGGAGAAGTCGACAAATTGGCGGGACCTCTGCATCGCCGTATGGTGGTATGCGCGGAGGAGTTCTAGAAGTCCTTGACTATATGTCTCACTAAGGTAACTTAGACGAGCGGGGAGTGGGATCGTATCAACCGGAAGTTGAAGCGCCTCCTGGACGAAAGCGGTTGGACTGATGAAACAAGAGATAGAGCAATTGGTATCCCGGCCAAACTGGACAATACACTTCTCTCATCTAATCAATTAATACCAGAGGAATACAAGCGCTCTCCTAATCTCAAGATACGGGCCTTGGAGTCTGCCGTAACTCCCCAAAGCATTTGTATGTGCTCCTCGTTACTCAAAGCCCATGCTTCCAAACCAAACTTTATTCCAATATGCAGCAAGCGTGCCAATAGAGGTCAAAAAAGAAATCATGGAAGAGATACGACAATTCGTTGAAGAAAATCTTGAACGACCATGACTGTCACCATATACCAGATTGTGCTGACACGGCGGGGATAACAGTGTGGTATATGATTGTATATGCAAACTACACTTTGTACTTTTTCCCCGTAGTGGTAAAGAATGTTTGCAGGACATATATCTGAATACTGATGGGTGTAAGCTTCAGTATAAACCGGATCTTCCAACGATAACCGTACGCACACTGCCATTGTGATGATTGCACAGCAGTCTAGTACTGCATACCAAAAAATTCGACTACAAAGTTCCAGGTGAACTGACCATCATGACCGAATAGTCATCATACTCACTTTTGTGTCGATTTTACTACGGAGAAACCCCGAGTTTCACGGGTGTGGAAGCTGGTAAGAGGATATGAGCTCAGTCGTCCACTCAAACCAATGCCGCAAGACCCACTAGCGTTGCTGGCGCTCTATTGACGTCAACGAACCCCTTAGTCGCCAGATACTTTCATCCAAGGCGCTGGTTTTTTCGGAGATTTGCCCTGGACGAGCAGGCGATTCCCGTCGGGGTTCACTTTCCACCATAATGTCAAAATCAACCAATTTGTGGGTGATTGTTGACATATCGTTCTCGAAACAGAAAGTGTATTCGCCAACATGGTTCGCAGTTAGGATGAAATCCCCTTGATGCTCTCGCTCTCCAGACAATAAAGACCAGCCATTCGGGTCGATGATTTCCCAGTCAATGTCGAACGTCCCGCCTGCTTGCACCTATAAAAGTGCCAAATAAAATAGTATCAAGACGTTGTTAGAATTACAAATGGTTTGTGGGGGTCAGAACGGTACACACCGCAAAGTAGAACTGAAAGCCCATTAGCATGTTTCCAGCTGACTATCAAAACTCGCCAACTCACAGCTATCTTTTCGCCGGCCTTGTCAACGTCAGCATAAAAGCAGAGCCTCTCGTTTGGAGCTACGGTTGTCGTTAGTGCAGAAGGTCGCACAAGGGATGGAAAAATTAGAAATAACACCAAGAGAAGATGAAGGGTCATGAAGGCCGGCCGTTCCATAGCGATGACAGCAGGGTGGATAGGCCTCTGCCTGTCCAACGAAGGCCACTAGTGTTCTGCCTGCTGGACCAAGTCGTTGTTTCAGGATTCAGTAAAAGTCCCGTGACCGTCAGCCATACACGTAGCGGTTTGATTGTCTCACACTACTAGAGCCATATGTGGAAAGAGGCGCTTGTCAGTCTCCCTCGTCTGGGTCCCCACTGCGAAAATGGGCAAGGGAGGAGGTCCCTATGGCCCCGGTAGCTCGCATTTTCCCTGGGCTAAACACGTCATCAGCTCCATGGTATCAAATGACTTGTACTTATCATGTGCAAGTACTTCACTCACCACCACTTCACCACCTCCACCACCTCCACTTCCACCATTATTACTAGCTAAATCGTACTAACCTGGGCGATTAATACTCATACAACCTGTTTCAGGTTTTATCCTCTTCCACACCATCCATAATCCGCTGGCTATAGTTTTCTCTGGATTGTGGTCATCCTAACCTACCTTTTTCGTGACTATCTTGCTTCCCTTTCACATCATACCTCTTCCTCTACCCGCTCTACTCGTTGTCTCCTGAAAACAGAGTTCGGCTCCGACGTGCCCAACAATCGGTATGAGCGAGGATAACGATGAGTTCGTTTTGCCGGGATTAGACGCAGTAGCTATCCAGCCAAGCCCGATTCAAAGCCAACAGACCCTTTCTACCCCTCTTCTCCAATGTTGTGAATTACTTGTTCGCAACCTTCCCGCTGTTTCTCCGGAGTCCGCCGAGGCCCACCTTAGGAAAGTAGTGGCTGATCTGCAAACACAATACGCCAAGGTTGCGGTCTCTCGTTCGTCTACCAGAGGAAAACCTGTTGATTACGCCTATTTGCGTCTTGATGCCTCTGTGCCAGAATCAGTCAAGCAGGCTCGTTCATTGAAGAAATGGATTAAGCCGCTTGAAGAGATGGGTTTCCCGGTCGTATGGAGTCCTATGTTTGGTTTGGATAATCGCAGGGTCATCACACTTAAGCATGATTCCGATTATGGTAACCCAAAGGAGTGGGAGGACCGGGTTATGCATGCAATCAGAGCGATCGATATCGGAGTGTACTATGTAAGCCTCCACGGTGCTTTTACCTCTGCGCTCCTACATTCCGAAGCCGATGTTGCTCTTTTGGTGGACACTGGCCTAACTGTTGGGAGGAAAACTTACAGAGTGAAGGCTAAAGCTTGTGTCCAGCCATTCTGGCCATATGCTGGAGCGGTTGTCGGACTCGCCCGCCATACTGAAAACTTTGCGCAACGACTGGCTGGCATTGTGCAGGCTAGATTTCCTAATCATTATCTGGCAAGTACTTTGGAGCTGGGGAATAACGTTTTAGTTTTCTACGTCAAAGATTGGGACACCATCTCTGAAATCACCAATAATCCTTTGTTCTTTACCGAATACCTTGCCTCATCTGGTGCCGATATTTCCCCCCGAAACTCCTCTACCACCTCAATGAGAAGGGCTTCTTTGTTCCCCGGTCTACTGTCGCCACGGTGAATGGCCCTGCCTACAAGATGTCTAGGGCCTATGACCAGCTTGCCGAGCATCTTCTACAGGCCCTGATTATGGTTGCGAGTGCGTATCATGTTATACTCTGCCTTGCGGAGCAGATGGAACAAATCCTGGACATTGTGAATACCTTGTCCGTGGTCGCCCACACACAAACACATGCGATCGCTGCAGTCAACACAGCGGTGGCTGCAATGGTGTGTGCGGTTGGAGGTCAGATGGAGATTTCAGGGGTTCGTGAGGAGATAAGTCTCCTAATTCGTGAGCGGGATTCTGCGGAATCGGATGTGGAGAAGGAAGCGTTGACCAACAAGATCATGATCCTTCACAAGACGATTCAATCCAATTCTGATGCGTACAGCGCGAACCTCAAGGCATTGGAGGACCTGCAGATGGTCCTAAGCATGGCCGTCGATTCCACGGCTCCCCAAACTATGTCCGCACAAGCCGAGGACACAGGGACCTCCTCTCAGGACCTGGAAGGTTTTGAAGTTGATGGCCTCTCTGTTGGCAACAGATACCGAGCCGATACCTAAGCAACATCGTAAGGTAATGCTTTTGCCACTTTCATACTTCCATTATCCATTTCTGCCAGTCTTTCACTCCATCTCTTTGTATCTCAGGCCTCCGTGCTCACCTCGTTCCGTTTGCTCCTTCCCAGGACGAACTCGCCCCGTCCAAACGTCATCTTTTTATGTGTCAATGTGGTGGATTCTACTGTCACTTCGCATTCTCAGTATGCTTCTTTCAACTCTGTCCGCCTTCCATGCTTGTACTGTTTCTCCGATCTCCTATTGTCCTCCCTCTGCTTTTATACCCAACGTAACCCAAACATCCTCCCACAGAGGCCATCCCCCAAAACTCGTTTTTCATACCTGTGTGTTTCTGATTGTTCTTCCTCTATTGTCAGCTTTTATGTTCACTTTCAACTGCCTGTATGTTTAACGACCCTACTTCTGCCTCCCGACACCCCAAACGCTTGATCTTTGGCCATTGCGCCCCTTTAGTTTGAATTCTACGTTTATTCATGTCATTTTGTTTCCGCTGGAGCCCGGGAATCATCCCCAGACTTCAGTATCCTTGTCACTAACAAACGCTAACATCATCAGATTCAGGAATGCATTTAAAGTGTGTTTAATCGCATCCCTGATTTCGATTTCGTTGTGTTAGCCTTTTCCCTTTGTCCTGTGTGCCTTTGCCCTGTGTGAAACCAAAGTGCCAGCTCCCGGGGCGCCTCCCCTTGCTCGAGGAATGTTCAGATACAACAGCGACTTTCTGTTCCACCCCCCTCGCAGGCTAGAGCCATTGGCCTGGACGTTCTTCTCTCTGCTGGTAGGTAGCCCAAATCTGAAAGTTTTCCTACTGTGAGAGAGAAAATATGTGCTATTCGATTTTTTCTAATTCCTTGCTTCGGAGGCTCAAGCTCCCGCATTCCCCACAACTCTAACTAGGGCGGCGATTCCGTCGTCGTTCCAGGCCGTCTTAACCTTGTCTCACAACATGTTTGCCTCGACGAAGATGACTTCCGAGTCGTAGAGTTGGCCTAATCTTATTGTTGACTATTCGAACGGTTATCTACGTGCATAGTACAATGCCCTCATAGTGTTCATGATGTTTTATACTTGATGTGAACGCTCTTCACCCTCGTCAATTGGTCATATCCTAGCATCACCACAGTTATTCGAAACCAAGGTGGCGCAGTCTCTTCATGGAGCAACTTACCGAATTTGCTCAAGCTGATGCCTCTTCCACTCCATTTAACTCCAGTCCAACTAAGAGCTGGGTCGAGATAATCACAGCGGTTCTGGTATACCGTCCCTGCCTCGACCTTGTCAACCAGCTCGAGGAAATCATCCTGCGAAGAGGTCCATATAGACGCTGTGAGGCCGTAAGGCGAGTCGTTTATTAATTTTATGGCTTCCTCGTCGGATGAAACCTGTTGCATCCACAAATGTAAGGCCGAAGAATTTAGCAGAATACTGGTGGATGCTTACTTTCATGATCCCAATGACAGGACCGAAAGTTTCCTCTTTCATGACATCCATGGCTGGGACACTCTATTAGCAACAACTCGACGCGACGAAAAAAGACTAACAATGGTTCACATCAATAAGCACCTGTGGAGCAACATACGTTGTCCCTCTTTTGCGGGGTCAGAAGGAGGCAACACGCTTTAATCGATTTCTTCTACTTACTCTCTCGCACAAGGGAATAGCTGCTCCGGTATCAAAGCCTTAGCCCCAGCGCCAACTGCGTCCGAAACCTGCTTGCGAATTTTTTCGGCACTAGCCAGAGAGACCACTGGTCCAAGATTCGTATCCTTCTCAGTTGGGTTACCAAGCTTGTATTTCTGTTTGAAGGTGTCAAGTTAGAGAGGGTCGAAACCGTGGTCACGCAAGTGACCGACCTTCACAAGCTCGACATATGCTCTGACGAATTTGTCAAATAGCGACTCATGGACATATATCCTCTATGACCAGAGGTGTCCGATGAGCAGCACCAGACATCATTATCTCGGGAGTCACATACCTCGACGGCACAACAACTTTGTCCGGAATTGAAGAAGGCGCCTTTCACGATTCGTCGTCAGCTCCGGATGCTCACAGGCTGCATGCAGAATGTACTGACCATCCACTAATTCTGCAACGGTATAATCGAAATCCGCATTACCCATTACATATGCAGGATCCTTGCCTCCGAGCTATGTCAATGACGTCAGCTGTGTACAGGCTAGAAAAAATGATCACGTATTTGCCTCTAGCGCGACTCCAGGAAAATTATCGCTTGCGGCAGCTGCTCGACTAACAACTCTCCCATTCTGGACACTTCCGGTGAAGCTGACGAAATCCACTTTGGGGTGCTTGGTAATGGCCTCTACGCCCTGAGGGGTCAGATGAACTACTTGAAGAGTCTCGGGTGGAAGGCTGGCTGTATAAAATGCCGAGGCAAGTCTTTCTGCCGTTAGCTATGCATGCGGACAGCGTTCAGGGAATCATTACTATGCGATTGGATTCTCCTTACCGGTGTCTGCGGAGACGGCTTCAAAATTACGGCGTTTCCAGCTATAAGGGCCGGAAGCACGGAATTAATCATTGTAAGGTAAGGATAGCTGCAGAACAAAGTAACATTATGCGTTAATAAGTGATGCAACATCAATAAATTGCTTACTTCCAGGGTGCGATCACAAAGACTACGCCCAAAGGTTCTCGTCTAATAAAACGCCGGAAACCTGGCTTATCTGAATCCTTCAATTCAACGTCCGAAAGAGACGATGAGGCGATGGAGATCATAAATTTGGACCTATCAAGGGTCCCTCGTATCTCCCCCGCGTTCTGCGAAACAGGCCTAACGGATGAGATGTACTTATTATGAAGCTGCTGTGGCGGTATTCAAATATATTCACCTGCCCATTTGCAACGTCAACTCTGGAATAATTTGTTCGGAAAGCTTCTCAAACTCCTCCTTCAGGCGTGACCTGGTTGAGAATGATTCGCTGCGGGCACATCAACCCGAAGGAACGCACAACGAAACGGTTTGCGATCTCGATTCTCTTCTCGATCGGCACTTTAGCCCACGACCTCTGCGCCGTTGACGCTTTGTTCAATACCGAATCGTAATCTGTGGTCAACTCCCTGGTCACATAGCGAGATTGGTCGTGAGGTGTGATAGTTGTCTGCGGCATTCCGAATGTTGAAGTAAACGGCAGGTCCCGGAGTCCGGAACCTGCGCATTCCAACTTTAAGGCCGTTGCTTGTCGCTGTTTCATAACACCCGATGGTTCATCAAGAATGAGGCAAACTTTTTCCGGATAACCAATTTTGCTACCTTCAGAATTCAAGCACGATCCTACGGAGCAGTTGATAGATATATGGGAACCTGGAGCGTGTACGTCTAAAATATTCATTGAGAACATCATACGAACTGGTTCCTATGGGTTTCACTCCCAAAGAACCACTCCAGACGCCTACGTGCCGAGATTTTGGGTCAGGCCTCCATTCCCCGCCTAATTTTCTGCCAATTCCGCTAATCCACATCAGATCTTCGCTACAATCCGAGAGATTTGTTCCAGGACATCCACTCCCTCGTTCCCGTGCGCACATCCTTGCTTGTATTCCCGGTTTTTTTTGTTTTGTTTTGGAATTTAGAATGTACTGATGTAGTGAATCATTTGTGGCTGACTTATCAGTCATATCATGTTGTACTTTTAACGTTCGGGCGTTCGAGTGTATTCCTGATTGACATTCCTCTATTTCTCGGTGTGTCATTGGCATCGTGAATCCGCAGCATCACGTCAGCAATGTACTTCCTACAGTGGATGTTCGTCGTCCCAGCCAGGCCCTGGAACCCGGCCGGTCTGGGCGAAATATTCATATCAGCGAGGAACGTCGCACCAGCGCATGCATACAACCACAGAAGCTAAATACGGCGACTTGGCCCAGGTAACTGGGCTGTATTTTTCAGGCAACGTGGTCCTCACTGCTTATGTTGGCGCCAAGAAGATTGTCAGCGGTAGGTACCGGTGATACACAAATGGGCGTTCAGGATTCGATTCGACTTGGGGATGGGCAATCACTAACTCTCGGAGGAACTTAGGAATGTGAACGATCGATCGTTACTAAGCTAAGAGCTCCGCCAGGAAGCAGCGCATTTCGTGGTGCTTTTGTGACGTCAGTCAGAGTTGTCAAGTCCTGCTTTGAACATCAGTAGAGCAGCAGCATGCCGACACATCACCTTATGGTCGATGGGCGGGTCAAAGAATTTGCGCTGTGGTTGGCCATTCATGATCATGTTCACCCCAGATCGGTAACCCAAAACTACGCAGTTTCCCACGCTTCATTACACGCGTGCATTGCGCCTGCAAACTTGGTGTGCTCAAACCTGCACCTTCAGCGTCAGAACGCTTATAATTCTTTCCCAGAAGGGTTATTCCTGGACTCGGCGCGCGGAATATACTACGGTAATTGGCTCTTAACCGCTTCAAACTTCGCTACTCAATGGGAGCTTGGCATGCATGGGTACTCTTCACGGTGTGCTGTATAATGATAACAGAGTTAACATGTGCTTCAATTTTAGGAGGAGCCGTATGCACTCCTTCGCTTGATACTAGGTGGTTTTGTTCCGTTTTTCCTTGTTATCAGTTTCGTCTTAGGCTCTCAGCCGGCTGTTCACCGGGTTTTCTCCCCAATCACTAAACATTGTTCTGCGTTCATTACCAAGCGAGAGGCGGAAGATACTCTTCTCTTCGATCGCGCATCTGATACTACAGAACTCCGAGACGGACCATCCCGGATTTCGAACTGGAAAACGGGCCTCATTGTTTCCATCGGCTTAACGGAGACCATTATTTGGATCATATATGGGGCGTATGCAGTTGCTGCATTGGTGGAATCTCATTGGGGAGCTTTGATATTCCCTTTCTTCGTGGCACTTTCCTGGGTTTACGTCCTTTTGCGGCCTCTAATTCGGCCCATCGTCACCACCCCATTCGACCTATTTGTCCTTATTGGTTTCCACTTGACAATATCCACTGTTGATATCGCAGCCCTAATATACGGGAAAATCGCAATGGGAACAGAAATGCGCAATATTTTGTTATTCGCGCTTTTGGTCAGTAAATGGCTCGCCTCCCTGGTGGTTCTTGTCATTGTCCTGGGAACTCCACTGGATATACCTTCGGCGAACGTCACTTCCGGGAAAATAGAAGGAAAGTATCCTGAAGATTATACTACGCTTTGGGGTTGGATTTCCTTCTCTTGGATGCAGCCTCTTATGCATGAGGTTCGTGTCTCGTGGTGTTGTTCATTAATTTTTTTCCGCTAACCCCACGGCTCAGGGCCTAGTACGAACACTGAACGAAGAAGACGTCCCAGACATGAGCGTCACCTCGCAATCTAAACCTCTCTTCATGAAGTTCAATACACTCCAAAATAAATCGCTCTTACGACGACTGTTCGTGGCCAATAGGCGCGATTTGTTCGTAAGTTCAGTTGTTCCCCCGCATAGTAAGAGATGTCTAATCCACGCATTGCGCAGGTCGACTTCGTACTTACTGAGGCGTCTGTGTTTCTCCAATACGCTTCACCATTCTTTCTCAACGAGATCCTCAAGACCTTCGAGAGTCCCACCCCGGAGGCGCGTTCCAAGGGTTATATTTACGCAATCCTCTCCTTTGTTTGCTTGGTCTGCAAAGCCCAGGCTGATGCTCAACACCTTTACTTTGGTCGTCGGGCTGCCACCAGATTGCGATCGGAGCTCATGGCATCTGTATACGATAAAGCGCTCAAGAGGCGTGACGTATCTGGGACTTTTAAGAAAAGGAAAGATGACGAAGAAGTCAAAGGGCATAATAAGGGGTCTTTTTTCTCATCCAGAAGTCAATTGAAGAACAAACCAACGGATGACACGAGCAGCGCAGACATCGGAAAAGTCGTCAACCTCATGAGCGGTGATGCGAACCGAGTGGCAATATTCGTTTCATCAGCATATTTCTTTTACGGGGCACCAGTAGAGATCATCATTGCCGGCACCTTCCTCTTCAAGTGCGTCTCTACGTTTCCTCTGCTGGAACTTCCGTATTAACACAAGCTCTCGTAGCATTTTGGGTTGGGCAGCATTCTCTGGCTTCCTCGTATTGATCTTGACGGCCCCTCTGAACGCTTATTTGTCACGGAGGGCAGTGAAGGTACGTACTAAAAAGCAGGTTTTGCATTCACCATGATGACCCGATTTTAATACAAAGATAAACAAATCTTTGTCGGCCGCTCGGGACAAACGTATGGGAGTTTTAAACGAGTTCATAAGTTGTAAGTTCTCGGGCGTCGCTCCTTCGAAACAAGTCGCCACTAATGTTTGCTCGCTAAGCAATAAAATTTATCAAATTCTTCGCATGGGAGGAGAATTTTCTGGGGTTCGTTCTTCCGTGAATTTATCTGCTCAAGCCGCTGACGTCTAATCAGACGATCTCAAGATGCACGGAAGAAAGAATTGAAGATATTGGCTAAAGGTGCGAATGCCTGTCGCTGATACCGGAGACATATTCAATGATAGTGAACAATATAAGAACGGACAAATACTATCCTGTTCTCACTGCTGTGGGTGACTCTGCACCTGTCTCGTTTGTACTCACCCTGATGGAAAATGAAGTTGGAGCGTTGCGCCAATATCCGTGTCCATTGTCACATTCTTGACTTACACTGTGATTCTCCAAAGGGAACTCACTGTCCCAACCGCGTTCACTGCCATCGCCATATTCAACATGTACGTTTCTAGATGCAGCTCCGTTTGCTGGTAGCTTTGACCTTCTCGCACAAGGCTCCGTATCCCTTTGAACGTCATCCCTAACTTCGTCGTTCAACTGCTCCAAGCATCTGTTTCCCTCAAGCGTATCGAAGAGTTCCTGAACGAGGAGGAGGTTGACCCGGAAGTCTCATCTTTGAAGCGAGAAGTCGTCCGTACTTCGTCGCAACCTTCAAGCATCGGGATTCGGAGTGCATCGTTTCAATGGGCTAAAGGCGCGTCTCACTCCACCCTGTCTCTGACGTCACCTCGGACAGACACCGCAGTGGATGCATCTAAAGTTACACATGCACCCGAGGATTCGGTTTTCGAATTGCGTGACATATCCGTGGAGTTCCCTAACGGTGTGCTGTCAGTGATTACAGGTGCGTCCGCCAGGAGATCCATCCAGCTCCGATGCCTGAATGCAGCCTTCATAAGGTCCTACGGCGTCGGGAAAGAGTGCACTTCTATTTGCCTTGCTCGGTGAAATGACTATGCTTCCTGAAGGGCAGCGCTTACTCCCCAAGGATCCTTCCAGCGTGGACGAGTTCGGTCTCACTAATTCCATTAGTTATTGTGCTCAGACTCCCTGTAGGCTTTATTTCATCGAATGTGACCGGCAGGTACTGACGTTGTGATAGGGCTTCAATATATGTCGATAAGGGAAAATATCTTGTTTGGTGCAAAATACGATAGCGAACGTTATAACGAAGTGCTCGAGTGCTGCGCCTTATCGCCAGATCTTGCTATATTTGAAGACGGAGATGCGACGGAGGTCGGTGCTCGTGGTGTAACATTGTGCGTATCCTTGCGGAATCATTCTATTCGTGCCGCTGACGAAACGCGACTTAAGGTCTGGTGGCCAAAAAGCAAGGTTATTGTGGCTATTGATGGTTACCCTTGACTTTTTCTGAAATTTCCATGACAGAGTTGCACTGGCTCGTGCAGCATACAGCTATTCCAAGTTTGTGCTCCTTGACGATGTATTTGCTGCTGGTGAGCTGAAGCGCTTGTTTGACGCGAAGGAGACTGAGTGTCGGCTATAGTTGACAGTCACACTGCAAATGTTTTATGGGATAAGTTATTCCAGGGACCCCTGATGAGAAACAGAACCGTTATTGTGAAGACACTGTATTTTCGACCATTCTGCTGGGCGCTGACATGGATTCTTAGCTTGTCACTCACCATCTAGATTTGGTGCTCGGAGGAGCACACTACCTGGTTCGCATGCTGGACGGACGTATCGCTCTCCAAGGAGAGATAGATGATTTACGTTCCAAAGGCAAACTGGATGCGGTTAAGCAGGATGCAGTGACTCAGGTTGAGGTCTCGCCACAGATCGCTCACATTCCTGAAGAATCCGATCCGGTCGTGGAAGGTTCTCCGGAAGCGAATGGCAACAGTAGATCGGCGCGGAAGCTCGTCAAAGACGAGGAAAGGGCGAAAGGAAGCGTCAAATGGTCTGTGTATAAAACATACCTGACCGCGTGTGGGTACTGGGTTCTGCCTTGCGTGGTCGCTGGCATCGTGCTCTATCAGATAGAGTAATTGCTACCGTTTCAACCAACCATTAGCTCTCTGACGATCCCCTTCAGTGTTTTGGGAGAAAAGCTGTGGATAAGGCAATGGGGTATTGCCTACGAATCTCACGAGCACAGTTCCCTTGTGTCAACATACTTCTCCAGTTATTCCTCGGTTATTCATTTCGAACCAAAGATGGCAATCGGTTTACCATACGCCAATGGGACTACGATCAGCGCGGAAGCGTTGCCATCGCCGTACACTCACCCGCTGTTTTATGTCCTGATATATGGAGCCATCGCTCTGGGTGGCGCTTTGGTCACCTGTATGAACACCATCGTGCAATATTACGGAGCATTCACTGCATCGAGGTTGGGCGAATGTTTCGTCTGGGGTGGGGTTTTTTTATTCACAAGATTTCACTAGGCGACTTTTTAACAGGCTTCTTGTTTCCGTTGTTCGTTCGCCAATGAGATGGTGAGGCGATTTACTAACCTAAGAGGTCGGGAGGTGCTAACTACTCGTTGTCAAATAGGTTTGATACAACGCCGATAGGTATATCTGAAAGGAAACATTTTCCTATTGTGATCTTACATTTTTCTCCCCAGGGAGGATTCTCAACCGTTTTGGCTCTGATATCATTACGATCGACTCCTCGATTAGGTCTGACTACCCTTTCTGTCTCTCAGCAGCAGCAGCTTACTAACCGCACATTACGTTAGCGCGTCCCTACGCGGTACAACATCGTGGATTGCTGCTTTCATCGCCGCCATGCTTACGGTCACAATAGTCCTCCCACTATTTTTGCCCGCTGCTTGCGTCATGGGTTCGTGTGCCTGACCTTGGACCAAGAAACAGGTTGGAGACTGACATTGGTTTTCAGGATATTTCTACTACCGGTACTCTGTTGCTTATGTGCGAACAGGAAGGGATTTGAGGCGTATGGAAAGCAATTCTCGCAGCCCCATCTTTGCATCCTTCGGTGAACTATTGGATGGAATTGTGACAGTTCGGTATGTCTTCTGTCCAGTTCACCGCCTAACGGTTCTCACCCAGTTCATAGTGCATATTCAGCGGAACAGCGTTTCTTCAACACCCTTCACACCAAAGTACAAATCTTCGCTTTCTTTCGAGTTGAAGGAGCGTTAACTTGAGCCATAGGTGGATGCGACGACTAAAATGTGGTTCCAATTTTGGATGGCCAACCGGTTCCTACTGCTCCATTTTGATTTCCTATCTGCAACCAGTATCCTGCTTACAACTATTGTAGCAATATCCTTGGGCGTTGATCCAGGCACAGCCGGTCAGTTGCGACTCGGCTTAAGCACCCATCTTCATTTTAAGTTTCATGCCCAGGTCTTTGCATTACGAGCGCCATGGCGCTCACATCCTCAGTGTACTGGACATGTCGGTTCATCACTCAGCTGGAAATGGGTGAGCACCATCATTATTACCACTTCATTTTCACATATCTATTGTAGACACTAACGCCGTTGAGCGTGTTGTTGAGTATTTGAATCTGGCCCAGGAGCCCCCCGCCATCATCGAATCAAACCGACCTCCTGCCTATTGGCCATCAAACTCGTCAGAGTATATAGTGCATGTGAATGACCTCGTTATTAAATATGCCAAGGAGTTGGATCCGGTGATAAGAGGCGTTACATTTTCGCTACGCAGCGGAGAGAGAATAGGATTGGTGGGGAGGACCGGATCTGGAAAATCGACCCTTGCGTTGTCATTTCTCCGTTTTGTTGACCCTTCCGAGGGCAGCATTATTATCGATGGCATTGACATTGTCACTATCGGAGTACAAGACCTTCGGTCTCGAGTGGTGAGTCATAGCCAGCCTTGACAGCAAGTAGTCATTTCAAGTCCCATATTTCTAGACGTTGATACCGCAGGATGCGGTGTGTACAGTTTATCGTCATGGGTTTCGCGACTGGGACTGAGTTCCGTTAAGACACTTTTCAGTGGTACTATCAGAGAGAACTTGGATCCATTCGAAGGTTCATTTCGTGGTTTCTCGCCGCTGGGTGATTTCTGACAGTACCTTAGAACATTCTGATGACGAGCTTCTCGATTCGTTATTCCGTGTTCAGCTCATCACTCCGAGTCAGTACAATTCGCGAAGATCAACTAGAGCATCTACCCGAGCGTCTTCCCCCGCTGCCCTGGAGCCTGAGGACCAGCCGCATCCAGAGACAGGGTCCATCCCTATTCCACCTCCCGTGCAGGTAGTCGCCACCCTTCCTGAAAACATGGAGCCCAAAATCGACATCAATCTGGACACACAAGTGGCAGCAGGAGGGTTGAACTTTAGCCAAGGTCAACGACAGGTACGTTGCATCAGGCCTTAATGCCTTGCAAAAGCTGATTGTTTCCAGCTCATCGCGATGGCCCGTGCTTTGCTGAGGTGAGTGCCTCATTGAGTAATCGCCATTCAGGAATAATTTTTGTCCAGACAAAACGCGATTGTCATAATGGTTCGTAGCGTTTTTGTGTAACTGCACGCTTCGCTCTTATCCAAACCTATTTCTCCAAATTTAGGATGAGGCAACGGTTAGTGGTTAGTTCGGCCATCAGTTCTTTCCGTGCTAACTACGAAGGAAGAGTTCCATTGATTTCGAGACAGACGCAAAAATTCAAAACACTATACGAGATGAGTTCAAGTCAAGCTTATTGATCACGATTGCGCACCGATTGGTGAATAACTTAACGTTGGCTAACGCACCGTGATTCTGACTTTGCTTCTACCCAGCGTACGGTCATTGATTATGATCGATTAATAGTACTCGATCAAGGGAAAATAGTGGAAATGGACACTCCAGCAAATCTCATCTGCAAAGAAGGGGGCGTCTTCCAACGAATGTGTCTCAAATCTGGAGACTTTGCGCAGCTTAAAGAATCAGCCCTGGCTGCGGCGCACACTCACACTCAGTGATGTCCATTTATGCTAGATTAACGAATTATAGACGGTGAACGCGTCACACGATGAAGCTCGTACTTCAGATTGGTCCTCTTTGATCAACCCCCGGCGCCGTTGCTCTCAGTAATTCCTTCCTTGAATCGTCCAGTTTTTTCGTGATCGCCCAAATGTCCTTGGTAAGTTCTGGGGAATGAAAGGATAGAGACATCAACCTGAAACAACGTCAAAATAAGTGGTCCAATAACGATAGGGCCGTAAGATGCATGTACACCTTGCCAATGACATCCGAAGTATGAGATCATCGGACGTGACAGGAGAAGGGGATGATTGACGCCCCCGAACATAGTCTTGCTGAATGAACTGGATGATAGCGTTAATACTTGGCTTCGGTTCAGTATTGGCTGACCAAAACCCTTACTTGCGATATCTCTTCACTGATTTGGACTTTGCCTTGCTTGGCGCCTCCGAGCAAATCCCTAAAGTGTTTCAATTTCTCCGCTGGTGGTTTCTGTACCTGCGCAGCGTCTTTATACAGCACCGAAACGCCCTCCCCAGGTCTCAATGGCACGTAAACATCGGTCTGTCGAACAATGTGAGATCCAGTCACCCATAACGCTGGATTCTCATACCTCGACGAAAGGTGATGTTCGTCCCTGTGCTAGAGCTATGAACTCCAAATCCGTTTGGAAAGGGAACGAACTATAAGGGAAAATATAATCCAGCGTCTGATTCCTGACGCATTGTTTGAGTGCTGCCACATTTCGCACTCCGGCTGGGGAGCGAACGATCATGATCTAGTTTTTAAGCCTCAAGTCGTAAACCTACTCTCGTGAAGCGTCCCTTCAGAGACAGCGCTGTCCGAAACAAGGACCACAGTCCCAGCGGGAAGCTGGAGACACCCACTAAGCAACTCCTCGTCCACGCTTTGTGGTTGGAAGCGGGATTCGTTCATGAAGGAGATAGAGAGGGGCAAATGGACTAGGGCAGGAAGCAACAGCTGTAGAACGTGCTTGATCGTTGGCTCGAGAATCACCCTTGTAGGTGAGGTGTTCGGAATAGGGGGCGGGGAGGAAAAGAGGAGATAGTCAAGGAAAGGGGAAGTATGGGTGGTTCTCGAGATTGTCTAAAGAACATTAGTTTATGGAGAAAGAAGGGGAGCGTTTTGGCTCACACACGACTTATGCACGCCATCAAGATCCACTCGGCGACGGTGGTGTCTCCGCCAAGGCCCTCCGCGGCAATCCAGGCGATAAGTTCGGAACGTAGAGCATGGAGTGGGCCCAGTGTGAGATTTTGAATTATGTCATTTGGGGCGCCCAACACAAGCATATCCATAGGGAATTTGAAGGGCAGTCTGCTCTCATCCGGAGAACGGTGAAACACGGTATGCAAAGTCGGCACCTCAATCTCTTCTTCGTTAACATTGAGTATCCTTTTTGGGATCGCAGGAAGACATGATAAGATGCGGCGGGATGAGGGAAGTTTTTAGGCTCACGGTGCGTTTACAAGGATGCCAACAAACGTCACAACATCAGTCAGTTTTAAGGATTCTGCCTCCGATCCATAAAGCTGGATGGGAGAAGGAGGTTCAGCACTGCACCTTCAGTCAGCCAGATGACGGCTTACTTTGACGTTGACTCCAAGGTGTGCTTGGGAAGGAAAAGGATTCTTCTTGGATTGAGCACTTGTTTGACTCAGCGTTTCTATGCGGGAGATGAGACAAGCGGAGGAAAGGGAGACGTCATGGGCGGACCTTCTTCTGATCCAACCTAATCGTCATCAGAATGAGACTAACGCAAGCCTGTAGGCAACTGACCGCTGTACCGGATGCCCAGGCCGATTCACCAGGAACAGATACTGCCCAAAGGGTCGTCCGATCATCGAGGAAATGCTCATAGGCGTGTGAAGTTGGATCGTCATCCACTCGGTCTCCACATTCTTCTGCAAGTCCCCAGCCACCGAGCTGCCGGGCAGGGAGCTCTTTGCAATATACTTCTGTTCCAGTCGATTGCACCATAGCACGAAAACGTACTAGAGGCCTTTTCTCGGATAGAAGGCTATCGAGGCAACCTTTGGCCGTGGTTAGATTGGGAATCTATACGATCGACATTTCCTGAACAAGTGCAGATAAACAGGTTCTGAATGCGTACTTGTTGGATGTCCGCATCAGAAGCGAAGACCGACGCAAAGTGGTGTACCACCACACGAGGGAAGTTGTTTGCTTCTCGGTTCTTCTGATAGAGATCCTGGAGGACTGATGATGGATCTGATAACGCGTCCGCAAGCAGAGAGGAGACCATCGAATCGGGTCGCGAAGATCAAGCCTATGTAAACTGAACTCAAAGCTTGCAATTTGACAGAGGTACGAGATTAAATAAGACTCGCATTGTGGTCGCCTAATACTAATACTATGTAATAGTTCATATCGGATTGTTCACATCATTCCTTACACAAACACTTTTTTCGTTGGTTGTGCGACTGGTATCCAACCACAATCCTGTTCCCATTTAATATTGGCCGGTAGCGCACAAGTCTGGGCGTGTAATCGAATTGTCTCCACATACGCTAAGCTACTGCCGTATAAAAACGAGGTGTAGGAGTAAAGTGACACAGAATGGAAGTCGTCAACGTCCCCTCTGCCGGGTAACTCGGCGTCCAGCTTGGACACGGGCCCCGGAACGCGTGACCCTTCTAGGTGGAGAAATCAATCCCGCGCGCCGTGCATGTCGGGTCCGTGTGACATGTGAACTAAGTATATTCGTACTGTTCTTGGGAGGAGGCTCAACCTCCGCGCTCGATTCTTCCTCCCCTCCTCGGCTGTCAAGAGTTTGAGATGGTGGGTAACCAGCAAAACGGGTAGGCTTACAGGTCTTCTTCTACCTCTTGTGTCGACTCGTTAGCAGCAGCACTGTTTCCATCACCGTCTGGACTTTCCTGAAGTTTGCGCGGCCGCTTGGCCCACTCCGCCTGATTTTCTGGATCCCCTTCTCTGATACGGCCGAATCCGCTCTCGCTGCTATTTGACTCGTCTGCATCACGAGAATGACTCTCAGATCGTGGAACTTCGCCTCGGGGGGAGTCCGCCGAATGGGCACTTAAATTCCGCCCCGGGCGCAGCTCTCGCACTGTAGGCCGCCTAAGTGACTGGGCGCTGTCTGACCTTTCCTCCGCAGACGAACCACTGATCCCAGCTATGTGGGAGATATGATGAATCGCAGGGGTGCGGGCGATTTTCCTGGGTTTTGGCCGTGGCCGATATTCCCCATCGCTATCGTCTTCAGAGGTGGCCCTGCTGCGTCTACTGCCATTTCCAGAGCCCTCTGGAATATCAGGGGGAGATTCGCGTCGTGGGAGCCGACGTTTGGGAAGCTCGTGACGCTGGGGAGAAACCGACCCCTCGCTGTGAAAGTCCAGATCCTCAAATTCATCATCCCCACTTGAGATGCCATGTTTCTCTTTATAGCGGTCGATTTGCCTATCATAAAACTCCATGTGCTTCTTGTAATGGTTGTTCCAAGATTGCACTGTGTGATTTTTGGCCCACGGATAGATGTCAAGGTTTCTGTAGAGGTTCTCGTAGAGCAAGTATCCGGCTCGTGACCCGGGCCGTCTTTGGCTCGATTTTTTGGGGGCCATTCGTGCTGTACGGGACAGAAGTTGTTTCACGCTAACTGTAAGCCGGAGAGGTCTTCCTACCTGCGTATCGTACTAGATTCGTCATGTCCTCTCGAGTGAAAGGGCGAGTCCTTGAAAACATTAGCTACTATCATTATCCTGAGAAGCATTGGTTGTCCTTACTCTTGCCCTGGTCGTCGGCCAGGCACCCTGGTTACTCTGTATGAAGAAAGCTTTGCGCGTTTTTTCCGGATACAGTCACGGAACCATGATATGCCCTGAACTTCGCCTTTAGCGAGTCGATAGTATTGCTCGATGTCATTCCCAGGTTCGTCGCCGACAAGAATCAGATCGGCGTCTGAGTCAACACGAGTGACTACACCTCCATATTTCTATCCACATCAAGCTGAGAATCAATATCGGTGACAGGACATCGCTTACCGCTATGTCAAATTTTAATAATTCTCTCACATCACCCCGCGGGATCGTCTGGTGTATGAAAAATTCAAGCGGTATGAAGCCACGCATATATCCTTTTGCGTTTTCATTCCCGGAGAGGAAAACGGGGTAGACATCTAGGTTCGTCGTATCGAGTAGCTCACGGGCTTGAATACATGCAGGAATGAACGTGAAACACTTGAGCGTATTCAGAGGAGAACCTAACGGAGGCAAGAGCTATTTACCACAACGGGGGTTCCATCTTCTACCTGAGGTTTGGAGGCATTATCTCGAGGATCCCAGAGGACATAATCCGCATCTAAAGGATCAGAGACGGTCTCACCCTCTTGTTCCTTCGTTGCTGATGAGGACATTTGGCAGAGTAACAGAAGTGAGCTCTCACATGTATGATTTGACGTAGTTCCTTTTGCAGAACGGGGTGAAGGCCACTCAAGTAGAACTTGTATGCCCCATTCGCGGTCCTGAAGAGAGCCATCCGGGGGGTTCGAGATGGGCTCGAGACGATGCAAGTGAAATGAGCGACTAAGTGGAAGGCAGCACCGACAGGGCTTTGTTGATATTTGTTTTGTTCTCCCATTGACGCGTCCAAAACCACCGACTCAGCACTCCAATGAAGCGAACACGCCACATACCGAGGCAAAACGCGCCCAATCACGTCCGTGTCGAAGAAAGCAGCTCGGAGAGCGCGTCAGAGCTTCGACCTCCCATGCCACCATATCCTCGCGCCGTGGAATTCCCAAACCCAAGCTCTGCTGATCCCAAGAACTTAAGGCCACCTCGCTCACCTCAACCTCGATACCGTGCGGTTTCTCCTTCTTTTGAAGTATCTTCGGCCAAAGATTTGAAAGAGTCTGAGCTGGGTGCCGAATCGTTGGGGTTTAACTCTATTTCTGCGCCGCGTGACAACCCGGTCGGGAACAAGCATCACAAATCCTCCCGTTTGCAGCCTCCGAGAGTCTCTTCTGCTCGTTACCGGAGCCGTTCACCCTCTAATCTTCCCCCCAGACGAGAAAGGCACATTGCAGACGATATTTCCTCATCTGATGAAGCGGGACACCCGTATCGGAAGTCTATGGCCCCCCAGCCCCAACTGCAGCATGTCCTTCCGTCGCCCCGATCTAAAGATGGAAGCACTACTGTTAGAGGCAGAGATGGTGGTTTGGCTGCTCCACCAGTCGCAGAAGTCCCTCTTTCCCCATTCACTGGCGATGCCGTCCAGAAGAGAGCGGGACGTTTCGATACTCCCCAAAGGATTGCCATATCCGGTCAATATCGGCTTGCCGAAGGGAGTAACCAGGCTACACCACCCTACGCTGCAATGATGATGCCAAGGCCGCAGGCTCTCGACCAACCCCCGTCTTCTGTTCCGTCGCCTTCACCCACCGGGAATCGTATTGACTCTTATGTGGGGCCCATTGACCCCAGGGCCACTCCCACTGAGGGGAGTAAAAGCTTTGTCTCCTCATCTCGGGTCACGTTTGCATCTCGTCCGCGAGCGTCAACTTTCAATCTTGGCGGGAGAAGCGAAGCGAACCCACGAAAACCGAATTTGGATAGGAAAATACCTGAAGTCAAGGCCATAAGTGATATCAATGCATCTAAGGACCAAACGAGGAATGGCCTTCCGGCGTCCAATGAGGAATTTAGATCAGAAGTCTCCGATGCTGACAGTCAAACCTCCCAGATCGTGATTGATGAGGAAAGGAGTCGTTCTCAGAAGAGGGAACTTAAGCCTGGCTTACGCTCGAAAAGTGTTGGACATTCTTCGCATTCTGCGTTCCGCAGGTCAGTAATCACAGTCATCTGGTTGTTTAACTTTCCTAAAACGTGGACATAGTCACAAAATTTCCCCAACGATTGCTTTTGACAAGTCGAAACGAGATCCGCTTCCAGTGAGTTTGGATATCGTCACAGACCATCAAGACGCTACTGGAGGAATCCCGAAATCATCTCGCATGTGAGACTTCCGGACCAGTTTATGTTCCGGTTCCTGACTATGTTGTGTACTAGCCCGCAACACGCATCTCAAACGAGGAAAAAAGGAGCCGTCTCGTTCGCTCCAGGGAACGAGTATGTCTCAGGTCGTACTCAGACAGTTGACACAAAGAAAAGTCGTGCCGAATCAAATAGCCTTACTGAAGCGCGGAGGCTTGATACACCTGCTCCTCTTCCCCAAGGTCCTCTCGCGAGGCCCCGCAACACAATAAATGAGTCGGGAGGCGACTTGCATGTATCAGAACATTTCGTGCCTGGTTCGCCGAGTGCCCATCCCCATGAAGAGAAACTTGATACAACGCCGATCATTCCGTCCTTCACCACGGTGCACCAGGATACACATTCTCAGCCGTCTTGTGGTCAAGGTACTCCGCATGCGAATGCTCAGGCTCAAAATTCTTGTATCTTTAACTCGCCCGGCGTGTCTCAAGCCACAGCTGTTCATCCTGCTACTGATAGAAAGAAGAGATTGTCTGCTCTCAAAAGGATCACGCTTACCCAAACTGCACAGCCCGAACAACGGCGCCTTGCTAGGGACCTTTCTCACGTTGGTGATTACTCTCGGTCACCAGGTCCCACTTCGGCGAATGACGCATCTCCTTTATCTAATCCTTTGTTCTTGGCTTTGACAGACGCACTGTCTCAATCGAACCCGAGTGCTCTTCATTCCGCCGGCTATCCTCGGTTGTCTTGGCTTGGCGACAATGATGCCGAGGAACAATATTGGACACCAGTTGATGACTCAGCCCAGAAGCCTGCGGCTGGTCATTTTCCCTCAGTGTCTAGTCCAATCTCATATGTCGTCGCACCCAAAATCCGGGGGAATAAAAACTCCCCGCCAGAACAGCCCGCCGTCCAGAGCGCATTTTCTAGCTTCCAAAGCGACCTCTCTTCGCTGGTGACCGACGAACCTTCTGTTTCAGATACTGGTACATCTATCAGTGCTCCAGCCGAGGAGCTGTTCAAGACTCTGGAGGACTCAAGACAAGATGAGAATCATTCATCGTCTACGCGCCATCACAATGACCTCAGTGGTGTTGAGCCGAAAACGTGGAGAGAGACATTAACTGATGATGCTTATGCTGCTCTACTTGCTAAATATGACGTGTTTGAAATGCGACGCCAGGAAGTGATCTGGGAATTGCGTCGATCAGAATCGGACTTCATCGCTGACTTGCAAACAGCAGTTCGCCTCTTTGTACAACCTCTTCGTGTCGAACACAATACGCGGTGGATCCCAGGTCTGAACTCAGACATTGCAAAACTTTTCGACTGGCTGGATGATATCGCTCAGCTCCACAGAAGATTACTTTCAACAATGCAAGGATGCAGAGAAAACCAGGTGACGTAAGATGTGTCATTGTGCAGTGGTACCTCTCATCTCTGCTCTAGTTCCCTATTGTCACTCAAATTGCCGAGTCACTTCGTCCTTTTGTCTCAGAACTTGAGGTCTATCAGCCTTACTTAGTTCACCTCGATGACTGTATAGACTGGATTGAAGGCGTTGCTCTTAATCCAGACAGTGATTTTGGGGAATTCATTAGGATACAGTCCATGGCCCCCGAATGCCCAGCCTCTCTTTCAGTCTTATTGCAGAAGCCCGTTCAGCGATTACTCAGGTATCCTTCTCGCTTCAAGGTCAGCGTCCGATCCCGGTTGTTTGAACTTCTCTTAAAACAATTTTCAGGAATTACTGAGTCTGACGCCTCATCGTCATCCTGATCACTTGAGCATGTTCTCATTACTTCATAGCACCGAACTGGTCATCAGGGTTCTTCAGACCGTTAAACTGCGGGAGTCGGAATACACAACAGTTAAGCACTTGGCTGCAAAGATTCATGGCCTTCCGACGGAGTTTGAGCTCGCCAGCAGAGAGCGAAGATTAATAGCGCAAGGCCCTCTTCTTAGGTTACGTCCTGCAGAAGGGGATCCAAATAATGAGATTCCACCTTTACGTACTCCTCTCATCAGAAAATACAGCCCAGACCCGTTGTCACCAGACTCTGGCTCTCCTACTTTGGGATCCAAAAAATACAAGGAACGTCACTCGCCGCGTCGTACACCCAAGAACACTTATGACCACTCCATGTCTAACATCCGACACCGTGATAACACTCCCGATACCTCGGTAAACATCAAGGTTGTGATAACAAAAGCTGAAGAGCCAGAAGCCGACGGAGCCTTTGAAGAGGACAAATGGATATACGCCTTCGTCTTCACTGACGTCGTTGTCCTTACGGAGACCCTGGAGTGGACGGCTCCAATCTCAAGGCATCATGGAATGGATTCACCACTTGAGGATTCATGGGATCTGTTGGAAGACATTGGACTAGCTCGAGTTCTTGGCTTTTCTGACCTATCGACTCAAGCGCGTAAGGGCTTCTACTATCGTTGTGCCTATATCCCCTATAAATATGTTTCCAGGAGGCCACTTGATTGCTGTGGATCTTCTGCCTCTGGATGTTGGATCAACCGAGCATCTCCATTCCTCCGCCACTCGGACGTATTTCAGTTTGCAAGCTTCATCGGAAGTGGGTCCAAACAACGTTTCGACTGTGCTGGGTGATGCTCGTCAGCAATGGAATGTCGCCTTCGGTCGGTGCTACGTCTACACTTTACGTTCTTTGTGTTTCCCAGAAGCATACAGTATGGATGGCTCAAGGAAAGATACCCGTCCAAGAACGATTTTGTCCGTCTTATCATCCGGTCAACCCCTCCCAAGGAGCCCCTCACTACAACTTCAGGACACACGGCTGGATTCTGTTAACCAAGAGCGAGAGGAGCGCGTTTGGTGGGCTATGCGCTTTCGTCAGATCCTTGAAGAAGTGACTTCGAGAGATGATGTTGAGGACTTCACGCCACCTGTGCAATCCGACATGAAAGACAACGTTTTCGACGACCACAATCTGGCACCAAATCAAGCCTCAAATCGATCCACGTCATTGTTCAAAGAAGCAACATCAAAGCTTTTCCGACTCAGGCGATAACTATGTCTATATTTATTGTATTCGTGTATGTGTGTACTTCGTTACTTTTGTTCGTCACTTCTCGTACAACTTCGTCCAAAAATGCGTACAAGCGTGTTCTCTGCGTGACCACTACTTCAACTGAGCAAGACTGGCAAGTAAAACGTCCTGATCGATTTTTGAGGCTGAAAGGACGAGCGCGTCAGAGGTAAACAAATGATGGAGGAAGGATAGTCGTCACCTTTGAGAACAAGCTTGGTGAACCGTTTTGCGTCCTCCGGATGTTCTTTCTCCAGGCGAGTAAGAGCTGTGTTTTCCATCTTCCACAGTACAGATGGCCGCTCTGCGACCATCGTGGCATTTCTCGGTTCCCCAGCAAGTGCAGTTAACTCTCCCGCCAAGGTACCAGCCACGCAACTCTCCTCGACAACATCAGCGTGTTCGCCAAAGATGTACGTAGCTCGAAGGATGCCGGATTCTATGAGATATAGTCCATCTGCGATATCACCTTGGCGGAAGACAACCTCGCCAGGTTCGAAGATCAAAGGTTTGAAATATGGTGTGATGCGGGAGATAAAACCGTCATCCAAGTCGGTATGTGTTGGGAATGTTTTCATGATGGTGCTGAAGGGTTGCTCATTATGGTTCGGAACTTCTTGTGTACCTGAAGGAGAGTATGAGATCAATTCCCAGTGCGAGAACTAGAGAAGCGACTGACCAGCAGGCGTTTCCATGATTCTTAATCCCGCAGCTCGGACGTGTATGCGACGCGGTGAGTTTGTGAAAGACTCGCTAAGGAGGGATGGTACATCGAGATGTCTGTTACGAACGTCTAAGAATGGAAGTTGTAAGACGCGGAGTGAATAGGGGATGTTGCAAGGCGAAGGGCAACTCACTGATAGGGACGTTTATTGCATCTTCCTGTTTGTGGGCCAGTGAATTGAACCATAGCTTGATATAGGCATTCTCAGTCCACTCAAGTGCCTACCACGTGGGAGTGAGTGCAACGACCCTGCGCCAAAATCGTCATGAGTACTCACTTCGTTCAGAGTTGCAAACACTTCGGTTTTTCCTTGCCAGAGGTTCACAGCTCGAAGTGCCTTAGCTACATTGGACGTAGTCGACTGACCACAAAAGACGAGCTGAACGCGACGAGCTTCGAGAAGTCGATGCAAGCGAACAAATGCCTCAGCGGCGGAAAGATCCAGCCCACTGACCAGGGTGAGGTCGATGATGAGGAAGCGAATCGGATTTTTTTCCCACGTCGCGGCTTCGAGATACGCCCGGCATCTTTCTTCCACATTAGATATCGTCCCTGTACGATCAAGTGGGATGATCTTTGAGAAAACAGAATAAGAGATAGGCTCCATGTGACTATACCCACCAAAGAAAAGGAACCCTAACACACGTGCAAAGAATAAAAGTCAGAAACAAACCATCATCTTCCTAGAACGTTTGATCGTTACCTTGAAGACGCATGATGCAAGTCTGGGTCCCAACTTCCTGAAGATATCTCCGATGCGCACTTGGCCTTCTAACGGTCGACAGAGCCGTTGAACCCTTGAGATGGATTTGAAACAATCACAGTGGCGTCAGAACATGACTCTTCTTGGCCTATGAGCAGGAAGCACGTTGCTTACCGAGAAGGCGGTCCTAATGGACTCTCCTCGTGAATTTTGAACAACAAAGGATATGCACGCCACAATGATCCCAAATACAACTCCGGACACAAAGTCATACTGTTCCGATCAGAAGTTCCCGGTCTATAAGATTTCGGCCGAAACCAGGAGGCAACTTTCTTCCGACTTACCACAGTCATAACGGCCATGATCCCTAAATAACCCAGCGTCAGAGCGATAATATTCCATGCGAAATTGCGAATTCGACCTACCGAGGATGGTAATATACTCGGAAGTGCTAGCCTTTTTCCGTGTCTCCCAAGCCGCTTCAACAGCGAGGTCGATACCCAAAACGAAAATCAATGCTCCGACTTCGATCACCGCTGTTTTCATGATGCACCAGGTGAACCCTTCAGAATGAACTGAACTTCCAAAGAGCGGTGTAGAAACACGTACGGATATAAGCGATAGGCCCAGTTCCGATGAACAGCAATCCAGCAGTAGCAATTGTAAGAAGAATTCCAGAGTAACGCGTCGTACCGCCCACGCGATAGAACCTTTTGCAAGTGAACATCAATCCAAGGCCCGAATAGATCCATCATAACTGGGGAAACAACTCACAATAACGTATTCACATACGCAAGATAATTGCTTGGTACGCCAGCGAATCCAGCAATGAGGTTGCTCACACCATGCCCCGTCAATTCGAGGTTCAAATCTACGTCATCCTTTCCCAAAGAAACCCCTTAAGAGAAAAAAAAAAAAGCCGCCCACGTTCAGCTCTACCCCCCAAAAACAAAAACAACCATCATCCGGACAACTTACCAAGAGCTGGGACATTGAGTGGCGGATGCAAAATGTTGAAAAACAAAAGGGCCAATTGGGTGGGCATTGTTGCCCAAATCGCTTTCCAGCTTGTCTCATGAAAATCTTTTTTGCACGAGCCAGAAAAAAAATTTGTAACAGTTGTGGGAAATGAGGAATGTAGGGGACTTTACCGAAATAAGAGTAAAACCTGTACCAAGGCTCATCTGACCCTCCAGTATTGAAGATCCACCCACTTTCCCTAAGCCGATTGACATCCCAGCCTCCAATGGCCACAATGATATAGAACACAATGGGTAACACAACGAAATCTATTGCCGATCAAGTCACCCGTCAGGAACACAGCGAGCCGAAATGAACTCCACGGGGGGGGAGAAAGTCAGATGAACTCACAAGCTGGGAAAATCAGCTGATGGTGATAATGGTGCGTTATCACGCGAAGCAATACGGCGGAGGCAAACGCGGGGACCCAAAGCACCAACACGTGCAAATCCATAAAATACATCTTGAGCAAGCGCCATGTAAATTCAGCCTTCTCTTCGCCCATTCCGGCCGAAACGTTGATTCCTGTTTGAATCAGAAACACGCCGACGCCGCCGATACACCTACGAGAGAGAAGAAGGTAAGCCATCGGGGCCGAGCAGAAGGAAAGAACAAAATGAGAGGCGGAGGCGAGATGGAGGAAAGAAATGAATTGAAAAATCGCGCAAGGTCTTTTCGTTAAATCCTCACCCTACTAGGATATGCCTTGGAAAGAATCCAATCACCGAGCCCAATCTCAGCAAACCGAGAAGCAAGAAAGTTAACCCCGTCAAAATGGAAGATAGAGCGAAGGCGACCATGGTCGTAGCGATAATTTGCATCCTATTTTCCTCACCGACGATTCTCATTATTTCCGTCGTCATGAGTTGGAAGAAGGGGATAACTTCGATGATCATAGATCCGGCGGCGCCAGGAAATGAAGATCCGCCCAAAGAATACACCAGCTGGGATATCACCGTACTATGGAAAGGATTGAGGAAGGGAGGGGGGAACAATTAAATTTTCCGACTTCGGGAGAGAATGTAATTCGAAAAAACTTTACCTGAGAAAGAACATGGATACACCAAGGGACCCGAACCCAGAGAAAATAGGCCCAGCAGGGAAAATAATGAACCCGTAGCTCACGGCATCCAAGATGTTCAATAGTAGTCCAAGTAAAACGGAAGGAATTAATCCGACGGTGATCAGCACGCCATCGAAGAAAGCCTTGGGAGTCGCATGCGCCTTGACAACCTTGGTTCTCGCTCGAAGAGTGTTCATCGCGCGAACGTGTATTGGCATGTCGCTGTCGTCATCATTAGGAAGGGAAATCACGAAATGATGTTCGGGTGGCGTTTCAATGTTCGCGGCAGATGTACCATACGCCACGGTGTCGGCACGACCATGAGCGAGTAAAGGCGTACGCATAGTACTACTCGTCATCACCTCCGTCCCCGTGGTCACCATGCCCTCTTCCTCATCAGGTAACTTCCTTTTCGCGGCAACAGTGTGAGTGTCGGAAGGGAGGAAGAAATGGATTCACGTGATGGGGGGTCAGTGAAAAGCAAAGGTACAGTCCTCCGTAGCGAGGATGGCGTGGTGGAAGCATGGTGGCCATCGAAAGTTTCGGCAATGTGGGGTGGCGATGCAATTGGCAAAACTTGTCGCGAAGGGGTTGGGGGACGGACGGTATCAGTGCTAGCGGCACTATCGGCACGTTCGCGTGCCTCACGGGCGAGTAGCATGGTCAGTGCCGATCGGTTAGTCGTATTTGGACTTAGAATTTTTGGGGTGACTTCGCCTAGGACGGGAGTGCCTCCTCTTGAAATAGTAACCTTGGGAGAACCTGGCACCGATGGGGTCTCTTGTCCATGACTGAAGGACGTCGAGACACCAATAGCGGTGCGAGAAGGGGGACGTCTTGGAAAGCTGGTACCAGTAGCAGTTACTCTGTCTGTGAAGGAATGATATTGGTGCGCGGGCAGTAAGGAGGGAGCCGGGGACAGCAACATATCAGAGAGAAGCGCAGTGTCGTCTCGAATGGACTCTCCAGTGTCGGAGTATGTCACGGGGGAGTTGCTCGGCTGAGAAGGGACTCGCCTGGCAGGAAGGAAAACATATATACGTGTCAGAAGGTAATGGTTGGTATAGTTGTTCAAGAGGAAGGAAGAGAAGAGGATAAAAAAAAAATAGAGCCGAGTTGCCACAATTTGAAAAGTTAACTCACAAACGTTCCTGTCGCTGGGGGGTCCTAGTGAGAGAGCGCCTTGAGAACGATGGGCCCGCACACTGAAATAACCATCTTGAGTGTGGGATGGACCGTCGTCTTGGGTTGCGTCAGCCGTAGGAGAAAAGGCGCGAACATTACTCATGCTCGCCACTGAAATTTCGCCATAGGAAGGAGAGGGTCTGCCGGAAATAGCAAAACCCCACCTCGATCGCCAATCTGAGTTAGGATCTGACGTATGATGAGGTGTAGAAGGACCTCCATGAGGCACAGAAAGCAGGAGAGCGTTGGGATCTCTTCCGGGCATGAGTTTCGCAGCTGTCTGTTCTGTGACCTTGAAGACATCTCCTTCATAATCTATGGAAGCAACCCATAGAAAAAGAAAAAAAGCAATTCAACAGAAGAAAATTTAATCAAGAAAGAATTGTTGCAATTGTCGTAATGATGATCGACAAACTGAATTGGATTCAGCAGTCAGGCTGAATCGCGGGAATAACCGACCATTCCCACGCCCGAGAAATTCAGCTGATAATCTTGAACGGTGGCTCTCAGTCGTTGCTCGTTAGCGCTCCATGCAAATCCAGAAACACAAGCGAAAAAGCACGCTTTCCATTCAGAACCGATAAGCGCCGATGACATTACTCAACCGCTTTCATTTAACCGTATTCTAGAACATTACAATCACAGGGATCCGTGCACATATGACAAGGTCAGATGGCGAATACAATTCGTCAACTGAACAATGTAGCTTTCGCTTCTGGTTTGATTTCCCTTCCCCGTAATGCCCCCATGATGATTCGCAAATAGCGTCATATCAACGTCCGCACCCTTGTAACTTGGTGAACTAAATCAAGTGTGCATCGCCCAAACGCACTAGATGCTCGATTGCGCGATATCGGACCAAATGAATGTCACCACGCTCCATTTCTAGTGTGCTTCCGCTGAATACCACAGGAAACAGCCGAGTTTCCTTTAGCTTCCAATCATGACTCATAAACAAACAACAAGCACCCACTTTGTCAATGTAACAGGTTGACACCGTTTCTTTGCTCGTACGAACACAGGTTGGTCAAGGTTGGGCCGGGTGACTAGACATTCAAGATCCCCAATCAAGGAGGCATGTCATCACAAGCCCCCCAAGCCACGATTGGAAAACAAGAACACAGCATACGCACCCATTTCCGGTACCCCCGGTTCGTTATCCGTCAACGAGCGCAAATTTTCGGGTATCCCGTTGAGCGCACAAACTTCAAAATGTTTCTTCAACATTTCTTGGTACCTGCCCGAGACGGAACGAACGTTCATGGCCACGTTCCTTCCCCTAGACGACACAACAACAAAAGATGCACGCACCGCTCAGCGTGAGAAAGTTCAATTACAGATAATCGGCCGCGTAAATCCGGGGTCGCAATAATATGAGCTGCATACTTCTCGACCTGTAGAAAAAGGAAATTTTTTCGTAAGCTCAGGGACCATATGTCAGCAGACAGAACGACTTCTTCTTCCTTACCCCCCTCAGGCAGAGTGATCCAAGTGGAACAGATCAGGCAAAAGAAAACCAGACCCACCTTGTACAGTCGTGTGCGCAAGTACGATCGCAACAAGTACCGTACACGTTCCGCCTCGGTCTGAATCAACACGATTCGAAAGTGCTCTTCTTCAGACGTTCTTGGATCGGATTGTAAATGTTCCACCATCTCACTCTACACACATTCCCCCGAAAATGGAAGTCATGAACCAATTTACCAGTCACGCACACACAAATGAACAACAACAACAACAACAACATCCCAAATAGGGCGCAATCTCTCTCTATATGCGTGTGTGTGTAGAACAAGCACTTAGTGTCAGCGGTGGTGGCGGCGGTGAACAATTGGTAGTGATGACGACCAATCGCAACAGCGCCAGGAAGATCAGGGACCAGCCCCATGATCATGCACCATCAGGAGGACACACAACTGGAAGGAACGAGAGGGGGAAAAATTGTTGTAGGGGAAAGAGAAATATAACAGGAAGCTGACCTAACCTGAGCCTGCAACTTATCGAGTACTTCTTCCACCATCAAACCCGGCCACAGGAGGATATCAGGCGCACTCCGTTCGTCCATCCACAATCGCGTTAGTCTATCCAATACACCTTCCTCTTCCTCTTCCGCCCTGCCGAAAACATCTATCTCTGGCCCCGTTGTTGAGCCAGCGCGAAGGATCTGATTCAGCTCATCGGGAGGTGATCCGCCGTCGCGTCGGTGAGACGTCGCCGCGCGATTAGAGATGTGATCATCGATATCCATTTTGCTAATCTGGGGTGGGTGGGGGGAGATCGCGCAGCCAAATGAGCTCAAGATGAATAGGAACGATCCGAAATATAAGAATGTCCCCGTTTCTGGCGTGGGGTCGTGGGTGATGGTTGGTAGTTTGTCCCGATCCGTAAACTCTAAAGCGCGAAAGAAAAGAACGCAAAATAGGTCATGTGATCAATAACGGAATGTGCCGACATTCGCACCAGCACTGCCATTTTGGTATTCACCCTACAGAAAACAAAAGATGTCCAATACCATCGCTTTGTACGCATCGGGTCTCCCTCCCAAAACCATGTAATGCTATGTATACTCATTTAGATCTTCTTCAAGGTATCCGTTGTCAAATTTCACCTTCAGGTGAGCAACATTTTGAGCAAGCGCCTCCGTTGGCACGCAAAAAAAAAAAGATGAATGACGCGCCTAAATCTCAAAAACCGACGTGTTTCGTTGCCCGTTTCCCGTTACGCGCTTAATTTTCTCCTCCGTCTCCTTTCTCAGTACGAAAGAAGCTCAGCCTGAAGAGGATCCCTCCGTTCAAGCCCGCCTGCAACGCCTTCAGAATAACTACGAAGATTATGGTATGCGCAGAACGGTCGAAGGTGTCCTAGTCGTACACGATCACGGCCATCCGCATATTCTCATGCTCCAGATTGCCAATGCCTTCTTTAAACTGTGCGTTAGTTTTCGAACCCACCCCCCTTCCTGACACGCTCTGTATCTGATGATTTTTTGAACGCGTCTTTTTCTGATCTGATTTGGATCCTGGATTTGGGGCGCTCGTAATTCGATAGACCGGGAGACTACCTCAAGCCTGGCGAAGATGAGATAGAAGGACTTAAACGCCGTCTAGACGAGCGCCTCGCCCCGATCGAGGGTCAGTACGAAGTGGACACTTCCACGGAGAACGACTGGGAAATCGGCGATTGTCTGGCTCAGTGGTGGAGACCTAATTTCGAAACTTTCATGGTGACTTTTTTCTTTTTTTCCCTTCAACCTGCTGGCCAGGACTTATCTTATCACTCTCTACTTATGTGCACCAACTAATTCCAAATTTCGTTTCCTCCCACCCTCCACTCCCTGCTATGTTACGGCTCTGATCTGCCCTTCTTTTCACATCAGTATCCCTTCGTTCCTGCTCATATCACCAAACCGAAAGAATGCAAGAAACTCTTCCTTGTCCAAATGCCTGAACGTAGTACGTAGGAAAAAAATCCATCTTACTATCCCTATTCTAATCACATCAATTATCCCCTTGCACCTCGCACGGGACCCTTGCAGAAGTTCTTGCTGTACCAAAGAACATGAAACTGCTCGCTATCCCGCTTTTCGAACTGTACGATAACTCTGCTCGGTACGTATTAATGTTTCCCTTCACATTTGGCACAAAAAAAACTCTTTTTCTAACATTTCTCACTGCACTTTCAGCTATGGTCCCCAACTTTCTGCTCTTCCGCATCTTCTTTCTCGGTAAGTTTTCGTACGACATTGCTTCATGATCTCCTTGCAAAACTCCCTCAAGGAATTCACTAAAAAAGGCTCCAATACAGGTATAATTTCATATATCAATGAGAACTTTGCGCGTTAAGTTCTCGCTCGCTCACTTGACGAACTCCCCCCTCATCAACTTCTTCCCTCTCCAAGACAGACTCTGTCATTATTTTATCACCTTGATGAAAAAAAGGTCCTTTCTCTTTTTTTTTTTACCCAGAAACTCATTTTTCCCCTCGCTTCCATCACATCATCCACTCGATTCACGTTGAACGCTGGCTGATAGCGATAGCGCTCCTCATGTTCTAAAATCCATGTTCCAATAACTTTGTGTAATACAAACAACCAACTGGGCTCGAGTTCCAGCTAGATGTCTTGTGTCGCGTTTGCTATGTCGTCATGATTTATGACTTGCCCGCTGGTTAGACTAGTTGATATCGCTGCTCCTCCCCCTTGACTTTCAGAGCTTTCACCTTGCCAGTTATTCCCTTTCCTTCTCCGTGGTTGAGGGGATTGCCTATGATGGTTAATCAGTACTGTACAGGCTACCAAACAATGAGAAACTCCAGGCAAATCCATAAAACTAAAGTTGCCTAGCTAGATATATGCGTGACGTCAGTCGTATCAACTTCAAGTGTGTACATAACAGCACGGAATCAGCCGGGAGCAGTGCATATATCCGATAGAACGGTATGACGCCATAAATGCATGCCATTGAAGTACTTGGTACCTTATATGACACTATACATAACAATTCGCGTTTAATTTCGCAGATTATGGGCGCAACTATCATCTGATATTAGCTGATCTGATGTTCTCTGTTTGAAATTGGACTGAATATCGGACATCTCGGTGTTGACAGGTTTTCATGGCGCCCATATCCAGATATCGCCGTTTTCTTGACGTTGGAGTCCCTTGTCTCGAACGAACAGTACGCAACATTACATAAGTAATTCGAAACGAGAATATAAGTGCTGACACTTTGTCCAGATATGTATTGTGCCATCATGACTACGTCATCCCCGATAGTGACTTCCAATCTGTCATTCCACTCCACCCCCCCATAGGTTTTGGGTACAGCACGAGCAACCTCAGGCTAATACTACTTCGTTGGTCAGTAGGTTCACTCGGAGAGAACGCGAAGAATCCCTTCAGCGCCGTCCGATTCATTGACCACAAACCCCCCAGCCCCCAGCGGATCTGGACCAGCATAGCCCCCATCTCGCGGATGAGGTCCATCACAACGTCAGTTACCTATACTTTGGTGGTCCTAAAGTCAGTACTTGCATTAGCCGCGTTCAAGGTAGCATGAGGTCCTTTGGTGAGGCACGTAATCTTGGGACTAGACACTCAACCATGGCTATCGGAAAGAAGGATGAAAACCCGACGTCCGCGATCGCTCTTGTGCAGGCGGTACACCCTTGTATATAGGCAGGGGGAGTTCGCCATTGACTAATGTTTAGTTTGGTTAGAGAGCTCGTGCACGAACATCGTACTAGGCTGCCGGTCTAGCACACTCATTCGCTAGTTTAAAATTTCCCGTGCTATCGATCGACGACCTAGGCCAGGAAGGCGTTTACAAAACTCGCGATCGAGCGAGTTTGTGACCAGTACCACTAAGCAAGTAAGACTCCAGCCTCTATGACTTTGTAATCCCCGCTACGGAGGGTCCCCTTCAACCTCTTCCCTCAATCTGTATCCTCCCCATGTCTTCGTATGCTGCTAATCGCACAGTATCTGACCCACTTCTTCAGCCCTGCGCGGCCTCGTTCAAATCAAAAGCTACGCCTTTTGAACTCGATCTTTTTTCTGTATTCCGCTTGGAGTTGAGCAATCACTTCAGGTTAACGTAATTCTGAAAGATTTGTACAGGAATGAATTAATGTCGGTTTCATGGACTCCATTGCCATCGTTGTAGTGTGAATTTAGCATATAATTCGAATTAGGCTCCCTAGCCGGTATCATTCGAGAACCATTCCTACGGCGATTGCACCGAATGACTATCGCTTGGGTTTCGATTTAACGTGCAATTTCAGTGATCACCATTATGCGGGTCATATTACTACATCATGCCTGACGATGTGTAACTATCATCGTTCCCTGGTCCCTGCCTCTTCTTCATCGCCAATGGCAGGAACAATGCGTCGCCACTCGATGGCCGGAGAAACTGGCTAAGAATGCGGAAACGCAGTTACCGAGGAGGCACCCCCCCCCCCCCCAACACCTTGCGACTCCATCATGCGTGCCTGCGCCCTATCAATCTGCATAATTACCAGGCTACAATTGTTATGAGGGTGCCCCTCAAACTGGATGGCCGAGCTTGCATTTGGATCCGATGAAGTCCCACGGGGTGACGATTTCTCACGGGGTGACGATGCGCAATTCACAATGCGCTTTCCCACGGAAAAAAAAACGAACCCCCTCTGTAAACAAACGCCTCGCAAGCTCGGCCAATAACTTCTCCCCTTTTCACGGAGACTAGCCTATCCAATCTATGCCCCACATCTCTTTCTTCCCCTTGGTGTTGGTATTACACATATGCCCCGAAGGGGTGATATCATATTGTCTGATGGCTGCCAAGATCCCCAGGTTTTTACTATTCTGATCCTCATTTGCTACCTATGTTCCCCTCGCGGGGTAGGAATTCATTGAGTCACATGGGAAACGAGCCAGGTAATTGCGCGTCCAGCGCTGCGGACCAAGCCTGCGGATATGGACGACCCGTACACAACTCTGCATGTGTGCGTAAAATACCATACCACATCGGAAGCCTGCACCCATCTACAGAGAGTAACGGCACCCACCATGACTTATGTTATAACCAGGCTGCTGTTATGGGGGTTGAGGTGATGATGATGATGATAAATCAGAATCTATCTTTAATACCCCGCGGCCTCGTGGGCAGTGCGGCTATCCCGTCCTAACACCGGAGCGTATGGGGGGAATATCTATACATGATGGTATTCTGGTTGGTGTATTGTGGTTGGTGTATTCGGGTGTCAATGGTCCTCGGGTTCTGTAGTGTCCATAGGTATTGTCGTGGTGATAAAAAATAAAAATGAGAAATGGGAAAAAGTGAAACGGTTCCGTCTGACCCCTGCAAACTCTGCTCTGCTTCGTCTGTCCTGTGGGTCGGTCGGGCGGTGGTGGTCCTCGCGATGTGTTTGTTGTCCTCGGATTTAACGTTTGTCACCTGTCTTTGGATTTGGATCCGATGTTGGCGGTGATTACGTTCCCATGAAAGAAATTTAATAGGCAGGACTCCAGCCTCTCTGACTTCGTAACAATAAAGAGAGGCTGGAACCAAACCCCAGTTGATGAATGCGGATTTTTACTGAATGGTTGTCACAGTCGAGAAAGGGTCCTCACAGTTGCCATGGGTTACTTAAGCAATACAGTTTAAGTGAATGGAAGGAGAACTTCGGGATGAAAGATATTTGTTTATATTTACAGTACAAACAAGTGCAAATTCTTTTCTCGATCCCACAATGGATGCATTCCAAGTCAAGATCCCTTCTCTACCGATATTCTACACGCCTGGTCAGACTGGGAATCTTGCAGGCTATAGACAACAAAAAATATTTTCTAGACCTCACCCCAATGAAACTTACAGCCCTGCTACCTCAATTCCATCACGGGGCCGTCCCAAGCACAAAGCTGCAGAGGACCAGGATTCTCCAGTGAAAAAAATCTGCGAGAATTCAGGAAGAACTGCTGTTATCGCCAACCAACGGGCAGAGTTCATTGGAAGCCCACCAGAACCACTCTCACCATCAAAGCGGCTTAACAGAGAAGACCAAGCCAGGAGCTGCAACGCATTCAATACCATCGAGTCGGAATGGATGGCATCCAGTTCTTCCCAGACACCGACGGAGTGTGATAAATGGCAAAGTACCTCGAGGTGCCCTTCATGTTATAGCTCTGCCCCCGAGCAATTATACCTGCTGGGCAGCCAGCCCAGGCCCAAGCCTCTGGCAACAGTAGAACTGATACTGTCGATACTGAGATCGCGGGATATCACACTCGGCGAGTTTCTCATTACGCTTTTTGGGGATACCACGCACTTAAGTACATCAGCAAAGGAGATGCTCAAGTGGTTCATAGGGGGACGTACCGTGAAGAACCACCCTGTTGACATCGTCCATGCATTATACAGTCATCCATGGGCCCGGCCCCAGCAATCGTATGAACCCACCTATGACACACTGCCAGAATACGCTATTCCAATGATGAGTTCTCAGCCAGGAACTCATTCAGACATCAAGAACACGTACAGCAAGCTACAGGAGTACTTTATTGCACGCGTTGTTGACCGGCTGGAGACAGAAGTCAGGGCTCTTCTCAAAAGCCCTTACTTGCGTGCAAGAGACACCGCGACAAGCCGATTTAGCTGGGATACGGTCCTAGACTTCTCTGTTAACACAGTCCAGAAGATGGCCCTCAGCGTCGCACCTGTGACCTGGATGTTGTTAACATGGATTGCAGTTGGTGGGGAGAGGGCGGAGCAGCTGAAAGAAGCGAAATTAAGGGACTCTGGGAAGGGACGTGGGTCGAATCACGTACGAGATCCCTATTTAGTGAGTGAACGATTCAGTACTTGCTAGCGAATTAACTGATGATCGTGTGAGGGATGCACCGTTGTGCTGATGGTGCTGTTGTACTTTCGTAATAAAGGGTTAAACAAATTCCAGAGCATCATGGGATTACTCATGTTCTCTGAGAATTCTTCAAAGTCATTACAATCCATCACTGGCTGCATCGGACTTGCAGTCGCGAATAGCTCAACTCTTCAGCGCTTATACTCAATGAGCGCGGTTGCATCCGAGAAAATTCGCAACATAGGGGCTAACTGGGTCAACAAGCTGGCTTCATTCCATGTCGTTTATGATAACATCAATCAGTACCATAAAGACTGGCGGCCATCCCTCTCTTCACAAACATGTATGGAAAGTGGGACTGCTGCCACCTTGATCATGCAGCCTGGCGTGGCTGCAGATGCTTTCGATGGTTTTGAATATGAGGAACGCCGGCGGCACGTCAAACGTGATGACATCACGTTAACGAGGATTTGGGATGACGTTGACCGCAAGCACCTGGAAAACGTCTGTGTCATCAACATATTGCGTCTGTTACTCGATCACATACCTGGCCTGAAGCGACACAAGAACGACTTCGACAATTTCAGGCAAACTGCTGCGATTCACCCAACGCCACTCCAAATCACCGAAGTTATCCCCCTTGAGACGTCGGGCTTTGATGAGGCAACTACTATGGGAAACCGTCAGACAATCCGCGACATCATCGAACGCCAACTTGGGATCCCTCCACATGCTGTCGAAGGACGACTCATACCATTCTCCGGTGATCAGGCCACAATATCACGCATCCGAACCCTGAAGCGCCACACAGCTTCAGGGTCTTCTTGGTTCTCTTCAAACCGTTATGTCCTACCGCTTATCGAGCTTTGGCACATGAAGTTCGCAATGCTCAAAGGGATAATTAAAGCTCACTGGCCAGAGCAGACCGAAAAGGGCGACGTTGGTCTTCGCTTCGCTGCCGATAAACTTCGTCGGAATTTAAACCCCAACAAAGTGGATTTCTATCCCGCTGAGAGACTCATTGAAGTTGTACTCACAGCGATGACGCTAAATTACATCAGGTATTTTTTACTTCCCACTTCCTCCTTCACAGCTCACTCGTAAGTTTTCTTAGACATATACTTCGCCAGAAATCTTTGAAATGCCCTGTCCGGGAGGACAGGAAGCCGATGCACCTTACCGAAGAACTCGAGGCATACACAAAGGAAGGAAACTTTCTCCATTCATGTAGTTTCAACGATCTCTACCGCCTTGCTTGCGATGCATACCATGCATTTGGCTCGACACGTTCCGGTTACATGGCCTTGTCACCCGATGTAAGCGATGGCCAGTCATACTTCGCCCGCTTCATCGATCCTCAACTGGACTCTCTCTTCCCAATGCCAGAAGAGCCCTCGATTGTATCCAATATGGCCCGACGAAGCTGTGAGCAGGGTGAAAGCGATGAAGACGATGTGGACGAAAGTGATGACGAGGCTGGTAATGCCAATGACTGCATCGGAGCATCAATGAATATTGATTTGACTTTCGATAATGAATCTCTCACCTTCGAGATGCCAAACAACACTCGTGGCGACATCTTAATGCACAACAATGCATTTCTTTGGCGAGATTTGCTTCATTACTGGGAGCTCAAGAGTAGTGTGAAGGAAGGAGATGTAGGACGGACGTTTGAAGTGATTAAGGTGAGAATAGTTGGAATTTGGGATTAAACAGTGCCAACTAACCAAGCAACAGTGGCTACGCATGTGGTTCTTCGGCGTTGGGGCGAGCAATTATGGCCACGAACTTTTACATCAAGCGATTGATTTATGGTTCAATTTCACGGCGGCGACGAAGAAGGCAGTCTTTGACTGGTACATTTTGAATGTATCAGGGTTAGTTGGGGGGCGAAAGGAGAGAGATCTCCTTCAGGAGCACCACAACCTTGCAATCAAGCGGGTGCATAATGGACGCTTGGCAAGGTTTGATTCGAGGTTCATTCGGGAGGCCGTCTCCTTGAATGTCGTGCCACTGGGTCAACTTGCAAACACGATCAAGGATCGGCTTGGTCTTCACAAAACCGTATCGAACCGAACCGATGCCGAATTGACAGCGGACATCAACTTACTGGGTCACTCGTACTTAGTTCAGCGACATCATCTCTATCATCCAAACCGATCACAATCCTACTTGGCAATTGATGCACTCTCGCATGGTTATGCAAAACTTCGCAATGGGGCATTGAGCAACTTCTTGGACAAGTACATGACTTGATAGGTGAGTATTCTATTTATGAATCAGTGCCCAGCTGTCTATGCCTGCTTTTCTAATTGCAGGGTTTCGTCCATTAACAGGCCACGTGCCGATCGCACTCTCTTTCGCTTTGACTTCCCCCCATCTTCCATCTCACCATTATCCCCTGTTGGCTCCTTGGACCCTGTGGCACGCCCTGCCCCTCCGTCACCATCTATCGCTTCGGCACCATCACTTGCATGCGATGTTGAGGGCTTCTCGCGTGTAGCCTTCTTTCTTGTCAACCTCTTTTTCTGTGCCTCCGTTGCCTTGACACGTTTAATGATAATCTCTTGCAATTCCGCGTTAAGTGCTTGAACTTTCTCCCACAGTCCATCTATCTCGGCTTCCGACAGAGGCCTGACTGATAACCAGGTTCTGACCACAAAGTCTAAACGCTCGCGCGTGGAGATCGTGTATAGCCGCTCTGCAAGGCCACGAATATCACCATCACCGACGATAACTTCAGGTGAGATATCATCAGGAGAATCAAAGCTGAATGGTCGCTTTCTCCAGACGCTGTGCCTCCAACTCAGCAGATCATTTATTGCATGCTCGCGAAGGTCTTTTGATGGCTTACGAAAGTTCTCCCCAGGCAAGCGGCTAACCTGCTTGCTCTTTTTCGGCTTTTTCCCAGAAAGAACGGCCATGTAGTCTTTTACCATGGCGAGGTGGGATTCCATTGGTCCGGGTTCACACCGTTCACAGCAGTTTGCCACTTCCTTGAACTCGTCACCAAAGTATCGGCATAGTACCATGCGGGGGCAGTCACTGGGGTGAGGATTGAAGAACTCGACCAGCGCAGGCTGTACCATCGCTTGTACTTTATCACGACGCTCGATCTTCGCCGCTGTGAGGCCCTTAGCATTCGATGGCACATATGTCTTCAAATCTCGATGCTCAGCAGGTACGACCTGGAGATCTTCGTTTGCGTACACAACTAACATCCCACCACTGCCATCCCGACTTGCTCGTCCTGCCCACTGTGTCAACTCTTCGACCGAGTTGGGAAGATCGATACAGATGACATTGGTAACACTCATGTCAATTCCGACATTAGCACTAACGGTAGCGACAATGTACCGGATGGAACCTGCGCAAAGGCCGGCAAGCACTTCTCGACGGTCGCTGTCATCCATTTCCGCGTGAAAGGGCGATACCATCTTTGATGCCACTCCACGGCACTTGATCACATCCGTCCAAGGCAACCCTTCTGCTAGTTCCATCACAAGCCACTGACAAAGCACCATTACTTTGTTAATAGTACGGCATGCAAAGAGGGTCGGGGTAAGATCAAGCGATGAATTGATGATTGGGGGAATGACCCAGGCGAGGTCAGGGAATGTCGTCCCTTCGGTGGAATTGAGAAGGAAGCGTGGACAATATTTCAGGTCAGGGCGGTCAATGGGTAGTTTGATATCATGGAACTGATTCTTCTTGAATCCCAGGATTCCCTGGACTTTGGTACGGGCATCATCATGAAGGGAGGCGGACATTGCAAGGAAGGTGATCCGTGTTGGTAAACGCGCGCGCAGTTCACATAATTTCAGGTAATCTTTCCGGAATGTTAATCCCCATTGAAGTACTAGGTGGACTTCATCTATGAAGATGAACCCAAGCTTCCGCATAAAATTCTCATTCCGGAATAGCCGAGCCACTGGTGGGCTTTGCAGCATCTCCGGGCCCATTCCAATCACATCCCATATACCGTCACTAATTTCTTTCCACAGATCGCGACCTTCCTTGGCTGCCATGGAGGCAAGGATGTTGGCGCTCACTCCGATAAACCGGACGCCTTTCTGACGTGCCTTGGCTTCCTGGATGCCAATTTGGTTTGTAAGTGTATAGCATTGTTGAAAGCAGGTACTGACTTGGTCAATTATTAGTGATTCTGTTGGGTAGATAACCACCGCAATGTAATCTTTTTGAGCAATCTTTCGAGCAATCACCGGCGCTAAGGTGAGGACGGACTTCCCGCTTCCCGTCTTGGCTGTTAGAAATACTTCCTGTCCTTTGAACAGGTCGAGTGAGTGTGAAATCTGCCATGGTCGGGGTGCTGCAATTGTCAGCCATTCCTTAAATATTGTACACATCCATTCTTCGGATCGAGTCTCGAAATGTGCCAAACTCCTACGAAATTGATCGAGCTTGTTGTCGTATTCATTCTGCTTGAGGGATGATGCGCCCTCGATAAGTGCACTCATATGGCAAGTTTTTTAGGATAGATACAATATATTCGGCCACCCCCGCCATCACGCTGCTAAGGCATGACTAGATGAGAACCCGAGATTTCCCGGCACGTGATTCATTGTATTGATTAACAAATTGGGACATAGATACAAGGACCCTTTATGAGACCTTAGCAACAATTTAAAAAAAATCCGCATTCAGAACCGCACTGATGAGTCCCAGACTAGAAATTTAACCCCATTATTGTAAACAAAAGCCTCGCAAGCTCGGCTCATGAACATAGATGTGACAAATCTGTTAGAACCATTCTATTTCAGGCACTGTGATTGATCATTCCAAAGGCATTTTACAGAGACCTACACAACCAAACCTTGGCAGGCAGCTGGACGAATATTCGGACAACTCGAAGATTTCTGATTTCTGCATTGGTCACTTCCCGCACAAGTACGAATCGCACCAGTACAAATCGATGTAAACATACGAGTTTGCGAAAGTGCACGACGCATAATGCATCTTATTGGTACCCGGATAAGTTGGGTAACACGCCCCGCTTGAGTTCGAGGTTCGCCACCCATCAAGCGTAGGGAGAACTATAACGTGTTCCCCGCAAATTGTGCCGTTTATGTATCCGAGCTGGACGTACGCCTCCCCGCCGTCGCTCTTGCCAAGTGACTGAAGGCAACCATCTGTTAGGAAAATCATTAGTTAAACAGGATAAATTTTCATCTCTGGCTTCAATTCACCGTGGTTCCATGGGAGCAAAACCCACCATATATAATACACGCCGCTACCCCCGAAGATGGGGTCTGCAAAGCGGGCTGCAGTGACAAAGCCGAAGTGGAAATCAGCCGCGACGATCGGAAGCAGAGCGATTGCAACCAAGGCATTCCAGAATCGCATGGTGACTTCGGAGCACTGCCAGCAGGTAATGTTGGTGAGTAGCTATGTAGGGCACATGAATCAAGGACTTCTGACCTCGGTTTTGAGCGGAACGCCCAGAAAACTGAGAAAGAGGGGGGACCATCCCTCAGATGCTTTATAGGAGATTTCGGTACCTTATCAATAGGACGCGTAGTGGATCGGATAAAACAAACATCGGTTAGCGCCAAAAGTAAAGCCATGTGGGCACCAGTTCCATATGTAGCACCAGTTTTTGGTTTGTCGCTGCACTAAAAGATGTTCTCCACAACGACAGCACACGCCAACTGCGTTGTATATGTAGCACCGGTTTTTGGTTTGTTGCTGCACTAAAAGATGTTCTCCACGACAGCAGCACCCCCTGAATGATGAAAAACTTATGTTTGTTCAATAATATTGACGTTCCTATTTTAAACGGCCTCTCCAGGCGGGTGACCAGCCTCCATTAACAACCGTTAGTAATTCGAGATTTAGACTGTCGGTGCATCCCATCGTTGCTTTCCAATGATGCTTCGCCCCCCCGACCGCACGGTTCTGATTGGTGGTTTTTGGGTCATAAGTACTCCTTTTCTGAAGAAGGATTTCCCTGGCCTTCCAGAGTCTGCCTTGTGTCGCATATGGCATATTGCTTTCATTCAACTGGTCAGTTGTATTTGGAGTCATGTCCAAAGACCCTTTGGCTCTCGTCCCCGCTTGTTGGTGTATTCTAGTTGATCTGGATTGCTGGCGTGCGAGTCTTCTCTGCTTGGTTTGTTGTTTCGTGGATCGGTCAACGAGGCTTAACTTCGTCTTAGCTGTATCTAGCGGAGTTGTCTGGATGATATTGTAATATTGTAATAGGAGCATGTGAGGTTATGTAACTGACGCGCCGCCAAACCGTCGATCTTTCCATCAAATTGGCAATGTCTTTGCAGCCGATGTTAAACGTCGTGATCATCCAAAAATGGTAGGAAATCAGGTATATACAATACTATTCTGATTTAGCGCAAGTGGAAACCAGGCCTGCACAGAGGCCAAGAAGCACAAATCGCTTGAAAGATCCACTTTCAGACAGAAATACACTAGTTGAAACCGTGATAACCCATACCCTTGTGTTCCCAGACTTCAGTATGGGCAGTGCACTAAATGTTGGCCCGTTTGGATGAACCTTATTAGGCAGGAGAACCTTATCCCCGTGAGAACCTGGGGAGATAGATGTCCCCAGAAACAGGCGTTCGGGCCCAAATCGTTGAAAGCGCCGTAAATGATGCACGCGTCGTTCGACGCGTTCAGCCCCCGATATGACCGTATGTTTCCCTGTAGATAGGCTTTTGATCACTGGTTTGGGCTCGGCGTCCTATCCATTACAATAGGTATTAGGGGTCATATCCGGTGGGCACAAAATCCGTCGTTCACGTTTTGTGAAATCGCATCTAATCTGCGCAGCACCCCATTTCCTTTCCACATTACTCAAGGCCATCACGCGCAAACTCATTCGTCCCTGTTGGTTATCGTTGGGCTTATTACCCGTGCCAGGCCTCTCGCCGGTAAGGGCACTCTCGTCAAACCTTCTGCCTGTATCGACACCCCTCACAACACACCCTGCATTCGCCCTCAATCGCCCTACAGATATCACTGAAGGATCCTCTCGTCGCAGCTAACTGAAGACGACCGGAGGTGCTTAGTGTGTCGCTGGCGCGTCGCGGTCGAAGCACGCTCTTCAGCCAATGGAGCTACGTCGTCTGTGTGGAACGGTGATTGCTTTTGACGTCCCGTGCAGTTCCATAGCCTTTTTGTAGAGATACCCGACTAAGGAGGGCTGGAGGCTGCACCCTTGCACCGCTGGCGTCTCGTTGTCGTTTCCTTCGTCCAGGCAACGCGCTGCAAAGGCCGATCTCACACTCCGATCCCGTACGGCCCCCTTCACAGGCACAACCTCTACGAACCGCCTCGTTCCCACATTTCGTCTGAACGGCGCATTACGCGACACACATACCTACTTGCCCTGCTCCTCACTCGCGCACAGAGACTTAGATCTTGCTCTATGTTGTGGGACATCCCCAGAATAGCAATCAAATCTCTGTGTATCGTCTACTGCCATTGGACGGGCGTAAACGGCCTCAACCGGCGGAATTGTTGGTAGTTGTCGCAACCCTCTGCACACCCCCGTTTTCCACGCCACCCCCTTATCCAATTTGGATTAGTGGGATCGCATTCACATTGGGTCTGAGTGACCGCGAACTCCTCGGTCAGTGCTGGTCAATTCCTGACGGTGCAATCGGACAGAACCTGACCCGACGTGTGCCCCCTACCGCTCCGTGCCCAATACCCACACAGAATAACCGCTTTTGAAGCTTCAGCGCCCTGGCTTTATTCCCCGCTGCAACACGACCGAGCAATCGTTCCAGCTCACCTCGTTTGGTGTCCACCCTTATTGGTATGCCCTGCAGCCATATCCGCATGGCTATTCAGCTGAGCGCGCATTTCCTTTATAGATCAATTAACAGCGCGACCCGCGCATTCTTGTTGAAGGGCCTGCCCTGTTCTTTGCTTTGACCTGAATGCGTCAGTTTTCCAAAGCAACTACACCATGCCGAGGAGATACAAACTTGCAAAGCCTCCCGTTTCTACCTCACCTGCAAAAAGGTATCACCCATATAATTATAATAAACCTAAAAAACATGGCCATCTCCTTAACCCCCAACCTGCACGTTATCCTGAATTCTCAATGTCCAATGTCCAATGTCTCAAGCTCGTGATAACATCGCCCCCAGCCATCACGACGGGTGGAGATAGCAGCCTCCGGTGGCTCTGTGGTGATCCAACGCTGGGGACCAGGAATCCAGTCCACCCATCGGTGGCAGGTCCCAAATCGCCACGATCATGTGGGGAGTGCGATGCAGGCGTGTACCGACAACATCTCGACTCCCCTCCCCTCACCGCAGGCTCCAAAAACGGAGTCGCCCATATGGGAAGAATCTCCCCATTCTTTGGTTGGAAAATGCCGCAGAAGCCACCATCCCAAGCTCAGACACCCCTTCATTGCCATCAGCTTCCAAAAAGCGAAACAAGAGAGCATTTCGGAACCCACAAAAGCAGGCAGCCTGGCTTCATTAGCGCGAGGACGTGATATATAAAGCAGTGGGAATTTACTTATATTTGGAGGCGAAGAAGGCAGGACGCATATCTCTTGGCACTCCTGGTGAGACTTTGTCCAGATCTGTACTGTGCCCTCATGACTACGTCATCCCCGATAGTGACTTCCAATCTGTCATTCCACTCCACCCATACACTTTGGGCGACCCGAATGGGTTGTAATTGCCACAAGCAGAGATAAAGGTAGTAACTGAGGGAAGGATTCTTGCATTAACGAATGTTCTCTATCGGTGACCTGGTTTTGGGTATAGCACGAGCGACCTCAGGCTAATATTGCTTCGCCGGTCACTAGGTTCACTCGGAGAGAACGCTTCAGCGCCGTCCGATTCATTGACCACAAACCCCCTGGCCCCACGGCGGATCTGGACCAGCATAGCACCCATCTCGCGGATGAGGTCCATCACAACGTCACTGAAATGGGTTACCTAGACTTTGATGGTCCTAAAGTCAGTACTTGCATTAACCGCGTTCAAGGTAGCATGAGGTCCTTTGGTGAGCTTGTGCAGGCGGTACACCCTTGTATATAGGCTGCCGGTCTAGCACACTCACTCGCTAGTTCAAATTTCCCGTGCTGTCGATCGACGACCCAGGCCAAGATACGAATGGTAGGCGTTTCAAAAACTCGCGATCGAGCGAGTTTTTTGACCAGTGCCACCAAGTAGGCAAGACTCCAGCCTCTATGGCTTCGTATTTCCCGCTATGGAGGATCCCCTTCCTCTTTCCTCAATCTGTATCCGCCCTATGCTGCTAGTCGCACAATATCCGACCCTCTTCAACCCTTGTGCAGCCCCATTCAAATCAAAGCTATATCTTTTGAACTCAATCTTTTTTTGTAATGTGAGTTTATCATATAATTCGAATTAGGCTTCCTAGCCAGCATCATTCGAGAACCATTTCTACGGCGATCGCACTGAACTAATATCGTTTAACATGCAATATCAGTGATCACCACTATGCGGGACATATTACTTACATCACGCCTGACGATGTGTAACTACCATCGTTCCCTGGTCCCTGCCTCTTCTTCATCGCCACTCGATGGCCGGAGAAACTGGCTGAGAGTGCGAAAACGCAGTTACCGAGGAGGTACTATACACACCCTTTTTTTCCCCAACACCTTGTGACTCCATCATGTGTGCCCATCACTTATGCTATACATAGATGTGACGAATTTGTTGGAACCATTCTATTTCAGGCACTGTGGCAGGTGATTGATCATTTCAAGGGTGTTTTACAACAATTTTTGGCTTACACAACCAAGTCTTGTCAGGCAGCTAGGTGAAGATTCCCGATTTTTGCATTGGTCACTGGGTCTCTTTGCACACGTACGAATCGCACCAGTACAAATCGAGGTAAATAACGCTGTTGGAGGCTTTACACGTCGCATAATGCACATGGGGGGTACTCGGATAAGTTGGGCAACACTTTCCGCTTCCGTTCGAGGTGGGCCACCCGCCAAGCGTAGAGTAAACCGTAACGGGAAGCCCGCAAAGTGTAGCGTTTACTATTGACCCGAGCTGGACGGCCACCCCGTCGTGGCCGGCCGTATCCTGCCTAACCCAGGGGGGTGCAAGGCATATGCCTGACGGCAACCATCTGCCAGTGTTAGGAAAACCATTGGTTAAACAGGAGAAATTTTCATCTCTGCATGACTTCGACCCGGGGAGCAGAACCGTCCAAAGTCGGGCCTTGCCGAGGCCGTTAGCAGTGACAACGCCAAGGTGGAAATCAGCCGCGACGATCGGAAGTAGAGCGATTGCAACCAAGGCATTCCAGAATCGCATTGTGACCTGCCAGTAGGTAATGTTGGTGAGTAGCTATGTAGGCCACATGAATCAAAGACTTCTAACCTCGGTATTGAGCGGAGCGCCTAGAAAACTGAGGAGAAAGAGGGGGGGAACCATCCTTCAGAGGCTTATAGGAGATTTCGGTATCTTCTCAATAGGGCTAGGATGACAATCCCGGTCAGCGCCAAAGAAAATACTAATTCCCTTCCAGCTACAGCCTACCTTCCGGCCCGCTCCCAACTGCGCTGTCTATGTAGCACCAGTTTTTGGCTTGTTGCTGGCCTCTATACAACACCCCCTGTATGAGAAACTTAATTTCCTATTTTGCATAATCTGCGGGTCATAAGATTAATCTCAGGCCTGTCGGCCAAACCGATCTTTCCATCAAATTGGTAATGTCTTGGTCGGATTATCATGGTGCCGTTTCGGCAACATACCCTGCACGCGGCGCAAATCCCACACCCCCGACTTGACACCGCCTCTCCGCGCGATGATCATTCTGTAACATAGCGCCGCCTTACTATCTCCGCTGCAGGAGTCCGGGCACATCCCAACATTCAACTTCACTAGCACAGTATTCTGTCACTGCACTGACCGATCTCGTCTGCAACATGCAGATTGTGTCCAATAAGGTGAAAGCTGATTACATCAACGATAAGAGCTTCTATGGATAAATATATTGCACACAAGGATGTTGTGAAACTATCATAGTAAATGATTCGGCGGCAGAGGGCAAGCATTCTCGGAGACTCTAGCTCTGTGCCCCCCCCCCGTATTACTCGGTATGCGCCCGCGCGACATGTACGTTGTGCCTCACTTTGTGGTGTCGTGAAAGGGGTTCCACTGGGGTGCGATTGCGGGTGCGAGAGTTCAATGTGCTCTGGGGAATATTCTTTCAGGTTGTTTTGAAATTGTTCCCATTCGTTTGCACAATGTGTTCGGCTTAGCACTACCTTTGTAAAGTATGACATGATTATAAGGTAAACAAAGGTTTATTCCGATCTGGTCCTAAAAATGTGATGCGAAGGAGAAGGACATATAGAAAATTGGGCATGCGTCTGATCATATTGATGTGGGGATTCAAGATGTGCTCACTGATAACAGGGGCAATTGGCAGGAAAGGAACGAAACAAAGATGAGGCTAGAGATGTGAGGGCTGCTCAAGGGAGTTCCTGTGAACTTCGGGATAAGACAGAGCGAAGGTGCTGATTATTATTCTGCGGCTTCGTCCTCGTACTCCCTTTCTTCCTCGACACTAGAATTCAGTGGATACGTGAACTCTCCTTAGTTCATCTTCTGTGAGAACTTACGCAGCATCCTGGTACTGTTGATATTCAGCGACCAAGTCTTGTAAGTTGGATTCCGCTTCCGTGAACTACGAAGCCCATGAAGTTTTATAAATGTTAAACATGTAACGGGAAGGGGGGAGGAAAGGATTCCTCACCTCCATTTCATCCATACCCTCCTGGGTATACCAATGAAGGAAAGCCTTACGCCTATGTGAACGTGTGAAGATGTTATTTCAAATAAACTTCAAGAATGACGAACCTGAACATTGCAGTGAACTGTTCATTGACTCGCTTGAACAGCTCTTGAATGGCAGTTGAATTACCAATGAAAGTAGCAGACATCTTGAATCCACGAGGAGGGATATCACATTGAGCAGTGAGAATGTTATTAGGGATCCATTCCACAAAGTACGCGGAGTTCTTCTGTTGGATGATCCGCATTTGGTCTTCGACTTCCTTCATGCTCACTTTACCACGGAAAATAGCGGCAACCTGATACAGAAGGCAATGTCATCCGAGTCAGGTCATGGAGCTGGGCACGAAGCGTACAGTAAGGTATCGACCGTGTCTCGGGTCAGAGGCAGCCATCATATTTTTGGCGTCGAACATTTGCTGGGTGAGCTCGGGAACGGTGACGCCACGGAAATGCTGAGCACCGCGAGCAACAAGCGGCGCAAAGCCAACCATAAAGAAGTGTAAACGTGGGAAGGGGACTGGTAATAATTAGTAGCTCCAGAAAGGAATTGTGACGAGACGACGCACCAAGGTTGACTGCCATCTTTCGCAAATCCGAGTTAAGTTGGCCAGGGAACTACGAAGCCCGTTAGGGAGGAAAGCCTGAACAGACTCAGACCACAGCTTACTCGAAGGGAGGTTGAGATGCCGCTCATAGCGATGGAGATGAGGTGATTCAAGTCGCCATATCTGGGTGTGTGGAGCTTGAGCGTACGCGTGCAAATGTCATACAAAGCCTCGTTGTCAATACAGAATGTCTCATCCGAGTTTTCAACAAGCTGATGAACTGAAAGCGTAGCATTGTACGGCTAGAAGGGTACAGTAAGGCCTGTCTGAGATAATCGGCGAAACCTATTGAACATGCCTCGACTACTGTATCAGAAACCTGAATCGAAAGGGTTCCATAAGCGAGGGGAGGGAAGTCTGTTAGACGGTAGTCTTACCTTCGGGCTGGGAACCACGGAGAATGTACACATCATACGGTCCGGATATTCCTCACGAATCTTCGAGATCAAGAGAGTGCCCATCCCGGAGCCTGTGCCACCTCCCAACGAGTGGGTGATTTGGAAACCTTGCAAGGAATCACAATTCTCTGCTTCCTTTCGTACCACATCCAAGACGTTATCGACTAGCTCGGCACCCTCAGTATAGTCTGCAGTTCACAGCACGATGCGTCCAGAAGTGGTCTCAGAAAGAAACTCTGAGAATGGCTTACGGCCTTTGGCCCAGTTGTTTCCTGCACTGCTTTGTCCAAACACAAAATTGTCAGGACGGAACATGTTACCCAATGGCCCTGATCGCAAAGAATCCATCGTCCCAGGTTCAAGATCCACGAGTACAGCCCGCGGAACATACTTGTTTGCTGCATGATCGCAAGTCATCACTCAGTCAAATTGAGTTCTATGGCAAAATTACCTCCAACAGAGTTGTAGTACACGTTGATCTTCTCTAGTTGCAAATCGTTCGTGCCACGGTATCTGTGTAATACGTAGTTGTTGGTTAGGCACCAGAATCACTCGTTTGAAGGGACTGACACGCCATCGAGCTCAATGCCATGCTCGTCAGAGAGTATGCCCCAGAACTTTGCACCTTTTAATGAATAACTATCACTTTGGGACCAACGGAGAAGAATTGTCAGGTTACCAATCTGATTCCCGCACTGTTAAGTGGAAAACCGCAGCAAGGAAAGAAACATTGTCCTTGAGTTTCTGCATCAAGTGAAGCAAAACCTGGCCATTTACCTGGCCAATTTGAAGATGGACAATCTCGCGCATCCTAAAGGGGAAAAGTGAAGATGATCGTCGTTAGAAACGGGGTCGTTACGAAAGATATGACCCGTGTTCGGGGAAAGATCGTGCCAAATGCCAAACAAATGATGCCCTTGTGAAGGTATGCTGGCTCAATCGCTTCGAGCATGCAGCATGTGGGGAAGTGGTATGCCAGTTGTTCATAAAACTCACGCTGCAGCAGTGCACCTCGGCTTTGCTTGGAATGTCGATATATTTGATTTCGAATAGCGTTCTATTTGGACAGCTACTTTGCATCCGCACAAATCTTTTCGCACGGACCGCCTATCTCTCGGGCAAGGACACACTTTTATGGCTTCAAAGGGTGAGAAGGAAACATCGTAGTTATGTGCATTCGTATAGGTATCTTCATCTGACGTGCAAACTAGAAGAGAGTAGAAGAGAGACCAAGGAGTAAGAATATGAGGAGAACGGAGGAATTGCATTTTAAACGGGTAACTGGAGGGGAGAATGGAGCAGCTAAGACCATCTACTCTTGACCTTCTTGTTCATAAGCACCATCTTCGTACTCGGGATCGTCCTCAGCACTGTCAACGGTTGACGTTGAGCACCTCAAGTCAATGGGAAAACACAATAGCACATACACGGCATCCTGATATTGCTGGTACTCTGCAACCAGGTCCTGCATGTTTGACTCAGCTTCGGTGAATTCCATCTCATCCATACCCTCCTGGGTGTACCAGTGAAGGAAAGCCTTGCGCCTGTGCGGTCACCAGTTAGTGGTCCACCATTAAGTAGATGCCGCAGAAACCACAGGGTAGACTTACTTGAACATCGCTGAGAACTGATCGCTGACGCGCTTGAATAATTCCTGGATAGAAGTTGAATTACCAATAAAGGTCACCGACATCTTGAATCCGCGCGGAGGAATATCACATTGTGCGGTGAGGACGTTGCTAGGAATCCATTCCACGAAGTAGGACGAGTTCTTCTGCTGAACGATTTGCATTTGGTCCTCCACCTCCTTCATACTGACTTTCCCACGGAAGACGGCAGCAACCTTAGAAGCAGGGAAAGTTAGCCTCTAAGAATCATACAGCTCAAAGTCTCTGCTTACAGTGAGGTATCGGCCATGTCTCGGGTCAGAAGCGGCCATCATGTTCTTAGCGTCGAACATCTGTTGCGTGAGGTCGGCAACAGTGACGGCGCGGAATTGCTGGCTTCCACGAGCAGTCAAGGGCGCGAAGCCAACCATGAAGAAGTGAAGACGGGGGAAAGGAACTAGAAAGCAGATCAATGAGCAATGAGTCTGAAAATTTTTTCATGAATGAAACACGAACCCAGGTTGACAGCCATCTTTCTAAGGTCTGAGTTAAGCTGGCCAGGGAACTAAATCAAAAGTAATTTGATTGTGCTTCAATAGCCACCATTCCGTTTGAACGTACTCGGAGCGAGGTGGAAATGCCACTCATGACAACGGAGACAAGGTGGTTTAAGTCACCATAAGTCGGAGTGCTAAGCTTCAGTGTACGCGTGCAAATGTCGTATAAGGCCTCATTATCGATGCAGAAAGTCTCATCTGAATTTTCCACGAGCTGGTGGACTGACAGAGTGGCGTTGTAAGGCTGAAGGGATGGATCTTAAGCTCAACTCAATGCATATAGAGTTTGTTGTACCTCGACAACTGTGTCAGAAGTCTAAAATGAAGGGATAATAAGATTGCTACTCCCAAAGCAGCCCAGAAACACTGCGCACCTTTGGACTAGGCACCACAGAAAAGGTGCACATCATGCGGTCGGGGTACTCTTCACGGATTTTTGAAATCAAAAGTGTCCCCATACCGGCCCCTGTCCCTCCACCCAAGGAATGTGTGATTTGGAACCCTTGCAGGCAGTCACAGTTCTCGGCTTCTTTTCGCACCACGTCCAGAACGCTATCAACCAACTCCGCGCCTTCGGTGTAGTCTATATCCAAATTAGGGATCTAGATAAGGCTGTTGGAATAGATAGGACGCACGGCCTTTGGCCCAGTTGTTTCCAGCACCGCTCTGCCCGAAGACAAAGTTGTCGGGGCGGAAGAGACCACCCAGAGGACCAGATCGAAGTGAGTCCATGGTACCAGGTTCCAGATCTACCAAAACAGCACGTGGAACATATTTATTCGCTGTGTGTCGAGAAATTTTTTTGATAGAAACTTTTAGGCGAAGGACTAGTGTGATCAATGCGAGAATCCCACCTCCAGTCGAGTTGTAATAAACATTTATCCTTTCTAGCTGGATGTCGGAAGTCCCGCGGTACCTGCGAAGGGGCACAAAGGTCAACAAGAAATGTGAAAGCGCGCCTGCTAAATACTGACACTCCATCGTTATCGATCCCATGCTCGTCTGAAACAACCTCCCAGAATTTGGATCCTGAAAAAAGTCATTGAGCCACATGCTAGATAGTGTGATCAAGGACACACACCAATTTGGTTGCCACACTGGCGGAATCAGGCCGACAGCGAGTGATTTGAAAAAAATTTGTGAGTTTTCCGCAAAACGTACCACTCGCACACCGCAAAGCATACCTGACCGGTCTGGAGGTGGACGATCTCGCGCATGCTAGAAAGGAATACCGAAATTGTGAGCAATCAAGAAGCGACATAAAGTAGTCAGAGAAACACGCGATTTTGGCGCGTCCGAAGATTGATCGTGTCATGTTTCGAGTAGCAGCCCGGGTCGGATGACGTGAAGACCCAAATGGCATGTCCAATGACAAGCATCGCAGTGGACGACGCGTGTCAAATGCTTAAGAGACTTACGTTTAAGAGAATCCCAGCTGGGTGATGGATTTGACGAAGAGAAATTGAGGAAGTTGGCAGATTTCTGATTGAAACGGAGCTTCAAATTCTCGGACCATGTCTTAAATCCGTTTAACTCCGAGAGCATTTGCATCTCCCATCCTGTTGCCGCACTTGTCCAGAATTCACTCATAGAGTCGAGCGACTCTATGCATGAACTTCAGGCCAAAACAGAAATTTGAAGCAAATACGACAGTGAATATCATGCCTGCAGTCGACTTCATGGCAGTTTCCGGAAGCAGGTATAAAATCTTCTCTGGAGCTTTGCCAGCCAGATATGCTGAAGTTGTTCCCGTGAGTGTCATCTTCCACCCCATATCCTTTTTTTCTTCTCCATGATGAGTAAACTTTATGACTGCTGTGCACCAGACCGAGCTTGTGCAAACAAGCGATGGTGACAATTACCACGTTTCCCTACAACCGCTTGGGATTCCTGAGTCTGTCTGCCCCTCGCCTGATCATGGTCCGGGGTTTCACAAGCTGACCCAATTTTCTAGAACTCTCTGTTGTTCTGTACCGCTCTTTCTGGCCATCATTTGTACATACTACAACGATCCGCACTAGTTCTGCATATTTTCAAAACACTAGCAGTTGGGCGAAAGAGAATTCAAACGTCATAGCAAAATGAAAATGAGGATAATATTGTCCATCCATCATGATTTGTACCACTGTTTACGCAACGCTCAGTGGTCTCGCGATTTTCTATGCAAACCGGTAAGGGAAGTCATGCGCGGACTTTGCATCTACACACCTGTACTCGCCCTCAGCGGCTACAGCGAGCTCCTCGATCTCGCCTTGGACTGCTTGGAGGGTTTCAGTGATCTGTGAATGGTACAGTAGCTATGGAGAGCGGTGAATCACAGGGGACGACGACGAGGGGTTCGCCTTACTTGAGCTTTGGCGAGCTCATTCAAATTCTTGATAGGCTCTGGATTCTCAAGAACCGTCTTCATCAATTGAATAGCAACCTCTGTCTTTTGGACGAGATCATCCTCAGCATTCTCAACTTCAAGTCTGGTGAACGCGCTGAGCATCGGGGCGTAGACTGGGACATCAATGACTCACTTTGCCTGGTCTTGTTTAGGGCCAATTGCACCCTTCAGCCTGTGTGATAAGGTAAGCGCCCAGCCAACTTGAATTATAAATGGCAGGTACCTTTGCTTGGCAGCGTCGAGCTCCAATCGGCTTACTCTAACGGCTTGCCTCGCCTTAATAGCAAGAGTGATCGAGTTGTTCAGCGTCACCTGCCATGGTGCTAAGAACCTATTGACAATGGCTACCAACGAATGAGAAGTTTAAGCCAACCAAAAATCACCCATCACGCAGAATGCTCATAAAAACGAACCATCATCCTGATCGAGCCTGGCAGCGCCAATCTTTTCATATGCAAGAGAGTATTCTTTCAGCGCTTGCCCGAGGCGCGTCTCCGGGCCTCCAGGTGCCTCCAGAGCTCTAGCAGCAACGGCGGCTCCTCTTGAGACGGCATGGGGAAGCGTCTTCACTGTCGGGGAAGTTGGCGGACTAGGGTTTGGAACGGGGAGTGCCGTTCCCTAAAATGTCGCAAAATCTTTAGCAAACTATAAAACTAATGTATACATTGGGCTCACCTTAAGGTTAGTAGCAGCAAAGGTAGTTAAGCTGTGTGAAACGGTCGCGCCAAACTCCCCGAGAGACTCTTGAATCTGTGTCGGATAATCATAGGAGCTATCTGCGTAGACCTTGGCGATCCTTGTAGAACAGCACATTTGCACTTATAAAATAACAAAAATCAACGTCCCTACTTCAAGAATGCCAAATGGGCGGCCTTCAACGCGTCAACTCGCGCCTCTAACTCCCTGTACTCAGAAGGAAGTTCCGTGATGTCCTCAGGGTTTACGGCGCCGAGTCGCTCCCTTTATCAATGAAGGGTAGAGGAAGGGAATGTAAGCATCGAATCATACCAAAACATCAACATCACGTATAAAGGATTGTATGGAAAGGAACATAGAAACTTTGTCACACCTGGTTGCTTGAACAGAACTTTGGAGGCCCTTAGCGAACTTATTGGCAGAATTACCAAGCTGCAGCCCCGATATGCTCGATTGGATCTTGCTCCAACCGTTCATTTTCTTGCCGTTGGAATAAACTACGAGGGTGTGGCTCTCAAGTTCAGAACGTCGTTGGCAAGGATCGGGTACAGCCACCGGAAGCAAGTAGCCTCAGCTCTGTCATACAAAGTCACAAAGTCTCTCCCGACCGCGGTTTCGGTCGCTAAGGGCCTATTTAGTGTGGGGCCGTGGCCTACAGATCCGCTATCTTCAGGAAAGCCCACCAGCAGCCGCGGCGGTCTGGTTTTGAGCCCCTGCACAGCATTACTCTAATGTGGCGGACATGTGTCCCTTGAAGGGAAGAATTGATTACCCGCTTACATAATTTTTGGCTGCAAATAGACAGCGGATGGTGCAGGTCGATTGGCTCATCCAGCTCCAGATACCGAATGGCCACAGCTGCTTGGCTCGATATAAGTACAATCGGCGTTTTCGCCCTCTTTCTGGGTGGTGAAACACCTCACTGTTCGGGTACCATTTGTACAGATGACTGCGTATGTGAATCCCCTTGTGGGGGAACCCAGGGATATCCGTGGAAATGTTCCTTCATGTTTACGCATAAATATACATTTACAAGCAAGAAGGCACGAAGCTGGATTCCACAACGGTGTACTCCATCATCTATCTCATGCCGTTGGATCGGAGCAAGTCCCGCAACTAAGACTTGTGACGATGCAGATCGGGACTTCAAAGTATCGGAATGGCAGAGGCGCCCTTTTCGGACGTGTAAGGTCCTTAGGCTAACTTGAAGTTGGGTTTGGATTCCACACTTCTGGTGTGGTCTCGCGTCCTTCAGCCGTTTGATATTTGCAGTCGCGAATATCGTAACGATGGCGAGCCAGATCAATTCGTCGGGGAAATGCAGTCCAGGACAAAGTCGGATTGACACGAGGTAGCGAACGCGACGTGTACCTGATTATCACCCACCTTCTCCCATACCGACAAAGGTCGGATCTATAGTATTTGGCGGGCTGACTGTTTTCATGTCGGAACCCCGAATCGCTCCGGAACGAATTTTTCTGGGTCAGGGTAAATGGACTCATCTACCTGAGACTCAGTGCTTAGGATCATAGCGATGCTCACCATCAGTTAGCAATGGCAGTAGCACACTGAGTTTCAAGGTAGGCAATACATCGTGAGGATGGGAGGTTTGAGCATGGATGAGTGAGACAACCTCTGGAATTAACAGACATACAGTGGATCAATTGTGAATATTATTATAATCGCACTTGTGGCTTTTACCTTCTTGAACCGGCCGGTATGGTACAGAAAGCGGAACCATTGGTTGCCACCGCAATGTTTCCTTGAAAATGGTTTGCACATATGGGAACTGGTCTCGGCTACGCAATGGCGGTATCATGAGAGAAACTCGTCGAGCCGGATGGTACTGACTCGGATAGAATGGGCAGTCCTAATCACGATGTCAATTTCCTTTTGAGCTTTCTGTTGGATTTCTGGCTTCAGTACCATCGCCAACCCAAATGCGACAACCGCTGCGGTAGAAATATCCCGGCACCTGCAACTGATTAAGTTAGGATTTCCGCTTACATGCATTAGCTTCTACCTTGATCGCAAGTTCGGTGGACTACTCACCCAGCAAGCCGAAAAGCCACTTAAGGATCCACTTTCCTTCTAGAATCTATAACTGCACTAAATGAACGGTTGTCCACGCCCGCAACCTTGTAACGAAATTTAATGAAAACTTTCCTCTGACGCCGTATGTCATTGTCTACGTACAATATCTCGTTCCACCTTCTCGAAGGGAATCTCGGTGCAATTACAAGTCACCTCGGCCCATACCTACGCCTTACGTTTGAACCCGGCGAAGGGGAGCCAAGAAGGCACGTACTTCACTGTAGGTGTTTCATGAATGGGAGTTGGCACCTTCACAGTGCTCGTTCAATAAACTCAGAATGAATTCTCATAGGGATAAGACTAAATTAAATTCGGGTAGGCCGGGCGTCGAACGACGCACGCATTCATGATAACGGGGGACATGGTGGCCATTGTTGAATGGGTTCCCACAGGACAGAGGAAGTTGTCAGCGGGAGCGGGGCAGTCAAGGCCTTTCCCTAATGTAGTCGAGGTCTTCTATCTCGCTTTGGCTCTTATTGTGTTTCCCTTTGCTGATTCCCGGATTATTAGCTGACGATTCCATATTCAACACATATCCCACAGCAGAAAGATATAATTAAAATGTGGGCTATTCTAGAGGCCTAGTAGCATAAAAAATGCCGAGCAGCTAACTCACAAATTGAGCGTGGTTCAATAGCGGTGGACCTAAGGAGGCAAGTTATTAGAAAGTTGGAGTGGAACGTAAGCTGATCTACCTCTTCACGCTCCCGACCACGCATGTAAGGAGGTTCGGTTCCTGGATAGTAAATGTCCGTCCAGAGGTCTTTTGGTACGGGCTCGGGAGATGCTTTCGACTCCTCGACTGCCTGGTCAACCTCGGTTTTGGCTTGCTTGTCAATACGCTGGTGGAAATTGGTGAATTGCGAAGGAATGTTAGAGGGCCTAGTGACACTTTACTTTCAGCTCTTCTTCTGTGGTAACGCCCCAGTCCTCAAGATATTTTTGAAGGCCTTTGATAGGATCTTGGGTGCTGCGCATGCGCTGAATCTCATCACGAGTGCGGTAAGTTGTACCAGGGTCGGACATCCTAAAAATCGTGCAATAGTATCAGAATATGGAGTTGCGACTGACGCAACTTACGAGTGACCACCATAACGATATGTCACGAATTCCAAAAGGACAGGTCCTTTTCCATCAAGAGTCCACTGCTTGGCCCATTTAGAAGCTTGATACGTGGCAATGATATCCATCGCATTGACCTGGAGACCAGGTATTAAGTCTCCACGCTTGAAGTATTCGGTGTTTGACGAGGAACGAGCAGCGGAGGTGCCCATTCCGTACTTATTGTTCTCGCACACGAAAATAACGGGAAGATTCCAGAGTTTAGCCTACAACGAACGAGTTGTTACCTTGATATTATAGAGATTGTATCACTTGCCATGTTGTATGCTTCGAAGACTTGACCCTGGTTACTGGCACCATCTCCATACAGCGCAAATGTGGTGACCGGTTTGTTTGAGTACTTCATTGCAAACGCGATACCAGCGCCCACAGGGACCTGAGCGCCCACAATACCATTCCCACCAAAGAATGACGGTGTGAAGATGTGCATGGAACCACCCTTGCCTTTCGACATGCCAGCCTGGCGACCTGGTACAAGCTGAGTGTCGCACACGTATGTCAAACAGGAGACGTGCCTAGTAGCTCCGCTAATACACCCTTCACACTTCCGCCACGAAGGACAGCAAAAGGATGGCAGCGATATGCAGTGATGAGAAGGTCCTGAGGAGTAATGGCATTTTCAACGCCAACGGCGACGGCTTCCTGGCCAATAGCAAGGTGGCAGAAACCACGGATGAGTTTAGCCTTATACAGAGCATCAGCAGCCATTTCCATTCGCCTCATTGTCGTCATGTTGCGGTACATCCCAATGAGCATGTCTTTCGTCACTTCAACATCAAGCGAGGGCGGGTCGCATCGGTATGAGTGGAACGAATCCTCGTGGAGCTTGAGGGTAAAGGGCTCATCCTTGGCCTCTGGTGCCTGCCCCTTTAACGATGTGGTATCTGCTGTTGTTTGCAAACCTCGGGCAATGGTCTGTAAAAATAAAAATAAAAATAATCGTGACGAAGCATAAGTTGTGTGGTTTGCCGGCCAATAGAATGGAGAGATGCGCACCAGCCTAGAGGACCTCACCCCTCGACGAGCAATTAGGCGCGCAAGGCTGGCCATGATGAGCACAAATTGCTTGGGGAACGGAGATTGGGGATTGAGGCAATTCCCAGACGCGTTTTCGCGACAAAGCGTCCCACCACGTGACGTTGCCTGTCTGCAGCCATGGCTGCAAGCGATGCGGCGACGACCACCTTAGTAAGAGCTTCAGTACCTGAGCGCCATTCACGCTGAATAGATGTTGTAGAGTCGCCAATTTTCTTTTTTCAATTTGTCTTCAGTCAAGGATGTAAACGATGCTGCGAGCTCCCCTGAAGTCGTTCGGGTAAGCAACAAGGATCCGTCAGACCAAATTGTGATTCATGATGTTGTGACTCGAAGTCGCCCTCCGAGATATCCGTAACGGCTTCATCATCAGTTGGGATTCTAATAGCCGACATCTATGGACTTGTGCACATTCTGGACCGAACTTGGGTTAAGCTCCACAGTTGGCAAGCTTTCCTTAATGGACGTGTCACGCATATGGCAGAAAGCCGGGGGATTTTAGTCAGCATAGGGGTGAGCCATTTCGGTGGTTAAGAATGTGAACTTTATCTACCGCGTCTGCTCAGGAAGAGGAGAGCAGAATCCCTCAGCTGAAGGTTTGGGACATCACACACAAGGATAAAAAGACAGGGAAACCTACCCTCCTCCGCTCTGCGAAAGTACCCTTGGGTCCTAAGCCGTTTCCGGTCCGCAAATATAATGAGCCCCTACAGCATTCCTTGCTCACTCTTGCTTAGGTGTCTACGATTGCGATTTCTCCTTCCCTCTCTCATCTTGCAGTAGGTGTGAGTGACGGGACGGTTCTTTTTTATCGTCATTTGGACCAGTCCCTCTTCTCCGGTGCTCTTTCGCTTTCTGCTTTACCAAAACCCAAAGTTATCCATGAGAACAGCAATGAGCCTATAACTGGTTTGGCCTTTCGTAGTTCCCCACCCTCATCAGCCGCTGATGGGTCTGGAAAGGAGCTGCTGCATCTGTTTATCGTCACTACCAATCGAATATTGTCATATCTGGTTTTGGGAAAAGGGAGCGGCGGCGTTCCTGTCCTGGTTGATGACATAGGATGTGGTCTCGGCTGCGCTGCCATCAATGAAAAACTAGGAGAGATGGCTGTTGCGCGGGATGAAGCTATCTATATGTGCACTCCTGCAGGGCGAGGCGCATGCTATGCTGTAGAATGTAAGCAACTGCATTTTGTCCTGCAAGGCATATCTGAAATAACGCCACGACCCAGGGCCAAAGTCGCTGGTTCGCTCCTTCCGAAATTACCTTGTTATGGTTTCCCCTCCCTTCTTCCCAACCGGTGCATCCACTCCAGCAACAGTCCGTAATTATGTCGCGAGGGCCGCAATCCCTACGGTTGCCCCACAAACTGACGTTAGCAAAGTGATTGTTTACAATCTCGAAAACAAGTTTACCGCGTACTCCGAAAGTGCTTTCATCGAGGGCGTTAGGGATGTGGTGTGCGATAGTGATTCCGTGTATATAATTGGAAATGATGGCAAGGTAACACGACCTTCGGTGAGACATCAGGCTAAGTTTAACGACATACCGTGCAGCTGTTTCGACTCGAGGAGAAACCAACGGTACAAAAACTTGCTATTCTCTTCAGCAAATCCCAATACCTACTTGCGATTAGTCTGGCCCAATCCGAAGGGATGGACGAGGAGGGCGTTGCCTCCATTCGCAAGCAATACGGTGATCATCTTTATTTGAAGGGTAATTACGATGAGGCAATCAACCAATTCATCAAGACACTTGGCCATGTTCAGCCAAGCTATGTCATTCGGAAGGTGCGAGATTAGCAGGCGTTCATGACAAGGAGTCTGACTGCGGCTCGTTGTCCTTACCTGTCCCCGAGCCAGTTTCTGGATGCCCAACAAATACACAACCTTGCATCCTATCTTCAAGAGCTTCACGCGTGCGGCCTAGCAAGCTCGGATCACACGACTTTGCTTCTGAATACGTACACCAAGTTACGCGATACGGAGTGCCTGTCCCAGTTTATCAAGATGGATTCCTTGCCGAAACAGCAGCCAGGAGATGCAGGCAGCGGGGATACGACGTCAAGATTCGAATTGCCCTTTGATCTAGATACCGCTATCCGTGTCTGTCGTCAAGCGGGTTATTTTGAACATGCTGGGTTTCTAGCGAAGAAGTATTCGAGACACGACGACTACCTCAGAATCCAAATTGATGATGCGGGGAACTTTGAGGATGCTTTGGTCTATTTGAAAGAGCTGTCCATTGATGTGGCAAGTACCGATCTCCAGTTGTGATCCCTCAAGCTTCTCAACCGATTTTGCAAGGCTTCGGAAAATCTATTGCGATATGGTCGGATCTTATTATCCAACTTGCCAGAGGACACAATGCAATTTTTAGTTGATATCTGTGCTGGGCCAGCTCCAGAGCAGCTCACCGAAACTCCATCGGGAGCCGCTCCCAACGGAACTTCGCACCAACGAGCCTCTTCTGGGATTCCGTTCCTGCCATATCTTACTTTAAACCGCTCGACCGGAACGGACAATGTTGCCGCAGGACAATTCTCTTCACCTCATCCAGCGTCCCACATCCATCCTGGAACCCACGATCAGGCTGACGTACAACAATTAAGTTCGGATATCTCAGGACCATCCGCACCTGCTCAAGCAAAGGGCTCCAATCCTATCATTCAGCGCCCATCTCCATCCCAGTTCTTCGCGCATTTTGTACAGCACCCAGACTACTTCATTCGTTTTCTGGAGGCTGTTGCTTTCCGCAAGTGGAACAAAAGAGTCGATCTGGAACATACAATAACCCAAAGCGGGAGGGTGCCTAACCCTGGCGAGGACGCGCAGAGTCAAACCGCTGTATGGAACACTCTCCTCGAACTCTACCTTTCAGCTGCTTCTGAAGCGGACTCCGGCTCGGATTCCAAAAACGGGACCTTGCTCAGGAAGAAGGCAATGCACGTTCTAGAGAATGATGATCAATTCTTGTATGATCCAACCCACGCATTAATCGTTTGCTCAACGCATTCCTTCACCGAAGGGCTGGTTCTTCTCTGGGAGAAAATGGGGATGTATGAAGATGTGCTTCGTTTCTGGATGGATCGTGCGAATTCCCCGGACAAGATTGATTCTAATGACCCATCTGCAGTGGACGCTTCTAGTCGAGTGATCAATTATCTAACATTATACGGTCCACAGCATGCACATCTCTATTCACTCGTGCTCCGCTTTCTTACGTCCAGCCCAGCGCTCCTGTCCCGTCACTCTGCGGATATTAAGAACATACTTGATTACATTGAACAGGAGAAGATTTTGCCTCCGATCGTGGTGATCCAAGTCCTGAGCAGGAACGACGTCGCAAGTGTGGGATTGGTCAAGCAATGGCTCATGACTCGCATAGCTGAAACCCGAGAAGAGATTGATGCTGCGAGTTGTTTTTATTGCTAACGTTTCAACGACTTCTGATTCTGCGATTTCTCAGGATCGTCAGCTCGTTGAGTCCTATCGCGGGGAGACGAAAGCGAAACTCCAGGAAATCGCTGAGCTTTCAGATGCAGAAAATCCTCGAATATTCCATGTCACTCGGTGCTCGGCGTGCGGAGGACAATTGGATCTTCCCAGTGTTCATTTCATGTGTAATCATAGCTATCACCAAAGGTGCGTGCACAGCGTTGCCGAGTCATAGGGCAGACCAAACAAGTTTCTTCCTAGGTGTCTCAGTGACCATGACACAGAGTGCCCCAACTGCGCTAAGAATCACAGCCTAATTCGGGAGATACGAAGAGATAACGAGGAATTTGCCAAGCAGCCTGACCTGTTTTATTATAATGTGGATAGTCAAGGCTTCGCTGCGATCGCCTCAGCCTTCTCGAAGGGTGTGTACGATATTCATTTGATGTATCTCAAAATTAATGGCTGCCTCAACGAGACAGGTATCATCGCAAGAGTCCCAACAGAAGGCGAAATGCATTCAATGTTGACCTAACCCGCTACTACAATTTATCTCGCGTTAATGTGCTTGGAATTTATCATCCCCCGAGACCTCCGTGCTGGCACTAACGCTGAATGAGTCGATGCTATCTTACGGGACGCCCAGTACGAATGGCAGCTTTTGAAATCCACAAATGAACCTGAAACAAGATCATTAGGACTCCAGTCTTGAACCTTGAGCCATTTGCGAAGCGACAACTGGTTTTATCCATAAGCCACCCTGTAACCAATGAAACCACGTTGGATGTTCGCGAGATTTCCCCAGAAGCGAAACGTACGCACCTGTGCAAATAATGCGACAGCAACCCTTGGCCATACTTGTTCAATGGCTTTTCTCCCTCCCGCATTACGCCAAGAATCTGGAGGACAGGAACCAGGTGGAGCACCGTCTTTTTGGCGTAGTTCAAAGGAATCGAAAACTTGCAAAAGCCGAATGATCACTAATCATATGGGTGAATATCAATATCAAAACTTGATCAGATCCAAGCTCTTAACGCTTACCAAAGCTAGTATGATGGTATGCGAAACTCTGAATAGGTTTGATTCACTATCAGTTGATGTCGCCGCCATGGACGCACTTACTTGTCCTAAGCACCTCTTGGGTCCGACCCCAAATGGGAGGAACGCCGAAGAATCGAAATTCATGGTCCGACGTTCATCCAACCATCGCTCGGGTTTGAACTGGTCCGCATCTTCACCCCATAGATCCTTGCGTCGTTGCATTAGCAAGAATGGGAAGATAATAAGAGTATCATTCCCAGGTATAAATATGGGTTTATCCTCCGAAGTTCGATCAGGGGGAAGGAGGAATGATTCCCTCGAAGCACGACCCGAGAGTACGACCGGTGGGAAGAGGCGAAGAGTCTCATTGATAACGGCCCGTACTGGAATAGTAGCGAGCAATCAGTTTTAGGGTTTGCGGGAATAGGAGTCGCCGACGAATTTACAGTACTTCATCTCTCGAATTTGATCGAATGATGGTAAGCCTTCAGGCACGGTGTCGATCACTTCCGCTCGTAGCCTCGAAGTAATATCAGGGTGAATGCTGAGAGCGTACATGACGAATGTGAAAAGAGACGCCAAGTCATCCCTTGCAGCTATCAACGCATTGAGCAACTGGGCCCCCACCAAACATGAGTTAGCTTGTGCATCGCACTGCATCAGAGGCAGCATTTCGAACCTCGTCTCTGATGAATTTCAAGTCCCCAGTAGAGTCAACGAGATAATCAACAAAGCTAGCTTCGTCACTCTTGGCATCGCCTTCTCGTAGTTCCTTCTTGTTAAGCGCCTCCATCACACGGGGCATGATCCATGAGTCCACCGTTTGAGTATACGTAGTGGTTTTGTTCTTGAAGAACTCCTTGACGGGCCAAAAGTAACTCGAACGTTGACGGTCCAGCGTAAGCACTTGAAGCTGATGAAATGCACGGGCAAATTCACTATAACTTCCTTTCGCGCTAGATTCTTGATCCTCTACAGTGGTTTGCTCTGGTTCTGGCAAAGGTTCGTCCAAGGTCCTAACAATATCAGTCCCGAACAACAACTCTCCTGCCACATCGAATGTGAAACGCCGGAATATGTCTTGAAAGTCCACTGGCTTATTTGACTGAGCGCGGCTGCGCATAGCCCCGATGCATTTCTGCAGATATCGATCGGAAAGTTGGAAATCCCTTGAACGCTCTCGTGCTGTCGAGTTCATGATGAAAGTGCCTTTTCCCCTGAACGGCAGATACCCACCGAAGAAGGGCCGAACGAGAGCCCGATGTGCTGTTGATGCCTCTCCTTGGCACATAATAATGCCATCACCAAATAGGTCATGCATTCTGAACAATACTAACGTCAGTCACTCAATCGACTAGCTTAGGGTGAATCTTACTGAGTCTGGGTGGAACGCCCAACTCCGAAATTTGAGTTTGTGGTGAGGACGGTTTTTATAATGCGGTTGTCCCTCGTCAAGTACAGGTCCGTCCAGAAGAACCTTAGGTTCAGTGTGTCACAGTTGTTTTCATTGAGTCGTCTTTCGTAGAACTCCAGTGCATATCCAGTTCTGTAGCTTTTGACGGCACTGGGGTGATTCAGGTCTAGGCCTGGATCGAGTATAATGATCACACAAAATAATACGCACTCCACAACGACGTCTATATTGCCTGGCCATTTGCCTCTCAAGCGCACCGGCATGACGCTCCCTCGGCGCGATGCCTCCAGCTCATTCTTAAGCTGCTTGTACTTGACATTGGCAGCCCAGTAGCTCAGATATACGAGAAGATAGGAGGAGATCCTAAGGAATGAACTTGACCTCACGACATAGGGAAGCACATCGAACAGCAGCAAGCCATAAACCAACACGGTCGGCGGCAAGAAGATATTCGCAAGTAATACAAGGAAGTCAAGACGGTAATTGATGTGAGATTGCATTTGAGCGAGTGGGGGAACCGCAAGGTGCCGAAATGTGGGCTCGCTCCATTGGACATTTCAAACATATTTTTGGTCTCATATCGGCGCTGGTATTTATTTAGTGAACGGTTCTGACAAGATACCACCCCAGCTCAATCCGCGTGAACTGATAAAAGTTGAGGTGTGGCGAGAAGTTAAATAATGCAGGTTGATTTATATAATTACAAGCACCACAACAAGAAAAACTTTACTATGTAAGGTACGTGCACCGTCGACCTATTCCCGATCTGAGGGTGCTTCGTGTAGAATTTCTTGGGAGCTCGACGTACGCTGTGAGCGCGGCGTTGTGTTACCTTTCTTGCATGGTAAATGCTTGTGCGCTATTCAAAGCGCCTCACTTATAAAGAGAAACTCTCTTTACCTCTTTCCTCAGTTCACGTACCACGGAACTGAGGTGAGATAGTTTTTTTCCTGTCTTGTGTCCTGATACATTGTATTTGATTTATTGTTAGAATTCTTGGTATTATGGCGTACGCTATGACCAACTCACGTTCAGTGATGTTGAGTCGTGTGGCGTCTTGGATCTTCGCCTATTATTGGACAACCCGACCTTTCCTCAGTTCACGTACAATGTTACGGGACTGAGGTGAGTTAGTAATTTCCTTCACTATCTTGTTCGCAGCATGTATTAAAGATTTGTCCACCAGCGATAAACTCGCTTTTCGTCTTATACTAGCGACATACATATCCCTAGGTAACTTTTAGTTCAGCGTATAAGTCACTTTTATTCCAACACTTCGCGCTCTATCTAACCTACTACTTTGCGACACAAAGATACCAGTGCATGATATCGACAGGTACTGGAACAATACTTGAACAAGAACTATGATTATGTTGAGATCGAGCAACAGACCACTCGGAGCTGGTTCCAATTGACGGTCTTGGTGACTATGGGATACGGAAGTTTGAAAGTGGATGAATGTATAGGGTGCACGGGGTCGTAATAAATAATGAAATAAGCATACAAAGGGTTCAAAGAGGCAGTATCGATGCAGACTCTTCGTGATTTCATACTTCCTCCTGGAAGCCGCCATCATCGTAATAGTAATCGTCACCCATATCGTAAGGGTCGTCATGACTAAAGGCGCGGAGTTTGTCGAGGTCGAATGTCTCGTCCTCTTCTTTATCCTCTTCCTTCTCATCATCCTGACTTGGTGCAGGCGGATCAAGCAACGAAGATTTGTTCCGCTGTCCAAATCTGGACTTGTTCTCTTTTCCGTGAAGGTAGGAATTGCCACAGAGAAGGTTATCCAGATTTGAGTAGTTGATGCGTTTGGAAAATTTGTTCTTTTGAGCGCTCAACATATTCCTGGCGGAGTGGGCAGCGTTCTCCCCCATCGGTGTGCTGGAATCTCGGGGTTTTGCAGGCTTAGACCTCTGAGATTCGATCACTGTAAGTACAGCACGCTTGTCATTACCAGGCAGAACAAACCTTCCGACGCTCTTTAACTCCTGTCAGCTCATCCTCGATGCCCTTAGCTGAATGATCCAAAGTCAACCGTAGTCTCACAATCCCAGAGTGGTAATTAGGGACATTTACCAGCGGTCGCCTCCATCCAGTCAAAGTTCCGCTCAACCCACACTTTCTCCTTGCAAACTATATCATCGGGGCTTGCGAGATACATCTCGATCTCGTCATCATCGATTTCCGGATCGTTCCATTCGCCATCCGCTTCAGTTGGTTCAGTTGTTGGCTCAGATTCCAAGCCCTCTGCTCTCCGAGATTCCTCTAACTCTCGTGCAAAAGCCGTGCCGACTTCGAGTTGAGCAATGACTTGATCAGCGAGCGCTTCGCCTTCCTCCCGTGAGATGCCCTTAACACCTGCATATGAGTCTTCAACACGTTCTTGGAGTTCCCGTTCTAGAGATTTGCTGCGCGATACCTCTCCGTCGTCCAATGTTTCTGGGCCGAAAGGTACAACGCCATTCTCAAAAGGTACGTTTGGGTTGGAGACATTGATTGGTGTGTCACTGCGATTCCCTCCGGGTGGTTCAGGTGCGGGAGTACCAGCAGGCTCAGTTCTTGGTCGCTTACGAGAGTCTGCGCTTCCCTGAGACGACTCCACATTACATCCATCCTCGATCTCGGTGTGCAACCGCTTCTCCTTCCCGCGCGTGAACGCAGGAGGATCATTCTCCTGCTCCAGCCACATATTCCTAAAATCATGCACAGACAGATCGCCCGAAGGGGTGCTCTTGAACTCCTGTAGGCGCTTGTTGAGGGTACACTCTGCGATTTTGACAACCTGGACCACCTCGGTGACCGAACGTCGGAAATTATTCATGCGGGCCGCCAGCAATAGACACGCGCCACATATCCCGGACGGACGGCGACCTGTCTGAAGCCAATCGGTATTGTACCGTGACACGAGGCGAAGCGCATCTCTGGCGACTTGCGGAGTTTCATCACCAAACGCGAGCATTTGCGCAAACCGGATAATAAAATGCCCAGGGTCTATAGGTGGCAGACGAACCATAAATTGTCGAACGAAGCGCGTGTATGTTGCTCCCAACGTGAATACGTCCACCTACAGTAGACGTGAGTGACTACGGTAAACCGGGAGTACCAATACCTTACCCCGAGCGAATCGGAGAAGTCGATCAGCATCTTGGACATGTTTTTTATACGACATGCACAATACAGGCATACAGCAGCCACATGAGTACTCCGTCGGCCCTTGATGAAGTTGCTCTGTACTGCCAAATTGTAATACTTCTCTGCGGGTATAATCACCGCGTCACCCAAATTCAGCGCATTGGCAACGTTACGAATGACTCGCTTCCCTGGGTATGCGAAGGTAAGCGACGAAGAGAGAGAGCAAGATGGCACGAACCGCACCGTTTCGGATGGCAAAATCCTTAGTTTCGGATCCTCCTCTTCCTCTAGTATTGGCGCCAGCTTGGGACACAGAAGAAACACGGGTATTATAGCCTCAGCCCGAAGGAAATGACGGAATGACTTACTTGACCCTTGGGGGACGAAAGTCCCATTAGCGATAGCAGCACCGCTGCTAGTCTCGCCAAACGTGAGCTCATTTACCATAGCGTTCTCTTCCAAAACATTCCCACATGTAGAGCAGATCGTATCTCCACCCGCATTATTGAAGACCGTCTCCGTACCCTGGCAGACTGGGCATGGCGCCTATAAAATGCAGTAGGGTTAAGTGTACCTGGGCTGGGTTTCGACTATTTACCATACTGGGTTGAGGTGCTAAGTGAGTGAGATTTTTCGGAAGGATCCGCGATCGATTCCGTGGGAGCAATTCAAATTGAATCAGCACCAGGTCTTAGCCGTCCGCCGCACGCCTGCAAATCTGTCTGACCTCGCGCATCTCAGACTGATCATCCGCGTATGTTCCGTAAAGCATAACCAACCTCCCATGACACACATTGGGAATGCAGAATTGATCGACAGTACTCACATGTACATAGAACGGTTCCCAACACAAACCAATTTCCCTTTGGAGACGGCTTGTTCCTGTTTACCATTAAATTTTAGAGCTCGCCTATATACCAAAATTTCCTATATATGAAGCTTCTGAAGGATGGTCCCCCCCTCTCTCTCCTCAGTTTTCTAGGCATTCCAAGATCGAGGCTGGATCGAAGCCCTTGATTCATGTGGCCCACATGGACATATATAGCTACTCACAAACATTGCCTGCCAGTACAGTGGTCACAATTAATGCGATTCTGGAATGATTCATGTGGTACCCAAACTTGATTCCCATGTCATGGAATGAGTGAGTTCCAACCCCGCGAGGGGAACATGAACAATAGAGGTAGCAAATGAGGATCAGAATAGTAAAAAAAAACCTAGGGATCTTGGCAGCTGGCATCAGAAATTGATATCACCCCTTCGGGGGCACATGTGTTGCAGAAACAATACCAAGAGGAAGAAAGAGATGTGGGGCATGGACTGGATAGTCGCCGTGCAAAAGGGAGACGTTATAATCATTGTAGATTGACAGCATGCGGGCACATTGAGTCTTCTACAAATGGCACACACGATGGAGTCACAAGGTGTTCGGGGGAAGTATATAGTGCCTCCTCGGTAACTGCGTTTTCGCAGTTTCTCCGGCCATCAAGTGGCGGCGCATTGTTCCTGCCATTGGCGATGAAGAAGAGGCAGGGACCAGGGAACGATGATAGTTACACATCGTCAGGCGTAATGTAAGTAATATGTCCCACATAAGTAGTGGTGATCACTGATATTGCATGTTAAGCGATAGATGAGTCCAGATTAAGTGTCAACGGTACCAGTTGGGTCGTGTTTGCCCCGACGCAGCGCACAAGTACAAATAAACCATAACAAAAATCCCCGTTTGTACTTTCTCTCTCCAGTATCCTCCTGAGAGCATATAGATCGGGGATATGGTGCAGATAGTAGATTTCTACAAAACGTTCAGAGGAATTTGCGTGTAACTTCCTACAATTGAAGATATGGGCAAATTATACACATTTCCTCGACCACAACACAGCCATTTTTGACTTTCTCAAAAATTCCTCTGAACAATTTTTATTTTAGGTCAATCTGATTAATGTTTACTAATGATGTTTCTCTTTATTTGTTGTGTGTGGTGAGAAAGTACATGAGACATTTTTGGTACACTTTTCTGCTCCATGTGATTACATAAGCGGAACACGGAACCAACCTACGTTGCCCACCCCCAGTTTGTACGTGGCAGTGCGACTAACCTGACTAATCACATCTGAGTTGGTCACTAAACCTAATAACGCCCCATAGTGGAATGGACAATAGTCATGTGCTCGACATGGGAAATGTCTCGAAAATGAGGGAAATTGATTCAAGACCAACTAGAGATAGATCATATATTATTACCATAAATAATCATATTTAAATGGTCAATGCGCGGAGACGGTCTAAGTTACAAGTAATCTGAAATCTGAACCACTGTTGTGGGCAGCAACAGCATAATGCCTATGTGGGCACCGTTCATCGCAATGCTGGCAGAGCACAGCAGCAGGCAGGAAAGCATCGATTTTGATTTTGAGAGAACCATGCGACGTGAATATCAACCCAGAAAAAAATTAGGTGAAATTAGACACACATTACCAATCTTGAGAATCGTCCTGGAGGGCAAGTATGAGTTGATGGCAAGATAACATTGTAACCGCGCGTGTGCGGTGAAGCAGTGAAGGGGTGTAGAAAGTAATGAAACAAAAATAATGGGAGGCGCTGCCACCGCAGAATGCTGGAGCATTGTGAATGAGTAAAACATGCAGCACACAAAGCAAAAGGGTAAAGATATGAACACACAGATATGCGTACCAGCGTGTTGTCACGGCTTATTTGTCCAACGTGGATTGAAGGTGTTCTCACTAGTAAGATGAGTTGGCATTCAGGTATTCTTTCTGCTCGAGCTCCCGCTTCAAAGTGTAGATGGACTCAACTTCTATGACTTTGCAACATTAGCATAGATGATCCGTTGGAAATAACTGAACCGCTTGAGTCACTTCTGAATTTGAACCACTGTCATGAGTGGCAAAGGGGTTCATCAACACTCTCGCGCTCGATTCCACCGGTGGCAGGACAGTTCTTTCCCTTTTAACAGACTTCATGGCCACCATGGCCGGTTTAGGCTTAATGACAGTGTTCCAAAGTTGGCAGAGCACAGTGAGCGGGAAGGAATTGATCTTGATTTCAATTGTCCACGTATATACAACAGTGCCCAACTGCATTCTAAGTCAAAAGTGATGTTGTATGAGAAAACTTAGAAAGAGCAATTTGTTGAGCCGGCTGACCTGAATACCCTGACAACACACTATCGCTACCCTTCCGGCTCAGACTTGATGGTAGAGCGTGTATGGGGATGCCCTTCGCTCTTTGGTACTCTTTGGCCAGGTCCGTCCAGGTTGGGCCTCGTGGCTGTCCACGACTTTGACGTACTCCCCGATTACCTTTGCTGTGCTAGTGAATAGCGGTGTTGAGGTGATGGCCTTGGCCCATTTGGGGTTGCTGTGGGTTGTTTGGGTTGTGAGGATTTGCAGTGTGCACTCAAGATTCTTCATGAAGCCCTGTATTTCTTCTTCCTTGTTGGCTGTCTGGATTTGGGATAAATAAAGTCAGCAAATTTTCACAGTAAATTGACTATCATACTTCGTCGGTGTCTGATCCATAATCTACAACATCAGCCTCCGATGATGGAATGTCTGATATTGATATTTTAAGCTACATGTTAACGAAAGAAACACAATCAGTCTCTCATATTTGGGAAAAATATATCCCTACCTTCTTGTTAAGAGGATTCCCGCGTTCAGGAGATGGCAAGCGCTGGCGCTTGGTTGGCATCTCAGTCACAGGTATGAGAGAAGAGTCACGGGTCACATGAAATCTCCATGTGCCTCTCGATAACTGGCCCTGTTTATCCATCCAAATGTCATCACCATCTGAAATAGAGCCTCCACCATCAGTTGCTGACTCGGTGTGGAGATGTGCAAGTCTGTAGATCGGCATGGTGCAACGTCGCGAGAGAGTTTCAAAGAAGTTAGATGGGAGCGGGCCTGTTGCTTGAACAGCCTGAACTAAGTGCTTGCAGAAATGTTGCGCTTGTAGTTGTTGGGCCCCACATCTACACACCCATCTCGCGACGTCCGTCCCATAGTCCATGCCACCAGACTGCCGAGCTGCAAGAGTAAGCCACGATTTTTTTGCTTGGGTTTGGAATGTCGTTAATGGCAGTGCTCGGCCAAGGTACTGCTCACCATCCAGGTCAATCGATTTTTCGATTATCGCTGGAATTACACTCACAATCATTGTATAGATTGTCTGGTCAAGCCGGGGTCGGTGCATGAATCCAAGGTGCATATATTTGAGATATTGCCAATGTTTCTCTGCTGTCATTGTTGTTTGAAGGCGGGAGAGAAGAGAGGGGGAACTGGACCGTGCCCAGAGTTTCCACATTGCGGGTGTGTACCATGATGTCCACATATAGCCCCAAACATTGGCTAACCCTCGCTTTCTGCAGAAGGTGTACATCTCACGTACGCATGCTTTGCGAATCTGGGAAGCATCCTGGTGAGTGCCATTTCGAGTAGGAAAGAATGGGTGCCGACAGAAATGTCGTGCTAGGATGGAGAGAAGTTGTTTACGATGGGCAGCAGGGCAAAACTCGTAGTCAGGGTTGGTGGACCGTTTCTCATTTGTGTCAAATGCCCAGTCGGGCGCATCCTCTTCATCTGCTGCCTCAGTCTCCAGCTCATCAGGATTCACGTTAGCTATGGACTGAGGTAAGTATCATTAATTTATATCGGTTATGTTGCTGACCTGCGTTGAAAGGTTGCTTACTTATTTGGGGACGGTAACGTTCCGTTCCCCCGTTCGCCTCAGGCCTCAGTTAGTCCATCTAAATATATGCTTAAATGTGCTCTATATTCAACAGGGTAGAGGTAAAAGGCTACCGGGCCTTTACAACTACTCCAAGGTATATATATGTAATTTACATATCTCGGCGCAAATAAATAAAGAAATAATAGCATCACTATAATGGGAATTATAGCGATGCAACATAATGATATCACTATAATCGGAATTATAGTGAAGTAAGGTTAATCCCTTACATCCTCCTCCCTTGCGATATTGAATCGCAGACAGGGTAAAAGCATATGAAAGGGAAAGCAAGCATATTAAGGAAATATAACACTCTACATACGAAGAATGTATGCAAGCGGGGGTACACTCATTGCAGGAGGCTATAATAGTAGTTTGTAGGCAAAGCCCACTTAGAGTTTCTCCTGGAACATATGCACCCAGATCTCGATGACAGTGTTGTCAACGATGAAGTAGCAAGTGTCAATATGACAAGCTAGAGTAAAGGAACAGAATCAACAACAGCATTGTTGTTGATGAGAAAGGGCATGCCACCTCAATTGGTCTGCTGCGGGGTTGAGCAAGAGATGAAGCAGTCAACCTGAAGGTTGATATTCCAGTGACGGAAGTAACTCACCAAAGGTCAATGCCCTGGTGATGGAAGTAACTCACCAAAGGTCAATGCCCCGGTGATGGCCAGTGATTCCACACCCGAAGGTTGATACTCCGGTGACACAAATAACTCACCGAAGGTCAATACCCCGGTGATGGCCAGTGATTCCAAAGGTCACTGAGGCCACTCCTCCCTAGAGTGTTGTCTGGGAGTAAAATAATAGTTTGATATGGGTCAGCGCGATGCTGACCCACAAAGATAACCACTAAAGAGTGGCACGGGTTTGTTTCTCCTCCCTAGACAGTTGTCTGGGGGAGTAGTTGAAAATTCAACCTAGGAATCTAGGTTAAAAAAATAAGAAAAAATTTCCGCCACACTTGAATGTGGGCCGGAGTTCTGAGCAGTGATCTTCTCCTCCCTAGATAGTCATCTAGGGGAGTAGAGAGGTCATTCTGTCCATATGAGTGACAGAATGGAAGCGCAGCCCATGAACTGGGCAGGACTGAGCATGTCTGATCATTCAGACACGGGTTTTTTGTTGGGGGCGGCTTGTCCGTCGGTGGGACAGCTTGTTCACTATGAAGTGAACAATAGAGAGAATCCCTTTCCTTAGAAAGGGCCAGCCTTCCAGATGGGAAGGCAATAAGGAAATGAGTGCGGTGCAGAGAGGCACCGCGCATTTTGATGACCTGGCACTCAACAGCGCCAGGAAAACACAGACCTTCCCTTGGAGGTGGAGTGTCTGTTGGCAAGACAGATCGTTCACTATGCAGTGAACGACAGAAGAGAACCCTTTTCCAGATGGAAAAGCAACAGAGAAATGAGCACGGTACAAAGAAGCACCGCGCATTTTGGGGACCCGGCACCCACTAATGCCGGGAACACACAGACATTCCCAGAAGTGGAGTGTCTGTGGGCAGAACATATTGTTCACTATGCAGTGAACGATAGATGAGAACCCTTTCCTTAGAAAGGGTTGGTCTCCCTTCCGCGGAAGGGGTGGAGAATAATGAATCACCAAAATCGCGATGTGGAACAGCATCGCGCATCTTGGTGACCTGGCACTTAACAGCGCCAGGAAAGCATCCCTCTTGGCCTGCAGAGGGCCAAGGAGGCGGTTCGGATTCGACTTCCTGCAGAGTGGAGGGAGTAGGTGCTGCTGGGTTGTCAAACCCAGGAATTTCCGAAGCGCTGGGCAGCTCTATGAGCTGGCACTTGGCAGCAGCTGAAGCGCTGCCGATTCCATCTATAACCACGATAGATGAGAACCCTTTCCTTAGGAAGGGTTGGTCTCCTTTCCGCGGAAGGGGTAGGGAATTATGAACCACCAGGTCCGTGGTCCGGAGCATCCTGGTGACCTGGCACTCAAAAGTGCCAGGAAAAACGCTCCTCTTGGCGTGAAGAGGGCCTCTGAGGCCCCTCGAATCCATCCTCCCTCAGATCAGGATGAGTAGGGGGTTGGGAGTGTGTAAGGAGTATCTGGGTTGTCAAACCCAGGAATTGCCGAAGCGCTGGGCAGCTCTATGAGCTGGCACTTGGCAGCAGCTGAAGCGCTGCCGATCCCATCTAAAACAGATGGTAAACAAGTCGCTTGGGCCCTCACAATGTCGCTAGATTGACGCCCGGCCCCCACTGGGGCAAGAGAGTCAATGAGACTTCCACACAGTGAAGCGCTGGGTGGCTCGGTGCGGTCACACTCTACAGCATTAGAGGAATGGTTATTCCGTCCCAAACTGGGCGGAAGGGAAGTCTCAGTATGCTTTTCTAGTGTGCAAGTGAGTGGGGAGGGAAGTCGGGCCTGAGTGGCCACGGGTGGGTCAACTCGCGTTTTTGTCCGTGGTTCTAACTTTGTTGACGCGTCCATATAGTACTTGTGTGCTCTTAAAGTAGGGAGAGCGGGCCCGTGATGGTGAACGCGAGGGTGGCAGTAGGACAGACACCAAGTGAGATTGAGATGCTGCAACAGGTTCAGCATCTCCTGAGATGGTACAACGTGTATGAGATGCGTTGCTGGGCCCTCACGGGCCCAGATCACCACTTCCAGATGGAGTGGTGTTGACTCCCACCATGGGACTGGAGGGAGGGCCAGCTGTGCAGGTGCGAGTCCGGAACTTCCTGGTTGTGAGCATCAGGAAGTGAGATCAAAGGTTCCGGTGTGAACCTTGATTGAATGTGCGCGTCGTCAGGGACAACGATGCATGGGTTGCCAAATGGGGTTCTGGCACCGGTGTTGTGGTAGCTTCCCAGATCCTGAGATTGGGAGGGGTTGCCTCTACTCTGAGGCACAGCCTAGGTGAGCGTGCATCTAGGAACGGCGCACGCGCGATTTGCGCGTGAGAACTAGGCGCAAATGCGCGTTGTCGGGCTAGACAACGCGTGTGGGACACAGCAGGGTTCCGTCACCAGTCACGGTGCCGAGATTGTAAAAGGAAACTAGCTTAAAAAAGTGAAAGGTTGCTTACTTATTTGGGGACGGTAACGTTCTGTTCCCCCGTTCGCCTCAGGCCTCAGTTAGTCCGTCTAAATATAAGCTTAAATGTGCTCTATATTCAACAGGGTAGAGGTAAAAGGCTACCAGGCCTTTACAACTACTCTGAGGTATATATATGTAATTTACATATCTCGGCGCAAATAAATAAAGAAATAATAGCATCACTATAATGGGAATTATAGCGATGCAACATAATGATATCACTATAATCGGAATTATAGTGAAGTAAGGTTAATCCCTTACATGCGTGCATCTCATTGAGAGCCTTTGTTACCAAGTTCCGGACATCACCGGGTGAGGATATACCACCCTTGCCATCGCCGTTACCATCATCAACATCATCATTGTTGTCGGCCTCACTGTCAGAAACTCCTTCCACATCCCCTTCGCATATGGTGCCATCAAGTGGTTTTGTTGGTAACAGTGCTCCGATGCCGATGGACTGGCCTCGGAGTTTAAAGGAAATACGAGGTATGAATGAGCGGACAATTTTTATGTCGGCTTCATGCCTCTGACAATATTCCTATGTCAGCTAGCACCGGAATATGGTATTCTAGACATACAATATGTGCTGGGAGCTGATCCCGTTGGTTGAGAGGCACGAATATTGGACTTATAAATGGGAATTCAGCTACAGCCTGTGTTGGATCATATGGAGCAGGTTGACAACGAAGGATTGAGAGACGTTGTTTGACTGCCCTTAGGACATGCCAGAAGCATAGTTGATATTTTGCATCTGGGAAGACATGAGTGAAGGCATTGATTTCACTCCGGTCTTTGTCCGAGTGTCAGGGCCCGGCCTCGGACTCGGAGGCTCCCTGACCTCAGCCCCCATCTAACCTGTCCTCACACTATGCGGGGCATGAGATGTATAGTAAAAGGAAAGATAATATATACACTTGCCTATGCGGGGCATGAGATGAGAAGAAGGGTAAAGGTCTCATCTCCCCACATGGTTGCTATATAAAGGAATGGGTCACATGCCCACAACTATACAGCTCCTAGAGTTGTGTAGTGTGACCCGGAGGGAACATCCAGGTGGCAGTGCCCAGTAAGCGTGGGAACGTTCTGGGCGAGTTGCTCGCCCAGAACTGTGGCTGTGACCCGTGGGAACATTCTGGGCGAGCTGCTTGCTCAGAAAGTTCCCACGCTATCCCATGTGCGCAGATACACAACACAGAAAGGCAACAACAAGGCAACAATGAAGGAATGGAAGGAAGGGATTGGTTGGGGAGTCTGGGGCACCCTAGGGCAGGGTGCTGAACCCTGACACCGAGTGGGTGACCTTTGCTGTTATTTCCCACTTATCACGGAAGTGACATAGCCATGTTGTAAGCACGAGTTCCTTGCCACCTTTTTTTGGATTTTTAGACTTCGCTCTCATAAAACACCAGCCAAGAGGCAGCCCCGAGCCTCGCACTTCTCCCAGTAAGACAAATAATTCCCAGTTGCCAGTCACACATTTCCCTTTGGGCAAGCCAGGTTAACAGGTGGGTCCGAAAGAGTGGATATAATGTATGCTTACAGGCTGAATCCATTATCAGTTCCTTGATCCGACCTCCCCACAATTCTAGTACGGTAGGGATTGATATCCCAATATACTCATAGTCCTCATTTTTACCCAGGTCGATAACTTGTAGCTGATGATGCAGGCCATCCCAGGCACCAATTTCACTTGCTCTTCTCAGAAGAATGTTGGCGGATGTGACTGGGTCAGGGTCAAGTTTCCAGTCTTTCATTTTAAGGGAACGATGGTAGTGGTATACTGCATCCCGGCTGAATGATGCATTAGGAAATTTATTCCGAACATCTTGCCAGACCTAGCAAATATAGATGAGTGTTCTATGTATTCTCGGTACAATCGTGCACATTCCTTACATCTTTCAGCAGTTTCTCCTTATTGGTGGCAATCATTTCCAAGGCTTCCGGTGGAAGTTGTGTAGCACGATAGGGTATGTGGTCATCAGTGTGTTTCAGGTCAATTTTGGCAGTGAATGTGCTGTGAATTATTTGGAGGGTGACATGTAGATGGCTTTCACAGTTGAAAAAGGCCATGGCTCGGCGGTCTCGTTGCTTGGATACATCAGTAGTCTTCCGAGCCTTTTCCTGCATTTGCTGATCTTGGGCGCATCGGTATCGGAAGAAGAAAGCAGGAAGCTCCCCCCTGACTCCCACCCGCTGTATCATATCATGGTACCTAAAGAACACTCAGCCCCTTTGTGTTATTACCAAAATCCTCACACACCTCCATCTATAGCCAAGTATATCCTCACATTGCCTACTTATTATGTCGGCTTTTGTCCTATAGGCTTCGTTCCCTGCATCATTCTCAGGGCCCGCATCCACAATGTTTTCATTGCCTAATGAGGTGATCCGGACAAAATGAGCACCCTGAAAAAGGATTGTGTGTGAGAGATATTCCTCTTCTTTGGCGGCTTCTAGTTTGGCATAAAAGTCCTCAAGTGTAGGCAGAGTTTTGACAGTATTCAAAATTCTGTCCTGTGCTTCTGCCCGCTCCCTATGCTGTCGGGCATCAAGACATGAGGCACAGGCAGAGGATACTCCTTGACGGGTAGGTCGGAACTGGTCAAGACCTTTGGTTTTCCGGCAGCGGTGACAGAATTTTTCAGACATAAGATGTGGAGAACGAGCTGAGCTGGATTTTTGGGGTTATAGCGGCAATGTACACAATGTAAACAAGGACAATTATGGATAACATTTCAAAATACGGAGGCAAATAGAGCAAATAAACAAAAGATATTCGAGAAAAAGTCCAGTGCACGTGCAAGGACATGTGACCTATTGTCCGTTCCACTATGGGGCGTTACTAGGTTTACTGAGTTGGTCTAAGTCATGTCTGGGTATGCGTGGGGGTGTGGTAAGGTACATGTCACCCCTCTTTCTCTACGGGGGGGTTACTGGTTGGGTACTCCTGTCTCCTGTTCCCCCGCTTTGCGTCGCTCTCTGTCCGCCCTTCTTGTCTATGGCCCACGACTTCTTTATAAATTCTGCCAGTCTAAGAATGCCTTTGGGCTTCCCCATAAGGGCCGAAAACCTGCTCTGACGACCACAGCCCAGTATGTGTCTATGTTTCTTAAACTGTGGGCATACCTGGAGGATGTGCTCTCTCGTCTGGATAGCTGCTCCACTCTTTGTGTGGATACCGAACCGGTGGTAGTGTTCGCCCAGGCGCACGTGGCCGGTGCGGAACTGGACCAGCCTACTGAAGGTTTTCCGGTCCAGCGATTTGAACCTGGTGGTGGGTTTAGTCGATGGGGGATCTGGTTTGCTGTGTGAAATCCTGATCGGATCGGGATGGGCATGCTTGCCCAACGTTCCTTCCACTCTTCTTCCATGTCCTGCTTATGCAAGCTTTCTACATAGGATAATGAGTGATAGCGGGGTCTGTCCGGGCTGAGGCGAGCTCCCTCTTTGGCCAGCTCGTCTGCGCGCTCGTTACCCTTGATGCCGCAGTGGCCTGGGCACCAACTTATCGCGATCTTGAAGTCGTCTTCGCCGTCCAGGAGCTTGCACACTATCTTCCTAAAGATCCGGGTGTGTTCCTGGGCTTTTCCGAGTTTCCCTTGGAAGATGCGACCGATTGCACTTGTATTGTCTGAGGAGAATACTATGTTTGACAGCTTGTGGGTGCTTGGGTTGTTTTCGATGAAGCGACATGTCTCTTCCGCCGCTGCCCTCAGCTCCATCATTTCTGTGTCGAAGGCTTCTACATAGCCGCCCATAGATCCATTCCTCTATCATTTACTATGATAGACCAACTTCACTGTTCTAGTGAAGTTGAATGTTGGGACGTGCCCAGACTGCTGCAGCGGAGATAGTACGGCCGCGCGATGTTACAGATTAATGATCATCGCGCAGAGAGGCGGTGTCAAGTCAGAGATGTGGGATTAATTGCGCCGCATACAGGGTATGTCGCCGAAACGGCACCATGATAATCCGACCAAGACATTACCAATTTGATGGAAAGCTCGGTTTGGCCGACAAGTGGCCTGATGTAAATTCTATCACCCGCAGATTATGCAAAATAGGAAATTATTAATAAACGTCAACAAACATAGGTTTCTTATCATACAAGGGATGTTGTATAGAGGCTGGCCACCTGCCTAGGGGTGCTGTTGTTGTGAAGAACATCTTTTAGTGCAGCGACAAACCAAAAACTGGTGCTACATATGGAACTAGCCGAGGCCACGGTATTAATCCTCATCATCACACAGGGAACTAGTACCCACATGGCTTTACTTTGGCGCTAACCGAGATTTTCATCCGATCCACTACGCGATAAGATACTATAAGGAACCTTAAGGATGGTCCCCCCCCCCCCCCTCTTTCTCCTCAGTTTTCTAGGCACTCCGCTCAAAACCGAGGTTAGAAGTCTTTGATTTATGTGGCCTACATAGCTACTCACCAACATTACCTACTGGCAGGCCACAATGCGATTCTGGAATGCCTTGGTTGCAATCACTCTACTTCCGATCGTCGCGGCTAGTTTCCACCTTGGCATTGTGACTGGTGACGACTACGACCTCGCGCCAGGATCCGGCACGACCCAACTTTGGACGGTTTTGCTCCCATCGGGACAAGGTGGGTCGAAGTCATGCAGAGATGAAAATTTCTCCTGTTTAACCAATGGTTTTCCTAACACTGGCAGATGGTTGCCGTCAGGCATTCGCCTTGAGACCCCCCCAAGTTAGGCGGGATACCGCCGGCCTCGAAGGGGTGGCCGTCCAGCTCGGCTCAATAGTAAACGTTACACTTTGCGGGCTTCTCGTTACGGTACACCCTACGCTTGACAGGTGGTCCACCTGGAACGACACCGGAAAGTGTTACCCAACTTATCCGGGTACCTCCACAGTGCATTTTGCGAGGTGTAAAAGTACCAACAGCATTATTTACTACGATATGTACTGGTGCGATTCGTACTTGTGCGGAGAGACCTAGGGACCAATGCAGAAGAAATCAGAAATCTTCATCTAGCTGCCTGACAAGGCTTGGTTGTGTTAGCCAAAAATTGTTGTAAAACACCCTTGAAATGATCAATCACTTGCATACACCAAAGCGCCTGAAATAGAAATATCGTTCTAACAAATTTGTCACATCCATGTATATGTAACATAAGTGATGGGCGCCGCCTGACGCGGCTACTCGCTGTGGATGGGTGCAAGGTTTCCGATGTGGTATTTTACGCACACATGGTAGAAGTCACCAGCAACGTCCATATCCGCAGGCTCGGTCCACCACACTGGACGCGCAATTATCTGGCTCGTTCCCCATGTGATGGAATGAGTGAGTTCCAACCCCCGCGAGGGGAACATTAACAATAGAGATAGCAAATGAGGATCAGAATAGCAAAAAAAAAACCTAGGGATCTTGGAAATTGATACCACCCCTTCGGGCATGGACTGGATAGTCGCCTTGCAAAAGGGAGACGTTATAATCATTGTAGATTGACAGCGTGCGGGCACATTGAGTCTTCTCCACAAATGGCACACATGATGGAGTCACAAGGTGTTGGGGGGAGTATATACATTGTTCCTGCCATTGGCGATGAAGAAGAGGCAGGGACCAGGGAACGATGATAGTTACACATCGTCAGGGCGTGATGTAAGTAATATGTCCCACATAAGTAGTGGTGATCACTGATATTGCAATGTTAAACGATAGTAGTTCAGTGCAATCGCCGTAGAAATGGTTCTCGAACGATACTGGCTAGGGAGCCTAATTCGAATTATATGCTAAACTCACATTACAACGATGGCAATGGAGTCCATGCAACCGACATTCATTCATTCCTGCACAATCTTTCAGAACAGAGCAGCGATTGGGGAATTGGTTGGTAATGAGGTGGAAGACGTCAAGAATTTCGGTAAAGTCGTACCGTGGCCATTCATGTTAACCTGAAGCGATTGCTCAACTTCCAAGCGGAATACAGAGAAAAAGACCGAGTCCAAAAGACATATGTAGCTTTTGAATTTGAACGGGGCTGCGCAGGGGTTGAAGAAGAGGGGGGTCGGATATTGTGCGACTGAGCAGCATACGAAGACATGGGGCGGATACAGATTGAGGGAAGAGGAACCGTAAGCGGGAAATACGAAGTCATAGCCTAGGCTGGAGTCTTGCCTACTTGGTGGTACTGGTCACCAAAACTCGCTCGATCGCGAGTTTTGTAAAACGCCTACCATTCGTATCCTGGCCTGGAGTCGTCGATCGATAGCACGGGAAATTTAAACCAGTGAGTGAGTTGTGCTAGACCGGCAGCCTAGTACGATGTTCGTGCACGACGAGCTCTCTAACATTAGTCAGTGGCGAACTTCCCCTACCTGTGTAACCACTTGCACAAGAGCGATCGGGGACGTCGGGTTTTCATCCTTCTTTCCGATAGCCGTGGTTGAGTATGATCCCAAGATTTAACGTGCCTCACCAAAGGACCTCATGCTACCTTGAGCGCGGTTAATGCAAGTACTGAGTTTAGGACCACCAAAGTGATCTAGGTAACCCCATTTCACTGACGTTGGACGTTGTGATGGACCTCATCCGCGAGATGGGGGCTATCATGATGCTGGTGCAGATCCGCTGTAAGTAATTGAGAGCTAGAATCCCCTGAGCGTGCATGACTTCCGCATGGTTATGTTTATTCCACTTTTCTTTTTTTTGGATCTTATGCTTGGCACGGTAAGTATAATTAGTCCGTACACTGCATCTCCGCAACTGGCCGTAAGCGGGAAAAACGCCGAGGGGGGAATTAAACTGCGCGAGCATGGATGGATGGATGATCTCTGCTCACATGGTCTGAAACCATATGGATATGGAGGTGGCTTCATTGCACGCATGGAATGGAATGGATACTTAGTTAATATGTATGTAACGGGCCCCCCCCCCACATGGCACAGCATCAGGTGATTGCACATTAATGGATTTGCCAAGGGGAAGGTCGAAGGAGGACTTCGGCACCCGCGTGATGGTAATCTTCTACATATATCTCCACAACCACGGAAATGCGGCACCGCGCCAAGACTTGTGCATATGGTCAAAGTGGAGACCGGATATATCCGGAGTCGTCGACTGCGACTGGCAGCCATTTTTGAGGGGATTCCGATCTCCGCGGGAATCCTTGTTTGCAGGCGGATCAACAGCCTCTATCGAGATTGGTGGATACAAAGATAGATCTGAGATTGAAAGCTAAACACCATATGCTATAAGGTTCTGTCCCCCCGGCCCCGGCGATTATGTACATATCAGCAGGAGAGCGCTCAAGTCCTCCCGGCGGCGTGGGTAATACATAATAGGAGTGAGAAGAACCACCATGCCATCGAGAATCTCGCACCAAGTACTCCTGTCACCCATGCTCTACAAGATCCGAACGATAGCAGCTCAATAGCAAAAGTCAAAAGAGGTCTTGGATAACTTCCATGGCGGGGAGGATGGTGAAGTAGATTCTTCTCACTGGGAAACGCCGGATAATCATGACAACAGCATCGCGCGGGTTCGCGAGTGTGTGATATACCTTGGCTCTGGCGGATTCGTAATCATGATCGACCATGAATAGAGAGAAACTACATTATAGCATGCCCACGATTTCATTGACGCCCAGGAAAACAACTGCACATCATTGGGCGCTTTTAACGAGAACGTCAAAAGCCTTCAAAGAACGAAGTCAAAAAAGCATCCCGGACCGTACTTGTCCGATTTCGGTATCTTCCGTCAACTCAGTATCAACCACAAACACCCAAATCGGAACTCCCCGCGCCGCGCTCTCTTCGATGGGTGTAATATGTTCAACATCATCAAATCACGGTGGAGACCACTCTGCCATAGGTGGTCCCTCTCAACGTTATCCTGATGGTACTCCCGTAAAGTCTGGGAAAAAACCATCACGGCAATCATCATCCGCACCTCCACGGCGGCTGAGTGCGCAGCAGACGCAGACACTCGCGTCGTCTAAACCGAAGACGACGACGACGACGAATGCTACTCAACAACCCACCACCCCTTCACGTATGCAGTCTGTGCGTATCGCGAGTCCGAACCAGTCAACTCCGACTCCTCAGAGAAGCGCATCAGCCAGGCAGCAACCCTCAGCCCCAGCCCCACCGCCACACACTCAACAACCCACTCCCACTCCTACTCCCGCACGTACGCAGACCGTACGTCTTCCAAATCTAAACCAATCAACTCCTCCACAAAGAAGCACATCGACGAGGCAGCACGCTCACACTAGTCAGACTGTGGCTGCATCAACTCCACAACCGTCAAAGCCCACACCTCCACTCCCGCCACCACAACAATCATCACTACTAGGTCGGAAGCTATCTACAGCCGTGACGGCGCTCGGCGGAGGTGGTGGTGGTGGAGGTAGTGGTTCACCACAAAAGCAACAAGATCCTCGGAAGGCCGCCGCTGAAGCAGCAGAAGCACGAGCCAAAGCGGTAAGCAATCACTATATCACTACATTAACATACCATATTACCCGTATATTCGACTTCTACCCGACCCAGCCAGTCTTATACACACACATATATATATACATTTACATTTTGGTTTGTTTATTTTACAATATAGAATGAACAACGAGGCGTCACTGTGTCGAACCCAAAGAGTGGTCAACTAGCCGCCAAACTAGCCGCTCAAAATAAATCAAAGTTGATACCTTCACCTACCAAAGAACCCGAACAATTAGTGGTGAGTAGTCAATGAATTTTCTTCCCCTTTGACAGAATATATTGCTATTACCAAACGAATTTTAATATGGTTCTCTTCCCCCCCCCTTTTTCCTTCTATTCTAGTGGGACTAGTAGTCGTCGAATTTATCTTGACCTCCCCCTGCCACCCCCTCACCCTTTTGCGCGCGTTAATCAAGATTGTATAAAAATCCAGTGTTCCAACCCATGTAATTTTTTGTAATTTCCATTCATCCATAACAATTTATAGAATGCCATTTCCCCCCCCTGCCATTTCCACTCATGCATCGCCTACATACCCCCTCCGAAAATACAAAAACGATATGTACATGTACCATCATGCAGCTCTATCTATATTATTAGTATATACGCCAAGCCCTGGAATTTACGAACAAACAAACAATATTCGAAGGTCCCTAGGACACTAGGTGCTGGTATCAGGTATGTAACACTAGTCCCTGAACGCAAACAACTGAAACAGGGTGGTAAATATATATTTATATATTTATATATCGGGCTGCTGTTTTTACCCTCATCGAAGGATATATATATGTATCACAACATCTCCGGATTCACCCTTTGACATAACGCCACAAAAAGTTTAATATTGACATTATTGGAAAGACTTTGCGCGGGAGCTGGACGTGGTGGGGGCCCGTTCGTTCGTTCGGAATAAACAAGCAGACATTATGACTCGCAATTTAGCGAAGACTTGGGGGATATGGAGCTTGGGACAGACAGAGAGAGAGACAGAGATGTTTTACTCGGGGAAAGAAACAAGTCCAAAAGAAAAGGAAGAAACGGACTGTGATGTTATTAAGGATAGTACTTAGTAGCCAATGTCTATCATATTGGGGGGGGGAGAGAATAGTGCTGTGAACAAGAGTAATAAGCTGATCGTCCCCAAGGTCCGTATCTTGATCGTAGCTCCAATGGGCATGTTCAGCAAGTTCAGCAATACAGGAAAAGAAATAAGTTGTGAAGGAACACAGAGAGACAGAGAGAGAATAGTACAAGAAAAGTGAGAAATATGTTGTCCATCACGGTTCACCTCAATATATCACCTATCACGATATTTGGGGGATTCCTCCTTCCTGTTTCTTTGACGTCTTCCACTAACACTCGTCTCCCCTCCTCCTGTCGTTGCAGAATCCAACTCAATATCCAAGCCCATTCCTAACCCTCTAGCCTGGAGCGCCTCCATAGCAACTCTCGCAGCGCTGTCCGCACCCGCCCTTCTTGCTCGCACGCGTGACTTGCGTACGGTACCAAAAGCCTGAGCTTTGATCACAGCGAGCGTATTCGACATCGGAGGTAAGGAAGGATCTTTGGAAGCAGCCGCTGCAGCCGCAGCCGCAGCCGCAGCGATGCCCGATGACGACGTAGGGAAATTTGCACGCCCAGAAGACAAGCCAGGTACAGGATACTGCGACTCTGCCTGCTCGTAGTCCATTTCGAGATCTTCTGATGATTCAGTCCCATAAGCGTCAGGTGAGGCAGCGCTGACAGGGAACGAGTGTCTCCGAGCGGATTTGACTCTGCTCAACTGAGATGGAGCAAAAGCGCTCGGCTGTTGTGATGTGGATTGGTCTGGGAAGCCGTGTCCGAGGTCCCCACCTACTGAATACCCAGAGGAGGCGGAGGATCCTGGCCTATTATCAAAGCGCTCGAAATCATATGGATTAGCGCTCGTTGTCTTTTCATCGATAAACGCTTGAGGTTCCGTAGGCATTTCTTGCAAGTCTGCCGTACTAGAATACGCTCGGCGATGCTTTTGCGAACCTTTGGATATCTTACGATTGATGGTAGAATAATTGGATGCTTTGACAGTGTCTGAACGGCCTAGTTCTGTCTCCGTTTGCTGATTGCGGCTGTTATTCTGCGCAAAGGTGGAATCCGAGTAGAAGGCCGTGTCCCAGGGGGAAGTCCCTTGTCCAGATGGTTGGTGTTGTACACCAGCCCCATACTCCATCGGGAGCGATCCGATAGGATTGTTGAACAAGCTCAAGTCACTGAAACCTATTTCCATACCAAGCGGGGTTTGGCCATGAGCCGTAGCGGTATCAGGTATCGATGAATGATCTGAGGCAGCATCGATATCGTGCTGAAACGGAGTTCCTGTCGCTGAGGAGTCTGAGCTAGACGCTGGTGAAGGTCGAAAACCGAACGGTGTGCCTCCATCAAGGGATACGTGACGGCTATGTGGGCCTGAAGTGAGAAAGTCGGTGTTTGTGACAAGATTGAGAGGTGCGGGGTATGGATCCGACGGAAAGATGGGTGGTTGATCACCGGAAACATTGGATGTGTCATACGGTGATGATGCGGAGAAGTACGAAGCAGGTTGTTGCTGTTCGTTGGGATTGGGTGAGCGAGAAGAGCGATTTGCGTATGCAACTGCAAAGTCCGCGCTCTGACTGGGCGAGTTTCGAAGTGAAGGAGAGGTGGTTAGGCCGCTGTGAGGATAAGGAGGTTGCAGATTCTCGCCGAGGGTAGCGCCTGGAGAACGGTTCCACCGTCGGGAGTCGACCCCACCACTGCTTTCGAGGGAGGCTAGCCGCTTGTTCTCCTCCTTGAGCTCTCTGATCTCATCACGCGAGTCCCGTAGAGCGTCTTGTAATCGGCGCACTGCACCCTCGAGGCTTGTAACTACGTAGGAAAAAAAAAACGCGTTGCGATTCATTCAGTGCGCATGTTCGACAAGATGGAAAGTCCATCAGAAGGGAGAGGGGGAAGGGGAGGGGCGTCGCTTACCGGTTTCCTCGAGGTTCGCTATGTATTGAGTACGTCTAGCCCTAAATGCGGCTTGTGCATCTGCATTCTTTCTTCTGCGCATTAGTGCAGCAGTCTTTGGCGACGGTGGTTGCTCATCGTGAGACAGCGATTCCGAAAGGTGTAATGACTCAACGTCGAGGTCAGATGGGATCGAGGTTTGACGGGGTTGGGATGCCGGAGGTTTAGGCATGAGTAAAAGACTAACTCGGACGTTCCTTGGGGACACGTCGAGGCAAGATCGCAAGCCAAGAAGGGGTTGCAAGGGGAGAGATGGAGAAATGGAAGCTAAGCGTTGGAAGTTTTTGAGATGTGTGTGGGTTGGATACAATGACCAAGAAAGGCAACTTTGATTTGAATTGCTTCACGGAATGAGAGTCCGTTGAAAGGCCATCATCACCTTGTGTGTGCATGTGGAGGAAAAAAAAACGAACGAACAAACGATACAACGATTGATTCCTGGAGACTTAAAATAATTACAGAAGACGTCGAAACTCTCCTGTCGCGGTTGTCGCGATATCGATCTCGGGGCTAAAGTCCCACTTAAAAAAAAGTCAAAGGGAGCAAGGAGAAACCGCTCAATTGAGAAAACAGCAATCTCTGGACATGTTCAAAACATTTCAAGCAACACCCAAAAATCCAAAAAAAAACATTCGAGGAAACTGCTTGGAGTGCACAGCCACGGGCGCATTGAGATAGGCTCGCAGTCGGTGGCCTGCCCCACTCGCAGTCACCTAAGATAACACGATACATTGAGACGAATCATTCGGTGCTGGGTGCAATATCGATAGGTGCGAGAAGATCGAGTGTTGGATGCACTATGAGCTAGGAGACGTAATGACCCGTTGCAATTGCCTGACCCTCCCCGGCATTCGAATTCATCCTTAGTGCAGTGGCATTGATGTGATTGACTTTCGATATGTACGTACGTACCTTGGGACCCTACAAGTCCATCAAAATCATATCATCCAGTACGGGGAGGGGGCCCATCTCAATACTACAACTGCTCCTTCCAATCGAGTACTCATTCTCTCCTTACCAGCACGAATTCAGAACCTTCGATCCGTTTCACAAAACAATCTCGGGGGAGTTTGTGTAAAAAACCGCTCACCCCGGAAACAAGCGTGATATTTTTCTTCCACCCCTTCAGCGGATGGCTCTCTGATGCATGAAACTAGGTCCGCACCCGGCCGCACAGCTTATCGCTTATGTTTCAATTTCCTCTTCTTGGTCCTCCAGCATCATATCAAAAACTTGCCCATGGCCACGCTCGTCAAGTATGCAAGCGACCTGTCGCCGTTGCGCCCCATTGACAGCAAGGTACCCACTTCCTTCCGAACACATCTCTAACCTTCGAGTCCTGCCACGGGGAACATCATGCGCTGGAATCTAGGGGGATCATCAGGACAAAGGTTCGCCAATGGAGGAGCCGTTGAACGGGCTATGGACGAGCTTTTGACGTACTTGTCCATTCTGCACTGCCTCTGAGAGCTGAAGCACCCAAGTCTCCCGATGTGTCGCCGGGAGCATCCCTTCGATTGGTTGATATGGGATTTTGGCTGGGGTATGGTCAAAGTGAGTCAGGTACGCCGCGCCTTAGCAATCACATCCAATTCATTACGTTCATCAGCAGCTTCGAAGGAAACATGTTAAATATGAGAGTTGGCCTACCCTGAGCACGTAAGAGCATCACCATCGAGAAATCGTCAAAAAAATCATAGTCAAGCAGCTCGAAGTGTATGTCTCTTGTGCGGCACTGCATAACATGAGCGATCACCGCTGATGGAGTCTGGTCGAGATCCCAATTAGGGTGCGTGGTTTTCAGCAAATATACTAACGAAAAATGATATATGTTATTGTCCGAGGCACGAAAAAATGAGTGAACAGCCTTCAAGAGCGGGGCTCACACAAAATGAAACTGTAACACGCCGATTAGGCAAGTTTTACGTACTCACCTACGTGTATACCATCCTCTTGTTTATGTCGTAAAGCAATGTATCGCTCGACACCCTCTGCCTAATAATGAATCAGTCTTGGGCGGTGCCGCTTGAATGACCCTCAAACTTTTTACCGTTTCAATGATACGCTCCTTATGCGTAATTATCGATCGCCCATCATTACCAGTGTTTCGGAATCGGATCCGTGATTCTGATGCATTCCGTCCCTCAAGCAGGGGATCAGTATTGACCTCGGCACTTCGCACGACGGCACCGCTCGCGGTAATGAGGATTCCCTGACATTTCTCAATAATATCCTCCAGTAAGGATACTAAATTCCTATCGGTCATTGCAGCAAGAACTGCTGTCCGCTCCGCTTCAGCTTGATCAAGGTCATTCTCGGTCTTCGTGAGTGTATGATGGGTGGATCTAGCCTGAATGACGGAGTAGGGGAATGCGCACCACAGATACATCGAGCGAACCGCTCGCCTCTCTGCTGCTAGGCTCAGGCGAGCTTGCCTTGCTTGCACGCGGGGATTGGGCATCAGCGGACTTCTTGTTCAGAAAGGAACGTGCAGTCGCGATCACGGTTTTGACACTGTCGAATGGTTGAGCAATGACGTCTGAGGGCGATACGGGAGGGATTGGGCCAGTGAACCAACGATCAAGTGTGCTGGATGTCAGCCCATTTTCTAGGTATTCCAGGGCTTCAAGGGGGTCAAACGAAATGGCGCGCAGCTCGTTTCCACTCCCATCATTTGCTCTTATACTCTCTGAAATGCATTTAGTACTTCCAAGCGGCGTAGCATAGAAATGTGGAGAGCTCAAGCTTACCGCTCTTGAACCATTTCGCAAATTCAAAATATCGATGAAGCTCATTCTCAGCCTCTTTAGAGAGCCATTCAGAAAACTCAATGGCTTTTAATACTTGCTTAACGGCTTGCACGATGTCAGCTTCGCGGAGATGGAACAACTTATATTTTTGAGTCCTGCTCATCCCGACCAATCAATAAATTGGAAGCAAGGAATGATGGGTGCAACTTGCCAAAGCGACCATCCTTGGACTTGTTCCAGCACAACGACGAGTCTTTCGAGTGTCGGGACAAGCTTCCTTTCGGCAAATTCTTGAAGAGTCTTAAGCGTCCTACCCATCGTCGTCTCCCAATGAGATAAAGCCTGTGCAAATAATGAATGAACGATAACCGGCGTGAGAGCACGAGATGCTTTACACGCTCGGACAGCCGCCCTCCACTGGAAAAGAACTCGCGTATAGATGGAGGCCCTTTTCCGGTTAGCAAGAGCACCGTGAGATCCAAGAGAGCATCCCCAGACGTCGCTGGCGGTGAAAGTTGGGGATGAAATGCAGAGCAATCAGGTATGTGAGCTCACCGTCGCCATGAGCAGCCAGAATATTCTCTAAATGCCTCAGCCATTTTGCCCCTAACCCACGTGCGCCCTCTCTAGACTCAGTTCCCATCCAGGCTTCTTCCATTTCGTGAAGCACAGAAGCTGCAAACACAAGTAATTCCTTGATAGTTGTAGAGGCTCTGACCACGTCCCGCGTAATTTGCTGATGCAGCAAAGGTAGTTTAAGCGAGGCGGCCCGAGAGTTCGTTAGGGTCCCCAGACCACCGGAGGTTTCCAGAGTTGCAATGGCAAAAAGGTGCAGATCTGGCGCAGGTTCCGTGACGACATTGAATGGCAGGAGGGGAGGCGCATATACTGAGACCGGGGAACATTGAGTACCAAGGTGGATATAGCCCAACGGGTAGAACCCGTCTAAGAAGAAATGCAGATAGCCCCATGTATCCCCTACAATTAGTAGGCTTCGGTCCACTTCTTGAAACCAAAATGTGTAGTCTTCCCGTCGTCCAGTGTGGCCTAGCAAATTGAGAGCCAAGTCAGCAGCATTGATCGCCTTCGCAATTGACGCGCCAAATAGATCGGATGAAGACGAGGGTATCATCAAGGGATCCTTTTCGGGAGGAACAACTCTCGTTGCTGCCTGCATTGGCGGTCTTTGGAAGCCAACCCCGGCCTTTCTGGTGATCATCTGAATGACCATTGCACCACAAGCTTCCCGATATACTCACAAAGCACTTAAATCTGGAAGCACATGCTCAATGCGAGGCAACAGTCTCAGCACTGAATGAGCTGTTCCGGGCTGCGAAATTATCACCACTGACAATTCTAAACATCGAAAAAAGATGCTCACAATTTCCGTTCGATTAAACACATCTTTAAAAGCCGTGGGTGCTTTGGGGATCTTGGTTTCCACCCACCATAAATTAGAAACTAGTCTCTCTTCCTCAACGTTCTTTTCGGGAACAGCCAATGGAATCGACTTCAACAGGGCCCCATCATGCAATGAGTGGAAAGTGATCCTGGCCCCTCCATGTGCCACAACAATAGCAAGGGCTGCCTCGAAATGTTGTCAGTAATCTTTCTCCGACACACAACTGCTGCGGCCATACAGTCTGGACTCCAGCGGACGCAAGAGATTTCAGGATGTGGAGTAGAGGCGTCAAACTCATGGTCCCACACGGAAGTCTCCCGGAAAGACCTCAAAACCAGATGGTTCCTCTCTGCGATACGGGTGACTAAAACGAAAACATCGAGTTTCGGGCACCAAGCGGTGGGGTAGAGTTTGCTGCTTTGCGAAGTGAAGGACCAAGATTCAGGGAACTGTGTGGGATCATCAAGAATAGACCGATCTCCCAGATGTGCCATCATGGGCACATACGGGTTGAACACGCTAACGCTCTTTTCCTTTAGATGGCAATGCGCAGGCGCTCAGGCAGCTACTCAATTTAATTGGCATGAACACGTGTGCTTTACATAATTTTCGTTCTCATCGCGCTGCTTGACAGTGCGGAAAATCACTCGTTTTTTCCCCTGAGGCGTGCCAAACCAGTACTTAAGTAATCTCGTCCTAGATGAATTCGGTCACCTCTGCCAACTGGCTTGTGTTCTAGCTCACAACCTTTCCTCGGTACTGTGCAGCAACCTGTCGCGGCTTTATTCGAACCACTAAAAAAGATCATGCCGCGTAAAGGATATCGTCGCGTCTCACTGTAATCGCAATCATTATATTGAGACCATGCTCGATCTCTTCTGTCTCGTCCCAGAAGTGCACACTATCTGGTTTTAAGTTCGCCCCAAACTCTCAGTCGAAACGTGAGGCTTTCCACCGGACTTCGAAGTTTGATCGTCCCTGACCTAATTGACGGTTATGGTTTTCGTACAAATATTGTACGTTCCAATTGAGCGCCTAGGCAGGAATTGAAGTGGCGAGGAGCAGCCCAACCCCCAAGGTAGACCCTTTCCAACTTTCTGAACGTTCCACATAGGTAAATTCCTTGTCTATCACCCTGTTATGTTGCCGGCCTATTGAGTCCAGTTGGGTGCCTGTCGGCGCCTTTGGCACGAGGGTGAGATGTATACTGATACATTATGACAAGCATAGAACAAGGTACAACGCTATTCCAGTGTTCAAAGAAAGATCGAATAATCTTCGTCAGAGATTGGGTAGAAACATCAGCGCGGCAGGCGATGTCACTTGAATGATCACAATGAGGTGCGTCTGTGAGCGGCACGATCCATGTATGTATATATAGCTCGGATGGCGTGATGGACACCGTCCTCCTGAAAATGATCGAAATAAGCAATGATCGAGTAAGTTGCGGAACAGCTCACCATTCGGACTTTCTCGCCCACTGCGGCCGCCTTCTCCTTCATCACACTGAAGCAAAAAGGTCAATCCTGACTCTGTGTCAGATATCATGGTGATGAATAACTACCGATCAGACGTGGCCTTAATCAATGCAGCAGAAATATCCGAGCTGCCAAGGTTATCTATGCGCAGTCCAGCGCCAAGCTTGTGAACACGGGTTGCCCAAAAGAATTGGTCCCTAGAATAATGAAGTGATGAATATGTATCTCCGCATTTCGGTGATTCGAAGAAGCGTACCCGAACCAGGGCTTGATGAGGGTGGGTATCCCCGCTTTGAACGATGGTTGATAACGAGGGTAAAACGGACACGGTTGAGAATCTTACCTCGCAGACTGGCGCCAGTTGTTCCAGCACCACCGTGATGTAAAGCCGCATCCAATTGAGGAAAGAGCCAATCATGCGGCACCTTGTCCAGCTAATGGCGCACTCTGAGCATCGAGTGATGGGATAGGGGGACTGAAACTTACGGAGAAACATTCAGGAGGGACTGGTAATGGTTCCGCGTTCTTATCCTTGGATAAACGATCCGACCATCCTTTGCTGATGATAGCACGAACCCCAGCTGCATACTAGCAGTTAGACATCAACGAGGACCCAAAAGAATGATCGGTCACCTTTGATGACTCCTTTATAAATGGAGCGCGTCATTGCGTGAGGATTTGGAACAACAATGGATCCAAAGCCAATGTAGACAAGTGGAACACCATCATGCTTGGCCTTCGCTATGAACTCCAGCAGTTCAGGTGATGGCGTCCACTTCAAATCCGGATTATCGAGAAACCAGTACCCTGATACCGTAATGAGGTCGGACCAATCGAGGGGTTTCGGAACGACAGATGGAGAGAAGTTGTAGATGAAGGGAATCTTTGGGATCATCGTTTGCCACTCGCACGTTGACGAAAATTATGATATTCTCTTACCTTTGTCTGCGCAAGCGTTTCGAGGTCAGTTTTCGGTATCTGCAATACCTTCTTCCGCCAACGGTTGACTTGACCTGACATTGCCGTCCAAAATATGTTATCAAAAATCACTGACGGGTAGTAAAATATGAGATGACTCAGTCCATCCAATCACGTCATTAAAGCTCACCATATCTACGATGTTTAAGGTCCAGACCGCTACCTAAGTAACGAATATACATCACCAGGAGACCACATACGTAGAATAATTAAAGGATCCAGATATCTGCCCGAAAGATCAGCATCGCTATCAGGTGCATTATCCCACACGTACCTCCACAGGTGGGGTGAGAAATGCATGGGGATACGCGGATGTTCTTGTCCATCTGCGATGAAGTGTCATGAGTCCCACATAACTCCATCGAGCAATATCACCTACGGCATAGTGAATGCTCGGATGTACGGTATATCTGCGAAAGGGTCAAGTTTCGAGAGAAAGTGGCGGGGACCATGCTTACTTAAAGCCTCAGCAATGTGGACACCCGCCATTGCGGATGGACTAAGGCCGTGAATAGTGCTTTAGGACCATCGAAGAGAATTAAAACAAATTTCCTTGACAAACCTCTCGATCAAGACGTCCGCATCCTGGCAATTATTCCAGGAATCATTCAACACTGTAATACAGGTGCATGAGTGAGGTTGCGCTGTCACTCTTATGTGAATTGACCCACAATCGTTAAGCCACCCTCGGAACTGAGCAGATCGACGATCAGAATCTGCTGCTCTGGCGAGTTAAGTGCGAATAACTCACCTGGCCAATGCTTTCTCTGAAAAAGTGCGGAGAAAATAACTTATCAAACAATCTCAGAGGAGACTATGGGGGAATGCAGATGAAGGCTAAAACTAACAGAATGCTCGACGCTGAGTTTCATGAGAGCAGTCGGATCGCCGCCAGCAGTGCGGTGGTTAACGCCAAATCCAGTTACCCAATCCTTGTATTCTTCATGTGTGACGATAGTGGCTGTATGTCCTTCAGCAATAAGTCCTCGGCAAAGTGAAATATAGGGTCTGTATGTTCGAAATTACGAGTTCTGAAGGACTGCGGTAGATGAGGAGGCGACTCACTGAACATCGCCCCGACTCCCAATGGTTAGACACACAAAATGACGGCTTCTCATGGGAGGCAGCATATCCCTTGGCACATTGATAGGTTTAGGTATAATGGCAAGCGCGTCCTTAGTCATATCCTGCAGAGTCAGGACGCTGGATAATGATGCAAATGTTTGAGTAGCTCTGAAGGCATCGTGAGTTGGTTCAGCCGATTCCGGCGTCTTGGGATCGGATGCAATGCTGGTCAATTCGCTCGAAGATGAACTAGCCGACCTATGGAGTGTTTCGGACGCGGAGGAGCTAGCATCCAAGTCACTGGAAAGCGAAGTATCCGCTCGAGGGAGGGAAGGTAGAGTAGGGGCGCGGCTCAGGGCTCTGTCTCTGACTGAATTGATTCTCCTAATGTAGTTATCCCGAACGTGCTGTCCGCTGAGAGCGAAGTGGATCACTTGATGACCCTTTATTTCAATGCTGAGGGAGTGATGACCAAATAGGGTTGAAGGATGTGCTTTTGCTTCGTTCACATCCTTCGTAGGATATCGCAAACGTATATTGGAACTGGTGTATGATTTACTCCAGCTGCAAGCATAAGAATAAATTTAATGGATCACACAGGAATGTGCTGAACTCACAAGCAAATGTAGTCTTGGCTGACAACTAAATATCCTGCACAGCATATTCGCCCTTGCAGCCAAGCCCGGTGAACTGCAGATGAATACACAGCTAAGTAATCCCACCCTTCACGACAAGTTCAAACTTACTAAACAACTCGGCATCAGGTTTTAGCGCAAAAGTCGTTCTCATTTTACGCTCGAGTGCGGCTTCACGGGTTTCGGGGGTGCTCTTCAAAGAAATGCTTCCCTTGGAGGACGCATCGGCTAATCCTCTCTCTGAATCATCAGCGAATGACAGACTGGAGTGGTACAAGATAAGCCAACGATCGTCATACGAGATGGAAACGTACGGGCCAAAATCAAGAGTAACAATATTCGCTTGGGCCGGTAGTGGGAGATCGGGCCTGAGGGAAAGCTCCTCCTTCCGCTTCTTGACAATGTCCGCAAGAACATATCCCGCACCCGGTTTCTGAACAACAAGAACTTTGAAATCACGCATCCATGAAGCGGTGGGACGGGTATCCCCCAGCATATCGTTTGTTTGCTCCTGTGAGATAGTGAAGCTGATCAGGATCCCAATATCCAGAAATGGTTGGCACGAAGTTGATTCGATGCGATGGAGGGGGATACAAGTCCTGATACCGGCCTCGCGTTTGGCCTCAGAACAAAGTTGGTCTCCATAGAGGTGGTCGTCCCGACGCTGTCTGTACATGAAGACAGCATCTTTGATTTCGCGATGCCAATCGATTGCGGCTTCACTAGTGTCAAACTCGAAACGCGCAGTCATTGGCCCTTTCTCTTTGTCGAAGAGCTTTTATGGAGAAGATCAAACATCACTTCTAGCAGAACGAATTAATGAACACGAACCAGTGACATCGAAGTCGGCTCCGAACTGTCATAATCAAGAACCTTCAAGACGCCCGAAACTAAGCTCGTTCATAGTTAAGGCACTTGACCTGGATGGCATAGGAAAGCAAGCTCACGCAAAATCGACCTCAATGGACGGATCCGTGATCCCTCCGAAGAATCTTTATACAAAGAGAGCATATCGTGAGAGAGTTCTAACCATCGTCGTTGTTTTCGATGGAAGGATTTCCGGAAGATGATGGTTCCAGACTTTATGACGTCTGGTTTGGGCGCCAAGTCGGGGCGAGTGGATAGAAGAGACGCATGAAATGTTACTCGATGTGAAGTAACATGGACCATGCCCTTAAGGGACCGATCAGCATTCAACAAAGGCTGGAGCATTCGAAGACATACTAGGATTGTAGTATCTGATAGCAAGGCCGCGTCTGATTCTTTGATGAGGACCTCCTCTTCACCTTCTCTCGTGAATTTGCCAAACTCTGTTTGGATCACTTTCAACGCCAAGCTTGGGTCAGTACTGGTGGGACGAGGGGCTGGCGACAAATGTGGTTCTTCATTCATATACGCCACAGGGGGTAAATTGTACGAGTTGACAGCGAGTTGTCCTAAACGGCCAAACACACTGCCATCGTCGATCGGGTTCGGTTCCCTGCTTGGGGGTTCGGGTTCGGATCCGTCTTCCTGATCCGGTCCATCGCTCGTCATTGGCTTTGATTCAGTACTGTCGCTCTCGTCGGATTCATCATCATCGTCCTCAAACTTGGATGCAGCGTGAAGCATTGGCCAAAATGATGTCTGGCCCACTCCAGTGAAGTGTTCGGGATCACCTTGCAGTAACTTGGACCACGTCGAATCCAACGAGTCAGACTTTGCAGGAGGTGGAGGCTTGTCCATGTTGGCTGTGAATGTTTAAAGGGGAGGTGGCAAGTGGCCGAATTAATGCTTGTCATTGAGTAACTTAATTCACAGTTCTTCTCTGCGTGTAAAGTTTGTATTTCCGATCCTTGCTTACTGGTTCGCTCGGTCTATGACGAATGCCTCCGCTGGCAACGAGCGCAACGGCTCTGCATGGGATTCAAGGTTCGTAAGCGTTGCGTAAGCGCCGTTACGCGTACCTTATTGACTTTATTTGGCAGTTCGGCACCGGCATTTGCCACACAACCTCACAACCTCAACCATTTGTACCATATTCAACCGCGACTTTGTCGTCTCAAGCCGGGCTGTTGCTTTTGGCAATACCCCTGCGAAACCGGCGAACTGTACATATCGGGGGCCCAACTACCGCCTTCACCGAACCATCCCCGGTGGGATCGGTCATGATAGTCCCGTCTCTCAGGATCCGGGTGACAAATATCGACTCTGCTGTCGTGCGGAATGCCAACTTTGTCCTAGATGACACCACCCTTCCACGTGTCCCTGTCATACGCGTGTTCGGTCAGCTGGAAACTGAGAGCACAATTTGTAATGCTTGTGTACATGTCCATCAAGCTTTCCCATACTTGTACATTGAATACAACGGTTCCAGAGACCCCGATACTGGTATGAGTCGGACCCCCCCCCTTACGATGCTCAAGGATGACCTTCTCAATGTAGTAAAGAAGTATATTAGAAACTTGAGGAACTCGATTAATATCGCGCTCGCTGTCTCGCAGAGACGACCTCCTCAGTCACAGGCCGACTGGCGTTACGTTAGGCACATTCTTTTTGTCAAAGGAGTCCCTTTTTATGGCTTCCATTGTGCTTATCAGCCCTATCTCAAGATTCTGCTGTGTGATCCTGCGCTTGTTCAACGGCTTGCGACCATTCTCCGTGCTGGTTCTATCCTGAATACTAAGTTTCCGGTATATGAAACCCATTTGGGCTATATATTGCAATTTATGTGCGACTTCGGTCTATACGGATGTGGACGGATGGACGTTGGAGATGCTTTTCTCAGAGGAGATGTAGATCATGAAGGTATTTTGTAAAACTATTCCATGGTTCCCACACAAATGAGTAATCTCAACTCGTAGTATTACCCCACTTTGATTCATCCCAATTTAAAGTTTCTCCACTTACCAAGGCTACGCGTTCCTTGCTGGAATTCGATGTCGTTACCCACCAGATACTCAACAGGAGGCTACTTACGGCACGGCCTCTCCCTGACACTCTGCGCATTCCCAGGCTCCTATCGTCGGACCAATCATTAGATTCGATGAAAGCAATGGTAACCCCAGAGCCCCTTGTCCAAAGCATACGCGAACTGTGGGAAGATGAACGCAACAGGCGATTGAAGCTCGGATTGGACCCTTCACCTCCGCCTCCCTCAGATGATGTTGAGCATCGCGAGGGAGGTTCTGGCTGGAGAGGAAAGGTCCGCGATTTCGAAGATTTGCAACGCCGCATGGAGGACGAGAGGGCTAGTTGGCATGAACGTGTTGCAGAGCCATGGGAGGCACTCACCTGGAGCACTTTTGAAAGCGTTGAGATGCTCTGGGATCCGAAATACAGGACGCTGAGGCCCCCAATGGCGTCATCTGAAGCGAGTCAAGAATCTCCTGCCGAAGCTCTGGGATCCCAGAGTACTTCCCAGAATCCCTTTGAGTCACCGCCGGATTTCTTGGAAAGCGATGGTGAAGAAGAGCAGCCTGTAGAACAAGTGGACAAAGAGTTTCTTGGAACACAATCTTTCCAAGCAGAATTAAACAAAGAGCAAACATTCGCAACAAACGATGAACTTGAGCAACAAACTGAGCAGACCCCCGCTGAGGCAATCCCGCTGGGCGAGGAATTTAACGAGGATGGTACGCCAGACACCACACCGTCGAAACCTATCACAAGGTGAACTACACTGTTACCTCTTTCCTCTTGCTGATTCGTTATAGCTAATGCAATCCAGTAGCGCCCTGTGGGATTCAGCACCGTCTACGCCGATCAAAGCGCCCGACTTCTCTAAGGAAGAAGTACCTTCAGGCGGCGAGGTGTTGCAACGACACGCGTCCTCGCCAACTGCGGCTCAAAACACATTTGGCGGTCCACCAAAGGTCCCAACAAAAGTGGATACATCCAAGAACCAATTGTCCCAATCTTCGATGATCCGCTCTGGGGCCCTTTTGTCTGAGAGGTAAGACCTTTCAGTGGTGTAACTTCTAGATGATTTAACCCTCTATGAAGAAATTATGTTCCGACCAAATTGGAGCATTCCTCAAGTCTTGGTCCTCTGTCGCAACCGTCCTCTTCTGGACCAAGTTTGTCGCAGCACATCTCTGTTGGCAGTGGTGATCGCTCTATAAAGCGCAGACGAGTAGGCAATCTCGTATCATGGAGCGAAAGTCCTAGAGGAGCCTCGTCTCCGTCAAATTCATCATGTAGGTTCGCGTGGCGCCGATCGGAACAAGTGGTCTAACGGTCAGCACGCGTGACATGCTCCGCGGTGTTTTAGTTCCTCCACCAAGTTTAGCTGAAGATGCCTTCATTTACGGTGTGCCGGCTCCCACCATTGAAGAACTCCTTTCAACAAGGGGTTCCTTTGGTCTTCCGAGTGCCATCCACGGGGACCCTTTCTATTCCAGTCCTGCAGATCGACCCACACGCGCTATGGAAGTAGCAGGACGGTCTTTCTTGATAAGCGGGAACGGGCTTACCTCCTTGCTGGGATGGGAAGATGATGAGATAGCCCCGGGGAGCGGTTTGGTCGACAGTGTCATAGGTCAACACACTTCTTGCGTGCTTGAAGATTTGGGTGCGGGTAATGTGGGATGGGAGTATGCAGGCCAACCTCCTCCTCCTAGCGAAGTTCGCAACTGGATAAGAAAATACCCCAAATCTGTCCATACACCATTGTTGCCTCGTGTTCCGAACAGATCGCAGGTGATTATTAAAAGTTCAACATCGCGAAGTCTCGCTGATGTTCCGACCGAAGATTTTCAGACCGACTCCAATTACTCAGGCACCTCAACTGAAATCACACATTCCACATGGCGCCAAACGTCAGAATCAGAGCATGTCCGTCATGGCATTGGAAATATTTGGTATGTCTGGCGATCATCGTGTGCTTCCTCCATTATTCGAGTTCATCGTTATCCGCAGCATGTTCATCAGGAAACAAGCTTCCTGACCCGGTTACTGATCCGATTCTGGCCGTTTTCTACTGCTACCAGTCGACAATTGACCCTGATGATCGTCGAGCATCTTATATTCGCGGTATAATAGCTGTTCGAAGCGCCACGGTGACAGAAAGACGTCTTGGGCTTTTTGGAATCCACATCGTTGACGACGAGTTGAGCTTAATCAACGCTCTAGAGGATACTGTGCATGAACTTGATCCAGACGTGTTAACTGGATGGGAACTTCAGAATAGCTCATGGGGTTATATCTCCGAACGCGTTAGGCATGAATTCTGTGAGATGTGATATCTTTCTTCTGGGAGTTTTTGACCGACCAATTTACGGATCCTAGCTGTGAGCCTTTCTAGTATGGTATCAAGGGTCATAGAGTCTGAGGGCCGAGGCCACGGTGCATCTTCTGATTGGTCCAAAACTCACGATACGATGTTCAAAACTACGGGCAGACACGTGTTAAACATTTGGTCCCTTTTCCGATCCGAACAAACATTCACATCTTATACTTTCGAGAACAACGTGTTCCAAATCCTACAACGACGGTATGCACCCTAGGCTGGAGCTATTTTCAGGGGGTTCATCAACTCCACAGGACGCCGCGATATTCCAGTGGTACACTTGGAGCATGGTACCACAGTGATATCCCCGCCCGTACGGCTCGAGTATTCGAATACTTTTACGAGAGAACGGCTGTGGTCATAGATATGATCGACGAAATGGATGTGATAACTAAAAATTCGTAGGCTTATTTATCTGTCATTTTGGTATCATGACATTTTCGTGTTTGTAGAGAATTCGCGCGGATCTTTGGTGTAGATTTCCTCTCAGTCCTGACGCGTGGATCGCAGTTCAAGGTGGAAGCCTTTATGTTTCGGCTTGCAAAGCCGGAAAATTTTGTGTTGATTTCTCCAAGTCGAGAAGACGTACGTCATTTCCTTTGTGGATGGTGTTGGGTAAATGCTGAACAATTTATCAGGTGGGTCGTCAGAATGCCGCTGAGTGTATCCCAATGATTATGTAAGTAGAACTGCTGGACCGCTTCGGGGAATCAACTAACTTTGTTCTCAGGGAACCTTCATCCGCATTCTACAAAAGCCCTCTCCTCGTACTTGATTTCCAATCCCTCTATCCTTCGGTTATGATCGCTTATAACTATTGCTATTCTACTTGTCTGGGACGCATCCGACTATTTAAAGGCAAAAACCAATTGGGTATCACAGAATTGAACCTTCCGGAAGGGCTCATTGAGTACCTAAAGGACTACATTCACAGTAAGCACGAGTTGCAATACTAGATGTCTCTGCGCTGAGTGACCGCATTAGTCGCAGCAAACGGTTTAATATATGTCAAGCCCTCCGTACGCAAAAGCCTGCTGGCCAAAATGCTGGAAGAGCTTCTGGATACACGGGTGATGGTAAAGCAAGCTATGAAGCGTGCCAAAGGAGACAAGGCATTATCGTGTGTTTTTCACAGAGTATTGTAGCATACTGAAAATCCGTGTTAGATCCTGATGAAAATCCTTGATGCGAGACAGTTGAGCCTCAAATACATAGCAAACGTCACCTATGGATATACTAGTGCCAGCTTCTCTGGACGGATGCCCTGCGTAGAAATTGCCGATAGCATAGTGGAATCTGGGCGACAGACGTTAGAGAAGGTTATTCTGTATTCCAAGTTCACTGCATTCAGTTGATTGACAGTCTTACCAGGCTATCGATCTCATTGATGGGACCCCTGCATGGGGAGGTCGAGTCGTTTATGGTGACACAGATTCCCTCTTTGTCTCATTACCCGGAAAAACGAAAGCAGAAGCATTCCGGATTGGCCAGGATATCGTGAACAAGGTTACGGCATTAAATCCATGCCCTATCAAACTTAAATTCGAGAAGGTGGGTCGTTAATTGGCCGGCAGCCATGAAATCAGAGACCTGAGTGGTCCGCTGAAGGTGTATTTTCCATGTGTACTGATGGCAAAGAAGCGTTACGTGGGGTTCAAGTACGAAAGCCCTGATGACGTTGAGCCCGTCTTTGACGCAAAGGGGATTGAGACCGTGCGGCGTGATGGAGTGCCTGCTCAAGCGAGGATGCTCGAGACCTGTCTGAAGTAAGGCGGTTCTTTGAATCTGCGAATTATGAATGTTAAGTCCACCCAGGATCCTATTTCGAACACAAGATCTTAGTCAAGTCAAAGAATACTGCATTCAGATGTGGACTCGTCTGCTCGCAGGAAAAGTTTCTATACAAGACTTTGCCTTCTCGAAAGCAGTCAGATTAGGAACGTACAGGTCTGCTCATTTGCTGCTTTTCAAGTGAATGCAGCTCATTAGCACTTCAGCGAATCCGCACCTCCAGTTCCTGGTGCAGTTGTGGCAGCGTTGCAAGTCAAGAAAGATTCAAGAAACGAGCTTTACGGGGATCGTGTGCCTTATGTTATTACCAGAGGCAGTCCAAAGACCCGACTTGCGGATCGTGCGCACAGTCTAGATGAAGTAATTTGGCATGAGCGTGATGGGTAAGTTTCGACTCCAGAAGGCCTCACACTTATCCTCAGACTTTCATCAGGAAAGAGCCACTCTACCTTGATGCGGTGTACTACATCGAGAGAGTCCTGATACCCCAATCAATCGCGTCTTTGAACTTATTGGCGCAGATGTCACTCTTTGGTACAAGACTATGCCTAAGGTCGTTCGCGCAGAAAGCGCTGAGGGCCCTGTGGAGATCATTAGGTCTCCCAGTAAAGGGGCTAAATTTAAAATTGATTCTCATTTTCGCAAGCTCAGCTGTGTCTCGTGTGGCAAACTGTCCGATGCTGACGGTGAGCTCGACACACTGTGTTTCCTTCCTAATACTCTCAATACTTCCTCTTTCAGAGTTGTGCTCTTCATGTAGAGCGAATAAAAAGGAGGTTTTGCTGTCGTTGACCACAAGGCTGCGGGACGCAGAGTACAAGCTTTCGTCGGCACTCACCATATGCGGGTCTTGTAGTGGTATCCCTCCGATTGAAGGGAACCAATGCGAATCTTATGACTGTCCTTGGTTCTTCGAGAGGCACCGTGCCGAAGATGACGCTGAAAAAATGGCGGGGATCTGGGATGCGGTGATGCGCCTCCAACTGAGTTGAGCAACGGATTATTGTGGAAGTTGACTGATGTGACACCAGTCCCTTGAAAGCCATCCATGGAAGCTGAGAGCTTCTGACAGTTCATGTGTGCCACATCCGTTACCAGTGTGTGTCATGGTTCTTACATAAAATAACCATCATGCAATTATGCACGCAGTAGGGGCTTCATGTTCATTATGTAATGAATTTTGTAGAGACAGAAAGCCCTAGCTGGTCTCTTGGTTTTTGTGCGCGACACGTGTCATGGATCTCACCAAAATCACAAAATCAACGATTCGTTTCTTAAATGGCGGAAAAGACAAAAACTATCATCACTGCATGTATATCGCAGCGGGTGGACAGTACCCAAGCGAACGAACCGTGCCATAACAAGAAATCCAAAAGAGTGACAATCAATCGAACTGAAAGATCTCGACGCATCTCCTAGAAGGCCGTATGATCACCGCTCTGCCAGAAACAAAACAAAGTGAAACCAAACACGACCCATCAGTGATCGCTCTCCTATCCTCACGGTCAAACATGGTCTCCAGAACTATCCTTCCTCCAACAGGATTCAATCGCTTATATGACCGCAGCGAATTCTTATCATGACCGAGAGAGTGGCATTCGAATATTAGGGTGGGGCAGAGTCGAGGGAATGGGGAGGACGGGGAGCGATCTGCTGTCAGACCACGTTCCATAAGCATGCCGTACGAAAGAGTGTATGTCGGATTCCAGTCAAGGGAGCCTCGGGCACGATACACAAGGCGCGGAAGCAAAAGCTTTGGATCACATCCTTCCGAAGCCACTGGATCGTATGTGTCAGATGGGCACTCCAGAATCTTGTAGAGCTGGCAAATCTGGATTCAACTCGGACTATCCGTTGTGGAGTTTCTTCAGAAACCGTGGTCTTTAGGCAAATCTTCGTTGATCTCCGCAGATCTGGAGGGATCCATGACTGAAGGGTGACTACAGACCTCACCCTTCCGTAGGGAGAAGATTTCGATAGTGATTTAACAGATAAAGCAGGAGAATTGCTCCCCGTAGTGCTGGTGGGGGGGATCCAGTAGACGCAGGATTCTCCGACAGATGACAGGGTTATAAGATACGGCGGGAGAAATACTGCGTGTACAACGTCGTCAAACTGGGGGGACGATAAGCGATGGATAGGATTTGAGGGAATAGGGCCTAACCTCAAGATTCACATTGAGCATTTCGTCTCGCCGCCAATTCCACACAATCCACAAGTTTCGACAACCTGCAAAGATGTAATCCCCATCGAGAAACGCAAATTGTACAAAGATATTCCCGGGGACGAGTCGAGCGAGGGGGATGAAGAATGCGCCCATCTCGTCTTCATTTGTCGGCAGGGCCCAGGCTAGACGCAATATCTCGAAATCATATCTGCGTTAGGTTTCCAAATTAAGCAGCCAGGTATCCGTTAGCTTGAGAAAGCGGGATCTCACTGTCCGTCACCATCGCAGGTGAGAGCCATTACAGTTACTGAAGGTCCGGTTTCACTATATTGCGCCACGATTACGGGAAGGTCATCCATCTCCTCAAAAATGGCCAACGGTTTCCTGAGAGCATAAGTTTCTGGACGTTTACTGACACATTCAAGATCCCAACAGCAGAGTATCGATGGTGCGTCGTTCCCGACACCAGCCAACAGCCATTTCGACCCAGGTAGGACAGTGCTGAAGAAAATTCTCGAATAGGAAGGAGCACCATGAAAGTAAGAAATACTGGAAGAAAGGAGCGCGAGGTCAGGAAGCAACAATCCGTCCTGGGCGCGCTTAGTCTCGATGGCACGAAGTAGTCTGTAAGGGCGAGTAGCAATCATCTGCAAAGAATCAGGTGGAAGTCCCAGAGGCTTGAACGTGTTGGGTGGGAGACATCGATTGCGGACCATCTGTTGAATCTGGTCATGCCAAATAGACCTGTCGTTAAGTATGCGCTGATGCAGAGAAGCATTCACCTGTCCAGAGGTCAGGACGGCTGCAACGAAGAGGAAGTACGAGGATTCACACCAGAGAAAGCCTTATAAGGTCCCGCGCATTCAGCCAGTGAGCAACCTCACACAGGACGTCTAAGGGAAGGTGCTCCAACCTGAGCCGCCCTTGCATCCTTGACTGCTGCTGGGTGACAGTTCTGAGTTCAGGACGGATGACATTCGGCCAACTCCGCCACAATTGAGTTATGCAAGGGATGACCTAACAAGTCATTATCGTTGGGCGTTCCTAATTACATGATTGCCACCAATTTATGCAGCTAGTTATGCACGCAGTTACGTGTTTGCGCGTTACGCTGTAAGGGCTTCACGATCATTTCGAAGAGACAGAAAGCCCTGGTCTCTTGTTTTTTTTGGTGCGACACGTAAGGATCGTGGATCTCACCGAAACCACAAATCAACGATTCGTTCCTTGACGTTGGCGGAAAAGACGAAAACGTATCATCACTACATGTATATCGCAGCGGGTGGACAATACCCAAGCGAACCAACCGTGCCATCCAAAGAGTGACAATCAATCGAACTGAAAAACCTCGACGCATCTCCTAGAAGGCCGTATGATCACCGCTCTCCCAGAAACAAAACAAAGTGAAACCAAACACGACCCATCAGTGATCGCTCTCCTATCCTCACGGTCAAACATAGTCTCCAGAACTATCCTTCCTCCAACAGGATTCCATCGCTTACATGACCGCAGTGGATTCTTATAGTGATCGAGAGAGTGGCATTCAAATATTAGGGTAGGGCAAAGTCGAGGAAATGGGGAGGACGGGGAACGATCCGCTGTCAAACCGCGTTCCATAAGCATACCGTACGAAAGAGTGTATGTAGGATTCCAGTCAAGGGAGCCTCGGGCACGATACACAAGGCGCGGAAGCAAAAGCTTTGGATCACATCCTTCCGAAGCCACTGGATCGTATGTGTCAGATGGGCACTCCAGAATCTTAGTAGAGCTGGCATATCTGGATTCAATTCGGACTATCCGTTGGGGAGTTTCTTCAGAAACCGTGGTCTTTAGGCAAATCTTCGTTGATCTCCGCAGATCTGGAGGGATCCATGACTGAAGGGTGACTACAGACCTCACCCTTCCGTAGGGAGGAGATTTTGCCAGTGATTTCACAGATAACGCAGGAGAATCGCTCCCCGTAGTGCTGGTGGGAGGGATCCAGTAGATGCAGGATTCTCCGATAGACGATAGGGTTATAAGATACGGCGGGAGAAATACTGCGTGTACAACGTCGTCAAACTGGGGGGACGATCAGCGATGGATAGGAGTTGGGAAAATGGGGCCTAACCTCAAGGTTCACATTGAGCATTTCGTCTCGCCGCCAATTCCACACAATCCACAAGCTTCGGAAGCCTGCAAGGATGTAATCCCCATCGAGAAACGCATATTGTACAAAGATATTCCCGGGGACGAGTCGAGCGAGGGGGATGAAGAACGCGCCCATCTCGTCTTCATTTGTCGGCAGGGCCCAGGCTAGACGCAATATCTCAAAATCATATCTGCGTTAAGTTTCCAAATTTAAGCAGCCAGGCATCCGTTAGCTTGAGAAAGCGGAATCTCACTGTCCGTCACCATCGCAGGTGAGAGCCATTACAGTTACTGAAGGTCCGGTTTCACTATATTGCGCCACGATTACGGGAAGGTCATCCATCTCCTCAAAAATGGCCAACGGTTTCCTAAGAGCGTAAGTTTCTGGACGTTTACTGACACATTCAAGATCCCAACAACAGAGTATCGATGGTGCGTCGTTCCCGATACCAGCCAACATCCACTTCGACCCAGGTAAGACAGTGCTGAAGAAAATTCTTGAATAGGAAGGAGCACCATGAAAGTAAGAAATACTGGAAGAAAGGAGCGCGAGGTCAGGAAGCGGTAATCCGTCCTGGGCACGCTTAGTTTCGACGGCAGGAAGTAGTCTGTAAGGGCGGGTAGCAATCCTCTGCAAAGAATCAGGTGGAAGTCCCAGAGGCTTGAACGTGTTGGGTGGGAGACATCGATTGCGGACCATCTGTTGAATCTGGCCATGCCAAATAGACCTGTCGTTAAGTATGCGCTGATGCAGAGAAGCATTCACCTGTCCAGAGGTCAGGACGGCTGCAACGAAGAGAAAGGACGAGGATTCACACCAGAGAAAGCCTTATGAGGTCCCGCGCATTCAGCCAGTGAGCAACCTCGCACAGGACGTCCAAGGGAAGGTGCTCCAACTTGAGCCGCCCTTGCATCCTTGACTGCTGCTGGGTGACAGTCAGGACGGCTTTTAACCATGACACTCGGTCTAACTCCGCCACAATTCAGTTAAGTCAAAAGAGTTCATTAATATCGTTGGCCGTTCCTAATTAATAAACCGGGCCGGAGTGAATGAACTCCCCTCACCCACCAAAAAAAAAAAACTCCTATGGCACGCATTCCATTGGAATAGGTCGGGGCGCATCCGCCATTCCTCTTGGCAAGAGGGGAAGACCGATTGAAAAAACCACAAGTTTGAGCCACTGGAAAAAAGTTAACTACGCAGATGTCACACCGTTGTGTCATGTGTCACCCCTAAGTAGTTAAATCGATAGCTTTTCTTGCATTACCCTTCAATCGAGTATCTGTTGGCCAGCGACTTGTTTGCGTGAGTCTCCAGCCCTTCTCCTGGCTTCAGCCAACCTGAAGAGCTCAACACCCTCGCCATCTCAATCGCCAAGATCTTCGCTGCCCACAGTTCTGAGCGAAATTTGGGTTGATGAGGCTTCCAGATATCTTCCTGCCACTGGTAGATCTCAGGATCGCCGTTGGCTTTGCCTTGGTCCCGACTCTGAAGGAAATATGCAGAAGACCACTGCTGCTTCTGCACCCTTATCACCTTTCTCAAGTGTTCTTTTCTTTCCTCTGGGACAAACTTGTAAATCAGCGGGAGGAAGACTAGAGCGCGGTGTCTAGAGCGCGATGTCAAACGGGGTTAATATGTTAGGCAAGATGTAAACTATGTACAATCTATAAGGTTGAGGACTTACCTAGAGCGCGATGTCAAACGGGGTTGAGCATCGCACTCAGGTAATCCTCGCTCTTTTATGTCTATCTAACTATACAACAAAGCGGATAACAAAGGTGAAACTAGCGCCTCCGGCGCTTTGTGCGACTAAGGGTTTGCCACACGGCAACGCTTTGCCTGCAGCTCCGCCTCCCCTTTGTCCTCGTGTGGCGTCGGGCTGCCACATCAACACTCCCCCACAGCCTGACGTCCACACCTTCTCTAGGCCGCGTACTCCATCCCCATCATCAGGCAGAAGCGTTCGTGCTTCACCTTCGCAAGGGACTTGGTGAGAACATCGGCCGTCATATCGTTGGTCCCTACGAGCTTGAGGCTGACTGTCCCATCCGCGATACATTCCCTGATGAAATGGTATCGTACATCGACATGCTTCGTGGCGGCATGGTTGACGGGATTTCGAGCAAGTAGATCTGCAGCGCGATTGTCAATGTGTAAGATTGTTGGCCCGGCGATGCCTTCATGTAGTTCCTCGAGAAGTCGTCGCAGCCACACCAGTTCCTTTGCTGCTTCCGCTGCTGCGATGTACTCTGCATATGTTGATGAGTCAGCTATGTTAGTCTGCTGCTTCGACATCCAGGAGATTGCTCCCCCAGACAACAAGAAGACATTTCCTGAGATCGACTTCCAGTTCATTGCATCATTCGCCCAGTCCGCATCCGTGTACCCCACGAGTTCCCCTCCCCCCGCTGTGTATACTATCCCCCGGTTCATAGTGCCCGCAAGATACCTGAATATATGTTTGATCCCCTCGATATGTTCACGTCCGAATGTCGCCGCGAAAGGAGAGAGTGCCCGAACAGCAGCACAGATATCTGGTCGAGTTCCCAGAGCGGCATACATTAGTGAGCCAATCGCTTCGAGGTAAGGGTATGAGGAAACCCTAGAGTGGTCTTCCATGGAGGCGGGTTTGTATTGAGCTCTCGTGGGTAGTGGTGTAAGGGCAATGTGGCAGTCGGTCATTTTGAAACGCGCTAAGATGTCCTTGATGTACTGGGACTGGTCGATTGACAGTGTCCCTGCTGCGATGTCCTGGTGGACTCGAATTCCAAGTATCCATGAGGCCTCACCGCAACTAGATACTTTGAAGCGCGAGCTTATTGAGTCTTGGATGGATGTCAGGAGGTTTTCGTCATTTCCGGCTAGGAGCTTGTCATCGACGTATACTGGGATAATGATGATTGATCGACCTCGTTTGAAGACGAAGACAGAATGGTCAGCATGTGTCCATTGGAAACCCAGTTGGATGAGAAAATCATGTAGCATGGCGTACCACTCCCTTCCCGCTTGCTTTAGACCGTAAAGACCCTTCTTCAACTTGGCCAGCTTGTGTTCCTCCCCCTTTTCCTCATATCCCTTGGGTTGCCGCATGTAGATATCTTCAGATAGGGTGCCATTCAGGTATGCAGACTTGATGTCCATCTGGTGGACTCTCCACCCATGGCGAGCACAAATGGCAAGAAAGACTCGTAATGACGCGGATTTGACAACCGGGGCGAAAGTCTCAGAATAGTCAATACCTTCACGTTGGCTAAACCCTTGGGCAACCAACCGCGCCTTGAAGCGAGTGACTTCCCCGTTGGCACCCCGCTTCTTCTGCAGGACAAAACGGCACCCAACAACGTTTCGGATATCAGGCGTTGGTTCAACGAGCTTCCATGTCCCGGCTTCTTTAATCGCCACCAGTTCCTCCAGAATGGCCTTGTGCCACAGATCACATTCAGGCCCAGCAAGTGCTTCGCGCGAAGATGGGGCATCTGGGAGATCTGTATTGTTAGCTAGTACTGTGCTGGTCAGATGGACCTCATCTAGGGCTATGTCCAGGACATCTTCAAGCTCGACAGTTGCTGCCACAGGCACGTCATTCCAGAGATCCTCATAGACATTGGCAATCAGTTCCTTTCGTCGGCCATGTGGTCCGTATTCGGATGGATCAAAACGATGTGGTGGACGACGCACCCTGGCTGGTCGATTGTGGTGAGTAGGAGGGACAGGCGGAACATGTGATGCATCAGGTGCTGTGTCAACTGGACCATCGTGACTTGTAGGAGAGTCCTCGGCGGTTGCTGGTGTCGAACGACTCTCAGGACTCACCTCCGCATCGCTGTCCGAGTCACTCTGTGCCGATTCGAAGAACACACATGCTGCTGCCTTTGCTTCTTCCCGGAAAATTGGCGCACATACAACCTCAACTTTGTGAGTGATTGGGTCATATGTCCTGTACCCACTACAGCCTTCGGGGTAGCCCAAAAACTTCACCAATTTTCCGCGCTCCCCCAGCTTTAGCGCTCCCAGATCTTTTGGTCTATGGATGAAAACATCGGCATACCAAACCCTCATGTGAGAGACATTGGGTTTCTTTCCATAGAGTCGTTCAAAAGGGGTGATTCTATCAGAGCGACTATCCACCGTGCGGTTGATTGCATAGGTAGCAGTCGCGAGGGCATCTGCCCAGAGAAAATCAGGTGCATGTGCATCCTTCATCAGGGTGCGCCCTTTGTCCAGAATCCTCCTGTTTGTCCGTTCCGCGACACCATTCTGTTCAGGGGTATGAGGGACTGTCAACTCCACACCGATTCCTTTCTCTGCGCAATACTTCTCCAGAGCTCCATTCACATATTCTCCCCCTCGGTCGGTCCTCAGTATTTTGACATGTGTCCCAAACTGGTTCGCAAAGAAGGTGTCCATCTTGGCAAACCAAGGGGTAAAGTCTGACTTTAGCGCACAGGGATAAAACCAGGTAAAGTTCGTCCTGTCATCAACCAGCGTGCAAAAGTACTGTTTCTTCCCAAGCGATAGGACTTCCATCGGGCCACAAATATCCGAGTGTACTCGGCCAAAGCGTGTGGTCGCAATGTCATGGCCCTTTGCGAAAGAACCCCTCACCATTTTCCCCCTGATGCAGGCTTCGCAATCAAAGTCTTCAGACTCATTCCGGGTTCCATCAACACCGAGCACAGCCCCTTCCTGGTGCGAAGTGATTCCTTCCCCGGGTGGGCCAGTCGCTTGTGCAAGAGGTCAAAAGAAGGTGCAGTGGTCATTGCGGCTGGTCCATTATCTAGCTGAGAGGCCTTGGGAGATGACAACTGTGGTTGGTTTAGGTAGAACAATGGCCCCAACTCTGTTAGTGACTCGGCGATTAAGGTTCCAGACTTCGAGATTTTGCAGGTGTTGGTTCCCTCATCAAAGGTTACTCATATTCCACGGCAGATCAAGACCCGGCAGGAGAGAAGGCCGTAAGCCAGTTCAGGCACATACTGTACTTCCAAGACTTTGCGATGGACAATCTTTCCGTTTGCGGTGCAGGGGATCAAGACTGTTCCCTGTCCAAGTGAGGGGATTGTACTGGCATTGCCAAGCCGGATGTGTGGCGGGGTAGTGAAAGGTGTGTAATCAAGAAATTCCGTCCTGTTTGGGCAGAAATGGTTGCTGCAGCCAGAATCCACAATCCACGCTTTTACGGTATCCGTGGGTTTGTCCGCTACCAGGGCAGTGTCAGTGATGTATTCAGCACACATGGAGCTAACACTGTTCTTAGGTCTGGCAGTGGGAGGTTCGTTCCCCAATGCGGTGGCACACATGGCCATCTCAATGCCTGCTGGCATGGTACTGACAGTACTGACAGTAGTAACGTTGGCACTGCCATTTTGTTCTGCGGCTTTCTTTTCCCGGTATGCATCCTTTTCTTCTTGCGTTGCGGTACATTTAGAACGAATGTGGCCTGTCTGTCCACACTTCCAGCAAGTCTGCCAGGAGAGCCAGATGGGGTCATTTGGGTCCTTCCTCTTCCCTTTAGGCCGTTCCCCCTCAGCAGCGAGTGCCTTCGGGGTTTGGAGTGAGTCGGATTTGGTCCCCAGGTTCTCTCCCGCTGCGCGTGCGCGACGTTCATCGGCTTGTACCTGTTGATGAGCGACTTATGATCTCGGAGCTGGACTATGAGTAATGACTCAGTCTCAGCCAATATGCATGAAGAACTGGATATATTACCTATGAGTAATGACTAGAGGTAATATACATAATATAAGTTACAATGATAAAGCAATGAGGGAATGTAACTAACTAACCTCAGTCTCAGCCAATATGCGTGAAGAACTGAGGGAAAAGGAAATGAATTCAAATGAATGAATATGTCCGTGGCCTGGCACGGATTAGTCCGAAATAATATAAAAGAGAAAAGGTGTTGTGACTAAGTAGTCACGCTACCGCGGGAATGTGGCTGTCCGGGCGAGTTCCTCACCCGGATGTGGGAATGTGGCTGTACGAAAACTCGTCCGGCCTCCCATAGCACACGGTTCCTCCAACAGTACCCTTCTCTTGAGATCATCCAAGTTCCACTTCACACCCTTTGGAAGAGGAGTATCGAGGAGCATTGTTTGTAGTGTACGCATGCAGGGTGGGAGTGTATGGATGAGGCGCATGGCGATCGAACGATTTCCAATGCGGTCCTCGTTGTCAGTCACTTCCTTGTTGACCAGGTAGGCAAAATTGATAAGGGCTGTCAGGTATTCTGAAACTGAGTTGTAGTCGCTGAGCTTAGCGTTGTCATAGCTCTGTCTGGCATAGAATTCCGCTGTGGATCCAGAGTCCTCATATTCATCCTTGAGGGCCTTGAACAGGACGGCAGCGGAGCTTTTCCTGTGTGGAAAGGCATTGCGTTGGATTGATTCATCAAGTGAGAGCCAGATCCTTCGACGAGCATTCCGATCCCCAATTACCCAATCTTGGTGTTCAGTTACTTTGGACGCATCAGGAGCTGTGGTGTTGCTGCCTTCAATGAAGTCCCAGGTGTGGTCCATGGCTATTTCGAGGTTCCCAGACCACAGGATCCAGTCATCTCGTCCTTTTAGTTTGGGGATGGTAAGAACGGCCTTGTCAATGGCAGAATCTTTGAGCAGGGCGGTAGTCATGGTTCTTCGGTGTTACAACCAGAATAGAAGTGCGGCGAGTCAGAACTGGGCAGTCGTTTCAGACAAAAAGTTCAGCAGTGCCGGGCGGTGGGTGTGGCGAGTCAGAACTGGGCAGTCGTGTCAGACAACAGTTCAGCGGTGCCGGGCGGTAGGCTTTGCGCAGTGCTGGGGTAGAGTTGTACTGGGCTGATAACCTGTAAATCAGCGGGAGGAAGACTAGAGCGCGGTGTCTAGAGCGCGATGTCAAACGGGGTTAATATGTTAGGCAAGATGTAAACTATGTACAATCTATAAGGTTGAGGACTTACCTAGAGCGCGATGTCAAACGGGGTTGAGCATCGCACTCAGGTAATCCTCGCTCTTTTATGTCTATCTAACTATACAACAAAGCGGATAACAAAGGTGAAACTAGCGCCTCCGGCGCTTTGTGCGACTAAGGGTTTGCCACACGGCAACGCTTTGCCTGCAGCTCCGCCTCCCCTTTGTCCTCGTGTGGCGTCGGGCTGCCACATCAACAAAACTTGCCACACCCATTGACGAGCACAACAAAATTCTCAAACAGAGTCTGATCACACCCGGCGCCACTGGAGTGGTGTTGGAAGTGGGGGCAGGTTCGTGAGGCATCTTTCCCGGCGGGCATGGCCCATGAGACTCACGGAAGCCCCTCAATGACATGGACACACAATCCCCTACTTCGATCGCACGAAGGTGACGACATACATTGCTGTGGAACCGAATGAGCTCTTCCATCCTGTCTTGCGTGCTACTGCCGCCAAGTACGGTTACAATGAAGCAAGTGGATCGTTCATTCTAATCCCACTTGGCGCAGAAAATTCCTCTGATATCCTCAAGTCATTGGGTGATCATCACATCGATAACGGTGTCGACACCATCATATCCATTCTAACGTTCTGTAGTATTCCTTCCGCGGAAACCGTGATAACCCAGTTCATCGGTCAGTTGCTCCGGCCTGGGGGGATTCTCCTTTTCCTCGAACATGTGAGGAGCAATCGACCCGATGTGAGACGATGGCAGACTCGTTGGACGCCAATTTGGACCCTCTTTTTCGACGGCTGCAGAATGGATGTCCCTTCGGATAGATTGATCAATGATATGGATATATGGGCGGAGAAGGAAGTTTGGAGCAGGGATGACGAGACAGATGAACGGCTCTTCTGGCATAGAGTTGGACGATACGTCCGGGCATGATGCATACGGGTGAAAAATTATGGACCCATCCGGCCGCATTCGGGAATGGGGGGGACGTTAGGTTGCCAAGGCTTTGCGAATGCATGCCGAGATCTACGCGCCAATGAAGTATATGAAGACGAGAAAAGTAAGACTATGTGTAACGTACATGTACCGCCAGAAATGATTGAAAGAATCTAATCTGCGTCTTGGCGAACCCTTCCCCCTGTTACTTCAATCAGTTTGCCGCCTGCACTCCTCACCAGATCTTTATATACGGCCTCCGAAAACAAGTCAGTGCAAATCAGGACTCCGAGGTACTTTGGTCATCTCACCTCCTCATACTTTTCCTGTTCTTTGCTCTTTGCACCTTCCTCGCGAGGACTTCCTTCCTCTCCTTCGATAGCCCTCTGGCTGAAGCGCTCCCCCATAAAATCTCGAATAAATTCCGCAACGCCGACTTCGCCTATTTCAGCGAATGCACGGCTGCCCCATTTCCACTCATAATCGTCCACGCGCCCATCATCATCATCATTTGCCCTCTTCCTCCCTCGCCCCTGCGTCGCACCTGGAGCACTTCCTCCGGCAAGGGGATTACGTTGTCTATCAAGATAGCCAGATTTGGTAAATGAAGCCAGAAGAACATCAATACTGTTCCCTTTGTGGGTGGCCCCTGCTGAAGCAGGGATTGGGACACCAGGATGGAGTTTCAATTGTTTGAGCTGGGCACGTAGTTGAGCTATCCAAAAAAATAGGGAGAAAATATCATTAGTCTGGAAGTCGCGCGACAAGCGGACTGGCACACACGGTCTGGGATGGAACGGCCGTTCACCATAATTAAAGCGAGTACCACGTGAAGGATACCTATGGATGCAGGATCGTCGGCAGCCCTCCAAGCAATCAAAGTATCGTCAAGAGGTGCCGAATTCTCCTCGTCCTCCTCTTCTTCGACTTGTTCGAGCAGAGCCTCCCTAATAATCGGAGATGGCTCCATAGCTGCTTCAATCAACGCCTTAGGAAGCGTGCTGCGTAGAATGTAAGCTTTCGACGAGCCGGTCTCTGAGAGACAGGGTCGTCAGGCAAGGGGAAACCGGAACTCAAAGATGTACCTTTTTTCTTCCCTTTCACATCATCTAGCGATGCCGCCTGATCTCTTTCGATGCGAGTCATGAGCTCGACAAGTTCAAGGCCAAATGTCTGATTCAATATCTGCTGCGCTTCTTCAAAGACATAGTTAACCATTCTCGCCCGAGACCCTATAACTTGGGATCTCGTGAGAAATTTCCCGCATAGATCCAACTTGTTCTGGCTTACTCTTTTTATTTATGTCGTCCTTCTTCAACGATGTCTTGCTGTTTTCTGCGAAGAGGGCCATTCGAACAAGGTCATACGCTTTACTTTTTATATCCTAGGTGCATTTGTTTACGCGTCAGAGAGGCATCGGTGTCCAAAAGACATATCGGCGCTCACACTCGGGCCATCATCAGAGGTGCCTGAATCCTCTTCCTCCAAATCATCATCGTCACTTTCTTCCCGGTCGCGTCTCCGCCGACTTTGAGACACATTCTGAGAAGAATCTTGTCGTCGTTGTGACGCGCCACTCTTTCCCTTGTCTTTTTGACCCCTCACTTGTGTGTCGCGGGGCATTTCGAAGCCGCGATTGTATTTGAGTGTTGACATCGAGAAAATTGGGTTGTCGCCCAATTGAATTGATTCCAGCTGCAAAACCCGAGACGCCGCACTTGGGGTTACCGCTTGCTGGATGAATGTCCACGTCAGCGTCAAGCGCTAGCTCATCACCGACTGGAAATGAGCCTGCCCCAACGGAAGTACCAGGGTCGTTTCATTCGAAGGTGAGCGATTACTGCCAAGTTACCTGTGTCTATAAATGTCATTCTAGGTGGTGCTGACAGCCTCAATCGGTGGTGTACTCGTCTTAATATCAACTGCCCTCTTTTGTCTGTTCAAGGTTAGTATTCTTGTGAGTAGCTCGATAACCTTGATGATATTGTGTTATCGCTGGGCAGATATCGCGCTTCATTCGTGACCAGCGAATTAGCAAACGAAGAAAGCGCGAGGCGAGGCGATTCCGTGATCGTGAATGGGAACTTATGGAAGCTGATGGTATCCCCGTACGTATTATGCTTTTTTGCTTACGGCCTGTCAATCCCTGAATGACTGCTTTGAAGGCATAATCAAACTCCTCTGATGCTTGGACTGTCCCATTGTCAATTATAGCTCATCGTTATGACATCATCAGGGATAGCATGTAGCACTGTTCTTATGACCATCGCATAACCACGACGCTGTTGACGAGTCCTGCTTGTTCGATCGTTTGACCATCATCCTCCAGGATACGGTTAGGGAATGTAGTGCCGATGGTAAAAGGCTGCGCTTCCGACTGAGGACGGGATCTAAAAGCAGCGCACTCAGAATACGATCCAACCCATTTAAAATGTGTAACATACGCCCTGATAAATCCCCGGACATCGCCTACAGTGTGGGTTAAATTCATACGAGCCACAAGCCTGAGATGAAGAATTATGAGCAGAAACTTTCATGTCGAAGTTTGCTCGCACCTTGTACCATCGGCCAACCTTATCTGCACACTGGTCGTAGGCTGCGTTTGATCCACTTCAAACCTTGTCGTCAGGCCTGCCACAGTGCTTTCGTTGGAGGGTGTGGGGGGCTGAGGTTGGGATGGAAAGGCTCCGGGGACATGTTGTGGTGTCGACGAAGACAACTCAGTGGGCACAATCCCCCCTAGTCGGTGACCTGCTCCTGAAAAGGCCTTCCCGAGCTTCTTTGGCGCAACATATTCTTCGTCCACTCGGCGAGTAACGCGAAGTTCTACAGGCTGACCGACTTGAACGTTCAAATATGAAGGAGGCGCATTGCTAGAGAATGTGTTAGTTGACATGGGCAACGATGATGCTGATGATAAATCCCAACCCGCTGTTGATTGCCTCAAGGATTCGTTGATTCTCCGGATTATCATATTCCATAAGAGGACCGTCTTCAATGCTGAAGCCGTTTTTCCAGAATGTAAGATATCGGATAGCGGTCTCCTGCTCTACCTCCTCAGGATCAGGAATGAACGAGGAAGGCACCTCATCCGAGCCCAGAGTATTACCAGAGCCAAAGAATGCATTTCTTGGAGCCGGCTCCTCCGGCCTCGGTGCTCTTTAGATGAGGAGACATAAGTGATTGCACAAATTTCGGAACGAAAGTCATACTGTGCGGCTCTTCGGAGGATCTCGCGAACCATATTATTTGCACCGGGAGGTCCACCTGGCCTGTCAGGGTTTTCGACATTAATCCCACTGCGGGAAGTAGCAATGTTCAGCAGTTTCTCGATATGAAGGAACGTAAGTTACCTTCTCTCCCCTCCAGCGAACCAGCTTTCGCCTCCAGCACCTTCTTCATCGGAATCATCATCAGATCCACCAAGTGGTGGCCCTCGTGGTGCAGGACTACTACGGAGATCATGAAGTCCAGCGATTCTCCCTCCCGACGAAGGGGTATGCGAACTCCTAAGAAACTGGGTATATGGGCTCTTCCGATCCACTTCTGATGAAGAAGGGCTTACGACGTCGTTTGCCCGATCCGGCTAAACCGAGGTGCTTGTGAGGCCGATCGTGCCCAGTCTGCGGGAAGCGGTTCCGCAGCTCCTCCTAGGGTTCTTCCCCCTCCTGCAGTCTGTGTATTGTTTTCAGGGTCGTTGGACATTGGTCGGAAGTCAATGCGTAAGTGGTTTTGGTTTCGGAATCAAACGCAGTTGATCTTTAGGAAGGTTCTTCATGGCTTCCACCGCGTCTTCATCAACGCAAAACGTGCTAAAAAATGAAGTGAAATCAGGAAAGAAACAGCCTATCGTGATTATCACAATTGGAATGGCTGGCAGTGGCAAGACCACATTCGTCCAACGTATAAATGCCCATTTGCACCAGCGCAACTCCCCACCCTATATCGTTAACCTTGATCCTGCTGTGGCCCATGTACCTTTCGATGCCAACATTGACATAAGAGATACCGTAAACTATGAAGAAGTAATGAAACAGTATGAGTTTGTATTTTTCTTGAATCCCTGCTCTTGACCTCCGATTAGGTATAATCTAGGTCCTAACGGTGGCATCCTCACTTCCCTTAATTTGTTCACGACTAAATTCGACCAGGTGCTCAATCTTATCGAGAAGAGAGCCGAGACAGTCGAGTACAGACTTCTTTAACCTGAACTCTGGCGCAGCGTCCTCATCTCATCATACTCTAGTTATGTTATACTGGATACACCTGGGCAAATCGAAATATTCACATGGTCTGCCTCTGGTGCTATCATCACCGATGCCATCGCATCATCCCTGCCGACGGTGGTCGCATACATCATCGACACACCAAGGTCAGTTGCTCCGGCAACATTCATGTCAAACATGTTGTACGCCTGTAGGTGGGCAGCGTCTACTGTGGAGCGAAGAGCACTTACTTACTCTGTTGCTCACACAGTATCTTGTACAAGACAAGACTCCCTTTCGTTCTTGTCTTCAACAAAACAGACGTCACACCCCATGACTTCGCTGTGGGGTGGATGAAGGATTTCGAGGCATTCCAAGCGGCTCTTGCGGAGAGAGGCAGCCAGGTAGATGGTCCGAATGGGAATGGCGAACCGACGTACATGGACAGTCTAATGACAAGCATGAGCCTAGTGTTGGATGAGTTTTATAAGCACCTCACTGTACGTTTGCATTGCATCACTTATGTCGCCTCACTCACATCCATTTAGGCGGTTGGGGTTTCATCAGTTACAGGAGAAGGGGTGGCGGACTTCTTTAAGGCTGTTGACGAGGCTGGGATAGAGTATGAGAAGTGAGTTTCAGTCGATGCTTCGTCACTTAATGATTCACCCAACGTTGTCTCAGTGAGTACAGGCCAGAGAATGAACGCCTCATGAAGCAAAGGGTTTGGTCTATCCTTGCTACAAGCAGCGTGTCACTGACGTTCTCTCAAATAGGAAGACATCCTGAGGGATCATCAGGAGGAGTCTGTGAGTAGGCTCATGAAAGATCTCAAGGTTAGAGAGCCTTGGAAAGGGCCTGGTCGGGACCCGCGGGAAGATTCGTGGGTAGAAGCTGAAGCGGAAGGGGAAGAGGAAGACTCTGGAGAGGATATTGATAAGAGTGAGTGTTTCACATATGTTAGGGGATATGGCTTTTGAACCACTCTCGCCAGGTGAATATTCCGGCCAATTTCTAAGCGTAGATCGTGCAAGGCGAACTGATTTTGGGGATGGCTCTGTTTGGCCGCAGCCATGATAAAGTATGGCAGTTTACGTGAGGAGCCGTTTTATCTTGTCGATCGAGTAGGTGGCAGGAAATGGGGGTAGCATTATGTTCTTATACAGTAAAGCCAAGACAACGGGAATGTGAACATAGGGGGTTGCGGCACGACCAGAAACTGGAGGTTCATTGGTGCTCGCCGAGACGTAACGCAATGATCAAACAGTGAAAAAAGGTTGCTCGTTGTCGGTCTGGGATCGCTGCAGGCTTTGTTGGAACGGATTTGATCCCGTTCGCTGACCAATGAGAGGGGCTTGCCCACCATGTTGGTGGCCCAGGCGCAATTGACCGAAATTCCCGAAGGTGTCGATTCCATCATCCCTGAAGTGCAGAGGTAATACATGAATATGCGATAACGTGGAGTAAGAGGCGGGGCACACCTATTTGCCAAGAGTGATGCCAATTGAGTGTGCGTGCTATCCTCCACAAATGGTCGCCTTGCATTCGCACGTGTGTTCGCGGCCGTAGGGCTCGGAGGCTCGGAAGAAAATTGCTCCAGCACAGGGGAAGGCGGCTTGAAGCTTGAAAGTGGCAGAGGTGGTGTCGCGGTTGCGGGTGATTGGCTGAAAGCGAATGGGTTCTTGGAGCCGAAAGCGGTGTGCTGAGGCTGGAGTGGCTGCTGTTGCTGATGTAAGAGCTGTTGCTGCTGCCACTGCTGCTGCTGGAATTGCAACGCTTGTTGCTGGCGCGTCCACTCCTCTTGTTGCTGTTGTTGCTGCTGCAGAAGTATTTGCTGACGTTGCCACTCCTCCTGCTGCTGACGCTGCTGCGCCTGCGCCTGCTGTTGTTGTTCCAATAGGGCCCACTCTTGCTGCTGTCTTAAATACTCTTCCTGCAGTTGCTGCTGTTGCATTTGTTGGGTGTATGGGTTGAAGGAGGTAAATTGGGGTTGAATTGCCGTTATTTGGGATTGAGGCGAAGAATCAACGAGAGGAAAAGGATTCCTGGAAAGTCCGCTGTCAAGGGTCGGGTTGCAATATGTTTGATATAATCTTACAGCTGATTCTGGTCATCGAAAAGGGCTCTTGAATTGGCATCTTCTAACGTCTTGAGCCGCTTTGCTTCGTCTTCCTGGGACAGACGAAGAGCCTTCTGCAAATCTTCCTCCCTGTCACGGAATAAACAACATATGTATGATAGCAAATGGCACGATAAACTGCTTACTCCGCTTTTCGGGTATTTTCAGCCGCTAATGACTGCTTGCTTGCTTCAATGGCACGTTTCAGTTCGTCTTCGTCCTTATTGGAACGCTTAGAGCGAGTAGGGGGCGTGCTTTGGCTCCGCCGAGGAGCTAGGTCGTCGTCGTCTCCGTCATTGTTGCCATGACCGTTGGCCATACGGTCCCGCATGTGTGCGCGGCTTTTGCGTTCTTGACGCAGACGGCCATCGTCCATAAGCAGATTAGTGATATCTTTTGCCTTCTGACGAACGTTTGCGCCTTGATCCTTCCCTTCTTCATCGATATACTGGAATTCCTTAAGTGTCTTGATAATGTAAATATTATCTCTGTGCAATCAAACAATAAGTGAGTGTATTTCTGCTGAAATAAATAAGGTGTACTTGAAATAAAGAACAACGTTCTCTGATCCAGCATGGAGAGTATAATCAAGAACGGTGAGTGCCTAGATCCAGGAAAGTCGGTGCATGATTTGTGTCAGGGAAACCGCGTCACGAACCTTAAAGACATGTCTCCAGTTCTTCCCTTTGTCGTTGAGTCGCTTGTCTAGCATCTCCATGATCTCCACGAAATCGTTCCTGACGTCAAGTTATCGGCAACATCGATCGCACGGTACGAGAAATGACATACTGGTTGTAGGTGAGCTGGGCTAATTCATTCATTTGGGTGCCACTGGGCCCCCAAGGATCATTGCTTGTCGCCTCCCTGACTTTGGCTTGAACTTCGCTGTATCCTTTCGTATAGTTCTTGGCTACTCGTAAAGCTCCTTTCCCAAAAGTCTGCAGTTGTTGATCGTGCGATTCATTAAGTCAGTTAACTGATATCAAGAACGTCGGATTGTAAACATCCTCGTACCGATAATGTGGACATCCTTATAGCACTGCGCAAGCTGTCTCCGGTGGCACGGGGACTGACTTGGCTTACGTCAGCTCTCCTTCTTCTGACGGAGACACCTCAGGCCCAGGGTCGTGCTTGGAATGGAAGATGAGGGTCTCTCAGATGTGTGATCTATATGCCTGAGGGGATGTTGCCTCAAGATGATGATTTTTTTTCTTCGTTTCAGGTTGTCGCATTGTTCCATTGCTCATTCCACATAACCAAGGTTTGCAGCCGCGTGAATATGGAGGGGAAATTGTGGTTGACTATCTCATAGGGTAATATCATAGACTGGTTTCTGAAACAGGACCACATCGATCTAGATGGATTAGAGTATTCATGCCTCCCCAGTGGTTTGCACCTGGTGGAGAAGGATGTTATGTGAGTAATTCTGGTTGGCATCTGGTTCATTACGCTTATTCCTAATAGTTATATATCTCGCGATGGTTATGAAGGTGTCTGTGTTTATCGACGGCGCCAGACTGAGGAGGAGGGTCTGCGGGGTGCCAGGTTCAGTGCCATCGGTCTCCTGGTTGGTAAGCGTCCAGAGTTGTTTTGTTGCTGGCGCGTTGTGTAACGTATGTTTTCAGAGAAATCAACGCGACCCAGGCCATGGCGGCATTTGAAACATCTTCATGCTCTCTCATCTGAGTTGGACAATTGTCCAGATAATCGTCAGATTCTCGCTCATTATTATGAGGACCATAAACAATCGGCGACGAATACCGAAGGACCGTGGGTTGACTGGCCCACAGAGCTGTCCCTCCATGTGCGTTGTGCATCGTTATCTCACCGCTAGGCCTGACTGTATTGGACAGCCAGATCACCCCCTTCATCGTCTACCACTACTGATAAATATATTAGGACCAAGCACAGTGACTGTTTTCAAATATGTATTGGCCAGGAAGCGGATCATGATATATACGCATCCTGCCACGGAGTTGTCGTGCTTGATGGCTATGATGATTTCACAAGTCTGTCATCAGAAACGAGAAGCAGCATCCGAACCTCCGGTCACAATTTTGGGGATGGTGGGTTTGACGGATCTAGACCGTTTAGCGCTGGAAGCATCAAGAGGCTACGGGTGGATAGCCTGTAGGGCAAATGATTCATTTGGTGCCTTTGATGCTGATGCTGATGATTACAGGCACAACCGACAAGCTGTTTTTCGATAAGACGACAACGTACGATTTGATCATAGACCTCAATGCACCCACAGAAGACCAGCCACTGGCTCACCGGCCTACGTTGTATGCTGCAAGAAGTCGATCTGTGGGTCTACAATATGGGGCATGCCTGAACCCGATACGCTTCACATTTAGTGACATCAGAACCTGGCTTGACCTCGCTGCTATTCTATCATCAACCTCCAGGCAAGGTTCTGAATCAGCCCCCACACCTGATCTATATGAACAGTGGTGTGTAGCGCTTACCAACCTTTTCCTTGGCCTCCCGATGCCATATCTGTCAAACCGAGGAGTTACCCGTTCTATGCTGCCGCGGGCACCCCAGCTGGCCTCACCAACATTGTCGCCCTTACTTCCTGATTCTGCTGACATCACATCTACCGATTCCCAGAGTTTATCTTCGGTCCTGCGTCTTCTTACGGTCCTTCACCAACGGGTTGGTTCATGGATAGCGCAAGTAGATGACATCCTGAGCGAATGGAGTGATAGAACACAACCTCACTTACCCCATTGCGACATAGCTGTATCGCCCAGAATGATTTATGCCTTTGGCCTAAGTCCTCTTAGTCGACTAGACAAGGAATTTTGTGTCGATTTTATTAGGGCAAGAGCGTCATCACAGAATCTTGGTGTGAATGTATATTTTCACCAATCATGGAGGGATTTTGCTGATTGTATATTATGCGTATGGTGATTCTTTGTCTGTATGTACCTTTTAATGTCCTCCACACTGCGGTGAATGAAGAGTGGGCGCTTCAGGAATCAGTAGTATGGAATTCAGGAATTGCACAGCTCTATTCTACGGCAGCAACCGCCTTGCAGCAACCGCGGGCGCTTAAGCTTTTGGATTCTGGTACACTTTGCGTTCATCTTCCGCACATCCGACGTCTGTCTTGAGTTGTGATACGTTTGCATATGAGCGAGCACCCTTCAAGCGCACTAAGGCTTCATACTCTACCCGCGATTGTTTCTGGAGCTTCACCCTCTTCTCCCAACACTGCAGGTCTTTCGCGCCGCCTTAGCTGGAATCGAACCGAGGGAGACGAACGTCCTCGGATGTCGGACCCGCTAGGTGGCGCTTACCCTAGTCCTCGCCCTCGCAACCTTGACTATGATAATCCATTTGAGGACGAGCGGCCTGTACCCGACCCATACACCTACCCGCAAGCTTCTCAAACAAGCCTCGTTGATTATGCTACTCGAGGGGGACTGGCTGATGACGAACAGCGTCTCACGGGGGGCACCATCTTCCTGATTCGGAGGATGACGCTGAGCAGGGTTTACGTGTATCTACCAGAAAGCGACAGCACTATGCAGGGGAATCGCCTCTTCGTCCCGCATCCATTGGGGGAAGTGCTTTTCAGGCAGTGAAAAGGAATTTACGACATGTCAGTGTTCGTGTGGTCGACCTTGCGAGCACGGGAACGAAAGACCATCACGTTCGATTAAAGGACAGTCCCGAGGCTACCACAAATCAGACTCCTGAGCAAAGTCTCCCAAACCTTGGGGGGACGCCATTGCGGGGGTATACGCTTGGGTTATTTGGCCCGTACAGTTCAATACGACGGTCGATGTTCGACTTCCTGCAACTACCGTGGGTCATACTTGTCGTGGTCCCAACCCCAACTAACAGCTTTTTCCAGATGGACAGAGCCTATTATATTTTGCCTTATCATTTTCCATGCTATTGTGCTTATTGCTCAGTCTAGCAACGCTATATGCTCAGTGCAGACCTCCGCCCCTTGTCCACGTCCAAATGGATATTTTAACAATTGGGCGGATTATACTTTGTTTATTTTATTTGTTTTCTACTCGTATGTTCTTCCATTCTGCTATTCGATGGTAATTGACTGAAACTACCTCAGACTAGAGAGCTTCGCTCGTATCGTCATTTCTGGGCTATTTGTAGATCCCGATAAAAACTGGAGAGATGCCACCAGGAATAAAGCGAGGTTGCTGATCTCTGAAATGATGCCGTGGAGCCCACGTGGTCCAGTGCCCTTGGATGCGCATCAAAACCAGTCTACTCAACCGTCTCGGCCCATCGCCGTGGCCTCTGAGTCTTCCAACCCCACTACGTCGGGTCCGGTACGGTCAATATGGAGGATTTTAGCAACAGAGAATTCGGATCCGCATCACACACGAGGTGCTACCAGGCTAGAAGCCCCATTCCAGCTGGCAATTGAAAAGCAACGGGGTCTTGCTAAGCAGGGTCGCCCGTATCTTAGACATTCGTGGAATAGGGTGGACTTCATTTCTGTTGTTTGTTTTTGGATCATGTTCATCTTGTCGGTAACGCACGTCGAGGCGACCGGCAGCCGCCATATCTATATTTTTCGGGCATTGAGTGTTCTACGTGTCTCACGTCTGTTGTCTATGACGAGTGGTACCGAAGTAGGTGTTACATTGTTGTCAGTCGCCAATTGCTTAATCTTCTTTATGTGTAGACTATAATGCGATCCCTCAAGAGAGCTGCGCCATTACTGGTCCGAGTGGCGATGTTCATTCTTTTCGCAATGATACTGTTCTCGTAGGTATCCACACTATGTGATTGGTAACTTCCCTATTACCAATTTAGTTAGAATAATCGGTGTCCAATCGTTCAAAGGCAGTTTCCGTCGCACCTGTCAATTAGGTAATGCGCAGGAATATTGCACGAATCTACACTGACTTCGATCCAGTTGTTGATGGAGCCCAAATCTCAAACCTCCCAATATCAAGTTGCGGGGGCTTTATTGACCCTACAACGTACGACACTTTGGGCTACCTTGTTAACGGACAACCCACGAATTACACCAAAGGATATGTTTGTCCTTTGGGTCTGACTTGTAATGTGGGCCCCCATTTTCCCATGCTCCAATGCCCACATTCACTAGTCCACCTTTCCGTAGTCCAGCGACCAAAATCCCTACAACAATCTGCAGAGCTTTGACAACATCGTTTATGCGTCACTTCAGGTGATAATTGTCGCCAGCGTAAACACCTGGGCCCCGTGATGTATCAAATCATGGATGCTGAGTTCTTTATATCAGCGCTTTATTTCATTATTGGTGTCATCATCATCAATTTTTGGCTTCTTAATTTGTTTGTCGCCGTCATTACGAACACGTTTTCAGCTATTAGGGAAGAGACGAAGAAGAGTGCGTTCGGTGCGAAAAAGTATGTCATGTTCGGATTTAAGCCATATCCCTCTAATGTTTGGGCGAAGGACCGGGCCCACTTTTGACGAACATGATGAAGGCTGGACGATGGTGGATGCGACGAACGCCAGTGTTGGTAAACCCGTATTGAAATTTTATGAGTATACATCACTTGCATGGACTCTTTTGGCACTTGTTAGCCTGGGATTCCAGGCTACACAAACATCTACCTCATCTCAAAGTTATATTAAGTTGCTCAGTAAGCTTACTGTCTTGTCTTATGTCGACCGTCACTCATATCTCGCAGGGGCGGTGGAACTCTACATTACATTGGCGTTTGATGTCGAAATCGTTTGGCGTATCCTCGGCCATCTACCGGATTGGCGGGTGTTCTTCCGTTTAAAACGCAACATGCTGGATTTATTCCTTGCCTTTTCATCCTCGGTCATTCAAATCCCTGGCATTAAAAACTCGGGTGTCTATCCATGGCTTACAATATTCCAGTTGGGGAGATTTTATCGCGTCATCCTTGCAGTTCCTGGGATACGCCCTTTATTGGTATCACTTCTGATTCTTGCCTCTAGAACGCACACTGACATTCGCACCGCAGCTGCAAGTTTTTGGGAATCTTTATGGTCTCATCAACATGACGCTGTTCTTACTGATGACCAACTTGATTGGGGGTTTGGTGGCGGTGCAGCTCTTTCGTGGAGATGTACCTCCTGCGTCGGCAGAGATGAATTTTTACCAGATCGTTAACGCGTTCCTTTCTATGTATCAGGTATGAGCGGGCTGTTCTAATGCAGTGCTTTGGCCAATTATAGGGCAGATTTTTAGCTCAGAGAACTGGACGACCGTTCTATATAGCGCGGGTACAGCTGAGGTAACATTCAAGCAATCTGCAATTGCCATCTTGTTTCTCTCCGGATGGTTTCTTTTCGCAAATCGTGAGCCCCTTTTCCCAAACACCTTTGATCGACAACCATTCACTTGGAATTAGTTATTATGCTGCAAATGTTCATTGCAGTAATCAACGAGGTGCTGTCATTTTGCTTTTCCGACGTCGACTAAGTCAGCTCATGAGCAGTACATTAGAATTTCGAAGTTGCTGAGGAAGAAAAGCGTGCCGAACAAGTGCGCACCTTTGTGAGGAAGGCGGCGCCAACGTCCGACGGAAACACATGGATAGAGAGGTTTAACCTATACCGATATCTAAGGGCTAATCCAAAACTCGTTACTGTGGAGTCCCTCCCATCAAAGCTCGTATTGCCTATGCAAAAATCTCTTGTCCAACCCAATCGCGCAAATCGCGGGGCAGAGCACGCCCACGTAGGTGTCGGTGGACTGTTGGCTTCCGCTGCTCATTGTTGCGCTTAGATGCCCAGTGTGGAGCAATCCCTTGAAGGTGCCCAACACCGTCAAGGCGTTGCAGGGTATCTGGAGCGTCTGTTTGAACTGAATGGACATGAGGAGATCGAATTGGCAAACGTGCGACATGCACGGCGACCGTCCTTACCTTCCCAAGCACCTGTCGATGACACTGAAAGACATCTGTGAGCCAACTCATATTTCTCTGCCTCTTGTTTCCGTTACCAGTGGGTCGACCTTCCCAGTGATATCTTAGCTGCAGTCAGCGCCGACCATACTGTCGAAGACAGCAATGACGCTGCTGAGGAAGAGCGGGCCATGAAAGAGGAATTCATTGCCCAGCATCCAACGTACGACAAAACATTCTGGGTATTTTCCCAACGTCACCTACTTCGTCGTGCGTGTCAACGAATGGTCGCGCCGAAGAATGGTGACAGGATCTACGGAATGCCACCCGACTTCTGGGCTCAACTGTGTTTTCAACTGTTTTTGTTGGCAGCTGTGCTGGGTGGCATCGTAGTCTCTAGCGTCGCCAATCCCATCTATCAGGAACATTACGTCTCGAATCACCCCCAGGTTCGTTTCCCATGGTACACGATTGCTCAAGCAGCGTTCGCTTTAGTCTTAGTCATTGAGTTCGCCGTCAAAATCATCGCCGACGGATTTATGTTCACTCCGAACGCGTATATATTTGACATATGGAATATCGTGGATTTCCTGATATTGGGGGCAATTTTGGGTGGAACTGTTCCAACCCTCATTTCCCCTGGCTCTGTGGGCCGGTTTGGACGTGCCTTGCGTGCCTTTCCCGCTCTTCGTTTGATCACCATATTTGGCTTTATGCGATCCACCTTTCACTCCGTCATATTCGCAGGTGCCCGACGAATTTTGAGCGCCGCAGTTCTTGCCATGCTATACATGATCCCTTACGCGGTATGGGGGCTCAATATCTTCTCTAGTCTCATGTTCTCGTGCAATGATAGTGGCAGCGATAAAAGTTTATGTGTTGGGGAATATACGTCGAACCCTCTTGATAACACCAATAATAACTTGGGTTTCTTGGCTCCTAGGGCATGGCTCAACCCGCAAACATCTACCCGCTGGTCTTTCGACAACTTCAGATCGTCGCTTCTTATCCTCTTCGAAATCGTTTCGTTGGAAGGCTGGATTGATGTATTGACGGCTGCAATGAAGATCAGGGGACGAGACAAGGAGCCCATGCAGGATGCATCTCAAGTCAACGCCATCTTTTTTGTTGCTTACAATTTGATGGGTGGAGTTGTCATCCTCACACTTTTTGTCAGGTTCGTAGCACCGTTGCTTCGAATTCTCGTACTTAGACCCTTTTCCTCCACTTCCACAGCATCATTATCGGCAACTTCAGCTCTCGGTCTGGGATGGCATTGCTTACTACAGAGCAGCGTCAATGGATCGACTTACAAAAATTATTGAAGCGACAGCGGCCTTCCCGACGGCCGAAATCTCCTCCCGTCTCAAATTGGCGTCGATGGTGCTATTATCGTGCGTCCATAAGCATGGGTGGTGGTCCCGCACAATGACTGGTGTCTATTGGCTCCACATCATTAATTTGACGTAAGTGACTGTCTGTATCTTGGCACATCGTATCACACCAATTTTCCTCTAGGACTCAGACCTTCTATGAGAAAACCAATCAGTCGAATACACAAGGTTTGTTGGAACATTTGGGGTGGATTAGAATAAAAAATAACATCTCCTTCAGATATTGTATTTTTACTTCTCGCCTTCGTGTATTCTGTTGATATCTGTGTGCGTTGGATCGGGTTGGGTCGGAGTTTCACTGCCAATGGCTGGAATATCTTCGATGTTTTCGTGGTTTTGGGCACCATCACCACTACACTGGCCATTGTAGGCGGATCCAAGGGCTTTGCGGTTCAACAGTTCCAGAAATTGTTTTTAGTCAGCATGGCGTTCAAATTGGTTCAGAAGTTGAACCATTTAAACCAGTTGTTCAAGACTTCTGTGTAAGTTTGCTCTTGCCTTCGAGACATGCTGCTCAGTCACTTGGTAGTGCCTCTCTACGTGCCATCGCCCAGCTATTTCTGCTATGGATGGTCCTCTTTGTCTTTTTTGGTATTGTTTACGTCGAGGTGTTCGCTTTGACTCGTTGGAATAGCGCGGAGACTCACAACCAAAATTACACAACGCTACCAAAGGCGTTGGTTATGTTGGCCTTTATGACCACCGGGTACCCTTTCCACAGTTTCCCCTTCTGTTGCTAGCTTACTTATGAGGTTTCAGGGAGGGTTGGAATCAGTATATGCACGACTAGTAAGTGGGTATGTTGTCACCTAACTCTTCAAACTGAGTGAAGTGATAGTGCGACCGAGTATCCTTATTGTACCAACCCCACCCCCGGGCGATCGATGTCGGATTGCGGCAGCTTGCCGTGGGCCTATTCTCTATTCATTACTTGGAATGTGCTCAGTATGGCGAGTAGAATAACCTCTTAGTTTGCCAGAGTTAAACTAATAGAATTCGATAGTACATTTTTGTGAATATGTTTACTGGTGAGTGTTATCATGGCCAGGGAATTATTTGATTGTCACAATTCAGTAAGGTGTGGTTGTGGAGAATTTTTCCTATGTCTTCCAACTCGCCGGCCCCGTTTCCGTCACTCGAGAAGAAATGCGTGCCTTCAAGAAAGTCTGGACAGAGTTCGACCCGACTCGTCGCGGATATATCCGGAAGGAGGACTTCAGCAAGTTCTTCCCTGTAAGAATATCACAACTCTCAGTTTACGCACCGTAATTTGGAACCTCGCTTCCATGTAGAGACTTTCTGGGGTATTCGACGTACGAATATATCCCGTCGAAGCCACTTACTCGAAATTACTTGCCCGAGCCCGTCAATTGTCGTTGGACGGAACACTGAACCCAGAGTTTCCCGGCCTGGACTTTTCCGTTGCTCAACTGAATCGCGTTTTGAACACGATCGATTATGGAAAGGTTCGCAAGCGGCGTACCGCATTTAATTTGCTGTATCAGGAGGCCTTGGTTATCGCGGAACCTGGCCGGGGATTTCTTTCGCAGACATGCTCATTCTTCTCGCCCATCATAAAATCATTGACGACGAGAAAGCATTGAGGTGAGCTCGAGACAGTGGATTTGTTCTTCCTTTAACGCACTCCCTTTATAGAGTTGACGAACTCCTACGGCGCCAGGCGATGATGGAATATGTCACAGACCGGCTCAATCTTGACCGGCTTCGTTCCCTTCTCAAGATGGTTCATCATCGTAAAAAGTTTATGAAGGGGAGACAAGGCAAGTCATAGTTTCAAAAAAAACTTTCCGCAAGCTCATAATGATCCAGGGATTCCCTCTATTTTGGTGGACAACGTGGTTGATGGGCGCCCTTCGACCCCTCCACCTCTGTCGACAAGAGATATCACTTTGGCTAGTAGGAACTCTCTTTACCTTAACGAAACGCCAACCGGGCGCGCGTTACGTCATTCCGGTATCTGGAAGATCCAACCCTCCCTTCGACACCTCGAAGCGTTAGCGACATGAGTGTCGCCGATCTGGGCTCACGTTCTTTATCTGTCAGCCGCGACCCATCTCCGATCCGCGATTCCGGAGTGCCAGAAGACCCGCAACATGTTTTACAGTCGCTTAACTCATCTGTATGGGGAGGTGGGTTGCTTGTGCTAAGCGGCATCGGTCCGTAAAGCTGACAGATTTCTTCCAGAGATGATGCTGGGTGATGGAGCTGAGGACTAACGAAGCATGGATCTGAACCAGGCATACTGTACTGCTCTACTTACTGATTATTCTTCCAATATATTCATTCACAATGTGAACGCACATACTCGAATTGCAGGCCATGAATGATGAAATTAGAGGAGAGAAATGATAAATACAGGCATCACAACCATTACCGGGGCGGAGCCTCACCAGCCCCGCGGAGCCTGGGTCTCCACTTTTGAGCTGAAGGTTGAAATCCATCCGCATCTTTCTGAGGAGTGGCAGGGCGCACAGGTTGCTCTCGTGGCTTTGCGCCACCAAAAGGAGATTGAGGTCGTGCCGGTTCATCTCGAGGTCGTGCACTACCGAAGGGAGATGGCCTGCTTGGAGTGGTTGTTGTGGGAGTAGCGCTTCCACTCCTAGGAGAAAATCCTGAATCTCTGGCTCCTGGGGGCTTGTACGTACCACCCGAAGCTGGGGATGTGGCGTAGTTGAAGGTGGTGTGGTGTTTCCTGCAGCACCAGAAGCAGCAGCGCGTGCTCTCCATCCACCGCCGGGAGCCGGAGATTCTCCATTGGCGAGCCGAGGGGGACCAGTGGGGCCAAGGGCGGCCCCTTTTTTGCGCTCTTGCTGGCGTCTCTCGGCTTCTTCCTCCCGTTGTTGCTTGAGACGAACCTCCTCCAAACCTTTGCCCTCTCGGCCTCCCGAGATCGTTTCGTTTCGGCAGCTCTCTCCTCGGCAGCTTTCGCGCAGCTTCCGCCTCTGCAGCTTTTGCAGCTTCCGCCGCACGTTGGCGTTCCTCCTCTTCGTCCCGCGCTGTTATCAGATATTGTGAGCTCGACTATGGAAGAACCACACAATTAACAAACAGACCTCGCTGCTCTGCCCGTTCTGTCTCCTCTTGCTCCCGGCGTTGAGCCTCTGCGGCCTCCCATTCCTTTCGGTTGGCTTCGCGTTCCGCCTGAATCTTGACCCGACGCGCATCCTTCTCCTTCTCCATAGCTTCGAAAGCCTTTGCACGCTTCTCCTTAAATAATTCCTCACGTTTGGACATAAGTTCTCCACGATACGCTCCATAATCATCCATTATTCGTAAAAGTCGTTTCTTTGCGCCAACATCTTCCTGATGTTTTTGTTGAGACAAGGCAAGAGTCGAAGCGGCGTTACGTTCGTGAGTCTCTCTATCTTCGCGCTGCTGCTTATTATAATCCACCGCAAGGAGGGGTCGTTCTTCCTTTCGAACGGCTCGCTCGAAGTGATCGATATGTTTGTGCAAGATACGCAGGCGCTCGTTCAACTCACGCTTCTCACGATCGAGCTGTTGGACTTGCAGAGAAATGAGTTGCGAAGTATCGTACTTCTCGATGTCCTTGATAACATATTGACAATACGTCGCACCACAAATGAACATATACACACCTTAACTGGGACTTTGATCCCCGACTTGTTCATGAGCGTTTCAGCTAGCGCTCTGGCTTCCTCGCGGTTCTTCTCATCAATTTCGCGCTTGATACGATCTTGCTCACGTTTTCGCGAAAGTTCTGCGGCCCGCTTAGCCTCAGCCTCCTTCTCTCTCCGTGCCTGCTCGGCCTTAGCACTTTGTTCTTCTTTCTCCTTGCGGATAGTAAGCTCGGTAAGAAGTTCAACACGGCGAGTAGCAAGTGATCGCCGTATTGCAAGGCGCTCACGCTCATCATCCGCGGCTTTGACGAGCGTAGCAAACTGATCTGCAATACTGGGTGCCTGGGGTGCGTATAGGAGGACGAGCGAGGTGGACAGCGCAGATGTCAGACGGGAGAAGCGTGAACGAATCAGATCTTCCGATGAGGCGGCGGTTGATGTGGAGGCGACACCATAACCATTCGAAACGAAAGAAATGGATGCTTTAGCATGGTCAATTTGCACAAGAAGCTCGCCACGACGTGAAGCTCTCATAAGGAATGACTCCAATTTGGTGATGTTCCATACTTCATGTGGAACATAGGTGGTATCGTATGGTTCATTCAAGGGCTCCACAATCGCGACGACGTTCGAGAGACGAACGCTGGAATAAACCTGGCTTAATTCGCCAAATAACCTCGACAGAAGGACACGATTCAGTAAGGGAAGATAAGGAGCGTATGTAGCATCTTTGGAGAGTGTTTGAAAAATCGGAGCGACGTTCGCACAGATTGTAGATGGATGGACATCAACTTCCAAAAGTTGATACAACGCCTGAACTTCTGGCCGGGAAACGCTTAAAGTGTTGCGAAGGAGCTAATAAAGCGAAGGAAGTCAGAGTCCCAGAGTATGATAGAAATAAATAACTCACGGCTTCGCGGAGTAACGAGGCACGAGAGGGGGATTTCGACAATCCAAGTAACGCGGTGAGTCTAGATGATTTAGTTTTTGATTCATCCTCTTCGGAGTCGGGGACGGAGACGGGAACAGCCAATGCACTGATGAGCACGAGACCAGCGAGCTGGGCGAGTTCCTCATCAGATTTCCCACCCATATTCCGTACCACAGAATAGTACCTGGACCATGCAGCTGCGTGATACAAAGCATTCCCGCTTGTCAAGAATATTCGCGAGAGTTTTTCGTAATAATTGGCCATCATCGCGGGTCGAGGGGCCTTCTTAGCCAGAGTCAACAGGTTATGGATATCCTCGACTGAACGAAACGCCTCCTGCCACAATTCCAGCTCAACTGAAGCATTTAATTGGGCAAAACGGGTATCCAAATGCCGTTGTAAAGTTTCAGGGTCCGAAAGATTGATAGAGTGGGTTTGGTGAGAGTATTTAGCGACATTTGAAAGGTGCAAGCGAAGAGTTTCGCATAAGCGCCGGAATTCAACTTTTCGGGTATGCTTCAAACAAAATTGAACGCTTGAAGTGCAATTTGCTGTTTAACCGTCAGTCTATCGGAGAGGCTGCACATACTACAAGATCGCAATCACCTGATAAATTGCTTCTAGACGAGCATTGTTTTTGAGCGTCTCTAACGCCGTACGGTAGCTCTCCCATGAGAATTTGAGCCAAGGAGTAACGAGCGCCCTGTCCGTCCTGTCCTTGTTTTGGTCTCCACTGACAGCCCCCAGAAGAACATCCTCAGGGGTCTCACTAGCTTCCAGGTCGTCGACGTCGACGGCAATAGCTTTCTCAGCCTTTTCCTGTGCCTCAACAACCTTGGCGTCTGCATGGGATATGAGTCTCTTGATGACAATTTCGATCGAAGGAACCGAAGAATTTTGAGCAATGTTCTTATATTGCATGAGACTTTCTTTCGCTGTTCTCCCTCGTCTCATCTCAACGCAAAGTTCGACTATACGGATCATTATTGGCTCCAGAGATGACAAGGCGGTCGAACGGAAGCGCTTGGTGGAGAACACCTCGGTTAAAGATTGTAAGGCTGTAGTGCTTTGGCCGACTTGAATCAGGCCCTCGGCCTGCTTGAGGATGGCCTCAGGCCTCGTATACGGAGCCATGATTTTGTAAGAAAGCGGTACTAAGGGCGTTTGCTTAGGGAATGACCTTGCAAACGCTGAGTAGATAGATGCAAGTAAGCCACGAGTTACACCTGGATGACGTAAAAAAATAAGCAGGATATGTCAATGTCGAACCACTAAGACGACCACAGCTGATAAACAAACTTTAGAAAGGCTTTAGGACTGCAAAGAACTGACGCAACGAAGAGGGTAAGCCTCGAGAATTTTTCAGGTGCAAAACTGGAAGTCGGCTAGCTCCGGAACTGTATGGAATCGCGTGACTGTCACAGCCATCCCCTCAGCAGCCCTTGCTGACCGTATCGCACCAAAATCACCTCTGGAACACCATGGAACACGATAGAACCATGAAGACTCTTACGTTTACATAATCATGGAACCTTCGGTTACCTACTTGAGGCTTACTCACAGCTGCTTGGATCCATTCGCTGTGTTCCCGCCCGCAGGTTGGAGGATCAGGCGAGAGATAACACGTTGATGATATCACTACAGAAGCTGAATGCTATACGTAACGACCATCGAGGGAGAGTGATGTGCATCCTCTGATCGATGCCGTTACGAACATTAACAACTTAGCTTTGAAGTTGACCTCGCCTCGTCGATCGATCCTCTTTGGAAATCTACTCAGCTTCACACTTATGAACCTTTGAGAGCCTTTTGTTGTTTTAGTGGAATCGGATGGCTGGGAAAGCTTGTCGGCTTTCCGCCCCCCATCGAGAACACAAGCCTCCCATGGGCGCCTCCGCAGGCCCAGGTGTTGAGGGGTTGCGTCCGTACGAATTTTGAATGTTGTTTACCCCATAGGCACTTGAATGTATACTATCTCTTAGGTGCTCTCTCTTCCTTATCGTTTCTCTCATTTGGTTCTCATATTCCCTAGTGCATATAACAAGCAATGCAAGTCGGATGCATCTAACCATGCGATGGTTGGTGCCTGTGCTGCACGCATCAATATTTGGATTATTGCCAATTATTGCCACTGATTTGCATGGGATGCAAGTGCTATATTAGTACCAACAGGGTGTATGTGGATGCTCCAATTGATATGACTTGGGGGCGAGCACGATTCCACAGACTTTGTCACAATCGTTTGCCACCTTTTGCGCCTCTTTGCACAGCGCATGAAGCCGCACAGGCTGTTCCCGGCTGTACCCTACGTCATGGCTTCCTAATGTGTGGAGTCCAGGATGCTCCTGCGCGCCATTGAAAGTATGAGGTCACAACTGGCAACAAGGTGACTCTGGTGTTTGCATCTGACAGCACGGTCGGCCTGGACCACGTCCTGAGTATGCTTTCCAACTATGGAAGCTTAGTAGCCCGGTAGCATCCATTGTTATGCAACGGCTCGTCCTCGGCTCAACTTTTTATCGGCTATCCATCCAGTAAGACTCCCACAAAGGGTGACTCTGCTCCGAAACTAGGCACCACACCTAATTATCTTCTTCCGTTACGACCCGCACACTCTGCGATCACAGGTCAACTTTCAAATCAAATTCATGCGAGTGTGGCCTATAAAACACAACCCACCCCAATTCCCATAGCCCCAACGCATCTCATCCATCATGGCTAACGTTGATCTTTCGGTTCCCCAAACCCAGAAGGTTGCCATCTTCGACAAAGTAGGAGGCCCCGTGATTGTTAAGGAGGCTCCAGTGGTCCAACAGAAGGATCTGAAGCCTGGTCAGGTCCTCGTCAAGGTATTCCTCTGCTGTCGCTTGTACCAATCCTCATCACTTACATGACGACCCTCAGAACATCTACAGTACGTAGCGATCTGCTACTACATGTCCCGCTCCCTGACAGTCACGTCCTAGGCGGTGTTTGCCACACCGATCTACACGTCATGCTCGGTGACTGGCCCCTCCCCTCGAAAATACCATGCATAGGTGGTCATGAGGGTGCAGGGTATGTTGTCGCCGTGGGCGACAATACCCCTGAAGGATTGGTCAAAATTGGCGATCCAGTTGGTATCAAATGGCTTGCTGATTCCTGCCTTTCTTGTGAACAATGCAACAAGGGTTATGAGTCTACATGCCTGGATGCTAAATGCAGCGGGTTCACAGTCGATGGCACTTACCAGCAATACGTGGTTTCGTATGCGAGGCACGTCACACCCCTTCCCCCTAACCTGGCCCTGGACCTTGCAGCCCCCATTATGTGTGCTGGCGTAACTGTGGTAAGTGAACCGCATAGTCGATATCAGCTATGTGTAACTGAGAATATCGGATACGTCATAATGATATCATTCATAGTGGAAAGCCATCAAGAGCGCCGAACTTACCGCAGGGGAATTCATCCTCATCTCAGGAGCAGGCGGTGGTTTGGGCCATCTTGCCATCCAATACGCGAAAGCGATCGGCCTCAGGGTCATTGCTCTTGACACGGGAGCCGAGAAGAAAGCATTGTGCTTGGAGGTGGGTGCTGAGGCGTTTGTTGACTTCAAGGAGAGCAAGGACCTAAACGAGGACATTCGGGCCGTTACTGGAGGCTTGGGACCGCACGCGGCCATTGTTGCTGCAAGTAGTGCCGAGTCTTACGAACAAGCTTTAGACGTTCGTTTACATTCGTCGTGTTCATTAATGACCCCACATACTGATATTCACACCTTTACCTCATAGTATCTGCGGAATGGTGGTGCACTCGTTGCCGTTGGTCTCCCTCGAGATGCCACAATCCGGGCCAACGTCTTCTTTACAGTCCTTCGATCGCTTCGAATCATTGGTTCGTATGTTGGGAATCGGGCGGACGCGATTCAAGCTGCGGATTTTGCAGCTCGTGGTCTGGTGAAGACGACATATACAATCAAACCTTTGGACCAACTTCCGAAAGTGTACGAAGACTTGTCGAAAGGCGCAATCACCGGAAGAATCGTCCTTGACATGTGGGCGTAGAATGTAGTTCTTGTTCCTGGGATTGTCTATTGGGCGCAATTTGCAACTGTGCATGTACAGTACTGTAACCCCTTTTTTATTTCAATGAAAAGATAAGGAGAGCGCATATAGTATACCTTTATCTCTCGTTGTTCTGCGATAAATGACTCGCTTATGCAAATCGATCTCTATATTCTAGTTTTCTATACGCATTCCCCCAATTTGAGTCGCAAAGCAGTCATTACAGTGAATAGGAGGATGTGCCTACCGGAGCGTAGGCAGGTCACCAACCTCTATTGGAATAGAACCGGAGCGTCTGACTACACGATCCTACTTTGTATTCCTCTGGAACATGATCCCCGTCAGATGGCCGAGGGCTGGACGGATGTCAGAATAAACCGGAAGGCTGGAATGTGCGAATCTTACTTTAGTTCCGGTGCCGGATGTCGGTATCATGGATAGCTTGTGCCGCTCTAGACAGCCTCTATGCCGCTCGTGAAACACTCTAGCTCGCGCGCCCGCAGGCATAACGTCGCCTTATCGCGTCACGCTGGTAATTCCGCACAAAATCCCCCGGTATGGGGCTAGAAACGTCTGGAAACGCAATGCTTGACACTGTGCCGTACGCTGCCGATCGAACGCGCAATGATATTAAATGACGCCATGATGCAACGATCAGCGATTGCCCCACACCAGCTGCCCGCTTACTCAGGCGAAAATGGAATATGCCGAGTGTCCTAACGCTCCGAACAACAAGATTCCCAAGGGGGGCAGGGATGACCTTGTCCGGCTCGGCGATGGCCCTGACTTTCGGATAACGACCACATCCACGTTCACTTGTTGCAGTGACTCTGAGCTGTCTCTGGGCTAGGACCACAATAGCTACTCATGCTGAGTCTATATTACGTTTGCAGGGGTGAGATCCCGTAATGAGACTTAGTCGCTCATCCAACGAGATCGACCTCGATGCTGCTAGAATCATTATGTGCAGGAACAGTGTCGGCTCAGCAATCATGACCTTAACTTTCCCGAAGGGGAATCTGTGACAGATTGGATGATTAATTTTCATCCGTTCAGTGAAGATCGTTGGCTTTCAAAAAAGTCTATTTCCAAAAATTCGCTTGCGAGTTGCCCGGGTTCAGGCTCGATCGCGGCGACAGTATGGTTAAGCTTACGGGTTGGCGCGGGAGCCTCCTAGAATTTTTACTCGGCCTTACTCAAGCTGATGACTCGGTGTGTGGACACGCGTCCTTGTCCCAGTTCCACTATAAAAGCTGCGTCTGCGGGACCAGGTATCACGGTAAGCAAGAAAAAAAAGGGTCTTTTTAGCGCAATGCAGGACAACACACCCTCTTCATCGAATCCAGTATCTTCGTCAGGTTATGGAAAATCATGTTTGGAGTGTCGGCGAAGAAAGAAGGTAAGTCATGTTTCCAGCATTTTCCGGAGTGCTAGGTTTACGCTGAAAAATGAACAGAAATGTGACGGGACACGGCCCGCCTGCCTTCGTTGCCAAAGGAATGTCCGCACCTGCGTCTACGAAGAAGGATACATTAGGACAAGCATTACCGATCGATTAGAGGGACGGGTGCAGGAGTTGGAAGAGAGTTTCAAGTCTCTGAACGCTTCTTTCAAAGAGAAAATCTCTTCTCATAAACTCCTTGAACGCTTGGAAGGTGGTTCTCCATTGACCGTGACCACGACACGTCCATCATCCCCAGTACTTCCGTTTTTCCCGTTATCCTCCCTCGGTACAGAAGATAATTCAGACATTTCTCGCACCGGAGTTGTCCTTTCGGCCCCGAGCGAGATTGGCTATGCATCGGCTGTTCCTCGGGCCTTTATAGAGGCAAAGCTTCGTCAATTTCAGCAGACTGGCGTCATGTCTGCTGAGCTCCTTGACTATCTGTAAGTAGTTTTTTTTCTTTACATACACCACATTTAGATCTGATTTCCGACTTTCTTTCCAAGAATCCGCGTTTTCCTGCCTTTCCGCGGACATTATAAATTTTTCCTTGACATTCCAGCTTTTTTCGATGACGTCCGCCAGGGGGGACCAACTACAGACCAAGCCTTGAAGAATGCCATTTATCTCGCAGCATGTCAGATTGCGGGATCATCATCATTACAGCCATACTTCCTTTTCGAACTTCGCGGTCACCTCGACTTCTCTCAGCCACCCAACGGAAGACCGGATGGAGTTGTGTGGGCCTCTGTGATACTTGGGAACTACTTCCTACGGTCCTATCGTCTTTCTGAGGCCCGCAGCGTAGTGCTGTCTGCCGCTCGGTACGCGTTTGAACGGGAATTATATCCACAGCGCGCCTCGGGTTCTGGCAGTGCTTCAGCCGCTGCTCCATCTGCTCCAAGGTCGGTTGATGATGCAAATGAAATTGCCTTGTGGAGCGCCCTTTATCTGACGGATACTCTTATTGTCGCACTCTCCGACGTGCCTTCGGAACTTCCTTGGCAGGTAAGTTTGAGGCGTGTTAAGAGTTTGCGTTGCTTCGCCTCACACATGACGTTCCCTTTATTATCAGGAACGTATTGAAGGCTTTTCGCTCGGATCCACAGAGGAGGTGAGTAACGCATTTCATTGACACTGAAAATTGTTATCATCGCTTTCCCCCTAGGCAATACTGAATCATTTCCCATCGCTCATACCAGTCGCTTTGAGCGTTCGTCAGGCCTCAATCCTACTCAACGCCAAACGGACCCTTAGGGACAACCCAGGTCAGTGTGTTACATGACACTATCGTGATGACATGACAAGTTGACGTGGCGTTTCCCTCTCTCAAAAGGTCAGGACGATGACACGGCTTTGAGGCAGCTCCTTGCGCCTCTAAAGGAAGCCGTGAATGCGCCTGAGTGGGCTGTTCCAATCAGCGACGCCAGGGGCATATACTTTCCTGAAGAATACAAGCCCATCAGCCCATTCATTGCTGTTTATCGCGCAATGGCCGCAACGAATGTGGTCCTGCTGAACATAGATGCTTCTGATTCTCAGTCGTATGCGGCAATAACAACGGCTGCGCAAGAATTAGCGGACATTGGCGAGGCACTTATCGGGCGTGGAAGCATTTCAGCTATCCAAGGCAGCATTGAGATGATGGTAAGTTATGAAAAAAGCCTCCTATCCGTTTAACCTTAAACTCCTCCCAATACTCCAGCATTCTACATTTAGCACTGTGCAATGGCTTGTCAAGGATGCCTGTCTCCATCAGAATTCAACGTCAATGGAAGAAGTAGGGCGTCACCTCACTTCGGCTCAGGTGCTTCAAAGCTTGTTGGACTTTCTGCTTCACTTCACGTATTTGTATCCTGCTTGGAGTATGTGCGCCATCATCTCGTGTTTGTTTTCAAACTAATCCAGAATGTCTTGACCAACCCCCCCCCTTCGTCGCCCACCATTACCACATTGCAGTTCCATGGATGCAGCCTCTTCACCAGCTTCTGAAGGCATGTGCAGAATAATTATACCATCGCGCTGACCTGTGCCGCACCTTCTACAAAGGAAAGGGACATCAGAGTCCGGCTTTATCGTACGTCCATGCAAGTATTTCCTTCCATTCCCGCGTATTGATCTCCCGATCTAACTCGTCTTTTGGTTCTTAAGGTTAGGGGGGCGATGTGGTGCAATGGTGCCGTATATACCTGAGAGAGGTTTCTGTTTGGACAATTCCGATGTTCTCATGCACATCGCCGAGCACAGTTATGGATTTTTCTTCGTTCCGCCGTTCGATATTCGTAGATATAGACAACAAGATGGACAGCCGCGTCTATGATGTGTTAACTAGCCTGGTTTTTGGGACCAGGATTGATCTGTGTACCATGACTGTTGTTTGCTTTACTCTGTACATGCAATCTCAAACTTGGTCGTAAGCATGATCAATGTCCGCCGAATATTGAATTGCAAGCTAGTGAGGAGTCTGATGACATCGGACCTCGTTCGGTCGCGTTGTCGCACGATGCTCATCGCATCTCAGTCTAATTTTTGCATCCCTAAGGCCCAGAAGATCAATGCAATCTTCGAGAAGCCAAGAGGGCCTATCGTCATCAAAGAGGCACCTATGGTTCAACAGAGCCAGCTTGAGCACTCGTTATTTAAAGTATTGTTCGACCCACTATCCTGAATTTAATCCTGACTACCTACATGAGCAGCCTAATCAGCCAAAAAGGCCAGCCCTTTTGCAGTTACCGCAATGTCCACCTCTAACTCATACTCCATTTTCACACTCTCATCATTCTAACGTTCGTCTTAATGACATTTGTACATACTCTCGCAAGCCTTTCCACCTTCACCGCGATGCTACTCCAATTGCGCAATCTCATTTCCATTCAATATCGCAGCACTATCTTGATCTATGGACAGGAGAAATGTTTGGTCAAGGGGACGTGGACGAAGCTGCATCAGACTCATTAAGTGCAGAGTTAACCATCCACAAGCAGGACTGGGGCCTGAACAGAACATTTCGAACCTAGCGCCGTTACGAGGGAAGTCATCATGCCTGACTTAGGGAATGCCAGGTACCACCGATGAATACTCCGCCGAACTGTGAGTGAGCTAACCTATGCGGGCCAACGCCGTCACCTAATGAGGCTCGGCTCATAGGTTGTCCAAGGTGGAGATGGAGAAGGGACGCTTCGCCTGCTTGCGGACTTGCAAATATCGGGAATAACTTTCAGAGACTTTGGTCAGCTTCCTATTCGTAAGCGTGTCAGGGCAGTTCGCATTTACCATATAATAATCGGGAGTAGATCAAATGTCGGGCATTTCAAAGCCAGAGATGTCCAAGAATAGAACTTCCCCCTTTTTACCTCCTAGACACACCAATTCTTCATACTGCGCGATATCCGTGCTGGTTTCGAACCAATCGGGTAGCCAACAGAGGTGAATGGTTCTTTCTCCTTTCACGGCACACAGACTCCGTCTATTTTGGCTTGGGAAAACCGGCATCCGTGGTGGTGGGTAAATGGTGGGGAACTCCTCGGACACATCAAGGCAGTAGATCCTCGTCCAGAGCGAGGTGTCCCAAACATGGGCTTCGTCCCAACAAGCTGAAACCAGCCGCTTTCCATCAGGCGAAAATCGCACCCTTTCTACCTCGTAGGAGTGCCCTTCCCAATCAGCTGTGTCGTTCCAAATCGGCACTTCTACTATTAACGACTCCGACATGGAATCAAAGAAAACCAGGTAACCGCCGTCAGGTGAGAACGAGAAGTCGCATCCTTCGAAAAACCCCAATTTCCAAAAGGACAATTCAAGGTGGACACCTTGATCCGGGTCCTGAACGTCCCAAATGCGGACGGCTTTACTTGTCCCAGCAGCGAGATAACGACTATCAGGTGAAAATTCAAAGTATTCTGGCTTCATGCCTGTGTGAACTCTGGAGATATACCCCCAAAAGAGACACCCCGGAACTTACAACTGAATTCAATGAGATCATATCACCGAGCACTCGAGCTGCGTGCCGCGAGTGGTGCAACGTTGTTTGTCAATCTCCTCCAACGGATCCAGGAATCTTAACAGCACTCACTCAAGTCACACCTGCGCTACTTCATTGGGTCGCTGCCATGGGGATCATGGGAGAGCTTAACCGCGCTCTCGAAGGACTGTATGATTTACGCGTGTGGGCGGTGCGTATGACTCATTTGCTGTAACTCTATTTTTGCACACTGACGCTCAAGACAAGGAGGACTACTCACTCAAGAAGCTTTTTTACGACCTCTACCAGCTGATACTCCAGTCCCGCAACGCAATCAATGAATGCCCCCTCTCCCTCCTAGGTGGCAGTCATCCCTTTGTTCCTGACAAGAGTATTTTGAGGTCAGCATTTCCCGGGACGTTCATGAGAGCAAGAATTCGATCAGCTTCACGATCGACAGAGGCTGTCTGGTACGCACGATATACGATATCGAAAATGCGCGACTTTCCCCACCCCACAGTCTCCGCCAATGGTCGTTATGTAGTCTTCGTTGAGCAGGGTGACAGACTATCAGTTATTAACTTGGCGACCCAGGAAATCTCTGCTACATTGGAGCGAGACATCAAGCCTTTTAACGTCGTCATTTCTCCTGATGGCCATCTTGTTGCGTTTAACTCGCTTGACAACATCCTTTACATATGGAGTTGGGACAACGCCAATTCATTCTGCAAAGAGCTCGCGGATCAGGGCGAAGACTCCGGGTCAGTTAGTTTTAGCCCTGATGGGAAGTATCTTGCTGGCGAAGTTGGGGACACGGTTTGTATATGGGATACGGCAGACCGGAAAACACTCGCGCTTGTTCCAGGGAAACGCCTTTGGACAAATTCCTCACCATTTACTCCGGATGGTCGTTGCCTCGTTTTGTGCCAATATTTTTCAGATACCAGAAGTCGTCAACTGGACGTTTTTGACATCACCACTCAACCAATAACTTCGCTTTTCGCAGTGGAGTGCACCGGCATGGACGTTAACCTCTCACCTGATGGTCAACATTTGGTTTTGAAGGAGACGAACGAGATCCAGTTGTGGACGATTTCAACGGTGCAAGATTTGCACGTTCAAGGGGTCCAGCTTCTCGATGGCCGTTACGCAGTTTCCTATCTAGATGAGAACCCTATCACCATCTGGGATATCATGACCCAGACAACTACCCATTTCCATGTAGGCACTGCTCCAGGGTTTGGTTCATCCGCTCAGTTTGACCATCACCTTCAGGGTGGTATCCTGAGGTGAAATGAAGCTGGATGTTGGGGGCCTTGCCAAGAGAATGGAAGAAGTGGGAGATGAATTCGGATCCTCTATCAGAGGTGATGTGTGAGGGAACGCTGTGCTTGGAGAAGATGTGGATCAGGAACAGCTTTTCCAAATCCGGTGCTGTGTCAGGGCACGCCCCAACATGCCCCACCTGACCCCCGCTCTGCTGCCCCCCGCTCTGCACCGCTTCTTCTTCCTTTCCCCTTTCTTTCTTCTCTCTTTCTTCTTTCTTTCTTTCTCTCTCTTACATGGACCACCTTTCCTGCTGTTCAATGTATCACCGGCGCGCATGCCCATTCCCCCTCCTGTACCTACCATCCCTATATCGCCGTCACCGCCGCCGCGCTCACCTCGCACTGTCAGGGATTGGGAGGGACTCAAGTTGAAGCATATTGGAAAGCAGATTTAATACATCGGTGAGGATCGAGGATATTAATGCCATCCTACAACAGTGAGTCCATGTGTGTCTTATGTTAGTAGAGCACTTACTCGAAGCCGGTACAGAGCTCAGGACTGCTCGGTCTCCGATCCGAGCAATGTTCACAGCAAGACGCAATGCATTTCTCGAACTCGGTTGGGCAACGCCAAACATGGGGGGAAGCGGAATTTACAGTAGTTAGAAGCTGCAAATCAAAGCTGATGTGATGGTAAGGGCGTTCATTGCGCAATATCTTGAGGATGCATTAGCGAAACAGACCCTTATCATACAGACGGTTCCTCACCTCTCCGGCCGTGCACCCAAACGCCCACATGTCACTTGCTTCGTTTCGTTTCCCCCCGGAAAAGAGTTCGGGCGATTTATATCTTAGGGTCCCATCCATGCTCGAAGAGGGTGCGTATATAGGTAGATCGTCGAGTAGCGATGATAGACCGAAATCACACAATCTTGCTACTCCGGTTGCTTCCACCACCACAATGTTTTCCTATGGTTTAAATTGAATGCACACCGAGGGTTTTGGCATGGTGATGGTGAATGCAACCAAGGACTCCTCACCGGCTTTATGTCACCATGGATTATCCGCTCAGAATGAAGGTATGCAAGACCTTTGCAGGTGTCTTTGATCTGGAGAATGTTGATCATCAACGGAGGTCGATGGGAAGGAGATATAGCTCACCAGGATTTGGCGATCTGCCGTGGGATGTCGACGGAGATAACTTTTGACATCCCCTCCATCACACCAGGTCGATATCAGGCTCACACTGATGTTGTCCCGTATCACTTTTGAGGTCCACCCGAACAGTGCGACCACATTCGGGTGGATAAGGTCTCGCCACACCCGAATCTCACGCTTGAGCCTCTTTTATTTGAAAGTCGGCTTCTTGCTAAGGATCGTGATGGTGGATGTAAACGCACCCTGAGGAACTGATCCCATTTACGATCATCGAAAACGGGGATTTCTTTCAATACTTTAATGCAGACTCTCTTTCAACGCCGCACCAACATCAGCTAGTCCGATTAAATGATAAAGACGAAGCCACACTCACAATTTCACGGTAATTCCCCACGTATATATCACCGAAACTACCCCAGCCCATTCGTTGCGTATCCTCTAATGTAAACTGTCCCTCAAGATTTGGGATTTCAGCTAGGGCAAGCTCATCGCGAAGGCGCTTGTGAGCTGAATGGACATCGGACTGGAGCTCCATGACCACGTAGTCAGAAGTAAGTACGTTTGTTGGATTCAGCACAGCAGCCCCCGTCAATCTCAATGGACCATTCAATTGGCACATCGCCAGAAAACCGGTAAATAGGAAAGTGCTTCTATATATTTCCCCATCTCCTTGCCAGCACGGGTACTAGAGAATGCGTGAAGCTCGAAGAAATATCGGCAGTTCCCAAAGGGCTGTCTGGGCTATGCATTCACGACCTTGTTGCGCCAGATACCTTGGACATGCTCACGCAAGACATCGTCGTTGAGATGTACACGGTTCAACGGCTCCTCGGTCTTGTCTCGAACAGTTAGCATCGATGAGATCAGCTCTTATAATGATGAAGTTTTTTGGGCGGCTATCATGTTTCCTAGCAGTTGACTAGCTGAAAAGAGCGCGTGATCTTATGGATGATGGTTAGCGTTAGTAGACGGGGCGCTTGCCGCATAGTAATCCTAGTCTTGCCGCATAACTGATAAAATATAATTCCTGCATTGCTCAAGCAGGTATAAATCGGACTGGAATGTACGTAGGGAAGACTTGAATGCTGAAGTGAGTCTTAAGCGAAATTGCAGGGTTATCGGCCAACGCGACAATGCATGTGCTTGATGCTGCGCTCCTACGATCGATATTTAACGTCCATTGCGTCGCGCCCGTGCACAGAGTTAACGGAGATGAGGTTGGACGGAGTTGTAACTCTACCCAAGTGACTTGAAGGCTAGCGAGGATTTGTGCAACATGTGAGGGGAACGAGGGGCTTATCCATTCTATTCCAATAGAGGCTGGTAACCTGCCCACTTATCCATCTACCGTGGCTCTGACATGTGTTACACGGTCCCCGAACCAATTGTATTGCTGGGGCCGCCAACGCGGAACCGTGATGATTGATTCAATTGTTTGCAGTTCCCGGTGGCGTCATTCAGGTTACTGGGCTAAACTCCACCTAGACGGCTGAGAGCGTGACGATCGTCTCAGGATTCGGTTATGCCAAGGGTACTTTGAAACCATTATACCCGATGGTCAAAGGAAGGAATTCAAGCGTTACACCCTTCTGGTGATGACTCGGGTTATTCGATACCTTGCACTTCCCCATCGGTTTTCGAGACAGCAGCACGACACACTCTGCCCCATAATGCTTCAGGACGCCCTCCAAATATCAGTTCCTCGTGATAATCTGAGGAGCACGGAACGGATAGCCCGAGTGTCTTCTCAACCAGACTTGCTCTACATGAATCGACCGACGTCGGAAGGTGCGATGTTATCAAAACCGGAACCCAAGAACCTCAAACCCGGCACCACACCCAACAGGCACAGCTCTCGTCTTTATGATCTCTCATTAAATTTCCTATTTACGTGGGTTTGCACTGGAGACGTACCAGTCTATCATTCAAACACAGAGCGAGCGATCCATATTTTGTATATCAGCGACCAACAAACCAGAGGGGTGGCGGCAAATAGTGCATGTATAAAAACGCCAGGTGTCCCATGGCAGATTGATCCATCAACGCTAGATGGAGATTGGCTGCGTCAGGATTTGTCAAGTCGAATGTGCAAAATGCCAAAGTATCAACAGCCTAACAGATATTCCTCTTGCGCGAAAGGGAGAAAAAGTGGAGAGTTTGTTAGCGCAGGGAGGAGCACTCCTGCTGTCGCTGAGTCGACGATCAGTCTCTAGCCAAATTTATTGGGGTAAACCCACCCAGCATTCTTTCCTATCAGAACAGTATCCATGATCACCATGCGCAGCGTGCCCTCCCATGCTCGCCAGATACACCTACAGATGACGAGACCTGTGTGTGACTTCCGGATGTCTAGCTTGCGGACTCGGACTCCAAGCTGCTCCCGAGAGCGCCAAGGGAAGGGAAGGGAAGGATGATGAGATATGTAGCTCCATTGGGTTCGTAAAAGAAGTATGATCCAGTCCCAGGAGAATGATCGCACAGTTCTTGAAACCCTGACTGAAAGAAAGACCTGACCAAGGCTCGGAAGCGGCAGAAACGCTCGAGAAATTTGCGCCTATGTAGCCAGCCTTCGCTCGTAGGAGTTGGCCCCTGCCGACGGGTGGGCACCCATAATAGGGATTAAGGACTAGTTCGGGTGTATCAAATTGCATTGCATCGTATCATTCCCTTTGTCACTCTGCTGCTATTGCGCATGCTATAGAAATCGATCTCCGTTATCCCTTGAGAGCTGGAGTCGGTAGAGGTGGCCCCGGAGACCCCACAGATGCAGATGTTCCATTCATCGCTCCCATCTTAAGTACAGGGAGGTTGGTCAACGCGTGAATGAAACAATATGCCGGTGGGAATGATAGCATTTCAAGCGGGATCTGACAAGCTGCGTGACGTTGGGGATCGTACGCACAGACAAGTAACAAGTATGGTGGTGACACCAAAGAGTCAAGACTCGCCAAGATTCACTCGAGGTGCAAGCTGTTTTGGAACGAAAGATCGTAAACAGCGCAAACAATGTTGCTGCCCGATGATCTAATACACCAACTAGGGAACCACTTTGCTGATCCCCTCATGTACGCAATGTAAGAGGCTGGTCACCTGGGTCAATAGGAGCCAGCACTGCCACGTGACGACGACGAGGCGCGAGAAACAAGAGAGTGCAACAACGACAACGACCTTGGCGAATTCTCCAACTCATTATTACTGATAGCATGGGCTCTCGTCCCCCTCCTGATGTTTACACAATCCTCGTTTACTTCGCTTGAGAGTGCCCGATTTAGAGAGAACCTCTTTGGAATTTCATAAGTTTCAAAAACAGGAAGTCATTCAAATTGCGATGCACGGTTCGAAGCGACTGGCATATTACTTAAGACACCGTGCTCGTCCAGATGATTGCATAGCCAAAGAGCATATTGGGAATTGCCGATACTTCGCTGGACCGTTCACGGCGCTAACGGATGCTCCCCCCCCTATTTACTCCTATACCATTTTTCGACCATACATATGACAATTGTGCTCGCGTAACCAGATCACCACGCGACCTTGCGGACTTTTCACCACATATTACTAACCATAGTCATGGCATTCCAGGATGTGGATTCAGCCCACAGGAGCCTTCGCAATGAGCTCGCCCAGGCTGGAATCCCAAACCTTGAGGGTCATTTCACTTTCGATCACACCGAACGAGTGGGCTGGGGCAGCTTTGGCGATATATTCGTTGGGAATTACCTTGGAAGTGTTAGTCGGATTCCTTATTTCTCAAATTGATCTGGTCAACCAACGTTGGTGTGGTTTTGGAAGAGTGTATGCGTCAAAATATTGAAGGAAATTTCTGTGTCTGATGATAACAGATGGGGGAAATTCGTCAGGGTGAGTCTGTATTATCATTCTCCGCAAAAATCTCATTTCTCGATGAAAGCGGCTGAACCGCGAGATTCGGGTGTGGCGTGGCCTTGATCACCCGAATGTAGTCACATTATACGGATGGGCCTCAGAATTAGCGAGGGGAAGTATCCGCGTGAGCTTGATCTCGACATGGTGTGACGGGGGGAACGTCAGAGAGTATCTTCGTCAACATCCCACCGCAAACCGCCAAGCCTTGGTGAACTTTGTGTCCCTTCCACTTCCTACCCGATGGCGACTAACATCTCATCAGATTAGAGACGTGTGTCGAGGTCTTGAGTACCTCCATTCCAACGGGATCATACACGGGGACATAAAGCCTGTGAGTCTTTCACCACATCCACCGCTACTTTGTCAAGAGCTTCAACGTGCATCCAATTCGTACTATAGGACAACATCGTTATGATGGAAGCAACCGGAGTAGCAAAATTATGCGACTTTGGTTTATCATCGCTCCTCAACGACCTTTCCATATACGGGCCTTCTTCGAGCGCGGCTGGGACTCTGAGATATGTATCCCCTGAATTGTTTTCCGGGGGGAAACGAAATGAAGCAAGTGATATTTGGGCTTTTGGATGTACTGCTGGAGAGGTGAGGCACTGCGTGAAATATACGGTGTTCGTCTGCTAACGCGTCGTCAAGATATTGTGCAATCGACGCCCTTACCACTCCATTGCTTCTGATTGGCAGCTTCTGTCTGCTGTAACATCTGCTCTCCCATTCAATTGGCCCGGCGCAAACGATTTCGAGAGATGCATTGCTTCTTGCTATGAACTTCGCTTGGACCGGAGACCGAGCAGCTCTGAGCTTTGCACCAACCTAGAGTAAGTTCCTCACCGGAACGAAAGACGCATAGACTCATTATTTGTAGAGCGGCTTTGATGCATTTGAACTTCGTGTCATCTGCACCTTCCCTTGAACATGCAATCAATTTCCTGCAACTGCTTTCCAACGTGCTTCAACTTGAATCCCTCCCAAAACTCTGGAGATATACGCCCAGACAAAACACCCCTGGACTTGCTACTGAATTCAATAGAATCATATCACCCAGCACTCAATCTGCATGCCGTGAATGGTGTGATGTCTTATGTCGACTTCCCTGCATGGAGCCGGGAATCCTGGCCGCACTCGCTCGGGTGACGCCTGCGCTGCTTCACTGGGTCGCTGCCATGGGAATCATGGGAGAGCTCAATCGAGTTCTCGAGGGGCTATACGAATTGCGCGTGTGGACGGTGCGTACACCCGTTGGCTGCAGCTTTACTCTGCGCGCTGACGCTTGAGAGAAGGGGGACCACTCGTTCAAGATGCTTGCCTATGACCTCTATCAGTTGACAATCCAGTCTCGTGAGGCGATTAGTGAATGTCCCCTCTCCCTCCTGGGTGGTGGTCACCCCTTTGTTCCTGCCAAGAGTGTTCTGAGGTCGGCATTCCCTAGAATGTTTAGGACGTTTCCCAAAGCGAGAATTGGATCGACTTCGCGACTGACGGACCGCATCTGGTCGGTACTATATACGATACCGACCGAGGATGAGTTTCCGTCCCTTGCATTCTCTGCTAATGGTCGCTACATGGTCAATGTTGAGAGAAACAGGCTTTCCATCACTAATTTGACGACCCAAGAAACCTCTGCCACATTGGAGCATGACATCGAGCGCAGTGAAGCTATCATTTCTCCCGATGGCCGTCTTGTTGCCTTCAGCTCGCAGGACGGCATTTTCCGTGTATGGCGTTGGGACAGAGGCAACACATGTACGGAGCTCGAAGAGGACAGATCCTACTGGCTCGGTGTCTTTTCCCCTAATGGGGAGTATCTTGCAAAGTACAATGGGTATGGGGTTCGCATCTGGGAAACGTCACATTGGGAAACTCCTGCAGTGATTAATGGAAAAATCTTTGGAACGCGGGACGATTCTTCCCCATTCACGCCAGATAGTCGTTACCTCGCTACCCTCGCTGATTACTCGGATCTCAGCAAACGCGTTCACGTTTTCGATATCACCACTCAACCAATAACCCCCCTTTTCGAAACGGACTGTGCTGCTGGAACAAGCGTCAGTTTCTCACCTAATGGTCAATATCTCGTTTTAGAAGATAGTGATTCTATCCATCTATGGATGGTTTCAACATGGCGCAGAACCTATACGTTTGAGGCGAGACCCTTCACAACCTCACCTGATGTGACCCGCTTCACAACCTCGCCTGATGGCCGTTACGCAGCTTCTCATTCAGATCCGAACTCTATCACCGTGTGGGACATTGTGACGCAGACATCTATTGATTTCCATTCTACAGGCAGTGGACTACCAGAGTTTATAAAATTCTCACCCAATGGCCGTTATCTTGCCTCATTGGTTCGTGGTTGTATTCGCGTCTGGGACGTTCGAAAGGGAGATCACACGGTACTCGAACTGCTCACATGGCCATTAGTTGGGGATGCACTGGAGATTCGCTTTTCACCTGATGATCATTACCTGGTCATTTTTGGGATCAGCTTGTCATTAATAGTAGAAGTGCCAATGTGGATCGATCCAGCTATCATGAAAGGGCATAACCGAGCGATACAATGCATGCGACTCTCACCTGGTGGAAGGCAGCTAGTTTCAGCCTGTCCTTATGACGTTCAGGTTTGGGACACCCTGTCCTGGACGAGTGTTTACCGGCCCGAATGGGATGCAGAATCCTGCTCCATTACTTTCTCGAAGGACGGCAGACTTATCCGCATTGAAGATGCCACAACCGGATATTTTGAGATACACAATGTGTTTTCTGGAGAGAAGCTGGAATACCCTCCACCATGGGCCTCAACTGACGTCACTGTCTCTCCGCCACCACGGACGTCGGTTGTCTTAAGCCGAGATGGACGGAGTCTATGTTTCCTCCAAGGAGATAAAACCATTCATCTGTGTTGGTTGCCTGATTGGTTCAAAAATAGCACGGATGTTGAACAGTGTGAGGGATTGGCGTGCGTGGGGGGCCAAGAAGGTGAAGTGCTGTTCTTACACATGTCGAGGTTTGAAATCCCAGACATTTGACTCCTGACATACGAGCCACCCTACGTGCTTGCAATCCACAGGCTGACCACGTTCCATGAAGGCATCTCTCTCTATGTCTGCGTATCCACTCCATCCTGCTGGAGATTCACGTGCTTCACTCCTGAACTCACCCTCACGTTCCCGCCTCCAATTTGTCATTACTGCAGAGACAGACACTATACTTCGATACTACCAGTTCTTGAAACGCGGCATCTTCTGGCATATATAACCCATCCGTCGCATCCTCCGAACAATCTTCCTCGTTTCAGGATGCTTGGAACACTGCCAGCGATCACGCGTTAAACGGTTCCGTTCTGCTGCCTCCGAAGTGTTTGAAACATCTGAGTATTCCTTTCACTTTCCATATAATATTACGAAGTCACAGCTGGGTCGAGTGCCACATGATCATCCCCCTCAAGATTCGGCAGGGAGAGCTCTTCCCGAAGACGGTTGTGAGCTGAAATGAACGATAGACTGCAGCTCCATGACTCTTCAGCCGGAAACACTGGTTGTACGTTCTTTGGATTGATTCTAGCAACGCAGAGCCCGCCATTCAATTACCGCCGTCACTTTGATTACGTAAGACTCCGACATGAGGGCTGGATATTCACGACTCACCATTGCGGCAGTTGATTATTCCGGTGACATTCGATAGCACATAGTAGGATGGTTGCACATACGCAAGCTACTCATAATTCGTCAAGTGCAGCGAACGTCGCAAACTTTGCCGAAGAGCAAGATAAATGGCCGCCCATTTGAACATCATGGTCCACCGATCTCCAGTGTTTACGACTTTCAAGGAAGAGTTTACCCCCGGTAGGCGGGGGTTCGGAAGGTGTTTGGGGACATCTCTCCGTACTTCTTAGCGACAGGGATTCGACTTGCTCCAGTTTACGACGAAGCCATCCAGGGATGGCATTATAATTGCAAGCGTCTGATGGTGCGTGCACTCATCGAAATGCTTCAAATCCAATCACGGAGATCCTTCCACTCAAGGCGGAATCAAAATATATTGGAGTGGCATCCGGGCATCGTTCATCATCAAAGAACCGACGTGAATATAGGCATTATTGTATCCCAGCACCCGAAAAGGAGAAAGGTCTGTCTGTTTTTGGATAGGGAGTCAGCCACGTCGATGTTGATCATTTGTGGAAGAGCGATAGAGGATGTCCTTAGACGATGCTCAGTTCGAGACATTGATGAGTTTGCGTGAGTTCAATGCGCACAGAGAATTGGAGGTATTCATCCGGGGACGAAGGGACTTCTGGGTTACAAATTTATCGAAAATTTGCAAGACCCTATCCGATCGGACAGAGTGCCATCTCCTCCTCCAACCCATGACTTCTGCTGTGCCAGATGCTATGTTGCCGTCTGGGGCGAACCCACACAACACAATTTTAGGACCATCCCCATGGACCAAGGTTCCCTATAAAACTTAGGATCGCTGACCTTGAAAGCAGGGTTTTGGCCCGCCCATGATGACGCAACAGAAGCCTCCGTCTACAAAGTGACTTTTTCCCTCTTGTTGGAATCTCTGTTGTCATTCTCAGTCGTCTTCATCGTTACCCTCCACCTGCCCCATCGCCTCCTTTTTGCTTATCTCTGTATTTACCGGCTCGGTTCGAATCAAGAGGCTTCGACTTCTTGTCGGGGCCGTCGCCACGCTATTCTTGACGCATTCGCTCACACACAAGCCTCACGATGGTATCACTCTCACATGTTCCAGCCGAAAGGTAAACCAGCGTTTGGGATTATCAGCCTACGCGAGGTTATCTATGAGTCGCCCTATGAGTCGCCCTTGAAACACATCACAGAAAAGGCTCTTCCTACCTCGTTTATCTACGAGTTTATTGGTGTAGGGCAATTCGAGCACCGTGTCCCAACAGGCTCTCGTTGTCCGTCTCCATGTACCACCCTCAGGGATCCCTTGTCCCAGGGCCGACCCCAATATATCGGGATTCGTGGAAAATCCCGAGATAGAGGAAGGTGATATCTTCTATCCATTGCGAAAACAAATTAGTTTGGTGACATTTTACAGAATACCGCCGATCGGTCGTGACAGATAGCAAAATGGAGCAAGGTGACATCTTCCATCTATTGCGGAAATGAATCACTCTGGTGACATTCCACAGCACGCAGCAGAATGGTTGCATATGCGCAAGCTGCTCCCAATCCGTCAAGTGCAGCAAACATCACTAACTTCGCCAAAGAGCAAAATAGATGGCCGATCTAAAACATCAGCAAATCCTGCACGCAGGTAGTTCGTGGTTGCTAGGGTTTTGACAGGTCCCTACCACCCAAAACCTTGAGAATCTGCCAACCAGTTCTACAGGGTACCGCAGATCTTTCCGTTCAAGGCGGAATGATGTCCCGAAAATTATGGGCCCAATCCTTGTGCGTTTCTTTCCTTTTTTCTCCGCACAGAGTGCTTGAATCTTCAGGATCTAGACTGGAACGAGTGCGAAATGTGTCTTGCTGCCCGATGTTCATCCTCGCCATGGCTCGTCCCCATATGACGATTCTGGGTGCTAAATACTAATCGTACAACCACTGACCAATTTCTTGTGGCTTGGTGGAGACCCTTCTTACGAAACTACGATATGGCATGTTGCCAAAGTTTTTCATGTTTTGCGCAAATGCTTGAGGATTACTATGTGGGTCTTCGGCAATCTGATGTTCCACACCCCACGACTTTTCCCTCACGTCACCGCCCATGGTTCACCTGAAAAAAGGCTACGATATACCGCCTCTCCAGACAACTAGAACATCCACTCTTCAGAGCTGTTTGCATGGATGACGGACGACCGTTTGCCGTTAAGTTCGTTCATCGCTATTGTGAAGATGCCCACCGCCTTCTTGCACAGATTGGGCGTGCACCTACCCTTCACCATTGCGGGTCAATCGGTGCGGGCATCATCATAGTTGCGATGGATTTTCTTAATGAGTGTCAGGATTCTCATTCGAGGTACCCCAGTGGCCTGCTTCCTGCTCGCCTCCTCCAGGATGTGAAGGAGGCTGTCGAACTTATACACAAGAATAAGATCGTGCATGGCGACCTGAGGCAGCCTAACATTATGATTTGGTCTCACAAAGAAGATACCACAGATGAAGCCAGAAGGGAGGAGCATGCAATGCTAGTGGATTTTGATTGGTGTGGGAGGGTGGTGAAGCGCGCTACCCGTCTACCTTATATGATCCTGGGGATATTACGTGGCATCCAGATGTAGGACATGACGGAATTATGTGGACGGAGCATGACGTTTTACGTTAAGGAGTAAGTAGGGTATGGGCTGCAAGCTCTGTCTCGATGCGGTCGGCCTTATAGTTCACTCAAGGGGCAGGTGGGAAGATGCCTTTGCATGCCACAAAGAGGCACCATATGCACTCGTCGGCGAGCGAAATAGGCTCAACTGTTTCGTGGGCTAGTGACCATAAGGACGTGAGGGTTTTTGTTACAAACACCACACTAAACTTGTACATGTGTGGAACACTGTTCATATTTGGCTTCCGCAGTTCTCGGGCGGATTGAATCGCGATTGAGAATACACCAAAATTGTAGCGTGCCCGGAACCCTAACTCACTCTGCCCCTCTCGGGACTGCAAGTGGAGGGGCTGGTGAAGAGCATAATATGAAGAAAAGAAGAAGAAAGGAAAGAAAGAGAACTGCAGTACTCAGAGTTCCCATCTACTATGGTACTAACCATAGCGGCACTCCACTTAACTTCGCAGATCGAACGGGATGCGGTACTTTCAGAGCCCTATGACCGTGGATACACCGATCTGCGGGGCAAGTACTCAAAACTAAATACATCTGTATATCATGCGATTCCGAGAAAGTTCCCCATTGCCACGTCCGAGATATGGCATCATATATCATATTTAGTCCACCATTCCTCTTGGTGGCTGTCTTATGGCCTTGAGCTCGGATGACGGTATTTGTTTACATGTGGATTTGGAACAGAGCCAATACTAGAGGTTGAAGAGGACGAAGGCTATTTAATTTTTCTCGAGTCGCCGAACTACCGGAGAACTTGTTCTTCCAACGGAAACCACAGGACTGTCGTCAGAAGAGAACGTATGGGACGGGAGTCGTCCCTGGCCGATACCGTGCTCTGTGTGGACCGGAGAACCACTCGACGTCAAGACACTAGGTAAAGAGGGCGTTCGTTGGTAGTGTGTACAGTTAGATTGTAGGTCTCAAGCAAGCATGTTAACAGAGCGGTCCCCCTTGCCACTGGTACATCAGTTTACTATGTCGGGGTCATGGGGTCAACTCTTTCCCAAGGTTCTGGCGGAAACGAATCTAGTTTAAATCTCTAGTATGATTGGGGGTATATAAAAAGCGTTAGCGTGTATTCGCATACCGGAGAATGCATATGGGGACTTCTTGAAGGTCAGTAGACAGCAACAATAGGTGGCCAGGTCAGGAAGGTTGAAGAAGGGATTTAGTGGTTGGTGAAGGTGCATTCACAAGAGGGACCGCACAGCCAGTATTAATTTATCGGCGAAGGCAGCCGTCTTCGGAACACATAAACGAAAATAGGGTGAAAAAAAACCAGAACAAAGAATGCACTTGTCCACCTTCACCTTTTGTCGAAGTGATGCCCAAATGCTCTTCACTGTCAAGTCTTCACAGATGATCGGATCGAGCTTATGGAGTGTCGACAACTTCAAGCATTTGCATTTGTTTACGACTATTTGTTTCAAACAATTCTTATCTCCATCGACGCGTCTGTCGGGGCCCTCCAAACGCGCGAGCTTTCAACCTCATCATTTATCATTGCCTTGTCTGTGTATAGGTCCCTCGGCGTCACACAACCCGTGAGACTGGCTCTTGTACAAATCCTCCTGCAATTATCATTGTTCCCACCAACTCATTGTATTGTTACGTGCTAACCATCCTCCCACACGTCAGATGGAGGTGATGGATGGAACATTCGCTCCCGTGGGGTCTCCAGTTACGCCCCGAGGGCAAGGCCTAACACTTCTCCAAACCGTTCGGGGACGCTATTTGTCCCTACAATTTGACGTGCCGACGCTGCTCATGGCTTATGTTCGTTTACTCGATCAACTTGGCTCGATGTCTCAGCAGGTAAAAACATGCAAAGTGCGTAGCTAACTCTTCACATATTTTGAATGAATTAAGCCTCACTGTTACTCCACCCCCAGTTGCAATGTCGGATGCTTTACGAGGGCCACAGCATGCTGTACGCTTCGCTCAAGAACCTTCGCAAGGACTCCACAGCTGAGTCTGAGATGCGCTTTGCAGGAGGACTAGAACTTGCTTGGCATGCCCTTAAACCACTACATACTGCGATTACGGAATGGGTTGAACTTGATGAGATGGAGTTCTGGTTTAGGCATACTATCATACAGGACCAGATTGCACTACATTGGAAGACACTTGATGAGGCAATCTTGGAGATGAGGACCGAGCTTGGCGGAGAATTGCATTCATTCGTGGCCCTACGGGATACATCTAGTCGTGTGTTAGTCGTCCCTGGTAGCTCCGATATTGCAAGGAGGCAAGTACAAAGGGTTGATCAGCTTGAGCTCCCAAAGTTGTTCAGGGGTCTGGTATCTGAGCTCGAGTCTTGGAGCTCGTTAACGTTCATGAAGCACGTTTATATTGAGGAATTCATGGCTGCCATCCAAAGGGTCGGTGTGGGATGCTTTGTCGTTAGGGTTCCGCGAGACACTAATACCTCTCATTTTTAGGAGATGAATACTCATCCTTCAAAGTCACAGACGTACAAACTCTATGATGAACGTTTACAGCAGCTGTACCAACGCTCTGGTGTGCTTCCGCCGGTGAATGAGTTCGACACTAACGACATACGACGGATCGGAAATGCGCCTGACATTGAGACACCGTCAGGACTTATGTGGAGAGGCAAGACGGCAGCAGGGGATCTCGTGTTTGTCAAACTTTCCAGCGCATTCAACGCCACCGAAGACTCCAGGCAGGTGTGATCATGTTGGAATCAAGTTATGCGTCGATTGATACCAATGATCCTCTTGTTTATAGACACTCTATGGTGAAGTGCAAAGATGGAACCGCCTTCGGCACCCCAACTTGCAAAGGATACTCGGCATCTGGTATCCCTACAGTGCGCGCGATGGTGTCTTCAGCATAGTGGCAAAAGGAATGAAACGAGGCGACGTTATTCAATATATTCGGATGAATCCTCAAGTCGACCGCATGCACCTAGTGAGCTGTTTGCCATTTTACCACCTGCCTGCCTAACCCCTAGACACAGCTGCTAGGTGCTGCTCTGGGTCTTCAGTATCTTCACCTTCAGGGTATCCCTCACGGGTGAGTCTCGCGCAGGGCCACAACATCAACAGCTGCTTACCCAAGGACCATAGGGACTTGCGTGGGGTATGTTGCGACTGGCCATTTGCGTCTTCCCTGTCATGCAACTGAAGCTGGAAGTGACACATAGATCAACGTCCTCATCAAAGACAATGGGGACGCTTGTTTGACGAATTTCGGTCTTCTCCAAGCGCTGGAGGCTGCCTGTGACGTGATAGTCGCTATTGCCCTCTTCAATTTGCGCTCCGTAAGGTGGATGGCACCAGAGATCTATGACCCCGAGCTCATTGGCAAGGAACGTGGTACTATCAGCGCTGAGGCTGACTGTCATTCCTTCGGAATGTTGATATTAGAGGTACTTAGTCTAAGCCCCGATGGTAACTTTTGTTAATTAACCACATAGCTTGTTACTGGCCAAGAGCCTTTTTCATATATCCCCCAAGACGATGTTGTGATTGTCGAACTCGTCCGCGGAGGACGTCCAATTCGGCCCACGACCTCATATAATAATCGGCGACCTCAATACCAAACTATGGATGATCCACTATGGGAAATCTGCGAGTCGTGCTGGACGTTCCCGCCAAACAAGCGTATGAATGCAGAAGAGATCGTCGAAGCGATTCGCTCGTATCAGCACACTGTCCGAGCCGAGGAATCCCACTCCAGGTTGCCTCCCCAGTTAGTTGAACTTATTACTCCTCTTGAGACGCCTATCGCGCCACTTCCTCCGCTCCCCATCATGCCCAAGACACCCGAATTGCGTCTAGAAAGGTCACTCGGGGACTCTAGTAATGAGACGGTGCGACCGTCGAAGTCTCAAGCACCACGCGAGGGGCCCTATATGCACCAAATATCCCCATCTGCATCATCCCAGAGATCACGAGCCGGGGGGTCCCCCTTGGAGACATCATTGTCGCATCGAAAAGATGTCGCAGAGGGGGACGAGTCCCCTGGGGCGCCTCCAACTGTTCATTTGGGGGATTCATCGACTTCGTCCCCCACTGCCTCTCTGCCTCAAAAAGCAGCAACGGTGGAGTCAGCGCCATCCAAATCCCCCGACACAATTCCGTCCGAAGAAATTGCTTCATCGGAGACTGCTTCGCCACGACACAGAGACCCTATTCCATATTCTGCGGATTACAGCGGTCCTCAGTCCATCCTCAGTGCCCCATACTACCAGCCACTACCACCTTCCCTGCCTCCATCTCCAGCACCTGAATCCGTATTCAGGGAGCCACATTTGAAACCTCTCCCTTCTTCGAAGGCTCCTTCCAAAGCACCTGATTCTGTGCTGAGTGAACCTTACAGGCAGCCTCTTCCCCCATCTAGGGCAACAACACAAGCATTTCAGTCCCCATTGAGCGAACCTTACTACCGTCCTCTTCCTCCGTCACTGCCCACATCTAAACCCGCAACCAGAGCGGCCCGGTCACCTCGTGTAGACCCCTATTATCAGCCCCTTCCACCATCCCTGCCGCCCTCAGCACCCCCTTCTATACGGTATATCGTTCTAACCATGATATTTGATCTTAACATACTAACACCCTTGCCGATAGATCTCCCGCAATTGCTCGCGTTGCAGCTACAGATGACAGTAAATCGAGCTCCAAACGTTCCCCGGATTCTTCTTCCTCATCTTCCACCATCACTGTGTCAAAGGTTCGAACAATGATGAGTGCCGCGAACTCTCTGAGGACGGCCCCTCATATTGAGCCCGTCAAGTCCCCTATAAGTTCACATTCGTCATTGAAACACCAGATGCCTCAACACTCCGAACGGGTTCGATCAATGTCTGAGAAGTCTGCCGAGCAGTCACAAGGATCTCATCCATCCCAAGCCTCGATTCCTCTGACGGCCAGAAGCCCAAAACACCCCGATTTGGCTTCAGCTTTCAGACAGAATGCTTCCCTCTCGGTCTCACCAGGGTACACCGAGCAACAAAATACCAGTGGTCTATTTGGCAATCGTTTGTCAACGATCCCGGATGTCGATGACGTTCAAGAGATGGATGGCGACTCGTCGGAACAGCACGCCGTTGAAGGGGACCAAGATCAGCCTGATCCTGCCGGTTGGGATTTCCTTTATCTTGTTCAAGAACATCAGAAGCAACGACAGGGGCCTGGCCAGGATGGAACATTCCTCCTTCCTCCACCTTTCGAGGCTCTTACGGAACAAAAGGCTGATTACAGCCGGCCCCACGACTTTCCTCCATCCGCCAACATCTTCCCGACTCCACTGAGTGATAGCAAACCCCTGCCGGCATTGCCGAAGTCCCCGTCTGTGGCCAGTCGAATCATTCGTGGGATACCGCTGGACGAGGATTTTGGAACCAGCAATGATGACGAGATGGCGGATCCACCGGAAATTGATGATTGGCGCCCAATCGTAATCCAAACTCCGCTCATGTCCAGGTCCCCGGCACTCCCTCCTCTCCCTCCATCCGAGAGTGGTCGTACTCCGCCTATGAGCCAGACTGATAGTAATCCACCACAAATAACACCTAACTCTTCGGCTCGAACAGCTCGTGGATCTGCTGGGCCACCTCCTTTCGAGACTCTAGACCCCGATGTGCCCACACCCGTGCCCCGAGGTCGCAGGTCTCGTGCCGGAACAAGATCACGAGCCTCATGGGTGGGCTCTGATGGGGAAGAACTAGTTGCGGAATTAACAAACCTTGCAGAGGCAACATGCTCCAAATGTGGCCGAGTTTTCTCCAGCAGAAATACTCTTCAGAAACATCGTACGTACTGATGACACAATATCGACCGCGAACATGCTGACAAACGCTATCACAACAGTGGATAATCAAGGCGGAATCTGTTACCAGAGGTCCCTCGAAGAAGAATTAGACATCGTAGGGGATGATGAGGATGAATGATGCCGCAATGTACAGATAAATATAGCGCGTTCCCAGATCTAAAGTTTATTGCCCTGGTTGGGTCTACGATTCAATCAATGTATCTCCATCCAAATCTAAATCATATACCACAACCCGTCCAAAAAAATCTGAGCTTTGTTCGAAGACAATCCGTAGCTGTTCACAACTTCTCTTTGGCTCCAGCTGTGTCTGGATGGGAAATATTTGTTTTCTGTTAACATCCTCAGGATAATACCTTTCAACGAGTTCCCATTGTCTTGCATCCGTGGTGTTCCCATCCTGTGTGGCATTCTCTCCGCTCTTGATGTAGATGGCACATCTAGTGCCCACGAACCCCCCTTGGAAGGTGAGTGATAGGTTGCGAAGAATGACAGGGTTTTCGAACGCCAGCTCAACATGTTGCGGCGTTCCCTACTTCACTCGATAAGACATAGGTCGCATCATGACCCGTGAACATGGAGCTGCACCTGTGTCGAAGACCAACAGGTTTCAGGATTCCCGTCAGTTAGGAACTTTTTGCTCAAGCTCTTGTCTAGAGTCGAGCTAACCCTGAACAATCGGTCGGATGATTTTTCAGAAATAATCGTAACGGCAACGCTAGCAACAGTACCGAATTCTGGTCTTCGCCTCGATGAGTCGCATCGCTTTGATTACATATGTTTACTACAATCCGAGGTTTCAGCAATCGACTCCCCACTCGTGGTCGGAAGACACCTTTTCTCTTGGTATATGGATTGACACCACAAGTTACGCCTGTCTGTTGGTCACCGGCCGAGCCAACAGATCATGTCGCTTAATCTTACAGTATGAAGGATTAAATCGGTGCTTGCACTGGTAATGAGGTCGCCCATCTCGTTGTGCTTCTAGCCTTTGATAGAGCGCCCTGAAGTGCCCAAGCACCTCCCGATTGATAACCAGCTTTTGATCATCATCGCTCGACCACACCCATTAATCAACCAATGCGTATGCTGGGAAGGGGAGCAACCGGAACTCCCGACGCTGCGGCAGTCGATCTCACACTTAGTTCAATGAATTAATATCATGTGCAATCAGCAAAGGTGGCTCCCCTTCCCCCTTGTTTACTGGTCGCTACCGCTCGCTCAACTGAAGGAGATTTGACGACTTGAACAAATTCTAGACGGCCAGGTCTCTTCAATGTTTTCTTTAGCACGAAGCTGAGCCGAACTTTTGTGGGGTGTGGAGGCCCCGCCAAACATCCAAGTGCCATACACTCCCATCGGTGCCATAACTCTCAAATGCTGGGGTGTTGCACTCCAGCCAGTCTTGGGGGATGGTACATCATGAGCAAAGGAAGCTCGAGCTCGAGCTGTAAATTGTGGTCGATGGTCCCAAACCCCTGCTGCGGAGCGGACGTAACCGGACCCCGGCATGGGCGGACTTGTTGCCGACATTCCAAGCACAGCTTTACGAATGCCAACCTCGCTTTTAGCGCGGTTCACTGCTGAAGAGTGTTTCGTGGATCAATGGAGGACATAGTTCCAGGTGCTTTGATGGAGACATGCCGGGGCAGTGATGTGGAGTCAGCTGGAAGCAGTATAGTTGTGGAGGCACGATCACTCGGTAAGAAATACTATACAGGCAGTGAATGTGAAATTGGCTACTGGATCTGGGCACCATATCCTCGGATCCTGTAGGACTGGTGTCAGGGACGTTGACGCGGGGGTAGAACGTACGCACCCTTCGGCAAATTTCCACTCGGTCTGGACAGACCTTGACTCCGATATGTTTACGCCCTGCGCAGTCACGGTTGCAATTTGAAACTGGAAACGCCAGGCACCATCAGATGGGACAAGCGATGATCAAAACAGTCACACGCCTTATTCAAACTTCGAGCATCACGGTAAAAAAGGACTTTCAAACATGTTTCCATGATCTTTGTAGCTTCCTCCTCTGTGAGCGTCGTTTCGTTGCCTTCCACTGATTTACGCAATAGTGGCTGCGCGATATACGCTCCATAGCCTGTTGCAAGTGTCGAGGCAGAGTAAGTCGTCCCGAGAAGATCGACATAACCTAGGAAGCTGGTATCATGAAGTTCTCGTCGTTTCAGTGGCTCCAGGAGAATCAATACCACAAACCTCTTGCCGTCTTTGAAACCACCCACGAGCAGGGCATTCCACAATGGGTTCATTTTGCTTCTTCGACCATACATCAGCCTACTGAGATATTCATAAATCTCGGAAGGTCCGAGTTGGTGACCGTCATCTTGGACAAACTCTTCAACACTGGTTTGAGCACGTGCAGAATAAGTCTCATCGAAGCTACCAGCTCAATTGATAGGGCTTACAGGAGGGTTTCCAATATGTGCTGTAACTCCTGGAAGTCGCTCATGTCACCACTGGCGCCGACCACAGTATATTCTCCCACTGGGTGTATGCGCTCAACATCCTTGAATCGCGCGAGAGACCCATATGAGGCTGTACTTTATACCATGAGACGGGAATAAAGATAAATTGCTTAATTAACCGTACCTAATGTATCAGCTGCCAACATTATCCCATCCTTGTATTTGAGAGCCAATACACTGGCCCCCGTGACGATTGGTTGTCTGGAGATGCAGCCTAAGCATCGCCGTGTAGTATACGATTGAGTTAGAACTTTACTTGGTACGCTGAACGCCATCAGCAAACGCGTCGGCCTTGGGTCGATGCGCGTGTATAGGGAAAGTAGCATAACTATCGAAGGTTTCGTCCCGCTAATTGCACTTGGGGTTACCTATCACAAACCAAAGGCAGCAGCGCTTACAGGCTTTCCCCAATGCGTCCCGGGGAAGTGGTCCATGTGGTGAATGCAAACGTTAAGAAGGGTGGCGAACTAGAATACGCGTCCTTGTGTGGTAGTAACGTGACATCGAGTTGTTCCCATCACGAGGCGCTTTCGCAGATTGAATCGACGATTCACGTTGGATTCACCCACCAATGCGAATTGCTTCTCCTTTGACCCTGCGCGCCTGTCGGCGAAGAGCCCCCCTTTCGCAGTGCCTTGTAAGATTTTTTTCCACCATTCGAAACCAGCATGCGCTCCACTTGGAGGCGGTGGGGTCTGCTGTGTCTGTGGTTTTTGAGGTTGTGCCTCGTTGCCTTCAGAACTGCCCAGGGTTTGAGGTTGTCATCTCATCAGTATGACCGGTAGCGGTTCATGCACGTGCTACGTCGGTTAGCTCGAGGCTTTGCACACTGCAGAATGAAGCACTGGTTGGGTTCATCTTAATGCTGTGTATCATATTGAATCTACTTTGGTCCTTGGAATCACGACGATTATCTTCAGTAGAGATGCCCAGCCTTCAGGGAGCTTTTCTTGCCGGAACATATGGCTGTTTCCCTTTGCCCAGCTAGTAATTCGGGGTTTTCCCTGGGTGCCGCTATTATCATAAATGACTGCAAATGCGCGATCCGAATGCCCCTAATTGTAACCCTAAGCACTAATAAATGGCGGTGAGATCGGAATTCATTTCTTACCAGTATATAAAGCCTGCTAATGCAGCCCTGACGTCTTTCCTCCAAACTCCCCCGAGAATGCAAACACCCCAGGCCTCCCAACTTTATCTCGCAGATGGCTATATGAGAGACTTCTCTCAGTTCATCCAGGATGTGGAAGATGATTATGTCTACCCTATTCCAGGTGACTCTCGTCCCACCCGTGAGCTTGGATGGCACTGTATCAAATACGAGGGAAACATCGACGGAAAAGGCAACACCATCATTTTTCGCTGTGTCAGATCCCATCGAGAGGTACGCATCTCGGGGGCTGATGGATGGGAGTCCAGTTGGGAGCACTACCCAGGAGGGGAAGTGTTTCCTTCGGACATAATTAAGCACGCAGCTGATGCCGCATTCCGCGGCCTCCTCTCTGCGGATGCTGCAGCTACCACGACCTCAAACGTTCAGCTGACAGAGGAGATATGTGCGTACCTTAACATGGCCATCGCACTTCCATCTTAACAGTTTCTTGAAGGTCGGCAGGCCGAAATTTCTGCTCTCACCTTCTCTTCCCAAGCAGTCGAGCCTTCTTGGTCCGAATCTTCTTCCAGAGTTGTATCGATGTTTGGCGAGGATGATCAGGATCAGGATCTCGAAATTGGCCCCGACGATGCCGTCGATGAGCAACTTGCTCGCCATCACTTGGAAGAGCCAAACAACGACAATGAAGACGCTCAAGACGAAGATGATAATAGTACTCGTAGGTGGCTGTTTTTTGTATGTGGTGTCTCAGTTATATACACAGTGCACAGTACGAGGGAAGAAAACAGTCCGCTTCACTTCCAGCACTATCGGCTAATCGCCCCCCACCGTCACGCACTCTCTAAGCTCCAGCTATTACGGCATCTCACACAGGCTCGGAGCCTTAGATGTTCATTTATGCAACTTCGTTAACCCAACAGGTGGGCTCCGAAACTCATTCTGTTGTTCCAGTTATGTGAATCACACCATAGGTCCTATGTCGACGATGGTCAGATCGTCCGATGAGATTAGTTTACTGCTTATAAGTCAGATTGGCGAAGACTACCGAACTTCGTGACTGTAGCCCGAATAATTGACACTTCCTCTTTCCTCTACTTTGTAACGTTTATACTGCTAGAATAGTTATCCTAATATCAAGAGTTCTGCCCCCGTTTCACATTCAATTTCACATCCATGCACCAATTGTGGAGCTCATGTGAAGAGACGCGAATCACAAACGATGCCACCTCTATTCTAAGCACGGACTGCCCCTCTTTACAAACTAGACGGGCCGCTGTGCAGTCCGGTAAAATTTGGGTCTCCGTGAGCCGAACGACTATTCAATGTGAGACATTAGGTGGCCGCAAAATGTGGTATTTCAGCAACTCCTGAGCATCAAGCGCTCCTTATTTTTTGGCTTCACGAACATCTTACTTGTCCAGAACGAAGACAAGATACAACATCTGAATGATGGGTGAATCCAAAAAGGTTATTCTGGTGTGCAGTTTGCTGTTGCCAACCTGATGTAACCACCCCTCAACTCCTTCCTCGTATATGACAAAGAACTGACCGGCTCGTTTCGGCCCCCGTTTGGAAAACTGCGGACAGGCTACGGGTGAGGGTGTAACCGTTACGATAGATATTGCGAATACGACTAGGCGAGGGACAATCATGGCAAGTCATCGTTCAAAAAGAGGGTTGCCGTTGTATTGGCATAGCACAGAAAAAGTGTTATTGGACCCCTGAAGCAGGAAATAGGATCTTTTTGAGGTACTAGAATCTGATGCTTAATTTCCGATTCAAACTCCGAAGCTCAGCAGAAGGGACGCAGAGGTGACACTCTGACAGAGGATAAAAGGGGCTGCGAGATCGCCCTCCTGACAGCAAAGTTACCTCACGCCCTCTTCGGTTATGAGCCTCCTTGATGACGACTTCGAAGGCTATTTACTTGGGGAAGTCCGGGCCGCAGAGGTGCACCCCTTCTCTGCGGATTTTGGGGTTTCGCACCAATCTACAGTGTCACCACTGTCACCACTGCTTACTATCGTTCATAACGGCTCGATGGGGCGATTTCACAGCGAACGGTCCATTTCCATATGGTACCGTAGACGTGTTGTGACACTTTACGAAGTCGATTCTAGCTGGTATTCTCGAGATGTCAGGATTAACCCAGCATATGCCATAAAGCTGATCGCTGTGCATACGTTTCGCTCCCTGGGGGAGCACGGCCGTGCCAGCCAAGTTCTGACTGCAGACCTTGGTAAGTTGAACTGAGTTTTAGGAATTATTCCACGCGATACATATGACTCGCCCATGTGTTTATGGTAAAGCCCTCTCAGCGGGATACATGCTGCCCCCATCCACTCAAGAAGCCGAAGTTGACAGTATGTCTAATCATTCCCTCGATGACGGAGATTCCCTAGACATGTTCGAAGACATCACACGGGGGGGAGAGCACGATGAAATCGCTGTAGGGGGACCGAATGAAGAGACCCAAGCGAGATTTGCTGAAAGCGTGTTGAACGAGGGTGACGAACACATCGGAGTCCCGCTACCCCTCAATACGGGGCCCACTACGCGGTACTTTGGTCACCACACCAGGCAAAACGGCTCCGACGCACGCCTGGCAGGCCATCCATCCATAACATACTACTGCATCAGGTCAAGGCGAACTGTAACCCTTGCGGTACCGCAGAGCTGGAATTGGACGGGTGTCATGCACCCTGGAAGAATCATCCAATGGGCTATTATTCTGCTGTATAATGGCATGGGCGGCGAAGGCGATGTAGAAGCCCTCCTCGATGACAACTTGTGTGAGCATTCTCTTCGTCGAATGATGTGAATAACTAACTCCCTACGTAAAACAGATGCTCAAGCTTTAGAGCAGGAAGACGAGACGAACATAGATTCAGAGGTTGAGTGAATTCAATTCCTGACGAAGAGGAAGGGATCCCTCAAGGGCGCTACTCAAGGAAGAAGCGCAGTGGTTACGGCCTGTGTCTTCAACAGCGTCTCATAGGAGCGTTGACGACAGGCCCTTTATCTCGATGATTTGCCATGAGTAGCCTCATGGACTTCCTCTTCCTTTGTTCTCGGGAGTTTGTGTCGCGACGAGCAACACAACGGTGACCTTTAGTCACCTTTCCAATGAAACTCGTTCATTGCATTATTTAGGTAGTCAGTTTTATTTTTACCGTAGGTTGTAAGTCTGGCCCAGAAACCAGAATGATAATTATGTTCATGCCATCTCTTCGTTCGAGCACTCGAACCAACAGGCATTGCATTATGTAAGGAGTTGTCAGGACACTTGCGAATCAATTCATTTGGGTGGAGCCGGCCCGCACTGCCTCCCCTAACATAAGTTGTTGCATCGCCCAAAGCAAGAAACTGCACCAGTGGCCACAAAGGCGCGAGAATGCCATCGAACTCACTGATCAAGAATATGAATGCGTTCCCACGCGGCCACAACCTTCGTACTTCAACACAACCAACATCTCCCCTCTGGGTATATAACACACGGTCTTGAGCGGTATCCGCCTGTTTTCCATTGACACTATGAGGGACCCCTACTCTCGCGACTTTGAAGATTGGATCATGGATGAAGTATATCCCGACGATATCTATCCAATCAGTCCTACTCCTCGGCCTATGATCACATACAACTTCAGGAACCCTTTCACGATCTTGCACAATGGGCCGGATGGAAAATTCAAGGGCGCGAGGACCATCACATTCACATGCTCGCGCTCAAACACTAGATTGACAGTTGTTGAATCGAATGGATGGGAGGACCATGTCGTTGACCCGGAGAGGACACTCAGGCGGGTGGCTGCTTCTGGATTTTATGAAGTACTGGGGAAGAGTGGACATGTTTTTCTGGATGAGTCCAGATGTGAGTCTCGGATCCCCTACACCTAAATACGCATTCTGCTGATGCTAGAGCATCCTCAAGGCAGCGACGCCGAAGAACAAGAAACGAATTTTGATTCGCAGCAAGTCGAATACCAGTCTCAACCCTTGGATTTCGACAACGAGATGGAAACATGTGCGTCCCCCCTTAGAGCCTTAGTGTTGACAAGCCCGTTCACCAGTTGTATTTACAGCAGCAGGGAAACGAGGCGTTCGGTTCTATGGATAAACGAGTTTGTCGATCACTCATGTTGCCTCCACACTCCGTCCATACGATATCGTAGCTTTTGTCCTTATCATGTGTGTTTTATAATACGGAACTACTGCCATTGATCTTGCATGGAGGGTGCAACTCGTTTGGAGACAGCGATGTTAGGGTTTCTGCCGTTATTTGGAACCCGATTTAGGGTGACCATGCTGTCGCTTTCTTCTCACCGAGAAGGAAACCCAGTTGATCTCACATACTTGGGCATTTCCGTCAAACAAAATCTCCAGGCGCCAACAGACCTCTCAGTGCAATGGGAGTAGGCCATTACTTGGACTGCTAGAGACTGAGTCCTGTCTAGACAGCAGCATTAGTGTTGCATGGCAGCCGCTTTCGAAAAAATCTGCAGGTTTCGATTTCATCGCCAGGGTCCCAAAAGTTGGCAAGATCGTGAGGGATAGATATCCTTATTTGGGTAAGTCGCCTAGCGTCAGGGTCCAAATTTGCCAATTTTGATGGAGGCGCAAGCCCCTTACATGGATATAGAGCGAGGCTATGGTTCATTGCTTTTGCAGAGCAACAAGGGAGTTCAGTTACGAAATTATGCGGACGGGCCGCGGCCCGGGGCGGGAGCGGCTCTGGTTAAAAATTGTCCGATGCTCTCGCATCGACCAAAACCTATTTCTCCTTGGCTCAGGTCCCAGTAGTATATAGGCCAGATCGGCCTCCGAAAGCTGGGCGTGGGGCCGGTACCAGCCTAGCCCACGTCATATGTACCATGCTTTTAGGGTGAATCACCAATTGCCAGCCAAATATGACTTCACATCACTCTCTGTTCATCCCTGAAACGAAAGGACGTGGGGGACAGTATCATCCTAGCATAAGGTCGTGGGGTGAAAGACTTTGCTGTGACGACAAGTCGAGCAATACTTCTTAATTTAGAAATGTCTAGAAACGCGTGACCTCGGGGTCACCCGCGTCATCGCTGAGATTTAATATACCTTCAACTGCGGGCGTCGCTTGTGGCTCGACGCGCATCTGATTAACACTCCTCATATTCCCTCCCACTTGCACTTGCAATGCCAAACAACCGAGATATGTCTGCTTCCTTTGCTCGAGAAGTACAGTACACACCACCACCCGACCGTCCAATGGTTGCCTCTTCATCTCGGGCAAACTGGTTTCCATCTCATGGCTCAAGAATGGGGGAATCGTCATACCAAGCAGGTGGGATACCGACCTTTGGAGACTCTTATGGTGGCGGAGGGGATGAGGAGCACGGACCTAGCGGGATAAACGAATGGGAGACGAGATTTGGATGGCGAGTTGACTTCGAAGCAGCTGTTGCCTATTTGTTGGGGCCGATTTCCGGTGTGTAGGCAGAATTACAATACGGTGAGGGAGGTGAACTCATCCCAGCGATTTAGCCCTTGCATTGCTTATACTAGAGACCAAAAACGATTTTGTTCGATTTCACGGCAAGTTGTCCTGCTGCTATATTGTCTATACTTGTTAACACGTCCTTCTCCGTGGGCAGCATATCAATCTGGGATATTTTCAACTGGAGTTTTGATACTTCAGTTTATCCTGCATTTCATATTTCCGCGATGGCTGATGATCATACTGTATGTATGGTTAGCTGTGTGTCTGCTGGCATTGGCGTAAGTCACCTACGGCATTTTCTTTTTCGCATGTTCGAACTGCTCTCCCATCCAGGGCTCGCGCATTCCATGACGCCAACACAGGTAACATTGGTCAAGGGGGTTTGGTCAGATACCACTTACCGCGCCTTGGGGACATTGCAGAACGCTGGGTGGGGGAGGAGTAACACCAGTGATATCTCTCCAAGATAGTTGGGGAGGTGCATTCGCATTGGCCTCATGCTCTGGTCCATTAACCCTAATCCATTCTTCGCACTGTATTGGCCTCTCATTTTTATGCATTGGACTTAAATAAGAATATTAATGCGTCTCGCTCGCGGGATCAGGTGTGAGCCTCCGAGTGCACAATTTCCATATTTAGTCTCCGCCATTTCCGGAAGATCGCACTGCGACTCTCATTTAAGTCAACTTGTGTTCCAACTCCGATTTCTCAGCGCCTGAACCTGGTGAAGAGAACGATGGCCCCTATTCGTGTCCTGTTGACGAACGATGACGGTCCTCCATCCCGGGACTCGCCATTTATATTAGGTCTATTCGTATATTTATGCACACGAGGCTCGGCGCTAAATCCTGTTGAGATTCCCCCTTAGGGTTTTACTTGGAACTCGTTAAACAAGGTAAGGCGCCTCCGATGTACGCTTTTATCCGGACGTACGGTTCATATTCGTCATGAATGGCGTGTAAGGATATGACGTGAAGGTTGTGTTGCCCAGCTCGCAGAAATCATGGATCGGTGAGTCCGCGTTTGGCTAGTTTTCAGGTCAACAAAGGTTCGATGCTGAGATTTGTACAGGGAAAGCGTATCATATCAAAGAGAAGATCTATGGAAGGTATTACTATCCACGTCACAGAGGAGGTATGGCTTGCCTGCTTTGTGTACCCTCGGTCTCATCTCAGTAATTTTGCATTCAGACGCACGATCCGAGGTTTCTGACGCGTCGAGGCCATTGAAAGAGGGCGAACTAGGAGAATGGATCCTTTTAGACGCTGTACGAAATAATTCTAGCCCAGTGAAGCAGGGTGATGGTGGCTAATCCATTTATTATTTGGTGCAAAATAGACTCCAGCAACATGCGCCAATATTGCCATACATAACATATTTCCAGGAGAAATAGACCTTGTCATTTCTGGCCCAAATTTTGGACGGAACACATCTTCGGCATTTGTTCTGTCTTCAGGAACTGTAGGAGCAGCCATGTCGTCCTCCCTGTCCCTCATTCGGAGCATAGCGCTCTCATATGGGGTTTTTACGCGTCATTTCCCTACGGACTATGTTCAACCGTCACATGAACTTTCTCTGAAGATCATTGGGAAGTTGTGGAATCAGTGGGGGAAGGATCCATCGGGTCTAAGGAACGGAGAGGTAGACCTGTATAATGTAAATATACCCCTAGTGCCAGAAATCCTTCGGGAAGGTGGGATGGAGGTTGCATGGACACGAATATGGAGAAATTCCTATACATCAGTGCGTCCAACCAAGACAAACTCTTTTCAGTTTGACCTTCATTCAGGTCTCCTGTCTCCAAACACACCGTGTGCAACTCGAACAGTTGTTCCAGCCCCAAGACTCGGAGACAAGCACCATGCCGGCGGGTCCCGACGCAAGGGTTGTTGCGAAGAATTCTTCATCTTCACAAGAACAGAACCAAGTTGTCTCGGCACCGGACCTCGCATTCAAATTCTCGCCTCAAATGTCCCCACTTGTAGATCCGCCGATTAGCTCCTTACCTTACGGAACGGATGCATGGGCCGTACATCATGCTAAAGCCTCCGTGACACCTCTACGGACCAGCTTTGCAGAACCCGGAAGCGATAGTATGGTTCTTGTTGGGGAGTCGTTTGATAATTCGCCATCAGTCGGAGAAGCAGGTCGGGCGTTCAAACTATGATCACGGCGATCAGCACTCCTAATGTACCTACTTTCGGCATGTGGCCGGCGAAAAGCCATCATTTTACCGACGCTCGGTGGTGGGAGTAATTGTCGGGGAGCCAGATAAGGTCGTCGGGATTCGTATGGACCGCTCAAATTCAAAGTGCAATACAAATAAATGGTTTCGCGCTTGATCTTGATCTCCAATAAAGTAGAAATCCCTGATGTGCACAACACGCATAGCTGACCGGCCCTATGCTATAGGGACGTTCACGGGGCTCACAACTCGGCCAAAACTAAGTCACAAGAGTGCCAAAACTCACCACCGTTGTGTGACAGTTTTCAGAGTCTTTTGTGTAAGTTTTGAGCATGGTGAAAGGGCGTTCACAGCAACAAGTCCAAAACACTGTCACAACAGGTTCAGTGAATCACCCCTTAAGTCCGCCGGCCTTGGAGCCATGTAGATGTATTATGTAATGACTGCACAGTTCCATGCCATCACTCCATGAACGCGAGCGAGCGCTTAATCCGGGCTGCGCTGAAGCATGTTACTCACCTCCAGACTAGCCACTAGCGGCGTCATCTCTTGTTATGGGCAGAGACACCTGACCAGCCTGACCTCCTGTCTCTCAGCAACCCCGAGTCTGACGATGACCCAACACCTCTTAGGCTGATAGCAGCAGCTCTCCGATTCTACTTCCAGTTCCTCCAGCGCTTCCACTTCGAGCCAAGCTTCTGGTACTCAAGCTACATCTTCACACTACTTAGCTGACTCCGAATCCAGTCATGCTGAGGTCCCGGGCCTGCAAAAAAATCACGCATGGTCAATGTGCCATGTTTGGCACTTCCTATCTACTACACATGTATATAGCTGTAGTGTATTGGTTCAAGATAGAATTCATGCTCTCTTTTCTCACCATTAGGCACCTGGGACAGAATAAGATGTTAGGCATGGAGAGTGGATTGCCCTTCAGCCTTGCAGCTTGAATAGAGTCGCCGCGTGGTTTCAACCACATGTTTGGATTCTTAAGCAGGCATGATACCAGACGGTCAGTCCAACAGGGATTCTCAAGCCACTGAACATGATGGGCTGGGGTGGTTCAGCTTGGTAGCTTTGATGAACAACTTGGGCGCTTTGGAAGTGGCACGAGTTCTGGATCCGCAGCAGCAGGCCCCTTTGGTCCTGTAGTTAGGGGTGCCACGGTTCGGTTTGGTTCGGTTCTGGAGCGATTTTTTGAGAACTGGAACCGGAACTGGTTCGAAATTTGATGATAATGCCGAACCAGAACCGAACCAGTATGTGAACCGAACCGAACCATTATTTGGTTCTCTTGCGGTTCGGTTCGGTTCTGGAACGGTTCGAACCAACTTTGTTAAATGTGATAATTTCAATGAAATATTATATTTTCGGCAGAACATTCTAAGTGTCCATAATGAGGCCCACCCGCTCTGCGCGTTCTATCATGAGATTTGCGTCATAACCCTGCCACTCTCGGACCTTTGCTGCGTCTAATGCCTTCCTTGCCTCCCTCTCCTTGAAGTAGTTACGCTGCATATTGGCCTTCGCGATTTGAATAGCCCCGAGATGCTCGGGAGTGAGACGGTTCCGACTGTCAGTGTCACTGTGTTTAGCGGCAGAAAATGCCCTTTCACATGGAATAGAGGATGCTGGGACCGAGAGCAGATCTCGGGCGATGGAGGCTAAGACAGGATATGTAGCGCCTTTTTTCTGAAAATTAGTATAGATAAGTTCGAAGTTAAAGCATAGTTGAGACAAAATACTGGTGCCGCTCACCATCCAAAAGTCGAGGATGTCCTTTCCAGGCAGTTCAAGTGGGTCGTTGAGATAGCATTCAAGTTCCCCACAAGGATCATCGCTTGATACTTCCTGAGCCCGTCAAGCTTGGCTGGCTGCAAGACGGCGAGAGAGACCAGAAACTTCATCAGCTGAAGTGGCAACTGGCAGCGCATATACACCCTCGCCCTGGTTTTTTCCAGTTGTATTGAAGGCAGCAGACCGGGTTGCATATATGGAATGATACTCAAGAAACTGGTAATAGTCTGTGACAATCAACACTCTGGGAGATGAATGGCGCGACTCACAATGATGTGCACGCTCTCATTTTTCATTTGTGTGACATAAGATACTAGTAAGGTTTGGAGCATGACAACATTCCTACGGTTCTATGGTTCGGTTCGGTTCAGAACCGGTTCACATTTTCCCCCTAACTTAGAGAACCAAAACCGAACCATCAGAGAACTGGGTCAAAACCGAACCACGGTTCGGTTCCAGCATGGTTCGGTTCTCGGTTCGGTCCCGGTTCGAACCGGTTCTCTGAGAACCACGGCACCCCTACCTGTAGTTGGTCACAAAGGAAATGAGCGTACAGTGCTGTAATTAGTTGTAGTAATGAGTGTAGTAGGCAACGATGTTGCCGGTGTGACTGAGGCAGCCTGAGTGGGAGTGTTGAATAGGAAAAGAGGGACTGTACAGTTACATCAGAGACAAACAGATGAATACAGGACGGAATTAAGACACTTTAGACCGAGTTGTGAAAAGAGACAGTTGTGGCTTTCACCGTCTTGCGGCCTCGGAGCCGCAACACCAAAACACCCTCTTGTGGCACACTTTTCAAAACACACCCGACTTTTGAGCCACTTGTGAGTTCGAGTTTTGGCATAGTTTTGGCAGAGTTTTCCAGCCGTGAACGTCCCTTATATAAGACTACTCCTCGAGGCTGGCACACGGCATAGTCAATCGGATCCGACTCTTCATTCCTTCAAACACCCCAGGAATTCTGTGGGAAATCATTGTGGTTAGTGATGATCTTTATACCCCACTAGTTGAACTGCCATTGGCTGTGTTGTTTGAGCAAGACATGGTGAGGCACCGGTACGCATATCATGCCCATATCGGCTATGCGATATGATACCCTTTCACCATGTGTTTCGTGTTTCACTGTTGATTGCGTTCCACATGTAGCGCTTTCGCGTATCTCATTCTTTTATTACTTATGTCTGATATCTGTTATTATCTTAACTTATACCGCCGTGCGGTTACAATGATAAGTTGGTTGTGTTCCCGTTGAGAGCTACATAACAACAGGCTGGTTCTGAAGTCACTCCGGTGCCCATCTGTAGGGAATGGATGTGTGGTGATGCGTGCTGTGCACGCTTTCTTTATTCATTGTTTATTACTCTTTATTTCTCGATGTAAACAATGTATATAAATTGCGGGGAAGGGTGAAACAGGTTTTCACTCTTCTCCTCCCCTGTCGAAATTACAGCTCTATACTGCCTAATTCCTGACAGCTTGAGGATAGCAGGAGTCAACACCAAGGTCGGAACCTCAACCGACCTTACACTTTTTTAGGCATAATAGGCTTAAATTCCCACGTTTAAATCACCCGCGCGCGCTTCGAGTACGCGCGCTTATACTTCTTTTGGTATATTCTCGCGCACAACTCGCGCGCCTCTCTCCAGACTTCTTTGGAACCTTTCCCACGTGCAATCCACACGTGCGCGACTCTCAGACGCGCGCCTGTGTTGATTTGGCCGTTCTAGAAAACGCGCGCTTGCATCGACTTCGCTTACTTCTTTTGTGTCCACGGCTCCCTAGGCTCACACTCAGGATTTCTGGGTCTTCCTCGCACGCTTCCCACGTCCACACACGCTTTCTGGCAACACACGCTGAAACATTCACGCCAGCACACTCCTCGCGCGTTATTCACGTGTTGGCGGCATTCCAGACGCTCACTTGCGTTCCTTACACGCGTTTTTCGATCCCGCATTCTCACACGCGTGTGCGCGACTTATACTCGCCATGTATTGGCTTGATGGACGCGATCTCGATTCGAATGGAATTCTGCTGCGAGACTTGGCTCAGTACTGGGACAAACCCAGACGCAGAGAAGTGGAGAATAAGACTATAAGTGAAATAGACGTGCTCGCCAGCGGTCTCAAATCCGCGGTTGCTGCAGATGATCACCAGCGATGGTTGATCTCTGCCAGCGAGTATGTTGATGCCATTATTTGGTTTGCGCGGCGACAAGCTCTGTGGAGTTACGAGGATAAGGGTGTTGGCTTTGGGTCATGTCATGAGACGTTCGAGTGGCTGGATTCCGTTCATGCCAAGTGGGTTGCGACTCCGATGCCGCGCTTGTATGCGCTTGCTCGCGAAAGGTACATCAAATCCCTACCCACAGAATCCCTAGGTCCCTCGACACTCTCCATGTCCCAACAACCTCTATCCCCCTGCCCACTTGGGTTTTTCACCAAACCCACATCCAATGTCGCGTCAACGTCCAATCCCGGACATGTTAACTTGGAGACGCCTTCGGCACATCAACATCCAGTTGATTGTGCGGCCTCCAACGATGATTCGAGCCGCACTGCTGCGTGCGCTGATGCTGTTGCATCGCCGGCTGCGACTCAACATCCACATCAACCTCCGCCTCCTCCCAAGTCGATGCACCCGTCATCAACACCGTCCAACGTGTCGGCGCCGGCATCGACTGATGCGCCACTGTCGTCCAGCGCGTCCACGCCATCCTCTGATGTGTCGGCAACATCGAAACGTCGTCGTCGTCGAGGCCGGAAGAAGCGCCGATCCGAGCGTCATTCTGCTCCCATCACTCCCGTGCCATCCATTTCCTCTTCCGTCCATTCTCCAATCCCCTTTCCCCCACTTATTTTAAATGGAAATCACCAAAAAATTTTACATTTCCGTTTCTTACATATGCTGCTGTTGTTGGTGGCAAAACAATGCAGCCATGTATTCCATTCCCAATTCTCGCCACCCCCGATACACATCCTCAAAGGCCATTTAAGGATGTCCGTCGACACCGAACTAAGGATCCGCCTTAGTTTAAGTCCACCCCCTTCTCGATTTTCGAACACCCAATGTTTGTTCTAGTGGGGGAGGATGTAGGGAATGGATGTGTGGTGATGCGTGCTGTGCACGCTTTCTTTATTCATTGTTTATTACTCTTTATTTCTCGATGTAAACAATGTATATAAATTGCGGGGAAGGGTGAAACAGGTTTTCACTCTTCTCCTCCCCTGTCGAAATTACAGCTCTATACTGCCTAATTCCTGACAGCTTGAGGATAGCAGGAGTCAACACCAAGGTCGGAACCTCAACCGACCTTACACCATCCCTGCACCTGACTCTGGCCCAACTCCGAGTCCAGCACTGCTGCTGCAGCCCTATGTATAGAAAACCATAGGGATGAGGCCACAATGGGGCCGGGGTCGGACCAGATGAGAGTAGAACCACTAAATAGAATTGTCAGCACAAATATATGTAAATACATGTTTTGAGGTTGATCTCCAACACTATGCTCTTTGCCTGACCTTTTGTTTATCTATTATTGTTTGTTTGACCTTTGGCCTGTTGTAAATGCGGCATTCCAAATATGGCAACCCACTTCAGTGGTTCTGTTATAGAAATGGGAATTTCCCATTTTAGACTCTTATGGGTTCTGTATCACATGATTTGTATAGTAATTAAGTTTAACCAATCAATTACAACTGTCATATCCAGACATACCTGATCCCGACTTGACTCCCGGACCCTTCCCACCACCTCTGGAGTCCCACCTCTAATCCCATCCATTCTGATCACCACCTTTGGATCTGACATCACCTTCCATTCCCCTGACTCCTTCCCTGCCAATTGTCAGGGTGTAAGGGATTAACTTTACTTCACTATAATTCCGATTATAGTGATGCTGTTCTTTCTTTATTTATTTGTGCCAAGATATGTAAATTACATATATATACCTCGGAGTAGTTGTAAAGGCTCCTCTTTCTTTCTTTCCTTCCTGTCATATCCGTACATACCTGATCCCAATCCAACTCCTGGACTGTCCACTTCACCACCTCCGGAGTCCTACCCTACCCCCCATCCGCTCCAATACCCACCTTCGGACCGGACATCACTAATGAAATAGGAGCTATCGCGCGTAACTCAGTCTCGAAATAGAGAACTAGTATTAAGATTTTTACATATCGCGTGTAACTATAACATGAAAATACAATGAGTTATGCGCAAACACAGATAGGAAAGAAATGGTATCACCTCAGTCTCGAAATAGAGAACTGAGGGAGGGAGAAAAATTACGGCGTCCAGCGTAACTTATACGACTGGAGCCAATATCGCTTAAAGCGATTGTCAGTGACAACTGGCGATATAAGACAAAGTAAATTGGGAGCGCGTGGTACCGCGACTCTGAAACAAAAAGGTATAGTCGTTGTTAGTCACGACGATATTAAGTTAAAATAAAAACTCCCCAATCCACGCTGCAGCTCGGCTGTTGTCGATGAGCGTTGATATTCCAACAATCACTCCTCCTCACTCCTCACATCACTCCTCTCCTTCTGTCCTTCTCCTACCCTATCCCCATCTGCTCCGATATCTAATAGGAGGGCTAAAGCGGGAGCTCAGTCTCCGTAAATGAAGAACTGAATTACTACGTTTAGTACTAACCTAAAGCGGGAGCTATAGTACAGAAGAGTACAGAGTAAGTAATGTAACAACTAACTAAAAGCAATGATACTAACCTCAGTCTCCGTAAATGAAGAACTGAGGAGAAAAGGAAAGTAGAGCGAAAACAGTATATACAATTATATACATTGTGTCACGAGGCAAATACAGATGTAAGAGGGATCATGTGGTGTTGGTTGGTAAGTCACAGGTCGTTGTTACTCCAACAATATCCACCTTCGGACCTGACACCATCCTCTCATCACTCCTTGTAAGGAAGGGAGGCTGCATATGCACCCCCTCCTAACTCTTTTTACTTTGCTTTACTCTTGTTATCACTTGTAATATAGTTTATTATAATCATTTTGTAACTTTGCACAACAGCACTACATTCATGTATATACTTGGAGACCCTGCAAGCTGCATAGGCTGCATGTGCTCTTCCCCCCATGTATTGTCAGGGCTCGGTCCTCGATCAGGGACAGCCTGACCTCAGGCCTAGGTGTGTGCGGTGTTCCAGGTGGTTGGGCACTAGACCCTGTCCTCAGCTCCTCAAACTCACTGAAGGGACTAAGCGGGGATTGAGTTGAGAAGAAGGGTAAGTTTCCCTATTCCCCGCTTGGCTACTATAAAAAGGAAGTGTACTGTACAGTTCATAATGTGACTCCGGGTAGAAGCTGAGCATGTTCCCACGACTTGGAAAAGGTGTCACATGGGTTAAGGCGAGTTGCTTGCCTTGACCCACGTGGATTTTCCCACAGGCTCACATGTGGGCTGAAGTTGTGAGAGATATGTAGGGATGGGGAGGTCTGGGAAGTGGGGGAAGTCTGGGAAGGTGGTTCTGGGGTGTGGTTGGGTGCCCTGACAGCAGGGTCAGGGGCCGATCCCTGACATGTATATAAACCTTACATGTGGGTGAGTTAAGGCTTTACAGCCTTTACTCCCCCATTGATTATACAGCCTACTGTACGCACATGACCAACTACCAGCACGTCCCAAGTGTGACACAAAAATTTCCAACCGGCACCCCATTTTAACGTGTGACACTGAACCAGCAGAGGCGTGACTCGAAAGGAAAGCAGTGCCTGGAGTTGGCCGAACTGGACTGTGAGGCCCCGGCCCATGTCTATATTCTGCCCACAACATCAATTGATGTTGTGTTGTCTGATAATTATGTCACGACGCTAATTTAGCGTCACGGAAGCTTCTCTATTTATTTGTGCCGAGAATGCATTAGAATGTATATAAACCCTCGGGGTAGCTGTAAAAGGTGGATCAGCCTTTACTTCTACCCCATTAATATACAGCCCATCAAAGTGTATACTTAGACGGACCAACTGAGGCCTGAGGCGAATGGGGGAACAGAACGTACTGTCCCCAAAACAAGTAAGATCCCTTTCACTTTTTTACGCTCTATTTTCTTTTCCATTCTCAGCACCGTGTTACCAGCACCGAAACCCCATTTGGCAACGCACGCGTTGTCAGCCCCTGACAACGCACGACTTCGATCAAGTTCTCACGCGAACTTGTTGAACAACTCGACACATCCTCTTGATGTCATGGTGATACAACACCAGGAGCACGTCTAACGCTCCCACCAACACGGCCGGCCCCTCCACTGGCTGTAGGGTGGAAGATGACACCACCTCAAGTGATGGTGGTGATCTGGGCCTGCAAGGGCCCAGTGATGCGTCTCAGATGCATCTCAGATGCGTCTCACCTATATGAGGGACGTTGTCAGGGTTCAGCACCCTGCCTTAGGGTGCCCCGGACTCCCCACCTACTTTACCCCCTTTTATTCTTTGACTGTTGCCTTGTTGTTGCCTTTGTGTGTTGTGTACACGCGCGCACGGGATAGCGTGGGAACTTTCTGAGCGAGCAGCTCGCCCAGAATGTTCCCACGGGTCACAGCCACAGTTCTGGGCGAGCAACTCGCCCAGAACGTTCCCACGCTTACTGGGCACTGCCACCTGGATGTTCCCTCCGGGTCACACTACACAACTCTAGGAGCTGTATAGTTGTGGGCATGTGACCCATTCCTTTATATAGCAACCATGCGGGGAGATGAGACCTTTACCCTTCTTCTCATCTCATGCCCCGCATAGGCAAGTGTATATATTCCCTTTCTTTTACTATACATCTCATGCCCCGCATAGTGTGAGGACAGGCCAGATGGGGGTTGAGGTCAGGGAGCCTCCGAGTCCGAGGCCGGGCCCTGACAGACGTTGACCAAGTCACAACGTCTGAAGCCCTCGTAGCTGAGACTCTCGCAGCATACGTCCCAATGCACGCGTTGCGTCCTCCATCCCCAACCCACTCCCTCGCATCTGAAACAGCGCGAGTACTAAGAAATCACATTGACCAAGTTGACGACAACATCGCCGACTTGAGGGGCGATGTCTGTAACATGAATACCCAGATCTCTGGGAATAGTGATAACATCGCTTGTTTAGATTGTAACATCATTAAGGTGGAAGGAAGACTAAACGAGAAATTAAACGAAATTCTCCTCACGCTCTCTCGATGCAATGAGCCAAAGCCACCTGCAGCAACGGTGGATAACCCGTGAACCCTCCTGCGAACCCATCAACTGGTGGGGATCCTATCATCGTCTCTGAGCAGACGAAAAAAAACCCCTGTTGAGGCGCAAGCACCCCAAGAGGTCCCTGTAGTCCCCATTAATCAAATGGGTCAACCAATCATTAAACCCGCTGTTGAGGTGCAAGCACCCCAAGAGATCCCTGTAGTTCCCGTTAATCAAATGGGTCAGCCAATCATTGGGGTCCCAGTACCTGAAGGGATCCCCACTGTCACTGCCATCATCACAGAGGTGGCAAGTTCACGCCCATCCATTGAGGTACAAGAACCCGATGGATGATTTGTTCCCATCTTTAGTGGAACTAAGCCACCTACCCCGTTGATGGTGCCAGTAACCACTGACGCCAAGGGGAAAGGTAGGGAGATTGACCCAGGACAACTGGCTGGATCATCGACTGCAGGGGAGAGTGGAACTTCTCCACTCCATTTCAGGCCAGGCTTCGTGCCTGCGCCGTTCATTCTGTTGTCGCAACCCACGAACAGTGGGGTGAAAATACCACATGTTGATGCTACTCAAACGCGTAGTTTCCCTCCTGACCATGGGAGAAAGAAAACAGTGCCAATGAAGGCCACTGTGGAGACGATACAGGAAGAGGATGATGCGGAAGTTGTCAATGTTCTGTACGATTATCACACACAGAAAAAGTGCCCGATCTACATCCAGGATCATGTAGATGACATTGGCAGACAGCCCGCCAAGGTCAGACCAATCTTCGCTGAGCATAGTCTCAGCAAATCTACTTTCGACTTTAACGCCCATCTGGATACAGACGCAGCATTCATATACAACGTGGGTTGTGGGGCAAACGGTGAAGACCCTGAAAGACTGT